GTATTGAGGAGAACAATAAGCTAGCAAAAAACGCAAGATGAATGGCGACAAAAGAAAATAACCAAAACTTATTTTTAAAATCTGTACCTGCTTAATTTAACGTTACATTATTTCTTGGAAAATATGTTCATCGTTAATTATTATGGAAAATTAATAAAAAAAGTTGCGTGATTTTGATTTGTGCATGGATAATGATACCGCCAAACTTAAAACAGACAAACAAAATGGGATCCATCTTGTTTGTTTGTATTCCTCAAAGAAAATTCAACGACGCGACGTCACCACTACTCACCCACTTGACAGTCTCGGGATCAAAGAAAAACACTTGTGTAATGTGTTCCTTTAAAACACTGTTATTGCTAGAAAGCCTAGAATCTCCAAATTAATACTTATGCTGTTATGCAGTCTGAATTCTGAGTGTCTGACTTGTATGAGTTAGGGCCTAGTATGAATAAATAAATATGATTTATTTCGATAGTTTTTTTTTTTTTTTTTTTTTTTTTTTTTTTTTTTCGATAGTTGTTTTCGATAATTGTTTGATAAACATGTATTGATGTACCAGATCGGCTAATGCTCCCAGGTTGATGCGATGTATTCCACCAGTTGACTATCCTCCTCTTTTTGAGCTAAACCTATTGCTCGCCCCTTAGTGACTCCTTTCTACAATTGAATTGATCCTTAGACCCTCCGTAAACTGCATGGTCTAGGTCAGATGCAAGATCAAGACCCTGATGCGCAACGTCGAAACCCCGTATTTTGAATTCAAAAGTAATTTAAGGATGCCACTAAACTCATGCCTCTTAGCTTATACAAATGACTTAATTAGACATTAATACATTATATATCTATATAATATCTAGATTTATAATTGCTAAGCCAATAGGTCAAGGTCTTGTCTAATAAATGCATGCACAACTAATTCACTCAATAATGTACCTGTATAATACTACAAATAATTCAAATTAATTGATCTATATATGAAGAACAAATAAGTAATCTATTTTGAATTTAGTCTTATCATGTGTCTAAATAAATACATAATCCTTAATGATTTATAATATATATGGAATAGTAATAATAAAGAAAAAATGAAGTATTTTGATAGATATCAATTAATATTATATAATTACAATGATTTGATGATTGACTATACATAAGAACTAACTTTGATAATTTTGAATTGGGACAAATCTTTGGAGGCCTTACGTTTAAGCTTTAGATGTTTCCCAATGCCAAAGGGAAATGAAAAGGACAGAGTATCAGTGATTTGAGTACTTAATTAACATATTTATCATGTACTTAGAGTTAATTAATTTTCTATTAATATCAAAAATCAAGCTTGCACATTTCAGTGTGATAAGTAGATGTATAATAACCCAAGATAATTTTTAAGAAAAGAGGAATATTTAAAGCTTTCAAATTATTCGAATGGTAGAGGTCCTTGCACCTTTTGTAACAATTACCTATTATGTGGGTGTGGGGGAACTCTAGCAAGCTACATATTTCAATTATTTTCTCTACTAAATTGAGATTATTGTTATAAAAATAAAATGCTTCACCGTTCCAAACTTATTTACATTCGATGTTTAGAATTTTGTTGACAAATAAGAAAAATATAAGAAAAGAAAGAAAAGTATAATTTGGGATAAGGGATTTGAATATGATTGATTTGAATCGTCTTAGAAGTGTAAATGCCACCTAACGCTTTTGTTGTTATACTAGTATCATTAAGTAAGAAATGTTAAAGTCAACAAAACTCTTCACATTTCTATAATTTATAAAAGAGTTTTATGATTAAGAAGTTGCTGATTTTTATTTTAATTTTATTTTCTTGCTTAACAGATAAGTTGCTGATTGTTATTGGCAAAAGCTATAGAGAAGAATAACCACCAGAATTGGTGTAAGATATATAAACGAGTATGTCTTATGTGTCAGTAATATATATTATGTGGTGTGTTTGCGTGAAAGTTCATCTCTTTCTTATCACTACAAAAAATGTACTTAATCATTGGAGGCCTTACGTTTAAGCTTTAGATGTTTCCCAATGCCAAAGGAGAATGAAATGGACAGACTATCAGTGATTTGAGTACCTAATTAACATATTTATCATGTACTTTGAGTTAATTAATTTTCTATTAATATCAAAAATCAAGCTTGCATATTTCAATTTGATAAGAAAACTCTTTACCACTACATGCAAAATGTCTTTACGAACACATTAAGCCAACTATATGTCGTCACTTTACTTTTATTTGTGTATGTTTTTTTTAACCACTATAATTTTCGATTTAAAAAATTTGAATAAAAATATATCACACAACAATAAGGGAGACTCACAAAAATGCCAATTTTTCAATACCCCTTTTCAAAAATGCCCCATTTGCCTGTCCATTTTTAAAAATACCCTTTTTTATGTACAAAATGACTAAATTATCTTTCTTTTAATAAAAGATATCACAAATATGTAAGGAAATATAACAAAATTAGGTCCACAAAATACAAAATATTTTTTGGCGGGAAAAGTGATCCCGCAATTTTTCCCGCCAAAACACTTGTAAAAATTTGTAAAACTTTAAAATACCTTGTAAAATTTTCCCGTAAAATTTTTTCCCGCCAAAAAATTTTTGCGGGAAAAGTGATTCCGCAATTTTTTTGGCGTTAAATTTTTGGCGGGAAAAATTTACAAGGTATTTTAAAGGTTTTTTACAGGGTATTTATAAGGTTTTACAATGTATTTTAAAAGGTTTTACAACGTATTTATGAGGTATTTATAAGATATTATAAGATTTTACAAGCTATTTTATAAGGTTTTACAAGTTATAAGGTTTTACAAGTTTTTTATAAGGTTTTACAAGTTATAAATACCTTATAAAACCTTATAAGTACCTTGTAAAACCTTTTAAAATACATTGTAAAACCTTACAAAACACTTGTAAATACTCTGTAAAACCTTTAAAATACCTTGTAAATTTTTCCCGCCAAAAAAATTGCGCCAAAAAAATTGCGGAATCACTTTTCCCGCAAAAAAAGTTTTTTGGCGGGAAAAATTTTTACGGAAAATTTACAAGGTATTTTAAAGGTTTTTACAAGTGTTTTGGCGGGAAAATTGCGGGATCACTTTTCCCGCCAAAAAATATTTTGTATTTTGTGGACCTAATTTTGTTTCAAATAAGGGTAAAATGGTCATTAAAAATTAAAAGAGGGCAAACTTAAAAATAGACTCTCAAAGGGGGCATTTTTGAAAAAGGGTATTGAAAAAGGGGCATTTTTAACAATTTCTCCAACAATAATTGATGATATATTTATAATAAAAACTAAAATTCAAAAATATTCATAATAAATTGTCGAATGAAACCAAAGTTATATGTTCAGTTTTGAATTAGAGACGTTAAAAATATAAAAATGATAGATCGACATCGACTACAACTTTTAGCCTTCCAAAATAACAATGCATGTTCGATTCCTATATACTCGATTGCAATGAGTTTTGATCAACCAATAAAGGATGAGAAACTAAAAAAAAATAGAAAATTATAAACATGATGATATATGAATCTTAGATAATTCAAAGATGAAGTATCTTTTCATTAAATAATTTTGCTTTTTATACATATCAAAATAATAGACTTGACATATGCTATGATCATATGAGTTACTAACTTTGAAAACCAAATTTTATATAATAAGATATACGTATAGTTTCTAAGCGATAGACTTGACATTTGTCATGATCATATGAGTTACTAACTTTGAAAACCAAACTTTATATCATAAGTTATACGTATAGTTTCCTTATAATTTTGTTTTTATTTAAATAAATAAAAGGAAAATTTTCTTTTGTATGTGTTAAAATTTGAGATCGATAAATTTGACACGTCGTATAGTTTTATTTTTTATTTTAAAAAAAGAAATAAAAGAAATTTTTTTATTTATACTGTCAAAATCTGATATCGATAAATTTGACACGTGACACGATATTATGAGTTTCTAACTTTCAAAACTAAACTTTATATAGTAAGATATGACGTTAAAGTTACTCAAACTCCAGAATCAATAATACTTCAAGATACTGTATACATTAAAAAAACAGTCAATAATCCATTGGTATGAACACTTTCGATAACAAACATACCAAACTTATTTTGGGCCACTAACTAGTTTTGGGCCGAAAATAATTTCAAGCCCAATTTAAACTTCAAATCATTTTAGGCTCTGTCTTCTGTCGGGCCACCGAATGAATTTAGTGAAGCTTGTGAATGGTGTGCGATGGCGTGAAAGCCTCTTTTACGGAACTAAAAGGGCTCGTAACCGATGAAATGACAATAATAGCCCTGAGGAACACTCAAAATTACACAAAGAGAGTTTAAGACAAAACAGGCGTTGTGATTTTTCTATTTCTCTCCCCGTTCACGTTCTGCAACATTGGAAGCACGTACGGCTCCTAAGACTCCGTTTTACTTTTTTTTTGTTTTTTTAAACACATTCTATTATAAACAAATTAAAACCAAAAGATCAAAACACAAAGTTTCCTCTCTTTCTAATTTTTTTAAAGTTTCTTTCATTTTCTTCAGATCCGAATTTTCGCCGCAAAATTCGTCAGTGCAGCTTCTTCTTCTTCTTCTTCGCGTCCTTGATTCGATCGGCTGTCTGAAAAACATGAAGCCGATGATCGTAGGTACGGTAGATTCATTTTCCCCGAAATTGGCATTTTGTTTTTCTGATCGATTTGAAATATCTGCGAGGTTCAATTTCATCATTGTTTTAAAATCTACTAGGGACTTAAAAAAGCAATGGCATTGACAAATTTTTTTCTTTATAAAGAATCCACATTGCAATTTTTTTTTGTTGAATTTTGTAACAGACATTGTTCTTCTTTGAATTAGAATTTCATTTATCATAATATATACTTTGCTGATGTGATGATGAACAGATCAAAGGAATGTAGTCTCAAATTGTTTAAGGTTATAATGATTCCTCTAAGTGAAAAAGACAAATGCAGAAAAAAGTCAGAAAGATGACAAAGCTGAAGATTTCTTTTTGTCTTTGAAGCTTCTATTTTTGGTGGGTCCTTTTAAGACAATGATTTCGATTCTTGGATTTTGTCTCAAGAAAAATGTTGTTCTTCTCTTTACAATGTTTTTGATTGTGAGCCTGCGTTGACTTAACTCATGTCATATATTTTGGTTTCTCACGGTTTTATTTATTGTGCCAAGTGATGCAGTTGCTAGTTACGGTGGATTGATATTTGGAGTATTGAAAAGATAGAGAAAGAGAACAGAATTTTGATGCGGGTTTAGTCTTAAAGGTGAACAATGCTCGGGAATCAATCCGCGGATTTTAGCGAGAACGGGGATGATGAGATCATCAGACAGCTTTGTGCAAATGGGATTTGTATGAAAACAACTGAAGTTGAAGCAAAGCTTGATGAAGGAAATATCCAAGAAGCTGAATCTTCTTTGAGAGAAGGATTATCTCTCAATTTTGAGGTTTGTTTGTGATTTTCCAAACTCCATGAATCCAACTTCTATAAGTAAATGATTAGATTTTGCTTCTTTTTGTGGTTACAGGAAGCAAGAGCACTTCTTGGAAGGTTGGAATACCAAAGAGGGAATTTAGAAGGCGCACTTCGTGTCTTTGAAGGTATTGACCTTCAGGCAGCTATCCAGCGGTTACAGGTTTCCGTGCCTCCTGAGAAACCATCTACTAAGAAAAACCGTCCCCGTGAACCGCAGCAATCAGTTTCTCAGCATGCTGCTAACTTGGTGCTTGAAGCTATCTACTTGAAAGCCAAATCTCTTCAAAAGCTTGGGAGAATAACCGGTACATTATCTCTTACCTTTGATGCCTCATTTTGTTTCCTTCCAGCGAACAACAGTTTGTTGAAACATTTTATGAAAAAATGAAATGTGATGAATCTGAGCCTTGATCTTGATACAGTCTTTGCTGGTTTTGTGTCTTACAGAGGCTGCACGCGAATGCAAGAGTGTTCTTGATTCTGTTGAGAAAATATTCCAGCAAGGGATACCAGATGCTCAAGTGGATAACAAACTTCAAGAAACCGTTAGCCACGCAGTTGAACTACTTCCTGCGCTATGGAAAGAATCTGGTGATTATCAAGAAGCAATATCCGCTTATAGACGAGCGCTTTTAAGCCAATGGAATCTTGATAATGACTGTTGTGCAAGGATTCAGAAAGATTTTGCAGTCTTTCTTCTACATTCTGGAGTCGAAGCGAGTCCACCGAGTTTAGGTTCTCAGATAGAGGGATCATACATACCTAGAAACAACTTAGAAGAAGCCATTCTTCTTCTAATGATTCTTTTAAAGAAATTTAACCTTGGGAAAGCGAAATGGGATCCGTCTGTGTTTGAGCACCTTACCTTTGCGTTATCTTTATGTAGTCAGACCTCGGTTCTCGCCAGGCAGCTTGAAGAAGTAATGCCTGGTGTGTTTAGCCGTATTGAGCGTTGGAACACTTTGGCTCTTTCTTATAGTGCAGCAGGTCAAAACAGTGCTGCAGTTAACCTTCTTAGAAAGTCTCTGCATAAACACGAACAACCCGATGATCTTGTGGCGCTTTTGTTAGCTGCTAAGCTTTGCAGTGAAGAGCCTTCTTTAGCTGCAGAAGGTGCAGGCTACGCGCAGAGAGCGATAAACAATGCTCAAGGTATGGATGAACATTTGAAAGGCGTTGGTTTGAGGATGTTAGGACTTTGTTTGGGGAAACAAGCGAAAGTTCCCACATCGGATTTTGAAAGATCTCGGCTTCAATCAGAATCATTGAAAGCATTGGATGGAGCTATAGCTTTTGAGCACAACAATCCTGATTTGATCTTTGAGTTGGGTGTTCAATATGCTGAGCAACGGAACTTAAAAGCTGCGTCCCGGTACGCCAAAGAGTTCATCGATGCAACGGGAGGGTCGGTGTTAAAAGGATGGAGATTTCTCGCGCTTGTTTTGTCGGCTCAACAACGGTTTTCAGAAGCTGAAGTTGTGACTGATGCTGCTTTAGATGAAACCGCAAAGTGGGATCAAGGACCTCTCTTGAGACTTAAAGCAAAGCTAAAAATCTCTCAGTCAAATCCAACAGAAGCCGTTGAGACTTATCGTTACCTTCTTGCGTTGGTTCAAGCGCAAAGGAAATCTTTCGGACCTCTCAGAACTCTTTCTCAGGTATCTAAATCTCGTTTGTTTCCTAATCTATTGAGAGCATTGGTCAAAACCTTCTTCTTTTTTATTCAAACCTTTTATGAAAACATAGATGGAGGAAGACAAAGTGAATGAGTTTGAAGTGTGGCATGGCTTAGCATATCTTTACTCAAGCCTTTCGCATTGGAACGACGTAGAAGTCTGTCTAAAAAAGGCCGGCGAGCTGAAACAATACTCCGCTTCAATGCTGCATACAGAAGGCAAGAACAAGAAGCCATTTAACTAATCTCTTAGAATCCATTACTTGATTTACTCAAATTCGGTTTGAATCTTTTGGAATGATCAGGTCGAATGTGGGAAGGACGAAAAGAGTTCAAACCCGCGTTAGCAGCTTTCTTGGACGGTTTATTACTAGACGGATCATCGGTTCCTTGCAAAGTAGCGGTTGGAGCATTGTTGTCTGAAAGAGGGAAAGATCATCAGCCGACTCTCCCCGTGGCGAGAAGTTTGCTATCAGATGCATTGAGGATCGATCCGACAAACCGAAAAGCTTGGTATTACTTAGGAATGGTTCATAAATCTGATGGACGTATAGCTGATGCTACTGATTGCTTCCAAGCTGCTTCTATGCTTGAAGAGTCCGATCCTATTGAAAGCTTCTCAACCATTCTTTAAAACCCCAAAAACGTATCATAAAGATTTATATTTATCTGTTCATTTTTTGTCTATCATCTCATGTACAATTTGAACATCTTACTTTCTTCAAACTAAATATATATTCTTTTCATGTTAGGCCTGCTCGCTTTAGTTGTTCGTTAGTTCTTATGTTCAGAACTTAAGCTTAAGATGCTGAATTTGGATACAATTTTGTATTTTCGAGTTTTGTAATCAAGAAACCATGTGATTTCACAAATTTTGACATAAAATCTTTTGTAATATACAGTCCAAAAAACACATCATTTCCATTTTCCAACATAAAAATCGTAGTTAACACAATTTCACCGCATTCAAGAACATTAGCATAGAAATAGTGATTTCCGACTTATACAAAAACTCCAACAGAAACTGTGATTTAGCAATTCGATACAAATTTTTTAGGAATAGATAAACAAGTCAACATACAAAACAAAACAAAGTCTTTTTCTACTAGTTCTTGGGAATGTTAACTCCGACGATTTTAGCCGGAGTAATACGAAGAAGATTCCCAGGCTTACCAGGCAAAGCACCTTTGATCATAACAACATTAAGCTCCTTATCAACTTTAACAATCTTAAGCTTCCTAATCTTGGTTCTCGTCCCTCCCATTCTTCCAGGCATCTTCTTCCCTTTGTAAACTCTTCCCGGAGTAGTACCAGCACCAATCGAACCCAAAGCTCGATGACTCTTGGAACCATGAGTCATCTGACCTCTCTTGAAATGATGTCTTTTGATTCCTCCTTGAAACCCTTTACCAATCGTAGTTCCAGCTACATCAACGAGATCACCTTCTTTGAATATCTCATCGAACACGAGTTTCTGGTTTGGTTCGAATCCTTCGATGTTTGTTAATCTGAACTCTTGGAGATGTCTCATTGGGATTGTACCGGCTTTTTGGAGATGACCGGTTTCCGGTTTAGTTAGCTTTTTGTCGCGTACTCGACGGTAACCGATTTGAACCGCGTCGTAACCGTCGGTGGCTAGGGTTTTGATTTGGGTTACGATGTTACCTTCGCGGAATCCGACGACTGTTACTGGAACTACTGTGCCGTCTTCTTCGAAGAAACTCATCATTCCGAGTTTTGACCCCATTACTCCGATTCCAGCTTCCATGGATGATGAAACCACGAATCTGGTTTTGGGTGATGATTTGATGAGAAGAGAAGATGATTTCGCCGGGAGGAAAGTGGGAGTGAAGAGTGAAGAGGATAAGGTTGACTTGTTGAGTAGAGATGGGAAAGAAACAACCGCCATAGCCATCGCCATTGTCGGAGATTCACAGTGGAGAAGAAACCCTGAGAGAGGATAAAGCTCTGTGTCACTCTTATCTTCTTCTCCAAATTACGAAATTTATTATTTTACCCCTGAAGATTCTCATATTTAAAAAACGCAGTGGTTTACCTTTTGCAACATCGGTCCTCAAAATCTAATTTTATTCATTTTCGTTCTTTTTCTTCTTCTTGTATTCAATTTAACCTCTTTTTAGATTAGTGTTTATAGCACAATTGAGAAAAGAAAAGACTTGAATTCTTAAAGATGATTGTCAAATAGAAATGATATCACAACTCACAAGGATATAATGTTCAAATTTATTGAATAAAAAACACTGAGAAAATAAGACTGAAAATGTTTTAGACGATCCGACACGAGAATAATTTTAGTTTCAAATTAAGACCCAAGACAATCCATCACCACTTGAGGTTCTTTCTAGTAAACGGATAACAGATGGAGTTTAGAGACGAGATATAAGAAGAGGCACAGAGGCAGGTCCTTCCTCGCCCATCACAGGCTGGAAAAGATCCAACTCACCATACCGCTCCAAAACTCTCATCCTACAATCTTCAGCTGCCATCAATCCAGTTGAATAAGCGCCGTGAACCGAGCCTGGGAAGCTCGAGCTTGTCGCTTCACCAGCAAAGAATAAGTTATCCACTGGAACCCTAAGCCTCTCGTAGAGATCATGAGGTTTCCCCACGATATCATAGCTATAAGATCCCATTGAATTCACATCCGATCCCCACCTCGATACAAGATATTGAACTGGAGGCAATGCATCGGGAAGAATTCTCTGGAGTTGCAAGACGGCAAAATTTGCAGCTGCTTCATCAGACATTTTCTCAATGTCTTTGGCGAGCTGACCAGCCGGCATGTAAACCAGAACTGGATGACCTGTGGCCTTGTGCAGGTTCAAAAAATAACTGCAACCGTAGGAGGTTTCAGCTACCACTCCTAGAAACTCTACTTTCGGCCAGAAGACTTTCTCAAAATGTAGTATGATCTTGTTCTCGATACCTACTCCTAGGTCGTTGATTGCTTCTTGTTTCCACTCAGGTAGCTTTGGTTCGAACTTTATGGTTCCAGATTTTAAGACTCCGAGAGGAACCGCAATGACTGCAGCATCGGCAACAAATGTTTCCCCATTTTCTGTCGTTACCTTCACCCCATTGTAACGCCTGACAATCTTAGTAACCCTTGAGAGAAGGAAAAACACCGAGGTTATGACTGTGAAACACTAAACGAATGCCACAACTCTTGAAAAACGTAAAGCTTACCTGTGGCCTACTCGGATATCAAGACCTTTCGCCAGAGTGTTGATGACAGGACGATACCCTCTAACCATAAGACCGTGTCCACCAGGCAGCAATTCCTCCTGCACATTTCTCGGAGTGTTAAACCGAAATTTCAAGAAACAGTGTATACTCAAAATCCTCACCTACGAGAGGAAGAATGTAACTAACCTGGTCCCAACACTTTGCAGAGATGGTTTCAGCATCTGCAGCAAACCATCCTTCCATGCGGCATACATACCATTGAAGTACGTTGTGTGCAAGCCCCTCTAACCTGGATGTGAAAATTCAAATTTAATCATGAAACTAAGCTTGCAAAAGTGAATTGACTAAAGAAATAAAAAAAGTGGGACAATTATGTAAACAAACCTCAGCTCGGGTTTCCTAGCAAAGACAATTGAGAAAGCCTGAGAAATTGAAATGTCTGCATCCTGCTCATCCCTCACTTTATTGATCTGTGTTTGCAAAAGACGAATCTAATTAAGATGAGCATGAATCTAACACTTGCAACATCAAGAAATACGAGAATCGGAATATGAAAGAAGAAAAATAAATGAATGTGAAGGACATACCTCTTCCAAGATACGCTCAAAAGTTACGCCAATCTGAGTTACCAACTCTTGAGGAACTTGGTTGCCATCCATATCAAACAGAGCATAGCTACAGAAACAAAAGAATTGCACTGTGAGTTTTAAGGTGTCAAACAAGAACAAAAAGAAATATAAGATGGAGATTACAAAATCGAAATATTCAAGCACACCTCTCGAGATCATGATCATACAGGACAGAATTGTCACCGCTAGTACGATACAAGGGCAGTCCCAGTCTTCCAATTACTGGTGCCAGAGGATTCTCTTTGCATACTCCATGCAGCCTATAACAAAACAACGTAGCTGTGTTAAGCAAAGTTAACCAAAAACCAAAATATCATCTAATGACAAGAACAAAGAGCCGTGACATTACCATGATGCACCAAGATCAACAGGAAAACCAAATGAGTAATCAGTGTGAACTCGTCCACCAATTCTGTCACGGGACTCCAGTACCATAACCTAAAGACAAAGAACCACACCGTGAGAAGGAAATAAAATGATCATTGAAGAAAACATGAATCCGAACTGCAATATTTAGTGCTCAAGTAGACCATAAGAAGATCAAAAATCAGCTTCCAGGACATTGTATAAAACATCAAACTTGGAATTTCATTTGTTGTGTATAATCACAAACCTGAAAGGAAGCATCTTGAAGAGTACGAGCAGCTGAAATTCCACCAAAACCACCTCCGATCACAATCACGGATGGTGACCTTGTCTTCATCCTCTCACCAGCTGAAAAGCAATTAGCTATATGAAAACAAAGCACGAATTAACGAACGTCCAAGTCCAATAAAGTATCAGTTCTTCTAAGTTCTAACAAAGAAACATTGTGGTTACTAGAATTAAACAACCCCACAAAAACAAAACTTGTGGCAATCAGCAAATACAGCCAAACAAGTAAACGCCACAGAGGAATCAAATCACCGACAGAGAATTCAGCACGAGGGCAAAAACAAAAATTTCAATTTTTGTTAAATAAACCAAATTACCCAGAATATAATCTAGAAGAAGAACCCTAGATTCTTCGTATACATCAACGATTACAATCCACAAACAATGAAAAAAAAAAATCGAAATTTCCGATGGAGGGTGAAGAAAACAATACCTCTACGCATTTGACGATCAGAGTTTTTCCTAGACTCCATGATTTTTTTTCAATTGATCAAACGATTACTCTCGAGATTATTGGAATTACGATTACTATTATTATTATTATTACTATTAAGCTGAGGAGAGAAATGAAGAATAAAAATGAGAAGACAAGTCGTGAAGTGGCTCGAAATCGAAGATGAAAAAATCAGGCTTCCAAACAAATTCATGCGATTTCTCTTTTCTTCAGGATTTTTAAACCCCTTTTGTTTTTGGTTTTTGTTCACTCTGTTTTACTCAGCCGGCAAATATCAACGCAGATCTACAACGATCGGCAATATCGGATGCGTAATTCAAGAGAACAATGGGGGCAAAAAGATCAAAATTCCCAGAAACGCCAGAAACGAGAAAGAAGAGCAAAGGCTAGAGAGAGAAAGATGGAAACAGAGACTTCTAGAGAGAGAAAACAAAAAAAGTCAGATTTTTTTTGGCTTTGGGTCGGTAAAGTAGGTTAGGTTGTAATTTATAATAACGCATATGCTCCCTCAATTATCAATATAATTAAATAATTTTCTTATTGGACTGTAGATCTTTTATTATATTTATTTAGTTACTTTTATTAATTAAAATACATTAACATCTACTTATATGATTAAATTACCCATAAACTGTTAATATTATCCAAAAATTTATTGTTATTTATTAGAAAATCATATATATTGAACAACTAATATTAAAAGAGATAAATTCAATTAAAGATTTAAGATATACAATTAAAATGTTAAGATATTAACAAAATATTATTGGTAAATTAATTCAAATTAGATATGATATTTAGTTTGAATATTCTTTGTTAGTTATATAGTAGTATATGTTAATATTAGTTTTCCAAATTCTAAAGTATTTTTTATCAATATCATATTTATTTTAAAATTGTTAATTTAGTTCTCCGTATCACGTGTTTGTTTCGGCACGCTTGATAAGTTACGTAACTTATCAGCCCAAGTGGTCCACTAGGGAGCACGTGTCATTCACTTATACGTCGTCCATAAAATCAATAGTGTCACAATACGTCAGCTGTTTTGTTTTTCTTAAGAAAATTTTCTAACGTTTCTAAGGGCATCATCAATGGAGGATTATGTGAGGGTGTTCTTATAGAGAATATAATGTTAAAATAATGTAAGATCATGTGTTTAGATCTTTTGTTTAGAAGTTGATTAGTGGGAGAACATGTGTAAGATCTTAAGACTTAATAATATAATAATCTAAATTAAATTAAGATTTTACAATTATTAAAACATTTTAAAATAACATATAAATTGCAAATGCCAAATTTATGAAAAACTGAAAATAAAAGTGAAAATACAATACTAAATATTTATGAAAAAAACATTAAAAATATAAATAACAATAAACAAACAAACATATTACTTAATAAAAGCACAAAAACATTTTATCTAATTAATACATAGTTTATTATCCAAATTTATTCCAAATATGTTGAATATTCCAACCAATGCCCAAATGCCACGTCACCCCGCAACACCCACAAGAACAGATCCAGGTCAAGAGCCCAGTTCCTGATCTTAAGCCCATTAACCCATTTTTTTGGATTTAAATAATGCTTAGATCGGGGGGGGGGGGTGATCCCCCAATGCAGATGGTCTAATGATTTTAATACGTATGATGTTGGTGGCAATTAAATGTAGTTTGGTAGGAATAGAAGACGAAACTTTTACCATAATATTGCCACGTTGACTGCTTTTTTGTCATTAACATTAATTAATAATTCATAGTTTCATACAGATTTTTGTAGTTTAACTATGATTTCCGAGTAAATTACTCAAATACAATAAATTTTTTAATGAGATATGTCAAAATTCTTGCCATATACATTTGTTCGGGGTGGGATTTTTCAGGATTGATGGCTGAGGCTACTGTGAAACTTTTTTTTGACGTTTATAATAATATTGATATGATGTTACTTTTTTTGTTTTGTTTCAAATGTTACTATGTTAATGGTTCTTGTGTGTATAGTAATAATTTTTTTAAAAAATAATCATAAAAATGGTGGTTCAGACTTTAACAATAAAAAATATAAAATTTTAAATCGATTATTTCTAAGTCTGATACCATTTGTTATTTTTTTATATTAATTATGTTTTTTTCCAGCAAAAGAATAATTACTTTTTATACGAACGATTTTGATGAGTGGACGATATATAAGGAATTAGATCACATGAAAGACCAACATCCCAATCCCTCCCTCATTTGAGATTGCGACCTTGAGTAATACAGTTGTAGAATGGCTTGTCGTGAGTTACATGACAGGATTCTCAAACGTCACAAAAGCCCTTAAGATATGAATGGAGGATCTCACTACCAAAACTAGAAGATTTCAGTGTCTATCTTATCCAAATGAGTGTCTATTATTATACTAGAGCTGCAAAGACGGTACGACCAAGAGTTAAAGCGTAGAGAAGAAAATCTCATGGCATTAAAAGAGAAGGTGAAACGAGCTGAGAAAAATCTATATCAAATGAAGACCAAGAAAAAGATTTTGATCCGAATACAATTGTTTTTGACTTTTAGTTTATGAATATCCAACAAGAATAAACTTTTATGATGGTTATCAATTGGACAAAAGAAAAAAAAAATGTTTTGGCCGGTACAAAATATGTCAAAATTCGTATATGTGTATGGGTGGGATTTTTGGACATGATGGCTGAGTTTTTATGGTGAAATTTACTAGAAAACATCGATATTGTTGGATATAAGCGAACTATACTCAGTGATTTCGATCAATAATTCAAAAAGTGAGCATGAATTGATCTTTTGATAATCGGGAGCTAACAAATGGTCACACGACATGAAAGTGGACCACACTTTCTTTGTTTTTTATTGATCCAAATTCTTTTTCATATATTAAAAATCAATTATAAATGGAATAGACAAGCTAACTCGAGCTGCATTTTCTGCCAACATCCTATGGAAACAAGGGATCATTTGTTCTTCATATGCCCTTATTCCCATAGTGTCTGGCAGGAACTCGTCAAGGGCATTCTCCTTTCCCAGTTCACGGCAAACTGGAGGGATATTCTTAAGCTGACCACCGACAACAATCTTGGCAAGACGAAAACGTTTATTCTGAGGTACATCTTTCAGAACACCATTCACTCTATTTGGAGAGAAAGGAATAGTAGACGACACGGCGAAAAACCGGCTCCAAGCGAGAAGCTAACAAGAATGATAGATAAGAACATGAGAAACCGTTTCAGCACACTTAGGAGTGGAGGAGATTTGAAGTATGCGGAAGGCATTGAAGAGTGGTTTGCTTCAAGGCAAAATTGAGAATGACTACTTGTTCTTGGTTTTGGTTTTTTTTAAAAACAGTATGCATTAAGGTGTAAACATGTTTATTTTTTTCTTGAATATAATTTAACATTAAATTCAAAAAAAAAAAAAAAAATTAATTATAAATGCATCATTTTTACTTTTTATGATTAACAATTTTCATAACTCTAAATCTATAGTATTTAATTTTTAAGTCTACAATTCATTATTAATATCTAATTAAAATGAATTACAAACCTTAAATTTGTATTTTTTGCAGCAATTTTTTTCTCTTAAAATTTGGATTAATATATAAACAGAAGGAGTAAGTTTAAAAATTAAAAGAGAAAAGAAAAAGAAAAAAAAATTGAAACGGCGGAAGATATGTTGGCCGGGTCGTCGATCAAACACAAAAGCCACGATTAAAAACTATCCACTAAAATCATATCCGTGAACTTCTCTCCAAATAAAATCTCACTCTAAATGAAATAAACTCGTCTTAGCATTTTAATATTTATTTTTCATCCTTCTAGTGATATTCTACACATTTTTTTTATTTTGCCACTAAATAATGTTATGTGGATGTTCCACGAAGATTAAAACATGATTGATATGGCCATATGGGTGTCTGTGGCTGAATGTATGTATCAACCTTTGATCGATTCTACTTTTGAATTCTTTTACTATTGTTAAGTGTTTTCGATCGACTATTTCAAACTTTCGAATGATTATATATATAAAAACAGTATGCAAAAAATATCTAAGATATTTAACTCAATTATTGCTAAATAGATTCTGACCAGTGGAGCACATGGCTAAAAACTTATAATGTCGATGTTTGACAATTGACACATGACTCTCACTCAAATCTGGCTCCATCACATGTGATTTGGCTTTTTCCATCTACACACAATTTTAGACAATCAGCAAGAAAAGCTTAGGTTATCATTTGTTATTTACTTATGGAACAATATGAGTCATATGACATCATAACAGAATAATATTTTACCAAACTCCGACCAGACGGTTGAATTGATCATCTATGTTTTTCTTAAAGCTAAATAGTGCTTTTTGTGTTTCTTATATATGAAGTTATGAACAGATGATTTCTTATTAGGGGAACAGAGAAAATTAAATGGAGTTTTAGTTACATCTTAAAAAACAGGTATGATCTATAATCTATAGGTGTGATCTGAGGTAGTTCTATCTTCCGAAAAAAATCGACTACTTTGATATATAAACTCCATTCCAAAGTTTTACGATTACAAAAATCCCATGTCCGTTTTTTTTTAACATGTTGTTTACAAAAAATCTCATCATGTCATTTTGACATACATAAACTCACACATATACATAAAATAACGTAATGAAGTTGTACGTTGTACTCTATAATAATACACCCTTGAACGTTTTAAATATGTTCATAAATATATTAAAAAAAACAAACATACCAAAAATAAGGAAGTAAAAAAGAGCCACACCAACCTAGTGGTCCAAACGAGAACCATCGGTGGTCTTCGTCGGCGCAGGCGGTTGTTGACTTTGCTGTCCCGCCGGTGAACCAAATCTCAACATCTCCATCGGCTGCATCTAATCAAAAACCACACAACGTGTCAAATAAAACTACGTCGTTTAAACATTATTTGTGAACGGCGTCGTATTAATATAGTAACCTGCCTAACCCATAAAACATTGTACCAAAATCGTCGTTTAATACACACGGCGTCGTATTGGCCTTACCTGAGTCGCGGCCTGCATCTGTGGGAACCCACCGATGTACCTAGCAAACCGGTCGGAGATTATCTGGTTTTGTATCGGGTTCTGACAAACTAAACCGGGATTGTTCTGAATTGCAGACCGATCCATAACCGGAAATCGAGGTAACTGTACCGGACTCTGCATCTGACGTATGAACGGTGGAGGCTGAACTCCGGGGAACATCATCGGAGCCGCCGCCGCCGCAGCCATTCCACTCCCCATCCACATCACTTGAAGCTGTAACTGAAGTGATTTCAAATAATCTATGGCTTCTTCTAAAATCGAAGCTTTATCAGTCTGCAAAAACAAACCAATGAATAAATCAAACCTTCATATATGATTCACTTTTTGATTTGATTTATCAACTTACTTTACTGCAGTGAGGTATTAGTTCTTGCAGAGCCTTCATTCTCTCATTGATCCTATCTCTCCTCCTCTATTTGAGTTTAGAAAAGAAGAAAATAAAAACAGAGTTTTGTATCTGTTTTCTTTGTCTAGATGTTACTATATGATTTTCTAACATTAAACTATATATTATATATATAAACGAACCGATGAAGTACCCTTTCGGAGAGATTATGAACTTCAGCTGCTCGACTCCTTCGGTTTGATCCTGATCGTTGGTTCGACTTGTTACCGATTGCCTACAATACGAATTATATAAACAATCAAGAACTCTGAGAGATGGACCAAGATTACGTTTTCAAGAAGTTAGAATTAAAGGAAGCATACATCTGATAGAGATACAGAGTCATCAGTGTCCATTATATGTTTTCTCTTACGGTCTGTTGTGATGCTTCTTCCACAAGCCATTTCTTTGATATCCTTGCCAAAGCTGCAACCAGAGGAGCCACCTGATGAGGAACTTACGTTCGGGTTAAGCTTTTCTTCTATGTTTTTGCTTCGATCATGACTCATTGAGACATCGAAATCGTTTTGGGATGGGTTGCTCCCGCAATGGCTAGGTCCAATTGTCGTTACCGAGTACTGTTCCATTTCTGTTTCCCTAATTCCCGATGGCGAATTTGTTAACCTAAGTTTAGGAGGAGGCATGACTTGAGGAGGGTCAGGACAGGCCTTAGGCTTAACCATGACTTGAGGAGGGTTAGGCTTAACCGTCTCTGAGGTTGGTCTCTGGAGGGGATCGACGGTTGAGAAGAAGTGGGAGGAGAAGTCGTCGGTTTCGAATGGGTCTTCATCTGGAGGGTATTGGAGCCAAGACACAGTTTCTTGATCTTCAAGAAAGGTGTTGGATCTTAGGGCTCCTTCATGATGATCTTGTTTATGGGTTTGGGTTTGTTCTCTATGAGTTTGGCTCTGCAGAACCACTTGCCCATCACGCCATAACAACTCCACTAGTTCATCGTGTGGCCTAGACATAAATACACACACACAGACTATATTATATAGTTTTTTTTTAATGAATACATTGGATCAAAGATAACAATTATATAATACTACCTTATAGATCTTCTATTAGTGGACAAACTATAATTCTCCTCAAAACTCCAACCTTGGTGTTCCATGTCAGATCTCTGGAGACATTTCAAAAGAAGAAAAAACAAGTTTTTTTATTAACCTCAGAATATATTTTATACAAGTGAACAGAGCTAATGATAACTTATGATTAAGAGAAACACACGGAGGAGCATAAAGTCTGATTTTATTAATTCAGAGTCCCAATAGTTTATTCACTCTAATCATTATAGAATGATTTAAAAATAATTAAAATTGAAAGCAAGTCCATGAGTTAGTTATCTTGTTAAACATCTTTTTATATCCCAGCAATCTAGGAAAGCTTCAAAAATAGTTATTTCCAAATATAGCAACATCTTATAAAACCAAAGACCGTATAAAGAGTCTACACTAACCAGATTAGGAAAGCTTCTGGACGAATCAGAAGTTGAAGGAGAAGATCTCTCCTCTATCTCGTTTCTCTAACTCTAAAGAGACCAAGAAATTGTTGAGAAAACTCTCACAAAACATGAAAGAAACAAAGAAGAAGATGATAAGAGAGGTTCTTTACTTCTTTTGGGTACAGACAGAAAGTGACAGGAGCATAAAGATATTACAGCGAGGGAGATAATGATTCTCTAAGGACAACAGTACTGCAATCTTCTGAAATGAACGCCACGTGGCAAGTTCTGGGACATTGTGTTGGAATCAGTGGGACATACAAGTGAAGATCTCTCTCTTCTTCAAGCAATGAGATCTATTGCTTGATTTTTAGAGGTGGTTTCTTATCTGTACCTTATCTAGAAAAACTCTGAAAACAATGATTTGAGGGTGTTTTTGTCAAATCACAATCATCTATAGCTTTGTTTTTTGTCGATACCTTTCGCTAATATACCAAAATTTTCTTTTAACTTGACGTTTTGATCCATCAAGTCTTTGCTACAGTATGTGCCAAATTAAATTACGTGTTTGTTTGTTATCTACGATGTAAATAAATGATGATTTATTGTCCGAGTTCAATAGTCTCATTTAATTTTCAGGCCGGAGATCAACGATTTAATAATTTTCCATATCATAGTTGTTGTTTCATAGAGTTTTACATTACAGCAGAATCTTCTTATCGTTCACCTAAGAATTTGTGTGTGTGTGTGTGTGGTAACTTTGAAAAAGATCTAGTGGGTTCTTCGTTGATTCATTTCGTTTAAATAATGCAATTAATTCTGTTGTCGTAATAACAATTATTCGTGGACCATCGTGCCTTCCTGTAATGGACCATATCCCATACCGCGTCTCGAATTCTATTTCTAAAACCATCACATTAATTATACTTCATGCTAATTTTTCCTGAAATGTATATCATTAATTCTCTTAACTGCACATGAAGATTAAAATCTTGATTATTTTTCTAGCAAATGACTTCAAAATTTTATTCTGATATGGATTTCAAATTTTCAAGATTCAAATTGTGATAGCCAACATGAGATATAAACGGGAATTACAGAACAATGACGATCAAACTTTAACATGCATTTAATTAAGATTTTAGTTAACCAAAACAGAAAAGAAAAAAAGTTCATTTTGATACTATAGTCTTCAATTATTTGTATCAAGTTATTGGAAAACATTCACACGAATGATTTATTTTGGGAAACTTCAAATGTGTCTGGGAAACATTCACACGAATGATTTATTAGAAATTAGATTCTAGTAGAGAATTATATTTTAATTAAAAAGACAGTCTAACTAGCCTTTTATATTTTTTTGTCACTCATCCTAAAGCATACTCTGTCGCATGTCGAAAATTCGTCTGGGTGTACCGAATAGGCGAATACCGATTTGTGTAATAAGTTAGATTTTGTTTGAATAGTCAAATCTTCTTCTTGCACAGAAAAGAACAAATGTTGTTGAAAAACAAAAAATGTGACAAACAATAACAATAAGTTATTTATGGGCCTCTGAGTAAAGCTCAAAAAACTAAACTTAGTTATAAGAAAGAGGCCCAATATTACTAAAGAACAAAAGCAACAAAACCACTTTAGTAAGCAGTCGGCTGGTGGCGGCAGATTGGCGGCGGAGAGGAAGGAGAATCGACGACTAGTTGCGGCGGTTATAATCTCCGTTGCACTGTTTCTGTCGCTCCACCGCTTCCACCGACCTCATGATAATGCGCTAATTCATAAATGTAAATCAAAATGCCAAAGTTTCTTGCTGTCTTTCTAATTTTAGTTGTCTTTTATTTTTTCTTTGTTTAAGTATGAACATTCCTTTTTTAGAAACCTGATACTGATTGATACCATTCAATGTTTCTCTTCCTTTTTCATGTTGCAAAAATTCAAAAAAAGTTTATGGAGTTGAAATTATGGATATATATTATGTTCCTTTGACTCTCTTCCTTCTTTGAATATTTTGTTCTCTTCCCGAGAAGATTGGATGCGTACTAGTATTGTTGTGGCAACTTTTATTACTTGTTTTTATAATGAGTTTTTGTGATCATATTCAACAGTCAAAATCTGGACTTTGAATGTTATATAGATCAAATGGGTCACTTTCCCATTTGGCACAAGAGCTAAATCCTGGCTAAGTTATCGCCTGTCCCTCTTTGGTAGTTTATTTTGTTTGATATGTATTGTTTAATTTTTGTAATAACCAATAGACAAAAGGATAGAACTTTCTATTTAGTTAAGGCGGTGTGCAGAAATAGTCATGGCAAATAATCGAATCTCGAAGAACATTGTGTTTGCTAAGTTAAACATAGTTAATTAATTTATTTATGAAACGTATATTAGTCATGCGATCAAATAACTTTGTCGAGTCGACCAAACTTTTTTCTTGGACTATTTTACTAATCATTCCATCTATTTTTCTCTCTCGTAAGAAAATGTTAAGTGGAGTGGGTACTGACTAATTATGAGATCATGTAGGTGTCATCTTTACATGAGCATGATTTAATTTATACATATGTTCTACCAATTTCTGATCTACCAATGCTCTGATCGGCAACTATAAGAGTTGTTTTAAATAATAATTAGAAAATTGTGTCGTTAGTCAAGATAAAAGTATGTTGATAAAAATAAAAAGAGTATTGGTGTGGCAAAAATATGACTTAACAATTAATGTTCAATTTGTTTCTTTGTAATCAGTTATTATATCTTTGTAACTCTCTGTTTCGTTCATCCATGTTGGTTCCACTCTGTTGTGCTCTCCGAAGTTGATTTGTCTATGTTGATTGATCCAAAATAGTAGTAAATCAGAGTTGCTCTAACTAAGTACAGTTTGGAATGCAGTTGAAGGAATTGTTTTATTGATTTGGTCTACCATCTACGTTTGTGTTTGGCTCCCCGGCTATCAAACTAGTTTAATCAGTCTACAAAGGAGGCATATTAAAAGTTATCTTTTGGTTCCAATGAGAATCTTATTTTAATATCTTTTCAATATTTTGGAAAATTATAACATGGTCAAACCACGTGACTTCACCTATACGTATGTATTGAATTTACAGTTTATTGATAATCTGATGTAATTAGTGTATTATACGTAACAACTACCGATAACGACATGTTTGAATTTCAATTATATATTACATCATATAAAATTAGTTGCAATAAATGAGTTAATTAGTTTTCAATTCATTGTCCTAGACTTTTCTGCATAACATTCTAGCCCACCAATATCAAAATTATTAAACTATATATAAAACACTTTTTATTGTTTTGTTACATACTTTTAAGAAATATCTTTAAAACACAACCAAATAACATCAACTATAAGTTTAAAAGCAGAGTATCCGTGTCATTCAAACAAGACCTAAATAAGTTTAGGTTTTGAGGTTTCAGATTCTCTAGTTACATAAAACACACTAGTTAAGGGTGACAATAAATTATAGAAAACTATCGCATTCAAGATACAAATATTTTGTTATTAAATCACAAAGACCATAAGAAAGATGGATGAATTCATTCTTGTAAAAGAAATCTTTATTAAATAATACCCGTAAAAGATTTTAATACTTGGGAAAGTCTATTAGATCTTGTGTGCATAATAATAGTCAAAGTCATTCGTAATTGACCAAGCACCAATTAAACGGGCAGAGAAATAATCATTAAATAGATAAAGATTTACCTATATATATGCATAGAGAACTTTTTGTACAGAATGACTTGATTGGTGTTTAAAAGAGATCGATGTAGTGAAGATGAGTGGGGAAGGTAACTTGGGTAAGGATCATGAAGAAGATGAAGCACCACTTCCTGGATTCAGATTTCATCCGACGGACGAGGAACTTTTAGGGTACTATCTTCGAAGAAAAGTAGAGAACAAAACCATCAAACTCGAACTTATCAAACAGATCGATATCTATAAGTACGATCCTTGGGATCTTCCAAGTAAGTCTTTTTAATTATTTGATCATCCTTTTTTATAAAAATCAGCATCTTATGTTATGATCATTTCATAAAAAATAGCTGTTTTTATTTCCTTTTCTACTGATTATCAAGTAATTAGGGATGTCCAATTTGATCTTGTTCGAATCAAAACGATACCAAAAAATTATATCTGAGAAAACACGATCCAATTTTTAGTATCGAACCAAACCATAAAAATTTAGTTAAGAATCGATCTAAATTGTACCAAACAAAACCATAAATATCATAATCTGAAATGAAACACTATACTCTATACATATATGTATATATATTTGAAAGGAAAAAAAACTGGTTTTATAGGATACAAATTATACTTTCATATACTAAAAGATATGGGACCATCCATACGAAGATCATGTCAAATATCTTTATAAACGCATGTGTCTTTATCATTGCATGAAGATATAGAACACGTACTATGTCATGAAAGGCAAATTGTTACTATTAGGAGTTCTTGTGTTCTTTTTCTTAGTTTTCATTTTCTACTAATAATTTCCCACGAAATTAATATGAGCATTTACTGTGGATTTTATTAGGAGTGAGCAGCGTCGGAGAAAAGGAGTGGTACTTCTTCTGCATGAGAGGCAGGAAATACAGGAATAGCGTTAGACCAAACCGAGTCACCGGTTCTGGTTTCTGGAAAGCCACTGGTATCGATAAACCGGTTTACTCCAATCTTGACTGTGTTGGTCTCAAGAAATCTCTGGTTTACTATCTTGGTTCAGCCGGTAAAGGAACCAAAACCGATTGGATGATGCATGAATTCCGCCTCCCCTCCACCACAAAAACCGACTCTCCAGCTCAACAAGCAGTGAGTTGTTTTTTTTGAATCATTTAATTTTGTCATAACTAATCCAAATTGTTTTTTGAACAAATAACAAACCGGTATGCATCAGACTAACCCATCTTGTCTATTTTTAGTGAGACAAGTTTCTAATATTCGTGGTGTTAAATGCTTTAAAAAGTCAGTCACGAATGCACATTTCCATATAAGATAGAGCCACATCACATATTTTCTTTCCACAAAATGGACCCAACTTGTTAAAACTAGACCAGAGTAGACTTAAAAAAAAAAGAATCATGAGAGTCGTCTTTGAGATATGTGATAAAGTTCACGATAATCTCAACTTTGTTTCCTACACAACTGTTTTGTGGAATTCACATTAGGTCAAATGTGTTCATCTAGTAAAAAATTGATATCATTTGGTTTCATTCAACAAAATTATAGCCACTAGAAAATCATCAATTGGTTAATGTAGTTTCCGATAAACTTAAAAGTCATTCTAGCTAGTAACTATTGTTGTTCGAATCGGATTCTCTTAGTAAAATTGAGACTTTTTCTTTTCATTGGGTCAATGGCAATTAATAGACAGTTATGTTTTTTTTTTGAATTTTCTTTATAAAGTTTAAGTAATCATATCACAATATGAAAAAAATGCATCACGCATTCATAAATTGCTTTCAGATATTATTACAGTTGGAATTTAATTAAATGGGTGTGTCTTGTTTCCACAGGAGGTATGGACACTTTGCAGAATCTTCAAACGAGTCACATCTCAAAGAAACCCAACCATCGTACCACCAAACCGAAAACCGGTTATCACTTTAACCGACTCTTGTTCAAAGACCAGCAGCTTAGATTCCGACCACACGAGCCACCGTAGTATCGTAGAGCACTTGTCCCACGAGCCGCCGCTTCCTCAGCCACAGAATCCTTATTGGAACCAACATATGGTTGGTTTTAATCAACCGACATATACTTGTAATGATAATAACCTCTTGAGTTTCTGGAACGGCAACGGTGGAGATTTCATAGGAGACTCAGCAAGTTGGGATGAACTTAGATCTGTTATAGATGGCAACACTAAACCCTAGTAATAATTTTTCTTTTATCAGCTTTGTATAAAAGATAAAACAAACCATTGTTTTTTTTTTAAAGATAATAATTAATGATATATCTGTAATGAGTAATTACAGTTTTTATATTTTTGATCCATAGTTTGCATCATATGATAAAAGGAAGTAATGTATTTCTTCTCGACAAAAATAATAAAAATCATATCTAAGACGAAATTGCTAATAAAGAATTTTACCACGCTAGAGGAAAAGTTTTGTCTGATACTTCTTGCTCAAGAAACAAGTAATTTCTCTGTTCTTTTTCCATCTTTTTATTTGATCAATCCTCTGCACTCTTCACATCTATTCGAAGCTTAAATGTTCGAAATTGAATTTAACTATTGTACTGATAAAGAAATTATATAGGAATTCAGGATCAATGAAACAGATTCTTGAGATGCTTGAAGAAGTGATCAGAAACAATCTGATTAGTCTTCTCGGTCGGGTGAAATGCGTCCCAGAAAACGAACTTATTGGCATCACTGCAAGTTAACGGATTGTCCTGGCCGCAAAGAAATCCCATCTCGAACAATCCGGTACCGCAACAGGCAGAACTAGATATCTCTAGACCGTAAAGATTAGGTTTGGTAACAATATCCCACATGATATCGTAAGGATTAGCGAAATATATCTTTATTCCAGTAAGCTCTCTATTCAATTTCGTCACCAATCTTTTCAATCTCCCATTGAAATCGACAGCCAAATCATTATAACTCCGAGCACAGCTAAAAGGGTCGTCAAGATTCGTCACTCTCTCCAGCGGTAGACATCCCATAGGCGAGATTCCGGTGAAAGACATTTTCCGAGCTCCGAGTCTGTAAAGATCCTTTAAGAACACCTCGGCTATCTCGATCAGGAAGTCTTGGTACTGAGTGATGCTAAATTGAGATCTCCTGTCCGGTAATGTGTAGTAGTTCTCAAGGAAATCATTGGTTCCTATGCTGACTAAGTATAGAGATTCTCTGATGATTTTGGCAGCTCTCCGATGGCCGAGATAGGCGGAAAGGTTGCCTTGGTATTCCTTGAAGTACTCGACTTCTTTCCATAACGGAATCACGCCCTAAAAATATCAAACGAGAAAGTCATCTCGATGTTTCTTGTAATGCAAGAAACAATCGGAATTAGGTGTTTTTAGGTGAATGGTGGACTTACAAGCACATCGGCTGTGGAATTATCATAACCAGTGCCGGCGGAGGCAAAGCAAACTCCGGTAGCAAAATCAGAGATATTATAGGACGGATCAAGGTAGGCTGGTATGGTCGGTTTAAGGCCATAAGCCTCGGAAGTGAAATCTGAGGAGAGACGGCCATTACAAAAACGGCCGGTTGCGCGGCCACCCGGGAAGTCACGACCGTAAGGCTCGAAATTGGCTCTGGCCATTGTTGATATGAAGTTGTTATTGCCGGAATCTACCGAAGAGTCACCGAAGACTATAATCGCCGGGACTTTTGCTCCGGCGATGGAGACAAGAGTGATCAAAATAATGCATAATATTGATGGTGACAAATAATGTGTTGCCATGCCAACAACTTGTTTAGCATGCGGCGATGGTACCTAGGAATTTCATTCAGTATATATACATAACATGTAGTATTTAATAAACTAAAATATTAGATATGTACGAATTATTTTATATGAATTGGGTTAATTTCAGTGTACTATAAGTTATTCGAATTCGGTGGTATAGAATCAATTGTTTTGAACTTTTTATTAGGAACATAAGATTTAAGATATCTGATCTTTATTTCTTTATTTGAGTTTGTTTTTATTTTTTGGTTCATAATTAACCTCCATTTAAATTTGATTAAAGAACCGAAAATGAGACAGATTTGAAGTATTTATTGAATTAGAAGTTTGGTGGGTGTATGATCTAAAATGCATGCATGCTTAGTGCGCTCATTAACAGATATCTACCTAAAAAAGCAGTCATGTATATAAACTAAAATATGCATTTGTATTGGTAAAGTAAACACTATAGCTATTTTTTTCACAACCCTATACCACCAGATTCAAATTTGGTTGAATTCTAGTAGACGTGACAGTAATAGTATTAGTGAAACGCCACATGCCAACATCAATGCAAGGTGATAATTCTGTTATTGCTAGAACATAGGTACTGAGAAAACACAAATAAGTGAAATATGGAGAGGACAAAACAAAAGAAGAAATAGTGTGGAAGTGGTCGGTCGAAAAGGGGGTATTAAATTATGGTTATAGTGAGAAAAGTGGGTGGTGAGGTAATAAATGAAACGGCACATGTAGAAGAGATGTATAATTGTAGATTTTAATAATGTACGTAGTTCTGGTGGTTGCACCTCCACACTTATGATTTCTTCTGACCCCGTGAACCGCATGATTCCGTAACAATCATATAGGTGCATCAATTGTATTTTAAGAAAATTTTTGGTAGCTGTAGATAATTAGGTCAGACCGTTAATTAAGGTCAAGATCAAAGTTTAGAGATCATCTTAAAACCATCAATTACAAGGTTTGATTGGTGGTAACACTTTACTCATGCGATAGAGAGTTTCTTGTTTTAATAGTTAGTAACTCATAAAAACGAATGGGACTAAAAATGGTGTTTTTTTCTTCTATATCATAGGATTACTTATTATTTGATATTGTTTACCGTCTTTTCGTCAAAAACTTTTATAATTATTTGTGTCACCGATTAGGCTTATAGAAAAAATCGGACTCAGTATAGTCCCTTCGCTTTATGTAGAGTGTTTTACTTTGTATTTGTATTGATCGATTTGATCTCAATAGTTGTCTTAATGATTCATAATGCTTTAATCACATTAGAAAACAAGCAATTTTGCTAGTTTTACCACATTTTTAACGTCAAACAAATCGGCTACAATATGACATCACAATTTTTTTATTTTTTTTAAATTTGAAATGAAATATTAATTTACTAAACACATGTAGCGTTTGACAAAAAAAAACACATGTAGCGTTTGTTTATTGAATATGAAAAGTAGATTTGAAAGATAGACATGGAAATATATTGGAATTACGTGCACACTTAAAAATAAATGTTTGGTTGGGATTATAACAAATTGAATGCTAATCAGTTTGTTCATCACAATATGGTTAGGAATACGTTACACTTACACAGTATAACTCTGAAAGTCAAATTCGAATCTTTTGCTTTATTTACAAAAATACATCCAAGTAAAACAACATACTGTACATTTTTCTGAACTTGATCTTTTATTGATTTCATTTTATAAATAATCATTTTAGATTTTAAGCATTTAATTATTTAATAAACTACTTGATTCATATAAACATAAAAATTCTGAAAGGCAGCCTTTCATGAATTCCTCATTCTCCTAAGACTATTTTCTTTTTATGTGTGTAAAATATGAATGGTAGGAAAACAAAATTGACTAATATAGTAAAATAAAAATCTAATGAATATATGTCACTATTTTTTTTAGATCATATCTTATTTTATGATCATTTCTTTCAGAATAATTAATTAAAGTATTTGTGTTTACAATACAAGAATAGTGATGCAAAGAAAAATAATAATTTTCTACTTTCAAGTTTTCCAAAGATTTGGGGCATTTCCAACATAGGTTCTCTGTTCTTGTTTCCTCTATCCTTTTTATATAGAGAATTTGAATAACTGTTTATATGTGGGTTAGTCACAGTCAAACACACTTAGGGGGATGTATTGGAGTAAGGATTTTAGAAGAGTTTGATTTTTTACATAAATCACCTGTTATTCAACTAATAATTTTTAAATGTCTTTTCAAATCCCATGTTATTGAAATTAGAATTTATGTAAAATCATTCCAAATCATTTAAAACCCCTTGTTATTCAATCAATGATTTTTAAAACTCATATCAAATCCACTGTTATTGAAAAATTATCAAAAAATTTAAGAAAAGATTTTGAGAGAGATTTTAGGTGACTTTAGATACATTTTTAGTTGAAAGTAGTGGTAAAGAAAATCACAGCTTTATAGGTGTGATTTGGAGAGGTTTTAATTAAAATAAAAATAACTTCCTATAATAAAATTGTAAAACGCTATCGAAAGAATTGAAGATCCTATCTCCCTCCCTCCATCCCTGCAACTCCACCATAATCAAATTCATTCTCCAACATGAGCTTTTGAAATAAAAATTCGTAGATGGCCTCCTCTTCAAATAGTGAAAGTTGGAAGCTTTGCAGAAATTAAAGAGCTAATCAATTTCTTATACTGGCAATGGAACTATGGTTGTGTTGATTCTTCTACTCATTAGAAAATCAAATCAAACATTTAAACTCGTTCTCTCTATAATCAATCATGTCTAATTGTCAAAAGAGATGTGTTAATAAAAAGTTTTGGTCAATATGCTGAATCTGAATGATTCATAAAGATGTCAATAAAAAGCGATTTTCATTCTCATGTTAATGGCTAACATGCTGGAGAGTGCTGGGAAAGGGAAGCAACTCTCAGCTTTGATCTCTGGAACATCTTGTCTTCATCATTGTTTTTGTATGGTTTGTCGGCTTCCCTACACTTCTTTGTTTTGTCTTTTGACAAGGGTTAAAAAGAAGTATATGGTAATTTATGATAATTGTTTTATTTGATGGCAAAGTCACACGTAGAAATCCAAAATCTTCCATATTCAATATAATAAATCTCACCAAATCAATGATAATATATTCTAAAAACTCTCAAAATTTCCTTAAAATTCTCATAAATAACTCCAAATCTAAATTCCACCAACTCTCCTAAAATCCATAATTCAATACACCCCCCTTAGAAAGACTCTTCTACAGTCAATTAAAGTATAATAATCTATTTGATCTTTAAATTTAATTAAAAAGTCGCATTATAGATGTGGCTTTTGAGCTAATTATGTGACTATTGCTCAAGAGCCTATATACACAACAAAATCTAGTTAAATACAAAAATACGTATACAACTTAAACCTCGATGAGGCGTATTTAATCAAAAAATTAGTTGAATACTACTACTAAATTGGAAATTAGGTTGTTTTTTCATAGTAAAAGTTCGATTAAATAATTATTACCTGAAGTTTTACTTTTGTAGTACTACCAAATACTATTAAACGGGAAATTTCACATTTCAACGAAAACTACGAATTCGAAAAACAAACATAGTAAAGACTCCACATGTTTGAACCAGTCTCACTGAAGAGAAGACCACACCTACAAATATTCTCTTATTTCTTAAAATGTTTCCTGCGATTGTTTTCTTGTATTTCTTTTTTCTTGCTTTCTGGTATGATATGGCTTTCTGTCTCAGTCAAATAGATATCGAATAGTAATTTTAATTTAAAATGTATTTGATTTTCGATTCCATTGACTTTCTCAAAATCCTACTCTTTTTATGTTAGCTCCTCTTTTGTCCTTAAGAGGCTATAACTCTAATCACTCATAGGTCTCTCTTCTCTTTTCTTCCTTATTCTTGAATGGTTTTCTCAGTAACTTAATGTCGACCAAACTCAGTATAATTCTTGGCCTGATTTTGTTCTCTGTCTCACCATTTTCCGGCGACTGTAGAACTCTTTCCAGGAAACATGATCATAACTCTTCATCCCTTTACGGCTTTAATTCCCAAGATACGATGCGTTTCGGTTCTGTTTCTTCTTCCACAAGCAATGATTGCGGTTTCTCCTCCAAGGAACATGATCCTGCTAAGGAACATACCAGAGAATCGGTGAAGCTTCGTTTAAGGCGCAGGGAGATTAAACAAGAAAGAAAGAGAACCGCACATTCAGTTGTTGATCTTCAAATCCAAGACCTCACAAGAATTCAGACGCTTCATGCACGGTTTAAGAAACCGAAGAAACAGACAAACGAGAGGGTTAAGAAGAAGATTACCTCCGATATTTCTTTGGTGGGAGCTCCAGAAGCTTCACCGGGGAAGCTGATAGCAACACTTGAGTCCGGTATGACGCTTGGTTCTGGTGAATACTTCATCGACGTGCTTGTGGGAACACCACCCAAACACTTCTCATTGATTCTTGACACAGGGAGTGACTTAAACTGGCTCCAATGCCTTCCTTGCTACGACTGTTTCCACCAAAACGGTGCCTTTTATGACCCGAAAACGTCCACTTCATTCAAGAACATAACATGCAATGACCCTAGATGCAGCCTCATCTCATCACCCGATCCTCCAGTACAGTGCAAATCAGATAACCAATCATGCCCTTATTTCTATTGGTATGGAGACAGGTCAAACACAACTGGAGATTTCGCGGTTGAGACCTTCACCGTTAATCTCACGACCACTGAGGGAGGAAGCTCAGAGTACAAGTTGGAAAATATGATGTTTGGGTGTGGCCATTGGAACCGAGGTCTCTTCAGTGGTGCTTCAGGTCTGCTTGGGTTAGGAAGAGGGCCACTTTCGTTTTCTTCTCAGCTTCAGTCTCTCTATGGCCATTCCTTTTCCTACTGTCTTGTCGATAGAAACAGCGATACCAATGTAAGCAGCAAGTTGATATTTGGAGAAGACAAAGATTTGCTGAACCACACAAACCTGAATTTCACTTCTTTTGTGAACGGGAAGGGGAATTCTGTGGAGACATTTTACTATATACAGATCAAATCCATTCTAGTCGGCGGCGAAGCTCTGGATATACCTGAAGAAACATGGAATATATCATCAGATGGTGCTGGTGGAACCATCATTGATTCTGGGACAACCTTAAGCTATTTCGCAGAACCTGCATATGAGATCATAAAAAACAAGTTTGCAGAGAAAATGGAAGAGAACTACCCAGTGTTTAGAGATTTCCCGGTCCTTGATCCTTGCTTCAATGTATCTGGCATACAGGAGAACAACATCCATCTGCCGGAGCTCGGGATTGCATTTGCAGACGGCGCAGTTTGGAATTTCCCTGCTGAGAACTCCTTCATTTGGTTGAGTGAGGATTTGGTTTGCTTGGCAATTCTAGGAACTCCTAAATCTACATTCTCGATCATCGGAAACTACCAACAACAGAATTTCCATATACTCTATGATACAAAGAGGTCTAGGCTAGGGTTCACACCCACAAAGTGTGCGGACATATAACCTCATGTATTATAAACACAAAGTAACTGTACACAAGATAACACATGAAGAACCTATTTTCTTTTATTCTTTAGTGTAATCCTATTCAAACAACAAGTAACACATTGTACCAAGATTTCAAAGAAAAGATCAACCTATATTTATCATTGGACAATCTGATTTCTGATTACAAGCAACTCCTTCTGCTATATGCAATTGTATATAAATTCATACTTAAGGGAAGAGTTGAACATAGCCAGTTAAGATAGCAATAGCTAGAATGACCAAAGGCGGAAGGATTACAAAGGCGCCAATAGTAGCAAAGAAAACAGAATCATTCCTCTGAGAGACCTCATTAAGGTAGCTTTGTCTCTTAATGTTCCTTTTCTGAGAAATGGTTAAGAATTTAGGACTCACTTTCTTTAAGTTCTTGCCTAAGGGAATGGTGAAATCGTCGTCTCTGTCACCAACAAGTCCAGCCAATTGGTCACGAATTGTGATTCCTTTCGAGCCACCACCATCACTCAAGTACCCTGATGATTGATATAAACCCCAGGTGATTCTACGATTCTAATCAAAACACAATTCTAAGAGAAAAGAGCAAGTCATGTACCATCACTTGTTGAAGTTAGCTGTTCAAGGAGATCTAGTTGTGTGCGTACTGATGACGAAGAAGAAGAAGAACCTACAAGGAACCGAATTCGATGGTAATCAGAGCTCAAAAGATGAAACTTTCACATTTCTACTACATAGAAATCAAGCAAAAAGATCGAAACTTTTTTGGATCATGTACCGGAGAAAGAAGAAGAAGAAGAAGAATCGTTGTTGTTGTTGCTGGCAGTGACGCCGATTTCGCTCCGCTCAGAACGGACGCGTGTTGCTGAAGGAGAAGAGAGTTGCGGAAGGAGATGATGTCTCAGTTTGGATCGAGAGGAAGAAGATGGGTTTGAAATTGGGTGAAGAGAAGCGGAGAAGAAGTTCAAGGCCATGACATCAAAAGCTTGAAGCTTCCACTGCAAAATTCAATTTTCGTTGAGAGGTCAGGAAATTTTTCAAATATTTATTTTGAAAAATATAATTTTTATTTGTCGGGCCAAATTAAACTGCCTCAATTCGTGAATGAAGATGACTACACGTGTGAAGTGACGTGTAAAGCAAAAATGGGAAAAAAAAAACAACGACAAAAACAACGACTCCACTGGGGATCGAACCCAGAATCTCTGGTTTCGTAGACCAGCGCCTTATCCATTGGGCCATGGAGTCTTTCTTGTTAGTGGTATTCCTTATAAACTACTTGTATCAGACGTAAGCATCAACTAGTCCACAATATAGATGAAGACATATTTACATGAAGTTTTGTTTAAAGTTTTCCTGCTATGTCAAATTCCTACAATTAAAGCTGAGAAATTTGTCTCTTTGATTAAAGTAAGAGGAAAAAATATATGTAAATGTGTGGTTTAAGACTTTTTGTTTTTGTTGTTGTAAATGTGTGTCTTTTAATTTGGATACTTCTTTGATGTGTTGTTGATAATTAATGTTGGGTTTGATATATTATATATGATTCTTCACCTCAGTAACAGGTTGTTTATTAGAACTCTAAGCTTCTTTTTTAGCAGTAAATTGTTACATTTTTTTATATTTTAATTAAGTGTTGTTGTAGACGAAGATAAAAACATAGTACATGTTTTATTTTTTTGTATCTTTTTATGTGTGTTTCTTCACATAAATGTTTTAAAACGGAACTAGAAAAAATGTTTAATTATTGAGAATCGGAATTCGAAACTAAAACGGAAATAGAGAATGTGTTCATATGCTTATTGTTGTTGAGCTTTGAAACAAGTCGTAATTGTCGGTCTCCAAATAGCCGTTGTGAATGTTTATGTATTTTTGTGGTCAAGCAATGCAAAGCAGAAAAGTTTGAAAGCAGAAACGTGAAAATTGATGAATCACACGAAAGAAAAACTTTTCCTCTTTAATCCATCTTTATATCTTTACCTATAAAGTGTTACAAAAAGGAAACGCAATATACAAATACGAGTGTATACAGTATAGTATATACGACGACAATTGGATTTGCTTTCAATAATTATTTATATATTAAAATTTAAAAACACTAAAACTCTTCGAGTGAAGCTTACCTATATGTGACTTCTTTTATCTAATTTGTTTGCATTGTTTTTCTATATGTTTATGGAGTTCAAGTGTTTAATTATGCTAAATGATGAGATCGAAGAAAGTACACTTTTGAATGTATAAAATGGATACAACAATCAGAGTTTTCTGTTTTGGGATTCACCAATGTTTTGGAGTTTCGAACTCGCATACTTCTAGTGAGAATGCCTTGAGAATTCTAGATATGATGGCAGACAAATCAAAGGATTCAAGCAGTAGTTTTCAACTACGTTGTTTATAGTATAGTAGCTAAGTTCAATGTTAGTTGTTAGTTTATTGAATCTAATTCGTTTTCCATCTAACTCTATATCATATTTTTTGTACATCAATTAAATCGATTTGAAGTACTACTATTTTTGAATTTATGATCAGATTCTAACGACACTTGTCAACTTGCGCCATCACCCCATATGGGTTCATTATATATATCACTAGATGTTTTTTTTTTTTTTTTTTGTAAAAGGAAATTTGACATATGGGCGTCAATAATAGCATAACTAAATTGCACACATGGAGAAATAATATAAATCTAGTATCAATAATTTGATCAAGAGTAATCATTCTTTTCTGACGTTCCATCACATTTTCTCCCTCAAATCACATAATGTTTTTTTTTTAAAATACGAATCACAGAACTTTGGGAGAATAACACTTGAGGACGAATCTAGCTGAAAGGAGGTGTAAGACACGTGAGAAGCACGTGATCACATGGCAGCAACATCAATATTCAGTAAAATTGGCCATTCTTCCTCTGCAAAAACTTGGCCTTAGCCTGTAACCCCACCCACCATCAACCAATCACACAACGACCAACATGCTAGTGCAAACGTTTGTAGTATAAATTATTATGGACTTACCATATCCAAAATCATCTTTATTAAAACTTAAAATGAATATATGATTATGTTTAAAAGCTGATAAGATTTATTAATCTTTTGGCATAAAACTTTATCCAAAAGTTATGCTTCAAGTAAAGCCTCCATCAAAGGCTTTTAAATCTCTCTCTCATATGAATTCATTTTCTCCAAGAAAGGCACATTGGTTTCTTACATATGACTTATGAGTTGTAACATTCCCCAAAACAAATGACATAAATTTCTCTAAATGTACATTTGAATGCTATATATTATTCTCCTCGACCAAACTTATAATACCAATATATAAAGTCTTGAATAAGCTTATTAAATATTCAAAGTACAGAAAAATAAAATTGTAAATTTTGATAGAATCCAAAACTAGACATGTGAAAGGAAGAAAAAAAGGTATATTGAAGAGTGAGAATAATATTGACCTAAAAATTCCAAAGCCTGTGTTTGGGAATTCCCTCCCCTATCTATCTATCTCTATCCACTTCATTTTTTTTAATGAAATAATTTTTATTTATTTATAGATAACTAAAAATAAATTTTGTAAAAAATATCTTTTTTTATTATTATTATTATTCAAGTAGCTATAAATGTCACAGTTGACAAATCCACTGTCTTTGCTTTCCCTTCACTGCTCACTTCTTCTTCTCTCTCTTGTTTCCTCCATTGCAAACAAAGCTAAACCATTTTTCCACCAAACTATTTTTCTTTCTACCCATTAACCCATTACTGTGTAATTTTCATACACACACTTCCTTGTTATATTCACATTTTTTTGGCTTTTAACCATAACCCTGAATCGAGTTCCTTCTTCTGGGTTGATGAATTTAGCTCCATATCATTATTGGTACATCTATGCCAATTAATTAAAGTTACTCTTGTTTATTTCACTATCTTTCTTTCTTTGGTTTGCTTCAGAAACAGATAAAAAAAACAGAGCCTTTTTTCCTTTTCATTGTTTCTTCTGTTCTGTTCTAAGATGAAGATATAAATCAAAAGGGTTAAGCTTTTTAGTCTCTCTCCCTCCCAACATACTAAGGTAACTTCTTCATGCTTACCCTGAATGTTTTCTTTCGATGGCATTATGTGATTGATTCTCTGTAAATTGTCTCTTGCTTCAAAGTTAAGTGATGCTTTTTTCGATGATTTTTTTAAAGCCGAGATTCTCTTGTTTCTTCAAGCTCCCATCTTTTGTGGGGACACGTATTGCCCATAACTTGTTTGTTGATATGCCGATATTCTTACTTATACCAATGAAAGTGTGCGTATTTTTTTTCTTACTGTGTCTGTTAAGGTTTTCTTTTTTTATTGGATTTTTCCATTTGACATCAGATTGAGTTTTCTTCCATTGCTTCTACGGTTTCTGTGTTGGTTATGGCTAAATGTCAAATGAGAAGTGTGAAAGATTTCTTTTTAGTCCTTGTATGATGTATGCCAGTGTTTAAATGTGAGACAGTCATTTATTGTGTAGGTGGTTATAGTGAAGCTAGATACAGGACCAGAGATGTCACCTGAGAGTTCTTTAAACGCTGAAATGTCCAAGAAGATATCATTTTTTGGTTTAAAGGGGTTGAAGTTGTGGGTATGGGTATGTTTGGTAGTTGGAGTATTCATTGTTATGATTCTCTGCATCTTGTCTCTATGGATCACATTCCGCCGGAAATCTAGAAGATCTTCAAGCAAGTTTCCTTTCAACCAAATACCACATGTGTCCAAAGATATCAGAGTCGACAGGGCTGGGTTTCAGAATCCTCACCCTGAAAGTTTATATATAGAAATGAATGATAAATCCACCGGAAAAACGATGATGTCTCACTTGGGAAGAACCAAGTCTAGTGATAATGATACTTTGAGTCAGTGTAGCTCTGTGAATCACCATGAGAGAACTTGTAGTTCTCATTCTGGTGAAGAAGGAGGCTTTGGAAGTGCTGGCAGACAGTATGGAGGAGGACCTGTAACAGCATCTCCTTTGGTTGGTTTACCAGAAATATCCCATCTTGGTTGGGGACACTGGTTTACTCTTAGGGATCTTGAGCTAGCTACCAACCGTTTTGCTGCAGTGAATGTGCTTGGAGAGGGTGGTTATGGAGTAGTTTATAGGGGTAAACTTGTTAATGGTACCGAGGTTGCAGTAAAGAAGCTTCTGAACAATCTGTAAGTTTTCAACTAGTATATGTAATGTTTGTGAATACTATGTTTCCTTTCTTTAATAATCCTTTTCCAATATTGGTCTTTAGAGGGCAAGCTGAGAAGGAATTTCGCGTAGAAGTTGAGGCTATTGGTCATGTACGACACAAGAACCTTGTTAGGCTTTTAGGATATTGCATAGAGGGAGTTCATCGGTGAGTCTCACTTTTCTTTTATCATTTTGAACGTACTTCTACTGCTGGAGCAAAATGATCGTACTGTATCTAAATATGATGATGAATGCAGGATGCTTGTTTATGAGTATGTTAATAGTGGTAACTTAGAACAATGGCTACATGGAGCAATGCGGCAGCATGGAAATCTCACTTGGGAGGCACGGATGAAGATCATTACCGGTACTGCACAAGCGTAAGTGGTTTAAAACAGTTTAGCTTTTGTTGGGTATGTTCAATGCTTGAATATTAAAAGGGTCTGCAATTTGTACAACTTTACAGGCTTGCTTACTTACATGAAGCAATAGAACCAAAAGTGGTCCACAGAGACATAAAAGCAAGTAATATATTGATTGATGATGAGTTTAATGCAAAACTCTCTGACTTTGGGTTAGCCAAGCTCTTAGACTCGGGTGAGAGTCACATCACTACCAGAGTCATGGGTACCTTTGGGTAAAGTCCAAAACTTTGTACCCTCCTTAGGCCATTATGGTTATTATTATCTTCTCAGATGATGTCCTTACAAAGAAATCATTGGTGTTTTTTTTTTGTTATTGTTTTCAGATATGTAGCACCAGAATATGCTAATACAGGTCTTTTAAACGAAAAGAGCGATATATATAGCTTTGGTGTCTTGCTTCTTGAAGCTGTAACTGGTCGAGATCCAGTTGATTATGGACGTCCTGCTAATGAGGTGAGGCTTAGTTACTTTGTCTTGCTTTTGTTAACGTATCGAAAAAAGTTATATATATTGAATGGGTTTGTATATTGGCAGGTGAATCTTGTTGAATGGCTAAAGATGATGGTTGGAACAAGAAGAGCAGAGGAAGTTGTGGATCCAAGACTTGAACCTAGACCTAGTAAAAGTGCTTTGAAACGTGCACTTTTGGTTTCCCTTAGATGTGTTGATCCTGAAGCACAGAAACGTCCTAGAATGAGTCAGATTGCTCGGATGCTTGAATCCGATGAACACCCTTTTCACAAGGTATATAATGGTCCAAAGCTGTAAATATTGTTATATCTATGTTTCTGTATTCATAAAGCAAACAAAATCTTCTTGTTTTGGCAGGAGAGGAGGAACAGAAAGAGCAGAACCGCGAGCATGGAGATTGTTGAGACCAAAGACGAATCTCTTGGACCTAGCGGTGCAGAGACTCACATTACAAAGCCTGAGAAGACTTGTGAATAAGAAATAGATGAGGCGCAAAAGCCATTAGACCCGGCTCAGTAGCATATTCAAGTCTTGAAATGCTCTGTTTCTACTTAGCAACTAATTGATTGATTGATGATCACACACGTTTGGTTGTGGAAAGTTGGGGACACAGGAAATCTTACTCAGATGATCAAAAGAGCCTGTGGAGTGATGATGACTGATACAAATCTTAGGAGGCATTATTTTTCTTTTTCTAATATTTATATTTTTTTGGCTAATTATTCCTGTCTTCTTGTCTGTACGGAACGTTTGTCAGTCAAAGACATGTGTTTAAGATTTCTGTGACGTAAGAAAGAGAGATGTCTTTGTAGTAAATCTAAGGATTGATGACGGAAGCAGAAACAGAGTATGAGGACAAAAGAAAGAGACAAAACTAAGTTCAATTATAATGGCTATTGGCTAAGCTTAAAGCTCCTCCTATAAGAATCCTTATTATTTCCTTATTACAAAAACCACGATATATCAGAATGTGAAAACTTTCTTGAACGAGGACAAAAGGATACAGAATTGAATTATCAAAACAATAATTTAAGTCTTAACGTCCATAAAAACCACTAAGCTTTTCTTGCATATCTGTCAAATGTTGCGTCGTATTTGTCGTATTGTTTTTGTGATTCTCTCACTTTTCTCACATCATTAAAATAAGTTGAATTAGATTCTTTGTCACGTTCCCATCACGTGGCCAGTTAAAAGCTACAACAGTAATTCTCTTTTGCTTTGCATACTTATCAGATACATTAATTGTATGAGAGAACCAAATTTTATTGGTTTAGATACTCACGATATAATGTATTTTTAAAAGAGCCATTGCATAAAATTACAACATAACCTAATCGACCACGTAAGAACAAGTCATGAAATAATTTCTTCTATTGAAGAAGCATGAGAAATAAAAATATTACAAGGCCTAGCCTAAGTTTTTTTTTTAGCGTAGTGGATAACAAGGAAAATGGTTTTCAAACCAATTGATCAGACAGGCCCAAAGGCCCATTTCTGAGATGAAATTTGAAACTTTTAGTTGTAGCTTTTCAAAGGAAAATGGTTTTGGAACCAATTGGTATAGTTTTCGACGTTTTCAAAATTTAACACTTAAACTAATTTTTAAAAATTAATTGTGAAATTAAAATGGTTTTGGTTAAAAGCATTATTTTCAAAGTTTTAAGAGTTAAATTTTTTTAAAATTTTAATGAAAATCATTATCAATTTTTAAAAATGAATTTAAGTGTTAAATCTATATTACGTGAAAACATGCCGAACTTCGAACACCAAAGCTTACGGACCAACGAAGGACATGATGCATATGCGCAGTTAGGTTTCGACATTTTTAAAATTTAACACTTAAATTAATTTTTAAAAAGTAATAGTGAATTTAAAATGATTTTGGTTTCTTTCATGTTAGTATGAGAGAGCTTTGGATTGACTTGAAGGTCCTATGTACGTTGGACCTTGAGAACCAAAGTAGGAGTAGTATCTGCACAAAATTACGTTTAGAATCAATAATAAACAACAAATACATATTCAACCGCCGGTACAACACTTACAAAGAAGTTCTCTTAATCCTTGCAAGAGGTCAAAGGATCCATCTTTGGACCTGCAATCCTACAGCTCGTTCAACTCTCAGTGCACAACACCATGAAAGAAGAAGAAGCAAGCTTTTAAATTGTGTTCCATTACTTTGTGGGTTGTTGCAGCCAATGTTGGCTCCTCCTAATGCAGAACCAGTTTATGGAGCAGATTCTGAGAACTTGATTCATACAACAGACGCGGTTGACATCAGGCTACCATTGCTAGTCCATGTTTCGAGATCTTTCCCCTTATCCGCGTAATGTGCATTTTAGGCCGGTGGCAGTTTCTAAGAATGGGAATCTTTACTTGCATGACAATGAAAAGAGGTTGTTGAAATACTATCCAAAGACTAACCTCCTTCGTTGCATCTCTAAAGACACTTGGGTCATATCCCCTATAGTTGAGAATTTGCTTCCACTTAGCCCTCCCAAGACGAATTTCGGGTACCGATCAAGATCTCAGGAGCATGACCACATGCCGGGCTCGCGGATTTCCAAATTTCTTAGCAGAATCCAACCGGGGATCCCAACTATACTGTTTACAACCACTCTAGTGTCTCAAGTTGTTTACCGCTATTTTGTTGTTTCTTCTAGGTCTTCTTGAATCTTGATGTTGTATAGGTGTTGTCGTGTTGATATTGTTTTATCCTTGCTGAATATTGTTCTTTGTAAGTACTCATTATATATAAGAAAGTAAGAACTTTTTTGAAACATTTAAGAACTTATTAATGATTTTCTAAGATAGTCGACATGTTACAATTTACAATCATAAACCGGATTGATTTCATTCCAAGAGAACGTAACCATTCGGGTCATGGACTATCATTCTACTACTACTAGTCGTACGTTCTCTGTTCTGAGGAACTTTTTTGCAGACCTGAGCGTGAGACTCAGCTTCTCGTTGAAACTTCTTTACCATTTCGTCAAGCTCTAGTTTCCTAGTCTCCACATTCTCTTCTGCCACTGGCTCCTTGAGTCCAAGGTAGAGTAAAGCAGCGACCACCAGCACAAAACCTGAGAAGAAGAGAACCGCTGAGAAAAGCACAAAGGCGTGTGGAAAATCTTTAGCTCCTGGTATCCCATCTACGTTGATTCCAAATAGACCGGTCACTATTGTAAGCAAAAGACCGACTCCTCCAAAGATTCCTAGGTTGTGTGTGACCGTGAGGCTCCGGTCCTAAGCAAACCAAATTAAATTTTAGACGACTTGGAGAGTTAAGAACTTATGTCATCATCTCCGAATATGAAAATCTAACCTGTAACCATGCTCGAACCGTGTTTTGCATGACGTCTTGGATAGTGAATAACCGACCACGAACGGCTTCTTGCTCATTGAACATATCGCGGGTGCTCTTTTTTATTCCTTCTAGCAAGTCTTTTGTTCTATTGCCTTTTAGTTTCTGAAGAAGCTCGAACACAATCTCTTCTCTAGCATGAAGCGACCATTTCACCCGTATAACCTGATAAATGATGAAGAAAAAAATATTGTAGTGATTATAAAGTCACTTGTATGAAGAAATGAATAACATTATTCCAGATGAGCTGATCTCATCTCGTAGTCGAATAAGATAGCCTTACCTGGGTCGAGAGCCTTCTGATCTCTTGATTCAAGATTGTAGTGAACAGATTTAAATCCTCGTACAGTCTCCTGGATATCAACAAAAACAATTTATTCTGCTCCATCAAACATTTGTCAAGGAGCTGCTTAGAAAGAAAATACCAAAGGATGAGAAGGCTCAGTTGAATGGCTCAGTTGAATTACTTGTTCATAAACATCAACTCAACTTCATCAGCTGCACCAAATACATATTTCCGGAATAGCCTACATTAAGGATACTGATATCATCAATCATCATAGGGTTAAATCCAGAGGATGAAAAGAATAAAAAGGTTCTTATATCTGACTAAACAGATAACTGGTATAAAACTGTCATCTAGTACGGTAACATGATACAACTTGTATCTTTCAACATTTGACTCCCATCTTTCAAACTCTAAGACTAAGATAAGACATATTGGTTCTATCAAAGCAATACTAAGGCTTGACAAGTTCATTGGCTACACCGTATAGACAAGGTAAATGTGTATCCATAGCTAAAGGCTTGCATAATGAATACTAAACTTCCCCAATATACAAATTTTTAGAACTTAATCTACATCAAGGTTCAAGGGAAGACAAATACCTATCATCCCAGCGTGCAAGGCGGCATGCAAGATGTGCTATTAGTTCATGAACGGTTCTCGGAATGCAGGCTCCACCAGCAATAAGTATTTCCTGGTAAGACAGAGTGCATCAGCTTAGACAAAAAAGACATAGAAGAAGCCCCAAAAGACTGAAAAACCTGATTTGACTAATTGACCAACGAATGAAGGAAAACAATATTTCAGATGAGAAGAACAAACCTGGACTTCTGTAATACCTAACACACTAATGTTCAAGGCAAAGCCTTTGACGTGCAATGCAGTCACCAGAAAATTCTGTGCTTGCCATGACCTTAAGACAATAGGTATGTCATCTTCTTGGATAAAAGGATCACCCGCTGATTGTCCCAACAGCTCAAACAGCAGCCCACCAGCAACTCTGACAGGCACCTATCCACCAACATATAACAAGTTTCATCCATTCCAGCTATAGAATCATAGCACAGTCCACATTACAGAGAAGCAACATAACTCAGATAATTTTACCTCATAGAAAATATGTTTCATTCGTTCACTAATCAGCTTGCTTTCGTCCCGGAGAGCAAGGCTTACCGCAGGATGTAACCACTGCGCATTACGCAACCACGAGGCAATCCCTTGATGGCTAGCATCTACATGACACCACCATGTTGGACCAGCAAGTGGTCGTTCCCAGTAAGGAGCAGCAAGCTCAGCAACAGTGGCTTCATCCTCATCTAAGTCAATCTTTCGCAATTCCCAATTATTATCAACTTGCACAGTCTTAACAAGCTCAGAGATCCTATCCCATCCAATTCCTCGCCAATAACTCCTCGAGTGGTCTTCTTCTTCACCAGCACCAAATTTGTCTGATTCACATTCCTGTTTCTTTCTATCACAACAACAACAACACTGTTCATTGATTAAAAACTCTACAAGAAAAAAAAAGAGACTAAGCACTATTATTAACAAGTTAGTAACAATCATCATACATTCTGAGAGACGAATTCCCATGAACACTTGTGTTGTTCTTACGACGACCTTGACAGAACTCAAAAGCACAGATAAGTCCATTGGTCCAGAGATTATGGTAACCTGGATTACCGTTGTTGTGATTCGCATTCATACTTCAACCAATTTCACTTTCAAATCACAGATTTCGTCGATTCACTGAATCAAAAACAGCAAAGTCTCGAAATTTCAGGCTGAGATTAAACGTAAGGCCATCACGAACCACGGAATTCAAACGCAACAAGCTTCCCCAGACCTTCCCTAAGTTTCAGCACCGCTGAGAATCAATCTCTCTCAAGCAGTCAAGCTGAAGAAATGTGGCACACGACACGAGTCGATGACGACAAGTCAAAGGCCAAGAACAAACCACACGTGTACATTTATTGGATCTTCTCTATTATGGGCCCAAGTTAAAAGCCCAATACGAAGTCGAGAGATACAGAGCAGTAACTCATTTTTTTCTTGTTCTCAAACTCTCAGTCAGTATTTAATTTAGATTTGGTCCCAAAAAGGGTATAAATTTGGTTGTAAATAGAGCTACAAGATGTTTAAACATTATTATGAATCTCTCTGTTAAAGAAGACAATTGTCATGAATCTATTACATAATCATCTGTTGAGAAGTAGGCTGCCAGAAAGTTTTTTTTGCAAAATAATTTGTTTAACTATTAATCACAATTTTGGTGACAACTTAACCATCTCCTACTCTTCACAATCATTCTTTTGGTGTCTCTACCATTTAATAATTCACCAAAATCTCCTTACTTAAACTCACAACCTCCTCACAAGTTTTCTGAATCTTTCAGTTGAACATATAAACAATCATAACAATGGCGGGAGGTACAGCTCTAACTCCAACCTCTGTAGGATCCAAGTCAGTTCCAATGAGGAACCATGAAGCAGCAGAGAGAGGCAATAACAACAACAACAACCTGAAAGCATTACCCAAAGCGGTCCAACCGGTTTCATCAATCGAAGGAGAGATGGCTAAGAGGCCACGTGGCAGACCTGCTGGCTCCAAGAACAAACCCAAACCACCAATCATTGTGACTCACGACAGTCCAAATTCCCTCAGAGCTAACGCCATTGAGATCAGCTCAGGTTGTGACATCTGTGAGACTTTATCGGATTTTGCAAGAAGGAAACAGAGAGGTCTCTGCATACTCAGCGCCAATGGTTGTGTCACAAATGTGACTTTAAGGCAACCAGCTTCATCAGGAGCAATTGTGACATTACACGGACGTTACGAGATCCTCTCATTGCTTGGATCAATCTTGCCTCCACCAGCACCACTTGGAATAACGGGTCTGACCATTTACTTAGCCGGACCTCAAGGACAAGTTGTTGGTGGAGGAGTGGTTGGTGGGCTAATCGCGTCTGGTCCTGTTGTTCTCATGGCTGCATCTTTCATGAATGCTGTTTTTGATCGTCTTCCTATGGATGATGATGAAGCTGCCTCTATGCAGAACCAGCAGTACTACCAGAATGGAAGATCCCGTCCTTTAGATGACATTCATGGACTGCCTCAAAATCTGCTCACTAATGGAAACTCGGCTTCTGATATCTACTCTTGGGGGCCTGCGCAGCGTGCCATGTCGAAACCTTAATACTACTCTCTAATCTCCACGTTTCATCATATCAAGTGCCTTAGTCTTATTATCTAATTTACCTTGGAATCAAAGATCAATGTTTCTGTAGGTAGAGAGAATTATAAGTTTGGTTAAAACTGAAGCTTATCTTCCTCTGTAGTTTGTACCTGCAACAGTAAAATGAAGAAACTGAGAAAAACACAAGTAAAGTTTATGAATTTTAAGCACAATCCTATAATTTAATACGAATAATATGTGAAACTTTTCTCCTTTCACCTCACGGAAAACTTAGTAGATAAACCACAAATGCATTGAAACCTCGAATGATAAACTAACCTTCAAGCACATGTAGACGGACTTCCAAACGACTTTTCTGGATTTGGATCAATAACTTCTGCATTTCCACATTCTCGATGAAGTTTTCTTTTGAAAGATTCTGTTTAGGACGCTTTCCTGTAATGATCACACACAACAGAGGCACTATACGTGGTCAGTTTAAACTGCAAAGCATGCCATGGCATTTATTAGAGATAAAGACATATAATCATGCCTGTTATAAATTTCAATAGTTGGTTCTACACATGCATAGGCCTTAACTACCTCTCCAAGCAATGATATAAATACATGCAAATGTACATGATAGACAACAAAGCATCATCATCAAATATTATCATCACCAGTTTCTCCATTTATTATTCTATACCAAAAAGCAAGAAATTTATCAGAAAATGAAGACGAAGATGTTAATAACCCTCTTTGCACTTATTTCAGTAGCAGGAACATCAGAAGCGACTGGTAGACTTGCTGCACAGCAGAACACAAGCATTATACCTACATACTCACTCTGGTGCGTGGAAAATCCATATGCCTACTTTACAAAAGTGATTTGGAACCTAAAATGGGCTTGCAAAAATGGTGCTGATTGCTCACCATTGGCAAACGGTGGCCGTTGTCAAGACCTTGACTCTTACAGAAGCCGAGCTTCTTATGTCTTCAATGATTATTACCAGAAGAATCCTATACCGAAAAACTGCGATTTCAGTGGCGCTGCTGTGCTTACAATTCACGACCCAAGTAATTCCAAACACTTCACATTCGAAAAAATAAAACCAACCTCTGATCAAAATCACTAGAGTTCCATTGTGATAGTGTCTGCACGTCAGAACTGATTTTTCACAATCATCTTCAATTTGTGATTGTTCTTCAACTTATATCTGTGAACTTTGATTGCAGGCACTCCAACGTGTAAGTTTCCATCTAACAGGTGAGCACAAGATTCATTTTATTTTTTTCATTTTGTTAATCTTAAGGAAGAAAAACACAGTAGATAATTCATATAAATCAATTTCAGCACTGGTCCATACCCACTGACTTCTTCAGTAAAAAGAACTGCAACTCCAAACCTAGGAAGCTTCTTGTGGGGTCTTGTATTCACATTCCTGGCTTATAGTGCTGCTCAGATAGCTTGACCTGGAAGAAACCTGTGGAATAGGACAATCAAGGTGTGGTTTTAAGAGAAGAAATATTTTGTATATGAACTATGTATAAATAACAATATGATAAATCAGTATAATACCTAAAATGATATCTTTCGCTACATCTCCAAAACTATGAAATTGCTTATTTCTCTGCCAGATAAGTGAAACCAATCCTAGTTGTCGCATCAAACAATGTAGCGAAACCTGATTTAATTGTAGAGACATCCCAGTTTAAGATACCGAGTAAACTGTAAATCTCTGTGGATTTAGGATGTTTTTTCCCACAAGATACAAACTCATGAACTTCAAAATCCACTTCAATCGAACTGCAGCCAACTTCTTTCTCCATTTGTCTTTCCTTCATCAAAAGCCTCTGCTCAACAGCCTCTTCGAACAAGCCAGAAGAAGCATAAGCATTAGACATGAGCACATAACCACAAGTTTCATCTGGATCCAGATTCTTCAAACAGTTTGCTGCGCGTTGAGCCATCTCAACATTACCGTTTTTCCTGCAAGCTGCAAGCAAAGAACTCCATATAATAGCGTCTTCTTCCACCGGCATCTTCTTTATCAATGCTTCTGCTTCATCGAGGAGCCCTGCTCCCCCCAGCACATTAACCATGCAAGTGTAGTGTTTTATTGATGGCTCAATCATATATTTTTCTCTCATCAATCTGAAAAATTCACCAGCTTTATGTACTTCCCCGGAGTGAGCACAAGCTGTTAAAACACCAATGAAGCTGACTGAATCTGGCTCCAAGCCAGTACGCTCTAACTCCAAGAACAAATCCATGGCCCTTTCCCCGCATCCATTATTAGCTAGACCAAGAATCATCGAATTCCAACACGATAACTGCTTCGTAGGAGCACACTCAAACACCTTTAAACCTTCCTCAAAGCACCCACACTTACAGTACATATCTATGAGTGCAGTAATAACTATACTATTCAATTCAAATCGATTCCTCACTATATACTCATGTATCCATCTCCCTTGCTCACTTGCTCCAAGGTAGGCACAAGCATTCAACAGACTCACCATTGTAAACCCATCAGGTTTCACACCTCTCTCCTGCATTTCTCGAAACATATCCAACGCATCCTTAAATCTACCATTCCTCACAAACCCACTGATCATCGAATTCCAAGAAACTCCATTCCTCTGCGGCATTTCATCAAACAGTTTCTGCGCCTGATCAATCAATCCACATTTCGCAAGACCCATAATCATCGAATTCCAAGCAACAACATCAAAACCCATCACCCCTACAAAAATTCTCCAAGCTTCAACCAAACATCCACAAGTCACGTACATATGCAACATCGTATTCCGTATAAATGAGTCATCTTCAAGTCCCTCTTTAATAACTCTCCCGTGCAATTGCCTCCCATCACGAGCTAGCCCAAGTCTAGCATAAGCTTTGAATACCGAAGGATAAGTCAACCTCTGTGGCTTCACTGACGGAGAAGAACACAGCATATCGATGAAAATCAAAATCGCCATCTCTGGAAACGAGCTCCGTGAGAAACCACGGATTATAGTGTTCCACACAAATGGGTTCTTGTAATTGATCCTTGTGAATACCAAATAAGCGTAACTCATGTCTGACGGAGACGCACAGCAGAAGGCGAGGACACGACTCGCGGCAACAGTATCGGAAATTAAACCGGTTTTGATGAGATTGGCTTGTATTTGCTTAAGTTCTCTCATCGTACTACATTGTGTGTCTATCAACCGGAGACAAGTGTTTCCGGAGACGGAACTTGATGACGGAATCGCCGGCACCGTCACACCGGAGAAGCATAAGATCGTCGGAGACATATTTACCGCCGAATCTTTGTCGATTTAAGTTTAAAAGGTTGGCTTTTTATGGGGAAAAAAACTTATCCTTTTTGGGAGATGATTTACACACGTGTGTAAATTATCGCCATTGACATAGAATCATAGACAATGAACAAGACAACCACACGTGTTTAGTTTTTTTTTTTTTTTGAACTTAACGATTCAATTCATTGCAAAAGAAGATCAATCAACAAGAACAGATACAAGGTTTCAACAATCTGTCTAGTTATTTCAGCAAAAGTGATATGATTATTTCATAAATTGATCATCTAGAGCACATCTCTTAAAGAGTACAAGTACAAGGCAAAACCAGCAAAGAACCAGGCTTTATCTCTATTGCTTCAAATCTGCAGAGCATCAGCAATGGATCCGGCGAGGCTCAAGACTTCGAAAGGAGCTTTGTTTCCTATGGCCTTAACCGTCTGTGGACAAGAATCCGTGATCCAGAAGTAAGCAAACGCTTCTTCCAATCCTAATTCAAAGAAACAATAATATAGACTTCAGTTTAAAGATACAACAAGATATGTATAGCACAGTGAACAAAGTCGGTTACTTTTTCTTCCATTTTCACAGATAATTACCGTTGTTCTTGTGGGTGAAACGCTCCCACGAGCTCTTTGGGAAGACACCATGAGTTACATAAGCACTCACCTTCGCGGCTCCATGAGCTGCCAATACTTTCTGTGTGACAAAAGAAGGTGAAACGGTTAAGATGAGTGAAACCGCCAAAGTCTAGACAATTTCAAACTAGATTCTCAACAAATCTAATATAACATCATCGGCAGATTTAAGAGATAACAAAGATCTCGATCAAAACTAGTCTGAACTAGGAATGTTAACACAATTCTGCGTGAAAGGCTTTAACAAGTTTGACATAAAGCCTCTCCTGAGTTTTAACACAACACTTGTGATTCAGAATTCATTGAAGATTGCTATAGGAAGATGCAAAACACAGGGAGACTGTAGTTCATGAGGATTTTGATACCTGGCATTCAATGAGTGTACCCCCAGACTGAACAAGATCATCCACGATAACAACGTGACAACCAGCGGGGTTTCCTTCCTTCAGCCTAACTATTCTCTTGTCGCCTTCACGAACCTTTGTACACACAACCTATTATGATTCAAAATTGAGTTCCATTAGATATTGTGAGGGTCATAAAGATGTTTAAATGAAGCTTAATCAAATATCAATTTTAGATAGCTACAAACCGTGGGATACTGATCCAACAACTTGTGGAAACGCTTCCAGGCTCCATCATCTGGAAATGCAACTATGACCTGTAAACAGAAGAAATCCAATTTAGCTGAGGGAGAAAAAAACACAAAGAACAGTCACTGAAAACAAGAATGGATGCTATCAGTAACAGTTTTTCCCCATCTATATAGGATAAAACTAACAATGAGTTCATGAACTAACTTTCTCAGTCTCAGGAAGTTGTTGAAGACGTTTCGTCAACAACGGTATTCCAGTCTCAAACAAAGGAAGAACCTGGTCAGCAAAGTAAAACCTTTCCTGCAACACAAGAACATGTATAGAGAGTGATGAACCTGAATTCCACAAATAGATGTAGAAAATCTCGGAAATATTAGAAATACATAAACAAACCTGCAGGGCGTGAATGTCATAGATGACAACGCTAGTCGGACCACCACGTGAAATGGGGATATTAGAGACAATCCTTGCCATGGTAAAAGCAGTTGCTACATCACCTTCCTCTTCCATTCTCTCAAAGGAGCCAGTCGGGAAGAAAGGCAACACCAAAGTGAAGGACGCAACAAACAAGCGCGGGAGCAAGTAAATGACAGAGATCTGCTCAAAGATAACCGCAGGAGAACTGAATGAAGCAAGGAAAGCAACGTGCTGTCCTCTGATTTCATGTGCGTTGTTAATAAACAGATTAGGGAATCCATCAGCAAAACTCCTGAAAGCATATATAACAAATGTCACATCAATTCACATATCCGCAGCATAACAAATGACCACATCAATTCACATCTATGAATCACCAAACACTATCCAATCAGAGATTGATTTAACAGTAAGAGAAAAAGGGAACTTAAAACACTTAAATTGCAATATTCTTGAATACATAAGCCTCAAATCAAACAACCACACAAGCAAAACACAGATTCTGGAGCAGAACAACAAAAAGGAGTTTTGTTTCAGAATAAAGATATGATTTTTACTTAACCTAAACTCACATAAACCCATTAAACATCATTCAGAAACTCAAAAAAGAGAACCCAGAAAATGAGGAAAGAGAGAAAAACCTCCAGTTGATGGATTGAAGAGTGATGTGATCAGATTCGGCGGCGATGTTGCGAGCAAGTTCTTCACACTCTAAGCAGTAAAAGAGATGAACTTTCTTCTTCTGTAATTCAGACACGATGGCGTCTGTACAAATCTTGGTCTCCATGATGTTCTTGGCTGCGTTCTCAGACATTGACGCCGTGAAAGAGTCCGTATGTGTTTGCTACGGAATCGGATACACAAAACAAAAAAGGGTTTAAAGGTTTTTATTTTTCTGAAAAGCCCTTTTTTTTTTATTGTTCGGCTGACAATTTTGATTCCTTACACTTTAGTTCTGTACCCCAAATCTATAAATGATTCTTTAATTTATTTTCAAATAAAAATAAAACTATACTCACTATCACTGAAATTCTCCTCGAAATTTCACTAATGTTGTCATTATTTCCAATATTGAATATTTTCAAAACTTCAAACCTACAAAAGAAGAATCTCAGTATCAAAAACTCTGATCAATATCTGGAACCTGTAAAAGCTGGGTTTTTCACTCTCTTTTTAACAACTAAAAGTATTTGCCGTGAGTATAAAAACTAACAATAGAGATTATTTCTTGATAGTTACTTGCTAGATATTAACAAATATATAGATTCAGGTTTTCCTTTTCATAATTTCATTATCGCTATGAATGACAATAGATTTTTAATTGGTTTTTAGTTTTTAGATTTTGGTTTTTGGCTTTTGGTTTTTGTTTTTTTGCTGTAGTTGAAAAATGAAATAAATCTAGTTGAAAAAAAAACTTTCCATAGAAACCTCAAAATCATTGTTTTACTTTCTCTTTGAAATTTAGAGAAACCACTCAAAAACTAGTTTTCCTAAATTTTAAGGAATCTAATTTTTTAAAAATCTTGAATAATGAAAAAATAGATTTTCAAAGAAACAAAAACCAAAAATAATAAACATTCAAGGCCATATACAAAAAAAAAAAAAAGTTTCGTTGCATTATTATCATAAGTCAAACTTTTTATTTTGCCTTCTTAAATGGCATGAACCAACGCAATTAGTCATACATTCGGAAAGAGTAACATTTCACTAGATAATTCTGCCTTAATTTTCTTTAAAGTGAGAAATTTAATTTGAAAAGTGGTTAATCTTGGAGACTTGGACCAAGAAATAGTGAACGTAACACAGAAATCCAATCCAATATTATTTGAGGTCGCTATCAGCTCCCGGTTTGAAATACTGCCTCAAAACCTTGATTAGTGTGACACTGACACTTAAATAAATAAATATAAATAGGCCCCTAGGTCCTAATCTTACTCTTGTTGGACAAGGCCTTGGGTCTATTTGATATAACAAAATCAAAAGTTTCCACTCACCAAAATTGGGCTCCAATAGACTAAATTTCTTTTATTTACTCGAGAGGGAAAAACAAATAATTTTCTGAGGATAAATAAAGAAGTTGAATTATACACATTGAATTATGACATGGAGCCATGTGTGCTACAATAAGACAGCATGAGAACCAATCATGTTCATCTCTCAATTATCAATCCACTGTCGTCCATCTTAAGCTCACGCAACACACCCTTGCGTGAACCACACGCACCACTCGAAGCAAGATCCACCGTCCGATCATCCCACCTAAGTCTCATCCCATGGTTCAACCGTCGGATGAACCCTTCCCTACGTCGTTCACAGTAATCCAAGAAGCTAACCACAGACACAGACTTAGAAGACTCCTTATCCTTCCAATGTCCACCTAACTCATCAAAACTACGTTGTTTTCGGCTCTCCACAACCAGATACTCCACCATGCCGGCTACAAGCTCCGGCGAAGCTCCTGACTCGTCTCCCCATAGCCATATCCTAACCATAGAACGTCGCAATGCAGATTCCACGGCGTTGCTAAACTTACTTCTTTCCATTAAAGATGAGCTTAATCTGATCACATACTCTCCATGACTTGCACCTGAAGTTACCGAGAACCTATCTACTCTATCACTGCTGTTTCCACAGAATCGGACGGTAACATGGTTTACAGGCTTCCGGAGACGATGAGGAACACCCTCGTAGAGAAACCTCTCCACAAAGAAGCTAGTATCGAGCAAAATCCGCACTGCAGTATCATCAGATTCAAAGAAAAGGGCGAATCGTTTTCCAGAAGGAGAATCTTTAGCATCGTTGATGATACTTATGGAGAAACCTTTTGAAGCCTCATGGTTTGCCCACAAAGAGATTGCTCCGACGAGAAGTAGAGAGAAAAGCCGCAGAATAATACCTGAATCCGATTCCGATGCTAAGCCTTTGGTGGTGGGTTTGCCTAGGAAAGGTTGTAGAAAAGTCTGATCCGCCATTGAAACCATGGATAGATGTCTACATAGAAAGAGATGTGTAACGGTTTTGTAATGCTAACTAATTGAGACAAAGACTTATAACGAATCTGTTGTACAACTAAATACTGATCATGTCTTTCACATGGACAGGATAATGTACACGCAAGAGAATGTTATATACACATTACTGATATAGAGAAGTTTCCGAATATAAAGTATACAACGTATTGTACTAATAGGGATGTTTCTTTAATCGGTTGTTTCGAGTGAAGTAATCCCTAAAAACTGGTTACTTTGTTCCGTGGAAAAACAAGCCTTAATACTGTACATTCTGTTTCTTCCACAACAGCGCCAGATCTGTACACTTAGTTTACCTTTGATGGTGAGTTAGAGTTCCCAACTACTGGTTTTAGTGGGGATTTAAGAGGACTCTTCTTGGAGTTACTGTTCTCCCTCGATAAGATCCGTTGTGTAAGACCAATCTGAATCAGGCGCGGTTATGTTCCAAATGCTTGAAAATAGTTGCTCCTGTATGATCCATAAATACAAGGTGAAATCGGTGGACAAATCTGAGACACTGCATATGCAATTTGAATCCATGTACCAAAAACAAAACATAAACGAGAATTTTGTATCCGATAAACATACGGGATCATTGGCGCCTTGACCCTCATCATGGTAGGAGACTTCCGGAAACAATTGCTTTTCTTCCTTCATAGAACTTGGAGTCTGCATGTATGACGCAAGAGCAGACTTTCCTTGGATCTCTGCATATGCCAATGAAGCAACTTTCCCACTGTTGAATTTCTCCCATATTTTACCACTGAAAGTCTGCAGAAACACACATTATGAATATCTTTTAACTATAACAATCTCAAGCCATTGAATCAGATAATTACCATATCCACAATACATGGTCAACGTCATGACTATAGTAAACAGCAGTTTTTAAAAGACTAGTGAAAAGAAAAGGTAAAAACCTGTTGGAAGGGAACGATGTGCAATGGAGAGACCATGTTGATAAAAGCGTGACCCATGTTGCACTTATTCTGTATCCAGGAAAAATCTAGATCGTTAGTAAGTTCTCAGGTCATACAAAAGCATCATGAGTTCACTCTCTCTAGTATAGTACCTTAAAGTCTGTCGGCAAGCATAGAAAGTCATAGTCTCCCTTGTGCTTTTCGTCAATTTCAGCCACCAGCATCTTGTAAGTGTACCTTACAAAACAAAGCATTTGAGATTTTAACATTGCCTGAAGATCTTAGATTGGGATCAATAAAACGCTTACTTGTTTGGGATGTTATTAATGATTAATGTAGTCCGGATTTCATCTCCACTAGCAATCCTATCCAAGTCGATATGATATCTCCCACCATCTATGAACTGATTCTGGCTGTGAGTCTCGTGGTTATGGATCCTACCCTGGTCAGCAAAAGGTTCAGGCCTTACTGATTGTAATCCTCTACTCCCACCGAAAGGAACTGTAGGCAGTGAAGACATTCCAAAGCCAGTGAAATCCTGTTCACTTCGGTTTCCCGGTAGACTAACACCAAGGTTTGCTTTTCCATGAGCATTGATATAGTTTCTGTTGATTCCCATATCACCAAATCCAAGGGGTATCTCTGGTGATCCCGGGTAGCAATTCATTTGGGTATTAACATGAATGCTTGAGGGAGCAGAGCCCACATGATGCTGGTATTTTCCAAGCAATGAAGCTTGCCTCTCAGAAAATGGAAAACCTTGCCTGACAGTGAAAGGACGTTCAGTAGATGACGATGACGATGACACTCCAGTGTAACCAGGATAATTCATATGCTGGGGAGGGCTTCCCCAGCGATAGCGGTGATCAGATGAAGTCCCAAATCCTGAGTGTGGAGCTATAAATCTCATGGAGTTGGAAATTCCCCCTGTTATATGCTCTGGCAAAGAATGAGGTTGCCCATAGGAAATGTTGTGCATCAATCCCTTATTCAGAATAGTTTGGTTTGGATGATTCAATAGCCCTTGGTCATTACTGACTGGTGAAAATCCATGAAAGCTAGAGGGATGAGCAGGAAGAATTGAAGCAAGTCCCGGCATATTATCTGAGTTAACTGGCCTGACCATTCCTAGACCATGTGGCCTCGTAAAGGCATGCGAAGGAGAGCCCTTCACTGGGCTGCCAATTGGCCAGTTACCTGTGAAGTAGATTGAATGAATTCCGGAAAAGGCATGCTAACCAATAGAGAGAAAATGTTGATAAAAGAAATGATCAATATGAGATTACCTGGTGGAGAATTAGCAACATGTGAACCTACTTGATTGTAGAAATTTGTAACTTCGTTTCTGTCCAAATCTTGACTTTGTGACGGGACCGACCTGCATACAAACAGTTTCAGTTCACTGTGTATGCAAGATAACTCAATTTTTTGACATATACAAAGTGCAGACAACTCACAGTCGACGAGCCCCTCCAGGACGACTAAGTTCGAGCTTTATACATTTTCCACCTATCTCGCTTCTATTCAGTGCTTTCAAGGCTGTCTCTGCATCTCTAACATCATAGTACTCAATGAACCTGTGGAATCGCCTGTTCGGGGTTTCTCTAATCTGCATTTACAAGTCGAGAATCAATAGTAGGTGATATGATACATTAGATACCAAACAAAGAGAAGAATGTCTTAGAAGTAAAGATAAACCATTGCATAGCATATGCATATTTGAATGCACAAGTTAACCTGACAAACAGAAATTACCTCTCTTATTTCACCATAGGCACCGAACAGCTGAAGGAGCTCGTCGTTCGATACTGTTGTGTCCACATTAAAAATCACTAGAGTTCCTTGATTCATATCCTTCTCTGATGGATTTTCCTATCATGTGGCAGTAAACTGCTGATGAGAAAAGTACTAAAGAAAAGCTGAAACTTCAAATGAAGAATATTTCTCGTAGTCCATACTTTAGGAATGGAAAAGTGAATGTCTAGTGTCCTTTTTCTTAAGAGTGTATTCTGTAGTGCACGCATTGCGGCATGAGCAGCTCGAATATCGTAGTAGGATATCATTACAAAACCCCTGCTTTTGCATGCAGTATACAAACTTCTGATCTCCCCAAAGGGCTGGTGACAAATAAAAATCACATCAGCAAGAGCAAGCAAGCCTCATATATTAAATGATTTAAGGCTAATAATAATACCACGAGAAAAAATGGAAGCAAACAAGTGTTCATTACCTCAAAAAGGGCGCTTAACTCAGAATCCTCAACACTGCTGTTGATATTCCTCACAAATAATGTCCTTGAAGGATGTTCACCGTTCGGATGTTCCACTGAAACTCTACCAGCCGTATTGGGACGTTTACGAGGAACAAATGCATTTGCAGCACCGCGATCAGAAATCTGCATCCCTGACGTATCAACAGCATGATTATCTTGGGATTCAACATCCAACTCCATACCCCCTCCTGTGCAAAAGACATCACACTCTTCAAGATCTTCATCAGGCAACCCGGTAAAATTAAGCTCATCAATGAGACCAGGAAGGAGCTCATTTTCATCCTCAGGCAGCAAGATTTCTAAAGAATCGGGCTCAACATCTTCCAAAGAATCCTTCTCTGAGTTTCCTATGCCAAGTTTATTCAAATTGGGTGAACTATCATCAAAGGAGAGCCAACTATCTGAATCAGTCATATTCACTGCAAGTTTTTCCAAAACAAAAATATATTAGCACTGACTTCAAGTAAACCAAGAGCTATAATGAATCATTGATCACTAAAAGAAGCTAGAAACATACGCTTTTCATGAAAAAGTGTGGGCAATGAGCTTGAGAACATGCTGAGATCACTTGCAGAAGGATATCCACTCCCTCCATTAAAAGCTTCAGATGATCTACTCAGCAAAGATGGCATGTCTAGAATTGACATAGCCAAATAAATTACATATCAAAAAATTTGTGAGAAAAAAAAACTGTAAATTCAATCAAAGCAAGAAAGAATCTATTCATACCAGCAGATAGTGATTTCTTGGGTTCTAGCTCCATCTTTTTGCCTTGTGCAACTGCATATATGAATGAATCAATCAATATCAAAGACCTTCAAGTTGATTTCTGATTAGTTCTCGATCACAAGCTACTGATGTTTTTCCTAGTCCAGACATAAACAGAGAAGAAGAAAATCGAAGCAAAACCATGAAACATATCAGTTGGTCAACTCGATGAATAGAAAATTTCACTAGAGAAACTTTTGCTGCTTGTGACGAGAAAACATCATCATCTGAAACAGAATCATCTGTGCAATAAACTCAAATCAAAGCTTAAAACAAGTCAAAAACCGAGTCGATGATCCGTGAATTCCACGAGACCAAAGAGTATCACCATCAGTTTTGACTTTTGAGTAAAAACCCAGAACAGTCACAATCACAATCAAACTACATGAAGCAGTCAAACAAATAAGGAATACTAAATCTCATATGAATAATAACAAATAAACAAACCGATTTGCAGAAATTTCATGGAAGAAAGAAGTTAGTAGTACCTGCGATGATGGAGGAAACCATGAACAGAAAAAGCTTTGAGTAGTCGGATCAAACTGAAACAAGGAAGAGAATCGGAGAAGCAAAAGAGAGAAGAAGAGAAGAGAAAGAGGGAAGAGCTAATGTTTCGTAGAAGAAGAGGAATTTATTGCTTACACTCTTCCTCCTCCTCTCTTCCGTTGCCGGGAAATTACACAACGAGCAACGCTTACCCCAAATAAAAAAAAAAAACTGAGAGAGAGAGAGACAAATTAATTATTTTATTTAAGAAGTAATTAAAATTAGAATAAGTAATCCTACTTAATTAGAGTCTATAATTTTTGAAATTCATTTTTTTTTTTCGGCCCAACCGTTGACACGAACCTAAACCAGCTTTGATGGACACAGATAATTTGTTTTAAACTCTTAAAAAAAAAAATATTGACATGTACTATGTTATTATTTTTACACGAATCTATCTATATGTCCTATGGTCATATGTTTCTTACACGAATTTTATTCATCCATTACATGAAACTTTTTTCAACACTTATAACAATTCATCTATATAGTAAAAAGTTGAGAAAGTTGAACAATATTTCCTCCAAAACTATAAACCAGTAAATTTAATTGAAGTACTTTAAATAATCAAATAATTAAATTATTGGTATATATAACGTTATGGGCCGAATCAACATATGGGCCTTAATTACATGTTAAAAAAATCAGTATTATTTTGGTCTAAATATGTCGGAACTTATCCTATACTATTATTTGGGGAGTACACTTTATAAGATATCCTTAACTAACCTTCCCTTTTATAAAAATTTACTTAATAATGCCATTACAAAAATCTTTTTTAGAACAAATTTCATTCAATTTATTAAGGATAAACAAGTAAAATACTAATTTATGTCATTTAATTAATTTAATTAAATTATAAAACGAAAATCTGTTATTTTTTTTTAAATGACCAATCAAAATGAACATATAAGATTTGATATCTAACTTACCATATTAATTTGTTATTAATCATTAAACTTCACCTCTCATCTTAATATGATTATATTAATATCAAACAAATAAATCATCATATCATCTACATAATTAAAGAAAAAAGCAATTTTTTTTCTGCATATGCCAAGATTTGAATTTTTAAAAACGCATATAAATTGTTCAATCTATAAAGGAAACAATTAAACGGGTCAAAAATTCAGACTTGAGTAATATATTTCTTTTACACAAAAATAAAGTCAACAAAAATTCCGACTGAGCAACGGGTCAGAATTTGAATATTTATATTCGATTTCATACATTTATTTTTTTGAAATGTATAATTTTATATACTACAATAAAAATTTAAATATTTTAATTTGCAACATTTAAAATAAGTTTTACTTGATATTTTTAGAGAATATCATCAATACTTAATAGTTCAAAAAGTTAAAAATTATAAATACTCTAATTTGATTATTTTTAAAAATATTTATAATAGGTAGCGGGTTAAATATATTATATTATATGATAAAATGAGTTTCGATCCTTATAACTATTTGAATAGTTATATTTAATTTCATATAATTTGTTTTTTGAAATTCATAATTTTATAAACTACAAAACAAAATTAAAGATTTTAATTTGGAATATATAAAAATAGTGTAGAACATTTAAATATGGTTTGACACCTCTAAATATTTGAAAATTTGATTCCGCAAGCAATTTTAGAATTAACGAATAAGAGATTGTGCACGCAATATTTTAAAATGAAATATTGAGATTCTAAAATAAAAATATAGACTCCACGCACGGGTTGATTTTGGTATTATTATATACTAAATATATGTTTATAACATATTCGATTATGCGAATAATTGGTAAATTCCGTAATTATAAATCTCAAACAAATTCGGTAATTAGATTAGCTCAAACAAATCTCTATTTCAACAACCAAAGAATTATAAATTGAAAAATAATTTTCTAAATTAATTCAAAATAATAGCTAATTTTCTTAATTAATTCAAAATAATCTATGTTATATATGCGATTCATTTATGATATTTTAATTTTTGATCTAACTGAAATATATGCAATCCTATTTTGTGGTTGTTAACATAAATTAACTCATTGTTCAAAAAATATTACTTTTTAAAAAATAAAATTATTTTCCGTTTTCATATCTTAAAAAAAAAAATATCCATAATTGAGTATTATAGAAAAAATTCTATATTTATTCTAATATTGTATATAGGGACTGACAAAAAAATTAATACTTTTTCACTTACTATTATAATATATTAAAACTTAGTTCTAATATATATATTATATAAATTTTGATAAATAAAATTTAACCCGTACTAAAGTACGGGTGATGATCTAGTTTTGACATATAGTAGTATGTAATAGTTGGGGACAAGGTCAATAAGGATGCAACATTCGATGAGAAACATGTCCTTAACAAATATAGTCTGATTATACTCAACTTTAATTGTCAAAGATTCATGTCTCGCATTATATTATGATCAACTTTTAAGAACAAATTCTAGGAAGGACAAAAAAAGTCACAAATACATTTATGATGCAAATCAGAAATATACTTTGAGTTGTTACATTATTTAAAAAACTTTTAACAATAAAAAATTAAAAACATCACTTAAAATGAAACAAAATAATCTTTTTTTTCCTATAAATATAAAAATTAATTAAAAAATCAAAAATAAAACATAATCACATTGAAAAATAAGTTTTTCACAAAAACCTCAAATTCATAGTTTTTAGTTTCTCTTTGAAACTGGGAGAAACCACTCAAAAACTAGTTTTCTTAAATTTTAGAGAATCTAATTTTTGTAAATCTAGAATGGTGAAAAAATATATTTTCCCATAAACAAAAACCAAAAACCACTTAAAAACTAGTAACCATTCAAGGCCTATATTTTTTAGGCTGACAAAATATAAGCAAACATATAAATAAGCAAAAATTAAGCAAAACATGGGTAAAGTATAAGCACATGTACAATTTGGTGTAATGTTTTATAGTATTTTATCTGCGATATGAAACAAATTTTAGTGTAATTAAGAGCAGATTAACAAAAAGAAATCAAGAAAACGAAATGTATAAAATCTACTGCATCAATAATTGGTCTGTATGTATGATCTTGCCAAGGTGATGAGCTCAAGAAGTAGGAAGAGGCGAAGAAACACCATCATCTCTCTTCAGATCTGTTGAGGGTTGAGTCTCTGATTGATTCTGCAATTAAGAATAAGAAGATGATGAATAAGAAGAAGAAGAGACGAGACAGTCGAAGAGAAAGGAAAGTCAAGAGAATTTGTGTTTTGAAGCAAACTTACCAAAAACTAAGAACTATAACAAGATCTAAAGCTATTTTCTTGGGTCTGTAACTTAAGAAGTTTGGTCTCTCTTCTCTCTCTCTCTCTCCCTCTCTATCTCTCGATAGAATTAATATATTCTTTCGTTCGGTCATTTCAAGCTAGCCTTTTAGGGCAAAATATGTGGTCATATGTTTCTTACACGAATTTTATTCATCCATTACATGAAACTTTTTTCAAGACTTGTAACAATTCATCTATATAGTAAAAAGTTGAGAAAGTTGAACAATATTTCCTCCAAAACTATAAACCAGAAAACTTAATTGAAGTACTTTAAATAATCAAATAATTAAATTGTTGGTATATATAACGTTATGGGCCGAATCAACATATGGGCCTTAATTACATGTTAAAAAAATCAGTATTATTTTGGTCTAAATATGTCGGAACTTATTTTGACATATAGTATGTGATAGTTGGGGGCAAGGTCAACAAGGATGAGAACACATGTCCTTAACAAATATAGTCTGATTATACTCAACTTTAATTGTCAAAGATTCATGTCTCGCATTATATTATGATCAACTTTTAAAAACAAATTCTAGGAAGGACAAAAAAGTCACAAATACATTTATGATGCAAATCAGAAATATACTTTGAGTTGTTACATTATTTAAAAAACTTTTGCTGTCTTTGAATGACTTTTAAAAATGTAAACCGAATAGATAAAATTGATCACATTTAGTTAGTATTACTTCTTCTGACATGCTCACATTTATTATCTAGTCAAATTTAGTTGAAAAATAATCAAGTTTAAGTCAAAAGTCACATAAATTTTTACTAGTATGTGATTTATATCATACCTAATTATCATTTCAATATTTCCAACAATATATTTTGCAATAAACTCTTGCATTATATTTGATATATTCAGTTATAGTACTCCTTCATTTTTAAGTGATGTTAAGATTTTTGCCCTCAAGTTAAGAAATGACAAAAATTTCATTTAATTTAAATCTTTTACATAAAAAAAAACATCATTAACTACAATTAATTCAACCAATCAAATTATAGGCCTATTATGAATCAAATTGGCCTATACACATGTACAATTTGGTGTAATGTTTTATAGTATTGTATCTACAATATGAATCAAATTTTATTGTAACTATGAGCAGATTTACAAAAAGAAATCAAGAAAACGAAATGTATAAAATCTACTGCATCAATAATTGGTCTGTATGTATGATCTTTAACGTTTCATATTTTTGGTTTTGTGAGTTTTTTTTTTTTCTTTCAGTGTTGAGTATTAAAGAAGAAACCTATGGGAAGAAGACATAAACAGTCTATGACACACACACTCTCTCCTCTTCTCCTCCGTTGATTCGTTTCACGAGCGCTCTCTCTTTCACCAGTTTAGAGCATAAGATTCCCTGCGTCAGTTAAGTGGTTACAGTCCATTTAGGGCAAAATGGTTGTGTGTATAGGTTTTCATAGAGAAGACTGTTAATTTTTTCCACTTACTGTAAAATAAAAACAGAGGAGAAAAATTGAAACTTCCCAAGAAAACTAGTCCTATAAATTAAACTCTTCACGAAAACAAAAACATAAAAAATCATAGAACCTAGCTATGGGTATCACAAAAACCTCTGTAACTGTTTTTCTTGTAATAATGTTGACAATTTCGTTTTCTTATTACAATGTTGTGGCCGAGTCAGGTATGTTGTTTCTTTGAGAAGTTGTTTATATTTTTTTGTTATTTTTCAACTTTCTTTGATCACTCTCAAATCAATAATTCAGAATTTTTTTTCTCTTAAAAATATAGAATTAGTAATAGAATATTACATGTATGTGTGTATATATGTATATGTGTATGTTGTTAAGAACTTTGAAGAAAATAAAACTGTTATGTGGACATGTATCTACAGATTTATAAATTTAATGTGGAGTTGTATATATGTGCAGTGATCGAGCCAGCAAAATATGGTCCTTGCACGTTTATATGTGATAATAGACGGGATAATTTTGCATGCTTCAGTGACTGTCTGAGCGATATTTACCCGGATGGTGGTCATTGTGTTGGGAATCCTGCACGTTGTTGTTGTATCAGAAAATAATAATCGATTATTTCCATCAGTAATTGGTGAATTGAGCTTGAGTTATGCGTTTCTAGCTAATATATGATTCTAAAAGACAACTTTTAAAATTGTTGTTTTTTAATTTCTTAATAATGAAATAAAACATAGAATTTTTGGTATTGCGTTATGATTTTTTGGCAGAGTTTAATAATTAAAAAATGAAAATCTCATGTTGTTCAAATCATGTTAAATGAACACAGAATTTACAGTAATGTAATTAAAATTTTGGTGATCCACTTATTTACATGCCGAGGAGAAACCAACAATTAATAGGTAAACCAATTTAATTTTGAGGTAGTAACTTTTCTCCAACTTGATTTTGAGGTAAACCAATTTTATTTGTTTTCCGTCAAGGTAAACCAAGTTATCGAGTTTTATTTTAGTTTTGAATGTGTATAGTCAAAAATAAACAAATGACTAAAATACCCTTTTTAAAACTTGAAGAATTTTCGGAAGTAGCTTTTGTAGACATTACTCCTCCTAATTGGGCAACCAATCTAGGAGTTATTAATGTGTGGTTGACAAAAAAAAAAAAAAAAAAAAAAAAAAAAAAAAAAAAACTGAGATTTTTAGGGTTCTTCACTCCCCCCATTCACCTTCTTCTTCCTCTCGCCGGATTGTTTCAGGTATATGTTGCAATTGCCGTCCCTCTCTCGATCTCGCTCTCGCTCTCGCTCTATTTCGAAACTAGTTGTTTAGATGTCTCGGGATTTTGATCGAATTTTGGTGCTTTATCAAATCATATGGTGATGGATCTTTCTCCAATCTGTTTATAATAAGGCGTGTCCACTAGTTCTTCAGATTCACCTTGTATAAGCCTTGTCACTTTCCTGGTTTCATATTCTCTTTTTATAGGATTTGAAGGAAGCAATTGTGAAATGACTTGGATTTGTTCTTGGGTGGTAGTCGTTACTATGTTTGATGGATTCATAGTTAACTCTTAGATACAATGATGCAGGAAATAGCCATAGGAGTTAGGACTCAACAGAGAACATTTTCTGTCTCTAGAGAACATTGGTAAGCCTTTGCATCAAAAACGTTGATGAATTGATAGATCTTGATTAGGTATTTTCTTGAAAAAACTTTAGTTGATACTAAAGACACAAAAGGTATCATCTGTTAGAAAGTAATTGGTTTGGTCAATTTCTTGAAAAACTCTTGCACTCGAACGTGTTTAAATTAGTAAGCTTTGTGATGGTGAGTAATCCGTTGAATAATGAACTCTTGCTATCATATAAATCATGAAGAAATAAGTCACTATTTAGTTGACCAGTCTTCTCAAACTTTGTTAGCTAAGTGATAACCCATGTACGAGATGAGATTCGTATGCATATAATAGACCTAGAGAGACGACAGACGAAATCAGTCAAAGCATTATATTTTTCAAATTTGTGTCTCGTTGTTGTTGCATTTGTTTGGAATTTTTATTATCTTTTCATAAGACTTTCCTAGTCAAATTACAGATAGTACTTAAGCACACTCTTTGTCTTTCTTAAAGTAAGATTATGCCATCTCTGGGAACCGTTTTTTTTTCCTTAATTTTGACTAAACTTTACTATCACTTCTGCTTCCTTTTAAGTGTCATTTCAAATAAATTAACATCATGGCAAAAAAAAAAAGTTTAAAACATAGTTGATCCTATTAATACATTACATAAGACGTGATCTCTCAACTAAAAAATTTAGGGATCAAACTAAACACCCAAATTTAGTCCAAACTAAATGTGTCAATTAAAATGAAAGACGTAAACTTGATCCACTAAATAGCGTAAATTAGATTTCCTCATATTTCAAGACTACAAAAATTGTTTAATAATCTTTTAAAAATATATACAAAAAAACCTTCGGCAAAATGTAGAGACAAAAAAATGGGAGAAAAGATTAGACCCAGAAGATTGAAAAATACTAAAAAGTGAAAGAAACAAAGATATGTTTTCTTCTTAAGATGCACCTAATGCAAAAACAAACAACGTAAGGTTGGAATAATTATCATCTTCGTAAACAAGTATACAACTTGGGTAAGGACTTAGTTCCAACTACCTTCTTGGCTTCCAACTTGTTCTTGTTTCTCCTCTCTTATATGATTGTGCCGTTCATGGTGGCCTTCTCCACCATTTCCCTCTATTTCCCTCCCTCTCTTATCTTTCTCATTTTAGCACAAGTGGTAGCTTTCCCCTCTAATTTATATATTGGTTTAATGTAATAGTTGTGTGGTTTATCTTGGCTCTTTTTGTAAAACTTTTATATTTAGTCAAAAAAAAACCTTTAACAAAAATAAAATAACAAGTATACCGGACCTCTCTCTGTATTTTTCTTATATGATTGTGCTTACGTAACAACGTCTGATTGTTCCTTAAGATTAAATATAAGATTCGCTCAATCGTCAAGTAGTGTGTAGTTATTGGCTAATCAAAAGATGATCTGGTTTGACTTTGGATTTTTAACCACAAGAAGACAAGCTAATGATTAGCTGGTTTATCACATTTGACAACAAGTCCCTCACGCGTCAGAGGTGACGTGGCTTTAAATATTCGGATACCAAAACCCCTGCGTGTATTAAAAATGGGCATGGCCCATTGGGCTAATTAAGTGAGATTTTGTTTTTCTTCTTTATCAATCTGCCCCTAATATTCGTATTATATTACAGTCATGCCAACAATCAAAATCTAGATTTAATATTAATACCAAAAGCTAGATTAATATTAACCGCAATTTAAAAGAAAACATAGTTATCTTTAATTATATTGAAGGCTATTTGATATAAAATATTTGTGAAAAAAACAAAATGAATCATAGTATTTAATCCCAAACTTGACAGATAACCCAGAAAGACAGAAACTCTAAGTAGAAACTTAATAAACAAATAAGCTAAAAATTTCAATAATGAAGATGATGAAATATAGATTGAAAATATAACTAAGCAGTAAATTCAATAGGGCAAATGATTTACAGAAATGCATTAAGTTTTTAATGTTTATAAAGTGAATAAAGCAAAGTTTTAGCAACTAAAATTAGCAAAAAAAACTTGTGTGGATAAAAATAATCATTATACTATTAACATTATTTCTATGAGATAAGTACGTCACAAAATAAAAGAATTGGATAAAGAAGACATGAATGAATGAATAACAATAAATATCAAAAATAGATCATACACTAATAATGATCTGATCAATAATGTGCTAATTAATTTATAAACACTTGATAAAATAAATTGTTGCTATATTTTTGTTTTCCTTTTTTTACTAATGGTTTGATACAGTGAGAAAAGTAGCTCACCAAACGCGACGCTTTAACCTCTCTCTCTCTGTATATAGATCTCCGTCTAGATTCCTTCCTTATCTCTCTCCTTTCTTTTTCACTCTTCTTCTTCCTTCTTCTTCTCTCTTCTCTCTCTCTCTATCCCTTGTGTGTCGGTGATCAGATCTCGTGCCGACGAAAACGTGCGTTAAAAGCAATGCTGTTCGCACTCAGCTTTCATCAATTCCTCGATTTATCTTAATCTGCTGTTTGTTGTTTCGATTTCGTGGCTGAATTACAGAGGTGAATGAGAAATTCGCCTGCGATTCTGTCTCTGTCGGTGATCGATTGCCGGAGCAGAACCAGGTCGGATTCTAGCTTCGCCATTTGGAGCAGTGGTCGTTGGGGCCAATGCGGCTGATCTAATTTCTTCCCAATTTCCTTCTCAATTCAGATCGAATTCTAGGGTTTTAATTCCGGGTTTTTGTCTGTGTTTCCAATTGAGTCACGATGCAGCAAGATAATCGTAAGAAGGTGAAAAAAATTAAAAAAAAAAACTCTTCCTTTTTTTTTTCTTCCAATTATTCGATCCAATACTATTTGTGTAAGATATTTATGTGTGTGTTTCGGTTAATCTTGTTTTTTTTCTTGTTGTTGTTGTCTTTAATCTTTTTGCCGTTTTTTGGACAATTCTGATTTCTGTTTATGATCAATGAACGTTACAAGTGTCATCAAACAAACAACGCATAATGTCATCATTCAAGACAAAGATGTGTTGTCGAGAGATTTTTTTATTTCTTCTTCAGAAATTGAACCTTAATTCATTGCATCATTAGTAGTTTCTGAAGTATTGTGGCAATTGATGTGTTATGCGTCCTAATTTCTATTAACAACGATTTTGATGAATAGTGTTTGTCTCTATTTGTAACAGAATAATCTGGAGATGGAGTTCTTCTCTGACTATGGTGATGCGAATAGATTTAAAATTCAAGAAGTAATTGGAAAAGGCAGTTATGGTGTTGTTTGCTCAGCAATAGATACTCTTACGGGTGAGAAAGTGGCGATAAAGAAAATACATGATATTTTTGAGCATATATCTGATGCTGCGAGGATTCTACGTGAGATAAAACTGCTTAGACTCTTAAGGCATCCAGATATAGTTGAAATTAAGCACATTATGCTTCCTCCTTCACGAAGAGAATTCAAAGATATTTATGTTGTCTTTGAGCTCATGGAATCGGATCTTCATCAAGTTATTAAAGCCAATGATGATTTGACTAGAGAGCATTACCAGTTTTTCCTCTATCAGTTATTGCGTGCACTGAAGTATATTCACACAGGTAGTCTATTTCTTCTGGTCTCTCTTTAACAATAGTTTTTCATCTTTAAATCTCTCTCTGTGTATATATCGCTCTCTCTGTAGATGAATGTTTGCCTTTTGAAATTTGGTCCTGTATTGAACTTTAACTCAGCTGGAGAGTTTGGTCTTTTGTGTTATAATATCTTATGTACCTTGGTTGTTGCAGCTAATGTCTACCACCGAGACCTGAAACCAAAGAACATATTGGCAAATGCAAACTGTAAACTTAAGATTTGTGATTTTGGATTGGCAAGAGTTGCATTCAATGATACGCCCACAACCATCTTCTGGACAGTACGTTGCACAAGATGGCTCTTTAAGAGTCTTTTCCTTCTCTTAAACTGTAGTTGGTCTAAATACTATTCAATACATTGCAGGACCTGATACTCTTCTACCTTATTTTCTATTGAATTTACAGGACTATGTTGCTACCAGATGGTATAGAGCTCCAGAGCTTTGTGGATCGTTTTACTCAAAGGTTTTTCATTTGTTCTCTATATAACATCTTTTAATTGGTGTGTTACATTGCTATAACTTTTGATGGATTTGGCTTTGTAGTATACACCCGCAATTGACATCTGGAGTATAGGCTGCATTTTTGCGGAGGTATTGATGGGAAAACCACTTTTCCCTGGAAAGAATGTGGTTCATCAGCTGGATCTTATGACTGATCTGCTAGGGACACCTTCCCTGGACACCATCTCCCGGGTACTGATCTTCTTCTTAAATGAAGTCCATTGAATTTCTACAAATCTTAAGCAAGGACCAGTAATGACGAGTATCCTGCTTTTATGATATTATATAGGTGAGGAATGAGAAGGCAAGGAGGTACTTAACAAGCATGAGGAAAAAGCCACCCATTCCGTTTGCTCAGAAATTCCCAAATGCAGATCCTTTGTCTCTGAAGTTGTTGGAGAGGCTTCTTGCTTTTGATCCAAAAGACCGGCCAACTGCTGAAGAGGTGCTTTTCAACTTCTATATTGACTAATTATCTCAAAAATCTAGAATTCTCTTAAAAATCTAGAATTCATAGCTTCCTGATTTTTTTTCTCTTTAAGAAGAGAGTAACATGCATATGCGTTGTCTATTGGAGTGACTCACTAAACTGCTCTTATTATAATACATGAATCAGGCTCTTGCTGATCCATATTTCAAGGGATTGGCAAAAGTGGAAAGGGAGCCTTCATGTCAACCCATCACGAAGATGGAATTTGAGTTCGAGAGAAGAAAGGTCACTAAAGAGGATATAAGAGAGCTAATTTCTAGGGAGATACTTGAGTACCATCCTCAGCTGCTTAAAGATTACATGAACGGGGCTGATAAAGCCAGTTTTCTCTACCCAAGGTCGTAATTTTTGTTGATTACATTCTTGAGCTAGCATTGCATCACACCCAGTCCCTGACATTGATGTATACTATGCAGTGCTGTTGATCAATTTAGAAGACAATTTGCGCATCTTGAAGAAAACAGTGGTAAAACCGGCCCTGTGGCGCCTCTAGAAAGGAAACACGCCTCTCTTCCCAGGTAAATCCTCGTTTTTTTCTTTCTGTAATGTCTGTTGTCACTTGATCTGGTTTCGGTGATCTCCTCTGTTTTTGACCCGTTATGCAACTGTTATACTAGATGTTTGTGAATAAATATGGAACCATGAAACCGTGACTATTTCTTTCTTGTGTTGAACACCAATTTCTATGAGGACCATGTCAACTTCATTATTTTTAGTTCTTTAGCTGGTATCGGTTAGGAAAGAAAGAATATGTCCTTCTGACTCTGTGTTTATATGCTTTCAGATCAACAGTCATACACTCAACCGCAGTAGCGCGAGGAGGACAACCAAAGCTTATGAATAACACAAACACATTGAACCCTGAAACTACTCAAAACATTCCTTTTAATCATGCAACATTACAAGCACAACAAAGAAACCTCTCAGGTACTTTTAATTACTCATCCTGAATCCAACAGCAATGTTTCCGAACCGAACTCTATAAACCGTAAAACTTCTATATACACGCAGCCGCCAAACCAAGCACATTCATGGGCCCGGTCGCACCTTTCGACAATGGCAGAATCAGCAGAGATGCATACGATCCGAGGTCATTCATCAGGAGCACTAATCTACCCTTTGCACAACAGTCAGCTGCATCAGTCGCCATGGGAAAGCAGCAAGAGAGAAGAACAACTATGGAGTCTGAGAAGCAGACAAGACAAATATCTCAGTATAATAGATACGCACCAGATGTAGCCATCAACATAGACAACAACCCGTTTATCATGGCTAGAACGGGAATGAACAAAGCCGAAAACATCAGTGACCGGATCATAATCGATACAAATCTCTTACAAGCAACCGCCGGAATAGGAGTTGCAGCGGCAGCTGCAGCAGCTGCTCCTGGTGGTTCTGCTCACCGGAAAGTTGGAGCTGTTCGGTACGGTATGTCAAAGATGTACTAGTCTCAACCTAAGCGGGGCTTTGATCACACAGAACATCGTATGTTTCAACTTCATGTCAAAAAAAGAAAATTGTCTATGATACAAAACCATATGAGCAAAAAATGTTTTTTTAAAAATTAATGTTGATCCATCATTTGTTTTTTTCTATTTCCGACAGATAAATAAATGGATGTTAAATTCTGGCATATAAAATGGGACAAGAAAGGTTCTGAGTTTTTCACGTTTAAAAGAACCGCTGGCTACAGAAGATGGAACAGTGTGGATGCGCATGGTGATGATGATGATGATGGTTTCATGGCACATCCGAACGCATGTGGTGGTGGGAACCCATATCACAGGGCACCACTTTGTTCTTCCAAATGTCAGTAGAAATAGAAAGGGGAAAGGTGCATTGTCACTTGACATATCTTTAAACCAAACATTTTGTGTATATATTTTTGTGTAAACAGTTGAGTTCACTTATTTTCTTCCTAAACATATTCTAATTTCCTCTACTCCAGAGGATTACCGTATGACAGTTTTTTTTGGTCGGCTTAACAAATTAATACGTTAATAAAAAAAAATTGTAAAAATATGGGATTCTTCCTCGTCTTTCTGATTAAAAAATTTCTAATGTAAAATGTTTTACAGCAAAATAGAGATAAATGAAAAGTACATGTATTTGAACCAAAAAAAAAAAAAAGCAACTAAATGAGGCCAAGAAAGGAGACAAATAAGGTTTGAGGTGGACCCAAAAACCACTGTAAGCATTGTCCCAGAGATCACCCATCATGGTAGGTCCACCTGTTTGGCCCATATCTCCAGCCTTATAGAAAAAGAGAAGATAACTAAATTAACTTCCCTTGATTTCTATTTTTTTAGCTAAACAAACCATTACCACTTAATCATTTCTTCTCCTTTCTCAACTCTAAAAAACATATCTTGTCTTGTTTTAACCAAACTCTTCTCTATTATTTTTGTAGCAACAAAAAATGGTAGTGAAAGGGAATCATCTCACACTCCTACTAGATATAAAAGTTTTTCATCATTAAATAAAGTTATTTTGAAAAAAGAAGAGAAACAACGAACAAGATACAAAAGGACATGGAATTGAATATTCCAAGAGGACGAATGTGAAAGCTGGCTAAAAGCTAAAATTAAATTTTCAGAGTGTTATTTTTGTAACATATTTAATGTAAATGCCAATACATAAATAAATAGATACTAGAATTGGGGTGAGTGTCAGTTTGGTAGATGGTGAAATGCGAAAGGCACCCGATTTTTGTAAATCTCAATCCCGAGAAACCAAACCCTTCTTCGTCCCCTCCTTGGAAACATCATCTCTTTCTTTATTTTTCTCTTACAGCTTCTTCTTCTTTTAAAACAACATCTAAACAATCCTTCGTGTTCTTTAATTTCTTAATTAGACCATAAAAGCATACTCACTCTGTTTCGCTTAATTTTAGTTAGATGTTACTGTTCTTTATATAGTTTTTTAAGCATCTAGGAATTCACCGGATGGTGTATTTGCTCACTTAAAATATGGAACCAACATTAAGTAACATTTATTATAACGGTATTATGTGTATATATATAGATCTCTAGAAACATACTTATTACACTATATTCAAATCCAATATAACAGTAAACTTCCTTGGCTTTCTTTCTTCTTGTTATTGGCCGTTTCTCAAAAATTATAGATATAATGAGATTGTTGTTTTTTCATGGTAAGAAATATGGGAGATTGGAGTTTCTTTCAATAAAAAAAAAAGGAGTTGACAAAAAACAAAACAAAAAATGAAGGACAGATTTAGGAGTCACAATGAGGTGGGGGGACCCAAAAAAGGGCTGACACGTGGCCACCATGCCCGATAGATATCATGTGGATCTTAGTAGGATTAGATCCTCCTATTGTACGAACAAGTTCACTATCTCTTAGAGTATCTATTTGATCTCATCCATCTAATAATAATAATAGTACTATATTACAGTCTGTACATAATGTATAGAGAGGAGGAGGCACATGGGAATGGGGCTTTGAAGATGGAGATATTCATGTGACCCGCACATGTCCTCCTCTCTCTCCCTTGTTCCCATGCAAGTAGCTAGTGTCTCACTGTATCCTTCCTTATCTCCACGCGCGTGGTCTTTTCATTTCGTCCGTACTACGTTATTACTTACTCTTATTACCACCACCCCGAATGGCCGGCCTATAAGCATAAGTGCATAGCTAGGATTTGTCGTCGTCTAATTGATTCTTTTATTTTGGAAATTTGAGCTCACATAAAAGAACTTCTATCTTTAATTAACCTTGTAGTAGAAAGTAAGACTATTAACAATGCAAAACAACGTATAGCTATTACATTCATGGCTAAACCAGATCACAAACCATTTAAATTTTAAATTAAAGTTCGAATGATATTTTAACAAGACAAACAAAAGTCCGGAAAAAGAAATGACACACTTACTAAAAGTAATCCGGCTTGTATTAACAACACAAATCCTATACAATATTAAATCATTGTTATATAATTAGTTAATTACTATGTCAAACGTCTAGCTCTTAAACAAGAATTTTAACGTGCCAAATCTCATTTATCAAACAAAAAAAATCGAATCTAGATGTGAGCATGATCCACTTAAGTGAGTGATGTGTCCACTAAAGTCTAAACCAGTCGACATGGCGCGTGAAAGCTCTTCTTCTAGAGATCCAAATCTGTGGAAGCAACCCAAGTATAAGAGAAGAAAAATAAATAAATCTCAACAATCCGAAACACGAGGATAATAAAATTAAAAATAACGTACAACTGGACCCAGCTTTGATGGCAATACCGCCCATTTAACCATTTTTCATTTCTAAAAATAGAATCTTTTTATCGAGTTTCAATTTTTACATCGTTTTTTTAGACAAACCAAACCAAAATTCGTTCATAACCGAACCTTTCACTAATGTAAGCAAACAATGTAACATAAAAGCATAGCAGACCAAACTAAACCGATATAGTATTGTCTCTAAACTCACAACAAACCAAAGTAAAATCAGGTTAAACCGACCAGATTTAACCATCACCATTTTTGTCCACTAAATCCATCATCACTCATATATATATACACTTTACACACATCCACATTCCTTACTTCTTCATTATTCTCTCAAACTCATCATTCCTCTCTCTCTCTCATTCAATGGAAGAAACTCTAGCCACTCCCGACACCACGAGACGCTCTCTGTCACCGTCGTGCTCAGCCGCCGTGAAATCACGCGCTGCTGGTTTCGAGCGCAGAACCAAACGGAGATTGTCAGAGACTAACGCAAGCGTACGTGAAGACCGGGAAGAGGAAGAAGAAGAAGAAGACGAGGTAAAGGAAAAGATTGAGGCGTTGCAGAGAATTATCCCCGGAGGAACGGCGCTTGGTGTGGACGCGCTCTTCGAAGAGACAGCTGGTTACATTATGTCTCTACAATGTCAGATCAAAACCATTAAAGTTCTTACTTCGTTTCTCCAACGCGTAGATCAAGAAGACATGAAGTTCGGAGGTTGAAGATGACCACACCAAGATTCTTCTTCTTTTCTTCGATTCCAAAAAAAAAAAATCACTTTTATCTTTTTTTTTCTTTCCTTTTTTTATAACATGGGATTTTAGCTTTGATATATGAGGAAAGAGATCTCAGCATTTTTTTCTTCGAAATCTTTTTTCTTTAGTAGGAGTATAATTAATCTTTAATTTTTAAGTTCTGGTTTATTTAAGCCGTTTCGTAGTTATTTATCTTCGAAGTGTTCATTAACGAAAATTAGCATTAATGTAGCTAGGGAGTGTAGTTACACTATAACTTATTTTAGATGGACGCCATTTACGTAGATAGTTATTAAATTGGATCACGAGGTAGCACTTGCATTTGAGATTTGACATTAATGATATTGAGAAAGTTAATGTTACGTGGCCCATTTTAAAATCTGGGTGAGCTCATTTCACATGCTTTATTATAGCAAAGATTTCCAAAGTCGGTCGATATTTATTTAAGCTTATGATGAACTTACTAGATTTGAGTTCCCGTGGTCCAACATTAGAGTTCACATATGTATATTCCTTGTACAGATACAAGACAATCTTTTTAGTCGTATAAGTACTGGAGCTAGCATGTACCCACATTTTTTAAAAAAAATTGCCGCTAGAAAAAACAATATCCGTTTTAGGATTCATTATTACGTAATTTCTAACCTATATCGAACATTATGGATCTCTTTATTCCACACATAGCGGGAAGATAAAAATTTCTTACCAATCCTATCTATCCAAATTACATTACACAAATGTCCTTGAATTATCGATTTTATATACAAACACCAAAAAATATTAGTTCCCGAGACTTACTTTAAATCAATATTGATATTTAAGTGAGTTATCGAATATGAATTTGTTAAATATATGACTGTAACCATAATTTAAACTCTTGAGACTTTACATAAATCATTGATATTTGAGTGTATACTAAGATGCAAATCAATAATGTAAACTTCAAAATCCTTTAACAAAAAAAATCATTGATACATATTATTATTCTAAATCTCTAATCACATCCTGCATGATTTACAAGCACTACGACGACCCACACGTTACATCCTAATTGGGCCTAATATAATTGGGCCTAGCAATATTTGTCATCTACCATCGGATCGATCGTAAATCATCTCTCAACCGTCCGATTTCTCGATTCCATTTATTCACTAAAAGCTAAAATCCGTAAATCGAATATATATTTTTCCTGAGGAATTAGAAATTAGATTTCTCCTGGGAAAAAATTAAAAAATCTCGCCTTTTTCCTTCTTCCTAGAAATTTTGAAAAGTTGAGTGATACTCCATTGCGGGAATATTGATTGATTCAGAATTCTGAAATCATGTTGGGTTGATCATGGATCCGTGTAAATGGCGGATGAAGTGGTTATTGAAGATCAAGGAGGTGGCGTCGTGGCGATAGGACTACGAGGAAAGAACTCAAAGAGGAGATTGGGGAACTCAAGAAGAAGAAATAGGAATTGACACGGAATAATCCAGAATTGAAGGAGAAGGTTGAGAGATCGAGGAGCTGAGATTCTGGAAGTGGAGATGAAGTAGAGGTTTGAAGTGATGGAGATTGAGATGGAGCAGGTTGAAGAAGAGCGCAAGGTTTTAGAATCTATATCGGCGAGAGCGGTGGAGCTTGAGAGCGAGGTAATGCGTAGTATTCAGGATGATGTTATGACTGCGGAGATGAGACGGTGGCAGAGGTGGCGGAATTGAAGAAAGTGTTAATGGATAAAGGTGAGAGCTTTGAGAGTTTGAGGAAAGTGAGAGGTGAGATTGAGAAGAGAGTTAGGGATTTGGATTGGAGAACTGGGGTTTTGGAAGTGAAGGAGGTGGAGGAGAAGAGCAAGAACTTAAGAGTAGAAGAAGATTTTAGAGGGATAGGTAATCAGAAAGATGAAGAGATTAACGAATTGCAGACGAAAGTTGAAGATTTGAAAATGGCATTGTTGAAGATGTGGGAGAATTGGGGAATTGCAGGTCTGAGAAGAATTTCACAGAGGAAGCTTTGAGTGAATCACAGAAAATGGCAATGGAGATGGAGTTGAACAAGGTTGAAGAAGCTAAGAAAACGCTAGCTTTGTTGAACGAGAGGAACTTGGAGCCTACTAATGGAGTCCGAGCTACAAAGGATGTTGCTTGTATGGTTATGGAAAGATTTACTTGGATGGAGAATTACAGTGGCAGTGGTTGCTGCTGGTTCAGTTGGAGTTGCTGGTTTGGTGGCAGCGACATTGTTCGTATGCTATTCAAAACGAATGTGATTTGGTAATATGGAGCGTAGGATTAGCTGAAGACCGTTACTTTTCGCAGTTTCACAGTCATATAGGTGCCCAAGATTTTGCTTGGCTTTGGTGTTTTTGAGGTTTTTGTTTGTTTGAGGTAATTGGTTATCTTCGGCTTTTAGGCTAAGAATGCACTTGATAACGGTTGGTCATCACATGTTGCTTTTCTTTTCAAATAGTTTGTAGTCTTCTGTTTACTAAATTACAAATAGAAACATTTTGTTAATAGATTGCTTGACAATGCTTCATTACACAGATCCTAAAGATTGCTCGTAAACTCCAGAAAGTGAGCAGGAGCAACTTTTACTATTATAAACCATTTTGTCTTGGTTACCAGAACAACATGTCACGTCTATATTCTATAAGACTATTCCTTACTTCAAGCTAAGATCCATTCATTGGAGGTCGATTTTCCTCGTTCCTGAATATTATGGATCAGCAGCCCAGAGAAGCTCGAGGAGTCCACAGCAATTTCTCCATGAAGTTGGTTGCAGCACCGGTTGGTTGAGGCACAGCAGAGGCATCTGAAAGATGTAACAGATAGTGTCTTAAATTAGCAAATGCTAAGAGCTAAAGCTACAACTGAATTGTTGCTTTTGGAGAACGTTATATCATTTCCCACCAATTTGGATTGCAAACCTGGTTTTCATCTTTAGGTACAGGGAATTCATCTTGATGGGTTTCAAATTCTTCGACATGAGCTGAAACCGGTAAGGATCCATCAAAATAATACCTGGAAAGGCTGGAATCAAGGTCTGAGTTACTAGATGAGTCCTCGGTATCCTCATCTGAAGCTGATGATGACTTGATTCCTTCAAGTTTATCAGGTGAATTCAGGTTTACAGCACTTAGATCGGCAATCTCGTTGCTATCATTCAAACTGTGGAACATTACATTTGTTTCTTCTGTTTCTGCAGGAGTATCTTCTTGGAACTGAAGTACTATCCCTTCAGAGTTGTTAAGATAAGGGAAGTTGTTTCTCTTGGCGACCTCAGGTAGCAAACCACTACTACGTCTGAAAAACTCGAGAACCTGCTCTTCGTCCTCCATATCAGATTCACTAAAATCATGATCTTTGGAGACTACAGTGTGTGAGTTAGATGGACCCGTAGAGCCTTCTTCTGTGGAATCTACTGGATCAACCCGATCAGGAATTATACCTCTTATACTTTCATCTTCCTTTTCACTCCTCGTCTCCTCAATTGAGTTGTTTGCTTCTTCAATAGTGTCTTCACCTACCTTTTCCATTCCTGTTCTGGTATGTGTCCACTCTCTCTATCTTTCGTTGTACTTCGAGCTGCTACGGTATGAATCTTTTGAAGGTTTAAAGAGGTCTCCGTTCATGGACTCAATCTATCTAGAAGATTGCTTGATATATTAGTTGCAATGTCTGTCGTTTAAACAACGATTGCAATACCAAAGACGGACTAAAACCAAACACGGAAGATAACGAAGAGAAAAAGTAAATCCTATGATGGAAAGTTTGAAGAGTAGTTGAGAAAGTAAAAAAAGAATGGCTGATGTACCAAATGAAGAAACGTTCACACCTTTTGTTTTTGACTAGTTGGTTTCGGTGTGAAAACAAGACATGAGCAACTTTAGAAACTTGGCATAAGAGAGAAAGCACACAGATCATGACAAGACAAGAAAACCTCGTACTTTTTTCACTATGATTAATACAAACACATGGTACTTGTGCTAGTTACACGGAAATGTTATGAAAGCACTTGGTCTCATTCGTTTCTTTTCTAGTCAATGCAAGTCTAGAACTTGTGGTGGACTTTGAATATTGCATACATACAAGCTACTAGATACTCATATCTCTATTCTATGACTCCTTGGGAGAAATTTTGATTGGCATTCCGAGGGACGGAAATGGGAGAGGATCCATGCTGATTGTCTCATCTGGGTAGAGTAAGGACCAATCGAAACCGGTCACAACGAAATGCAAGAAAACGAGAATGCTGATTTTTGCTAGTTGGTGACCTGCACAAAGCCTTGGTCCACCTCCAAATGGTAGATATGTATATGCCTGTATTGGCTTATCAAATCTTGTCGGATCAAAACTCATTGGCTCTTGAAATATTTCAGGACTATAATGAGTTCCATAAGTTGTCCAAAGAATCTGCATTCAAACAAAAAACCATAGGTTTATTTACTAGTATTTCTTCAAAGAAACAGAGTGTCTCTGGTTCTTAGAAGTTGAAGAATCTAGAGAGATGGGTGTGGTATACCTTCCAGCCTTTGGGGATTGTGAATCCTCCATAGTCAATATCAGCAACTGCTTTTCTGAAAGAACCGAAGATTGGAGGGGATAATCGCATTGTTTCACGAACAACTTGCCAACTATACTTCATCTTTTTCACATCTTCCACTGTAAGATATTCTCCTTCCCCTTTGTTTGCTTTTATTTGAGCATGTTCTGTGATGAACATTAGTTAAAGAACTGAGACTTAAGAGTTGAGTATGATTTTTCTGATAGGAAAAGAAGATTCTGAGATTGATTTGATCCTTACCTTGAAGGAGAGTGTCACGGCAAGTTGGGTGTTGAGCTAACATCTTGAAAGTCATGGCCATGGCGTAAGAGGTAGTGTCATGAGCTGCAAACACTAGCAAAACCATATTATCTACAACCTCTTCTTCGGTTATCACGCCTTTGATCAACTCTTCTACTAGCCTCGAGAAAAGCGTTGTGTTTGGCTTCCCAGCTTCCTCTTCTTCCATTTCTCTTCTCTTCTCCCTAACCTTCCCAACCAGAAATGTCTCTATCTCTAGCCTTGCTTTCTTCGCTCTAGCAAACTTAGAACAAGGAAACTCAACAGGCAAAGTGAAAACACCTTCTAAAACCCTCTCAAAGACCTCTAACATCCCAATCTCCACTTTTATCCCATACAAACACTCAAAGACTACAGTAAAAGTGAGAGCTTTTGCCGAACGGTAGAGACTAATCTCTTCCTTGCCTTGCCATTCGGTTTCAAGATGAAACTTAACAGTGTCACAAAGCTTAGGTACTAAGGACTCTAACCCATTGTAGCTAAGACTATTAGCTACAATCCCTCTAAGGACCCGATGCTTCTCGCCTTGTTTAGCCATGATGCAGTTCATGCCCATTAGCTGAACAGAAGATGAAGGCCAAGAGCTCACCACCAAGCTAAACTCATTGGACAATATTAGCCTATTGGCTTCAGCTCCATTGACTACTATTGTTGGTGATCCCATGATTCTTGTCTTGAAGATGTTCCCATGTTTGATGATCCTTGGATTTACAAAATCCTCAAACACTCTGTTGCTTCTCTGAGCTTTGTAGAAATCCATTGTTTCACCTATCCATGGAAGCCCCATCTCTCCAGGAGGAAGCTTCTTCTTCTTCTGACTCTTCTTTGTTATGAATCGGTGATGTTTCTTGCGGAAGAAGAAAAGTGTGCTGGAGATTGTTGCAGCTATGCATAAGAAGACCCATGAGAGAACGAAGTTTGGTTCTAAAACCATTTTTGTTTGTTTACTTAAACAGTTGTTGATAATCAAGTTATGCATAATATTGGATTATGAGCTGAGTATTTATACGTAAGAGATTTTTTGTGAATGTTAAGGTCAAACCAAGTGGGATTATTATAATTTTCTCATTGTTTGTTCTGACACATGATTGATCTTCAAGATACAGTTCCTTTAGAGCTCAGAGTACAATATCTTTTTATTTTTATGCAGTAGACGGTGATGATACTAAACAGACGATTAAAAATAAAAGACGGTGATACTAAACATGTTATGCATATGCATATATCTCAAGCCTACGAAATATATGAATTAGTTACATATTTATCTTCAAACACTGATAACCAACAAAAGGTTATAATAGTTGACTTTTGGATTATGAAATCTTTTTTTCGTTCTTTTGTTGAATTTGGGTAAGAAAGAGGAAGATCAGAGAGACAAGTGCATGTGCTTGGAAGTTGGAATATGCTATAACCAAGATTGTAAATGGATGTATAACATATGAATCTGATCCCCATAATCTGCCTCATCAATATTTTCGTATTATTTTATAGTCTTTTTGTTCATAACTATAGTATAAACTATATGTAAACACACTTGCTGACGAAAATTTCATTAGATTTATATTAACTTTTGGAAAGTAAAAAATTATACGCGAATCCCTAAAGATCTGCTGTGGCCGGCTGCTTCTGTTATGTCGAAGTTACGTTGCAAACTGAGTTTGGGAGATTGGTGTGTGAATTCATTTAATTATCCATCACATACATTAAACTAATCTTAATTAAGGTGTATAGACGTCCAAATGATCGCATAATATATAGTCCTTTGTGTATACTTTTGAGGATTTATCTTTACATATTACTCTTGAACGTTACATTATTTCAAATTGATAAATTGTGTGTGCAGTATTGATGATTCTTGAAATTTGGACAGTTCAATTAATGTATGGTATTGTTCATGCACCTAATATAAAAGTAATTCTAACAGAAACAGAAAGGATCATTTGGACTAAGTGATAACGAATAATTGGTTAAGAAGTCTCTTTTAATAGATTCCTTGTGAAATAAACGTCTTATCATATCAAAACAATTTTAGACAGTTTATTAATCTTGTCGCGGCATTAGGCATATATGATGCCACTTTACGTCGTCGGTTTTGTTGATTAACTTGCATAACAAAATAACATTTTGTAGAAATATCAAAATAAGAAAGAGACTTGGTCTAATAAATTAAGCTATGAGCTTATCTTAAAACACAGTTTGGCTTGTAAACTAGAATTACACATTATTTAGCAGCTGCAAAAATAATGATGATGATGTTGACATTGACAACAACAATTATACAACGTTATGATGGTCGTCAATCATCATCAACGGTATTTTTGTATATATGATCGATTAGCGAACCCTATTAGTATATACGTATTAATAATTAAGAGCGTTTTACTCGAAAATATATTTAGAAATTTTGCATATACAGAGGCATACACATCTTTTTGTATTGTATAGACATTTTAAAGTGTATATTTGATAGTTTAAGACATTGATTCTTTGAATGGTCGGGGCTTTTAGTGCGTTTGGTTGGTCGATCGCCTTGAACGCTAAAAAAAAAGGACAATTTGTCCGTATTTGCTGCTCTAGTTTTGGAGTAATTTATTTTGGACCGATTTAGCCATTAGTAGAAACCACCTAATTTCTATCAAATGTTCCTTACTGTTGCACACATTTTATCACCGCATCTACCACACAATGCTATTTTGTTCGCACCAAATTCACTGTTGTAATGTTTGTATCTATTTATATTCATGATATATGAATCGAGTTTACATGGTATCGGAGTAACAAGACAATCAATCTCATATTATTGCTTTGACCTATCAGTCGATCAATATATATGTATTCCAAGTCTCGTAAGTCTAATACAATTAGAGAAGAAAAAAGAAGAAGATATATATGAAATATTCGGTATTTGTCCTAATAATGAAAGCAATCATCTATTGTAGAAGCCAAAGGCATCTTCTAAGTGTCAACGGATATGAATTGATATACCAACTAACATACTGTCAAATGTCATGTCTCGACTCTTGTTATATATACTCTCAAAACCGGTAGATTTATTCGGTATTGGAATATGAAAATAAGAGTTTATTTATCTTCAAAAGTTACAAATCAAATGTCATATACCGTAACGTGAGATATTTGAATATTCACGTGGTCCCTAACATAGGTAAAAGACATTAATCATACGTACATTCGTAGTAACAAAATCGATTGTAAGTTTGTAACCCAATGGCCCAAACCAACGGTCGGAAGCTACAATACTGTGTCCGAATCCTAAAAGACTTAGGGCCTGATTGGTTCCGGCTGTAGCTGTAGATTTTTGACTGTAGATTTTAGGTTGTAGATGTTTTGGCTGTGACTGTAGATTTTAGTGCTGTAGTATTTTTGCTGTAACATTTAAAATTTTGGAAAGTTGAAAATTGTATTCTTTAGAAAAAAAGGCTTTCTACAGCCAAAAAAATTAATTATGGAAATATTTTGGCTGTGAGAAAAAAAAAGGAAAGCTAAAGCTTCTAAAGCTTGATTGGATCTATTTCAATGCTTTAGAAATTTTTTTGCTTTGTAAAGACTCTAAAGCACTTGCCAATCAGGCCCTAAACCAGCTTAGGTCATATGGTTAACGGAATAGCTGGCAACTTCAATTAATTCTAATTTTAAAACATTTTTTTTTTAATAGATGATTTGTCGATTTTTGAGCTGGAATGGTAAAAAAGTGGTTGAGTACAGTTTTATTAGTTTGTTTGTTTTTTTTTAAATAGAGGAATAATTCAAATGAAAAAAGTTTCATCTACAAAAAAAAAATGTCATAATTTCAAAAAACTTAAACGTCAAAATCATGGCTGAACAAATTGCTCACATGTTTAAAAAAAGAAAAACAAAAAGAGATTATTCACACTACTATGGTATAAGAAAATTGAGAAGCCAAATCTAGGAGCAACTCCAGAGAAGAAGATAGAGTAAGACTGTAAGAGAAGTGAAAGAGTGTGTATTATTTTGTGCAGAAGCATCGAGCTGGTTAAGATTTAAGACCCACCAAAACCTACCACAGTGTTGTTACATTTATTTATCTCTTTCTCTACTCTCTAATCAAAAGATTGATCTCATCTTATTTTTTTATTTAATTTTATTTTGGTGGGTCATCTTCTACCTCTGCATCTCCACGTGCTACACAAGTGGCCTCGCTGTATGTATTATTTACCACTCTCTTATTGTTACTCAAAACTTAAATGTCACTTGAATGCAAACTATATATTTAGGTGAAAACCAGATCAAATAGCAATAAATAAGCCCACAATTTATGCTAATTAAAAATTTGAAAAAACACTTTCTATTACCAATGATTTTTATCCAATCTTGGGGTTTGCTGTCCATAAAACGAAGTGGAGAAGAATAGAATTGACCTTAATCGTAATAAATGCAGCTATTGTCTTCTCTTTCAACTTCAAGTAACTACTAATTTAATAATCTCCTTAGCTTATCTTAGAGAAGCACAAAACAAAAGGGTCTACGTTAGTCTACCTAGATTCTTGATTTGAATCTTGATGGCCACTTGCTTCTTATGCTGAAGTCCTAAGAGTGGAAACTTACTTTGGATTAATTAGCTTTCACATGATATCAGAGCTAGCTTGCATTTTAGATACAAACATGTCATGCTGCAATAAAAACATAAGCAATGTACCGAGTCATGCATTGATTGAAAAACATGAATAGTAATACGGATTGAGAGAAAGAGATGAATCATTTCATATGGGAGACAGCTTTCTCATACGCGTCCATGCCTTTGCATGAAAGATTAAATATTTTAACTCTTCCATTTACTTATTTTTTAAGTTGTTTACAGAATTCCAAGTGTTATTGCAATCACCAGGGGTATTAAATGGGATAGTGTAAATGCACCTGCAACACATCAACTAACCACACACTCCTCCACCTGTTTGTATTTACTTCAAAAACATTTTCAAAAACCCTTTGCTTCTTTCCTTCCCTCTATTTATAAACCCTAGTATCCGGTTTTTACTCTACCACACAACACCATTTGCAAAAAACTTCTCTCTGAATCTCTATCAGTGAGTTCTCATAAAATGAGAGGGGTGATGAGTTTTGCCATTTGGGCTCTCTTTGCTGCTTTACTCTCACAGCAGCTCTTTGCTTCTGTTGCTTCCATAAGGTTTGAGGATGCCAAAACATACTACTCTCCTCCCTCTGGTAAGAACAAATAACATTGTAACTTTCTTTATTCACTTTATGTAATAAGAATCTCAACTAAGATTCTTTCACTTAACTCATGCAGGCTCACATGGAACTCCTCCATCACACACGCCTCCTTCTAACTGTGGAAGTCCACCTTACGACCCTACTCCCTCAACTCCATCTCACCCTTCAACTCCATCTCACCCTTCAACTCCTTCCACTCCATCACACACCCCAACTCCATCACACACTCCCTCACACACTCCTCCTTGTAACTGTGGAAGTCCACCTTCTCACCCTTCCACGCCTTCCCACCCTTCCACGCCTTCACGCCCTTCCACACCTTCACACCCAACACCTTCACACCCTCCTTCTGGTGGATATTACTCATCTCCTCCACCAAGTACTCCAGTCGTTGTGACTCCACCAACACCCATTGATCCAGGGACACCCATCATTGGAGGAAGCCCACCAACTCCTATCATTGATCCAGGCACACCCATCATTGGAGGAAGCCCACCAACTCCTTTCATCCCTGCTCCTTTCCCACCAATCACTGGAACATGCGAGTAAGTGTCAAAACATTCTCTGTAACACAAACATCATAAGAAAGATGATGATTTTACTTCATGAGTTTTTAATTTCTTTTGTGTAGTTACTGGAGAAACCACCCAACATTGATATGGGGCTTGCTTGGATGGTGGGGAACTGTTGGAGGAGCTTTTGGTACAGTGAGTATTCCCAGTAGCATTCCAGGGTTTGATCCTCACATGAACCTTCTTCAAGCACTTTCCAACACCCGCACTGATCCCATTGGTGCTCTCTACCGTGAAGGCACAGCGTCTTGGTTAAACTCCATGGTCAACACTAGGTTCCCTTTGACAACTCCTCAAGTCAGAAACCATTTTGTTGCAGGACTTTCCTCAAACAAGGCAGCCACAAAGCAAGCCCATACCTTCAAGCTCGCAAATGAAGGTCGTCTAAAGCCTAGAGTCTGAAATTAAGAGAGTTTCATTTTCTCAGTTTGTTCGTTGGTTTATATCAAAAACAATCTTAATTAATTATCTTATCATGTGTGTTGCTCAGTAGAGTTTTAAGTGTCCTATAGTCTCTAGTAATATTTATGATGGATACTCCTTTTATGTTTAATGTTTCTGTTTCAAAAAAAAATTCTTGATCTTAAATAAGATTTAGTAGTTCCTCTGTTTCTCAATCACTGTTCAAGAATGTCCAAAGAAATAATTTGCATGCAAGTTTAACCCAACAAGAAACTATGGATAGGATCACATATAAAACATCAATATTAAAAGAGAAACATAGAATTTAATGTATAGACCAAGGTACAGAGAAGTCAAAGTCCAAATATAGATTGACATGCACAGACCAACACAATGTCATAAATGTTACATTAAATTGTTCATGAGCATTTTAAAAATCATGCCTAAGAGATGTGTCAAGAAAGTGAAACAACTGGATTAAACTCCAGAAACGACAAGTCCATGAGAGAGAGGAAGGAGCAAACATTATAGCATTAAAGAAGGAAGCAGTACATATATCAGAAGTTTGGTGTTACTGTAATAAACTCTGTGGAGTAAATATTGCAAGATGGTCTCCATGCATTCAAGTTTCAAACCCCAAGTTCTACCCACCATTGACTCTCTCTATTAATGTCTGGATTTGCATTAATGATATTAAGTTGGTGTGTCATGGTTATGGAAACACAGCATCTTTGGAGGTTGAGAAATATCTCTATCTAAGTTTGTTTATCTTTACCCAAGGCTCTTCTTTTTCTTGTGATCTTATGACTGATGCTAACTTATAACTAATCTCAACACAATCCATATGAAAACTGATAATAATGGTCTCTGCATTTCTAAGTGTAATAATAAATCAGACTGGTTCCATTCAGCCAACTACTAGTGAGAATAAAAAATTTCGATATTCAATCTTTTGTGGAATATATCTAGATTTAGCTACTCAGCCTCATATGCAATTCCAACTGCAAACAAAAAAGATGCTCGGTCTGCAAGCTTTTTGTCTCTTGATATGTGTATGCAAGACTTAGCTATTTTTCAACAGAAGGAATCAAACTTTGATCCAATGAATCTGTTTTAGCCATGGAGAGTTTTTTTTCTTTCAGAATTAATCAAACATTGAAGTAACTTGAACGAGTCAAATGTTATTGTGATTTTTTCATCAGCATGTGGAAATTTTCGGAACAGAGCTCACTAAGTGGTTTCTTATCGTTTTGAATTGACAGTGATCTGTTTTCGCCTAATCACCTAATAATGTTAAGGAAATTAAAATACTTTTTGGAGACAATCTCTCAGATTAAGACAGATGCCAAAGCACATGTAGCACTAAACAACATTCAGCTATGAGAGTTTTCACTCAATCAACGTAACTGATGAGACATATAGCTAGTTTTGTTGCTCTGTTGCAGTAAAAGTTAGGTCTTTTGTTGCTTTGTAAAGTGAATTTGGCGTCAAGACACACTATGACAGTTTTGGGTTTTACTATAAATCATGGCGAGAAGAAGTGCATGAATGTATTAACTCTTGCGTAAATTTAGGAAAGAGCTAACAAAGGAATTGAGGAAGTGAGGCCTCTTTGAAGTCATTAGAAGATGGTACATCTCTTAGCTCCATTTGATTTCAATATCTTCTGCCATCTCTGTTGTTTCAGGTTTTTGGCGCAGAATGAGAATGATTTAGCAGGTCAATTGTTCTAAAATCTGAAAAGATTATAACACAAGGTTTTATTAATAGTTCCATCTTAGGCTGCATCATGATTCATGATGCATCATGTTTTGACCAACTATATCACTTGCTCACATCAAGCTTCCTTAATGATAAGAGGGAGTACTAATGGCATTACTTTGGTATATATATTCCCACTAAGAGAACTTCTACGTCTCATTGCACTAACACAGTCTCATCATATACTGCAGATTCATCGAGTGTTAATCCATGAACTGCATTGGTGGCAGCCAGGAGCTTCTACCACCAGGTTTCATATTATCTCTTTTGAAGATCTTACAAATCTTCTTGTCTCTTTATGACATGAGGCTAGACAAAGATCCTGATCCTGATACATTGAACTTTAGTAACCCTGAGCTGATAAATTCTTGCAGTAACTTCATCAGAAAGTGGAAAATCCTGAGCTGATTAGAGGAATAAAGAGATTATCCTCTGCAGTTTGAAACAAGAGGAAAAAAAGGTTTGGCCTATTGCCCTCATATTTTCCATGTCCATAGTTTAGAATTCAGAAAGACCTTAATTAGATGTAACTGCATCTCAATAGTGTTGTAGAAATTGCATATGTCTTTTTACGTCACATCAAACACATTTTGATTTGAATATGCAACACTAATTAATTAGCAATAAGAATTAAAAAAATTAAAGGCTAGACGTTAATCCCCTTTTTATTTTTGGTTCTCTTGTCTTATATTATTAGTCTTAGCCTTAACTTACATAATCAAGATATATGTAAATTATAAGGCCCCTCTCAAATCGTTACCGTCTGCATTTTAAGTTTATAAGAGTAAGTGTAACATGAATATATATGCATAAGATCGATCTCACGCTGAGGAAAGAAGCTTATGTTAGTCTTAATCAAACAAGTTGCAGAGGTGGTTGGTCTTGGTTGCAGGAATTCTGATTTGGTTCAAGAAGGTTAACCGGAATATAGTTCCGGTTATACTGCTCCGACTGGTGAGAAGAAGTTACACCCGACTCATAAACCGTCCCTTGATGTATCACACTCGATTCTTGCTGCTGCAGACCCGTTCTTTCAGTAATCTGCAGAAAATATGTAGAATTTGCAAATTAAGAGATTGCGTACCGAAAAAATAATGATAATCAAAATTAAATGCTAAAAAGAGTCATATAAAACCTTGGAGCGGAGATACATGTTATCGTTTTGCAGCTCGATTTCCTACAATGTACGCAACAACGGAAAAGAAAAATGATGCTCATCAGAAAGAGAAGTTGCTAATAAAGTAGAGGGTAAGTTACTTGTGAAGGAAGATAGGTTTTACTTTTACCCTTTTTTGCATGTATTCAATCTCTGCAACTAACATCTCGTGCTGGAGATAAAACCAAACATAACGGGCAAGAATCAGATGGAGATATTATCAAGGATATAAGGAGATTGATGGAATCTTAGTGTTTAACCTTCTTGGAGCGGACACGGCTGATTCCTTTCTCAAGCCTACTTTCAAGGTTCTTGAGTTCCTTAAAGTTCAAGGAACCAAGAGATTCACCGAGAATGTGTCTGTTCAAATTCTGAATGTCCCGAATCTGTCTCCGAAGTTTAGACGCTTCTTGCTGATAGTACTTCATCAATTTCGGTACATTATTGATACAAGAGGTTAAAAAAAGTCAGATAACTAAAGAAGAAGAAATTAAGTAACGAGTACTAGGTGAATTAGTTAATGAAGCTAACCTGAGTATTAGCTTCGGTGACGGTCGGAGGGTTAACGGCGTCGGAGCAAGCTTTCTTGTACCTTTCTATTGTTCCTCTCACACTTCACCAACATTCACACAAAGGAAAAGATTTAAAAATTTAATCATTTTGTGGTAGCTAGCTAAATGGATGCAACCGGTAAAAATATATTGTCAAACTTAAACCACCAGAAGTAAAACAAAGACACACAAAACTATAACTGTTCGATTGAAACATAAACCTTTATTACACTGACACCAGAAGAGATTAAAAAAAAATGAAGTAGTTTAAGAAATTGAGTTTTGATATTTTTATCTTCTGGATATATAAAACACACACACACAGAGACGAGACGGATATTAAGGTTGAAACAAAAGTTTTGTCCGGCCAAAACCTTAAATTCAACCGACAAATTAGAGTGATTGGACCAGTACCATATATGATTTGTTTACCCTTCTTTTTTTGGGATATTGTTGTTGTTGCCTATAATCTATTAACAGTGACATCTCACAAAGTTTTTTTTATTATATATGTATAATCAAAGTTCGAGAAGACCCTAATGTAGTTCCCCAAAAAAATGTAGTCCTAATCTGAAAACACACAAAAGAAAGAAAAAGAAGTAGCAAATCGGAGAAGAAAAGAAGAAAAATGAATTGCATATGCTTAGTTAATTTCAATTGGTCCCAATGTGTCCAAAGTTTACGTACGACACAAAATCCAAATTATATTAATTTAGACTAGTATAGTGCCTAATTAGATTAAAAAACACTATTAGGCTTTAAGAAAAAAGAAGTGATCTTCAGGTCAAGTAAAATTACTTATTACTCAGCTAGCTAGCTAGAGGCTAATTTTGCTGCTTTTTTTTTTCTTCATATTGTTTTAGGTGAAAAATATCGAAGTAGATAACTTGATTTTTTTTTTTAAAACATTACATTTACATGCGTATGTGTATATAGGCTGAGGCAAATATGTTTTTACCAAGAACATGAAATTTGTAAATCTTTTGCAAAATAGAAAAAAGTAAAGCTAGAAATCTTTGTATACGTTAATGCTTTCATATTCATACAAGTAATTCACATTGTGCTGTAGTATAATGGAAAGCTGAAGTTGAGAAATGTCAAAAGTAAGACATACTAAAGCATGAGGGGTGTTTGAAATAAGAAAGTTAACTACACTTTTGATAATAGAAACATATAAATCACATTTTTCTACATACCTAATGCATTCCTCTTTTGTTAATCAAATTAGTTGGGCATTGAATTAAAGGTACTTTTAAGCTAAGTCATGTCACATACACAGTTATAAAATTCACATTGTAACTACAAATTAACTAGTTTTAACTTAGATCCATGATATGAGACTTGACTAATATATAGATTATAGTCATACATCACCCTCAAATTATAGTATTAACTAGCCCCCAAAAAATAATATATTTTGAAACAATTATCATTAAAAAGCAGACAAAGAATCAAAATGGCGAAATGAACATGAGCTGTTAATAGCTGGAAACTTATAGAAAAATGGAAATGACAAGTCCCCAACTTGGAGTGGAGAAAATAACAATCAAAACTCAAAAATTTCTGTTTTCATATTTTTCTTGATTGATGGATTGATTATTAATTAATGACTCAACAATAAGCTTTGTCCCTGAAAATTTTCTTGATTTAACAAACGGATTCACCAAAAGATTAGAGAAGTGTCAGAAGACAAACACCTACTAGTCTCTCCCTAGTGAATCAATTTTTAAGGAATCTAACATAGGTTTTATAATAGCCAAATATAAAATATATTATAATTTTTGTCAAGAACCCTACTTTTTCATTACTATGATGGAAACCTAATGATCAATCTGCAGAAATAAAACTTGATGGGTCATCAAATCGATCGAAGTGTCTTGTACAAACTGACATACATAGATACATATATATAGATGCTGTTATAAGGATTTGTGGGGAAAAAGTGACTGGAACAAGGTATGGGGATGCTAATTAATGATCAGAGAAGACCTCACAGCTTTTTTACCCAAGAAGGAGAAGTTAAAGTGATAAAAAATTTCCCCCAAAAACAAAAGTAGGGTTCCCTAGTTTTAAACAAACCCTAACTAATTTTGGGATTTTAAAAGAGATTTGAGCCTCAGAGAAACTTAGGAAAAAACCTATAAGTCTCACTAAGAGAGAGAAACCATAAAGATTGAAAAACCCACCACAAGAGTCGAAACTTTATTCTTGAAAAATTCAAGAAAATCAAGATCTAGAAGATGTGTAAATATGTACCTGTTGTTGGCGTACTCGTAGAGACGGCCTCGAGTGGAGAAGATGACAAGAGCAACCTCAGCGTCACACAAGACAGAGAGCTCATAAGCTTTCTTGAGCAAACCATTGCGTCGTTTGCAGAAAGTGACTTGACGATTCGTAGTGTTCTCTATCCTCTTTATCTCTATCTTCCCTCTCCCTATCTTCTTGCTGCTCTCTGCTACTTCATTACCCGCACCACCCTCCATTTCTTTAAGCCCTAGCTAAAGTATAAACACAAGAGATGAGATAGATCAAATCTTTTTGCACTCAAGCTACTATGGCTACTATCTAAGTTCTGAGATTTCAATGGAGCAAAGAAAGTTTTTTAAGGATTAAATGAAAAAAAAAAACCCAAATTGATAAGGAAGAAACTTTTATTACAAAATTGGATGATCAAGTGTATATCATCAATAACCATACCTGGCTTTGCAAGATTAATTATGATCAGAAAGAAGGAGAAGGAAGTGAGAAGGGAAGATGAAATTAATGTGAGAGATTTTAATTAGTTCTTGCTTGGCCTAAAGATACTATTCTTATTATCTCAGTACCACTTAACTGCTGCTTCTACTTTATTTTTTTGTTTTGATTTCTGTTTTGGTTTATAATTTCTTTTAGAGGAATATTTTCTTTGGAAGTATTTAAAAACCCATTTGCAGAAAACAGAAGGTTTGGTAGTTTTATTCAAACTGAAATGTTATAGAAGGAAAAAGAAAGAAAGAAAATGGACCATTACTTCTAACATTTTCCCAAATATCTCACACCTAATTCTTTTAATTAAATTCTATATGTATACATTTAGATTGAAATTTGAAATTGATTGGAATTAAGTGGTAGAAAATATCAAATTAGAAAGAAAAAAAAAAAAAAAAAAAGAAAGAAGAGAGTTTGGTTTGGATTGGGTGGGGAGAGAGCATTGAAGGAGGACCATCCAATTTTTCTTTCATGTTTAGAGGAAAAAAGAGAGGTATGGGCTCTGTTTCTCATCAGAATCACCTTTTGGAAATTTTCCTTTTTTGGTAATCCTTTTTTTTATTCTCCTTTTCTTTTTATTGCCCTACTCCTATTATACAATGCATGTCGTTAATATTAACCTGGCATTTTTTTTATTATTTTCCAATTAAACCAATAATTGACTTATATGATATGCTAAGGATTTGTGTGGTTTATATGACTTTAGAATGGTGTTATATATATGAGTGTTATAGCTTGTCAACTACCAAGCGAGCCAATGAATAGATTTCAGGTTTTTCAGAAAAATATTTGAATTTGTGTGTTACGTAAATTGTAAATAGAAATGCAATACACAAAAGCAAAAATAGTTGTTTGTGTTAAGAATTGGCAATTTAACTGGTTTAACTAGTCTTTCCAAATTCTTATGTTCGAGTCTTAATCTTGTACATTAGGTTAGTCCAACGGCAATTTGAATATTAAGAATTAATTATTTTGATAATTGCATCATATTACGTAATTTAGACAAAGAACTACATCATATATGCGACAATATAATTAGAGAAGGTGAAACTAATAAAGTAAATGAAAGCAGAGAGCCCACGGGGAATGACTAATCATGTGTGTAGTCATTATCCATCAACCCTTTCTCAGATTTGCATTAATTAATTGTAGTTACGAAAGGAAACTCTTTTGTGTTTTGCCCATTCCTCATCATTTTCATTGTACTTACACTTTTAATTTATTCAATTTTCTTCACGAGCAACAACATCTACATACATTTTCACATTCATGTCGAATTAATTAAGTTTCAAATTCTGCAAAATCATTTCAAGAAAGAACTTGAGAGCTGGTAGGTCTTTGATTGACTTTCGTGGTCTATTTTCTTAATATGTATGCTTTGAAAGTTGAATGCACTAGCTCTCTATTGCGGAGAGTTAGCGTGAAGTAATATAATTCTCATATTGAGTGTTTAATTTACTAGCTTAATGACAAAAAAATCGTAATCAAATAGAATACTAATGAATAAAAAGGTAACATATATGTGTAAGAAAGATGAATTACATAAAGATTACTTTTACTAGCTCTGTGACAAAAAAAAGGAGTCAAATCTATATCAAATTAAACGATCACTGATATATGAACTTTTATTTTCATGAAAAGAAGTATATATGTAAATGGGTAAGAAAGAGAGATTATATGAAGATTCCCAAATTAAAGGACATGTGATTTACTCAGAATTTAACAAATTCGTAGACCAAATATCATAATCAAATTGTGTAATACGTCCAATCTCATTAATTAACGACGCATAAGTTCTTGATCAGTACTAACTTTTGTGAAAAAAAAAGGAAAGAGTCTTGTTTACCAAAAAATATATTCCAAGTATCATTCAATTAGGGATAGAGATACTAAACCCAAGACTTGGATTTCCCTTCTTTGTATCACAATTACTTTGATATTAGAATACATATAGAAGACATAGGTTCATGAAAACGTAACAATGGGTTGGAGATTCTTTACCTGGCTTGTTGCCTTAACTCACACAAAGATTCTTGCTTAAAGAAATTTCAAGCTTTTGTGTATATATCCAACGTCACTGTGCTAAAGACGTTTGTGAAAGTTTCTATTGAAAGAAGAGTAAAAACTCAAAACTCAAAAAATGGGTGTCATTATTGTGATTGCAAAACGTTTTGATGCTCTAATTGGGTAGGTTTTGATTCAAATTTTGAATTTTCTCTCATATGATAAAAATAAACTCCATATTTGTCAAAAGTTAACATTATTTTCTTATTTTTCTTGTTGCATGCAGGCCTGGAGTCATGCTTCTCTATCCTCTGTAAGTGAAATCTAAATCTAAACGTTTGGTTAATAAATAACTACAGATTAATTAGGTTAACTGAATGAATGATTAGGTATGCATCATTTCGAGCAATAGAGAGTCCAACGATGTTAGATGATCAACAATGGCTTACATATTGGATCATTTACTCCTTAATAACGATATTTGAGCTATCCGTCTGGAGAGTCCTTGCCTGGTAATGATAATATTATTCACAAAATTCTTTTACAAGTTCTGAAAAATTATGCCTAAAAAAGACTTAAAAAGAAAGATTGTGATCTTTTGCATTTTGTAGGCTACCATTTTGGCCATACTTGAAGCTTTTGTTCTGTATGTGGTTGGTGCTACCAATGTTCAGTGGTGCAGCTTACATTTACTCCAATTTTGTGAGACAATACGTCAAAATTGGGATGAATAATGTTGGAGGAGGAACTAATTATACAGATGAACAGAGAAGAGTTTTACAGATGATGAGTCTTGATGCTAGAAAATCGGTCCAAGATTATGTCGACCGGTTTGGATGGGATTCTGTTGAGAAAGCAATCAAAGCGGTATAATATTTTCTCTTGTTGATCTCTTATATAGTTACATACAATCCAGTCCATTGTATTTTTGGATTTTAACTTCATTATTCGTGTTCAAATGTAGGCTGAAAGAGAAACTAGAAAGCATTGATGAAATGGAAGATCAAGAATCAAGAAACATTACTCTTTGGTTTGTATTTGTATGTGTATAGATTGTATAGAGCAAAACTATAATGAAACAAAAAAAAAAAAAAAGAGATATATATGTTTGAAAGATTTATGGTGACAAATTTGTGTTCTTCTTCTCTATGAGCAAATGTACTATTAGAGAAGCCAATCCAACTCTTTCTGAAAAACACATATTTGGATGGGTCTCAATTTGATTAAACAAACATCAGGAGACGATTTGAATTAAAATGAGAATACAACACTCTTTTGACATATTTTTAAAAAAGGTCAAAACTCTTTTCCCTTGACCATATTAAATAGAGAACAAGATTGATCCTCTGCTTTAAGCTATTACAAATTGGTGTTTTGCTAATTTCGTAACTAATTTAACTGAATTATGTAAATAATAAAATCAAATTTTTGCAAGTTTTTAAAAGTAATTAATTTTGTTAGGGTCCTATACTATACTTTAAAACTCTGAGATCCGTGACTATTATTAGTCCAAGGCCTCTCTTATCCACAAACGATACATAATAAATTGATATATGACGTCAGAAAAAAGTGATAATTTTTTTTTGAGATTCTACATATCTCTTCGTCCATTTATTTTTAATTGGTAAAATTAGTGGGCAAAATTAATAATTTCCATTTTATCAAAAAAAACATTAATAATTTCCTTTTTTTGGTTCAACTTGAAAATAAATAAATAAAAACATTAATAATTTCCAAAAACACCTCTTTCTCATAGATTCAAGTGCATACTCTAATTTGACCAATCTAGGGTTTCTCTAGTCACTTGAAGCTTCTCTTAAACCTGTCTCACTCGTCGTCAACCTCTTCCTCTTCCGCTGTCTCCAAGATTGAACCTATTTTCAGGTATGATTCTATCTTAGAGGAATGGGGTTTCTCTGATTTTTCCGACAAAACACGTCTTAAACGCTTGGCTTACTTCTGTTGTTGTCCTGTTTTGCTTTCCTCATATCTGGGTTTTAACAGATCTTTCACAGAATTTGTCTTTAATTGATCTTTTTTTCCACTTGTCACGGCCACCAATCTGATTATTCGTCTAATTCGTTATTGGTTTGTTATGAATATGAAAGTTCACAACTTTTTGCTTCTTATCTATTTGCTTAATGTTCCTCCTGTAGCATGATTTTATTCTAAGCAGTTTGCTTTCATCTGTTTTGCTTCGTGTTCTTAGCTGGATTTAGTTCTGTGCGGTTTTCAAGTTAATTCATGTGTAGGAATTGATTTTTGTGTGAATTAGTTCTCTTCCTGCTATGAATCTCGTTGCATGACTAAATTCAGTGGCTGTATTACTAAAAGTCTAGACTTTATTTAGGTTGAGTATGATTTCAATGTCTAAAGCTCTTATTCTCTTAAACTAGCTCCCTGTTATGTGTTGGAAACTTATTGATTTTGAGAAATTGTCATGGAATTGGCCAGCTGGTTATGATTATTGTTATTGTGCATTTGGGCATGACTGAGATAAAACCTTAATTTTACATGTTTTTTGTCAATCAGTTCTGGTTTCAGTGGATAGTTAAGGAATTCAGTAAGAGATAAGTTCATTCTGACAACATGGAGACCAAGAATGAGAATTCTGATGTTTCACGGGCAGAGGAGTTGAAAAATCAGGCTAACGAAGCTTTTAAAGGTTTGTTATTTTATTAAAAACGTTAGCAGAATCTTGTGGAATCAGTTTATTTCAACTCTTTTAGTGAGGTACTCTTATCTTTTTGCTTTAAATTAAGAACAGTTCACTTAATTATGATTGTTGCCTACAGGTCACAAATACTCTAGTGCTATTGATCTATATACAAAAGCTATTGAACTCAACAGCAACAACGCTGTGTATTGGGCAAACCGTGCATTTGCTCACACAAAACTGGAGGAATATGGCAGTGCAATTCAGGATGCATCAAAGGCCATTGAAGTTGATTCAAGATATTCTAAGGTATCATCCTTTGATAAGATGTTGCTGATTCTTTTTCTTACGTATATTCAGCCTTATTCACTGATTATCTACTGAATCACAGGGCTACTACAGGCGTGGTGCAGCGTATCTTGCCATGGGAAAATTTAAGGATGCATTGAAGGATTTCCAACAGGTAAATGCTTATTGCACGAGCAATGTGCCATTTTAAGTTCTTGTTTCTTTCGTCTATATTTGTTAGCTGTCGATATGATAGTTCCCTTTCTATCTACTCTAAAATTTTTGAGTGAGGATCAGCTCAGTTGAGAAATGTCAAAATACTAAAGATGAAATGTTGCAGGCGTGTAGCTTGAACTCACCCAAATGGTCATAACTTGATTGTTTCGGTCTGATACTCTGATCAAGTGATTATATCCTGGAAACTTGATAGTTATCTGTGATAATCTGGTTTTGTGGTCGACTGTCTTTATCTATTACGAGAGACTAGTGTGTATGGTATTGTTGACATGGTCTGCTATTTACATTTTAGGTAAAAAGGCTTTCTCCTAATGACCCCGATGCCACAAGAAAGCTAAGAGAATGTGAGAAAGCAGTGATGAAAATCAAATTTGAAGAAGCAATCTCTGTGCCAGTATCTGAAAGGCGTTCAGTAGCTGAGTCCATTGACTTCCACACAATAGGTATCCTTCATCTGTTTGCTTATTTTTCTGTTGTCTTATAGCTTGCAGTTTGTTCTGTCACCCCTGGTTCTTTTGTCTCTTGTTATGCCATGCCTTTGATTCAGTAGTTGACAAATGGTTGAATGTAGCTTTAGACTAGTAATCATTCTTCTACCTATTGTCACATAATAGGGAACAAACCCAGATCATCATCCATGCCCACCAAAACGGCTTTAGTAGCAGTTGCTGCAGCAGTAATGGTGGTGGCGGTCCGGGGATTTGTCACAACTGAGATACTCATGGTGTTGGTTTCGGTGGTATTAGGGGCATTTTGGTGGGGTAGCTTCAGTGGTAGTAGTGTCTTTTCTCTGGTTAAATCCTCGTCCTAGGATCAATGTGGATTGTTTTCATGCATATCGAAGCCTGGATAGTTTCCTTTCTTGGAGTCTGAGTTGAGAATTGAAAAATTCAGTGATGTTGATTCAAAACCATCTCAACAGGAGTGGAACATTTCATAGATTTACTAACATCTCTTTTTTGGTTTTGTTAAGATAGCATGCCTCTTTTACTACATTGTAACTATTGCCAATAAAATCTGTGTCCATGACTTGTAGTTTTTGACATTCATTGATAAATGATGTTCACTGTTATTTGAGGTCTTAACCCTTTATCAATCTACTGATATTTTTTCAATTTCATTGTAGAGGTTGAGCCACAATATTCTGGTGCTAGAATTGAGGGAGAGGAAGTTACCTTAGATTTTGTGAAAACGATGATGGAGGATTTTAAGAACCAAAAAACATTGCATAAACGGTATGTATTGTTTTGGTGGTACTCAACTTAATTTACTCAGTGATCATCTGTTCATGCTTTGCTGGCACTATATTTGTAGGTATGCCTATCAGATCGTTTTACAAACAAGGCAAATCTTGCTAGCACTGCCTTCTCTTGTTGATATACCTGTTCCTAATGGCAAACATATCACTGTTTGCGGTGACGTTCATGGTCAGGTATGCTATGGTTTCACCTACTCTCCAACATAATATTTATTCTCTCAAATGAATCTGCGAGGGTCCACATCTCCAGTTCTCTTGTTTATATATGCAGAAAATTTCAATAAACCGGTTCCTATACTATATCTGTGGAATTGGATTTTATTGTGAATCTTTCTACTTCTCATATCTTGATTTTCTCTTTTGCACTAGCAAGGGCTGTAGTGTTTTGTATCTGGTGTGTGTTTGACACATTATTTACTGTTGCAGTTCTACGATCTTCTCAATATCTTTGAGCTTAATGGCCTCCCTTCGGAGGAGAACCCATACCTATTTAATGGCGACTTTGTGGACAGAGGCTCATTCTCTGTTGAGATCATCCTCACCTTGTTTGCTTTCAAGTGCATGTGCCCATCATGTTAGTTCTCTGAAACTTTACCGTAATAATTCTTTGATGTTCGAGTTTTAATTGCTTTTGCTATCACTGACAAGGATTAAATGATCTACTATTGTCTGATGGGTTAAAAAATTCCATTTAAATTGTAAATCGCCAATTTACACATCTTTGTACTGCAGCCATATATCTAGCCAGAGGAAACCATGAAAGCAAAAGCATGAACAAAATTTATGGTTTTGAGGGTGAGGTTCGGTCCAAGTTGAGTGAAAAATTCGTGGATCTCTTTGCTGAAGTTTTCTGTTACCTACCATTGGCTCATGTTATAAATGGGAAGGTCTTCGTGGTACATGGAGGTCTCTTCAGTGTTGATGGCGTGAAACTCTCAGACATCAGAGCCATTGATCGATTCTGTGAGCCTCCAGAGGAAGGTATGTTTCATCATATACATCTTCTTTAAGATTACTTCTTATGTAATTTTGCTTTCTGTTTTATCATCTTATCTTGCTAATGTTTATTCAGGACTAATGTGTGAACTATTGTGGAGTGATCCTCAACCTCTCCCTGGAAGAGGCCCAAGCAAGCGAGGAGTTGGTCTATCATTTGGTGGAGATGTAACAAAGAGGTTCTTAGAAGATAACAATCTAGGTTAGTTTACTGTCTTGTTATTATCCGGGTTTGGTTTCTCGCGCAAGTCTTTTCTTGAGATGGCTATTGACTTGGATTTTCATGATTGTGGCAGATTTGTTGGTCCGGTCACATGAAGTAAAAGATGAAGGTTATGAGGTTGAACATGACGGTAAACTCATTACCGTCTTCTCTGCGCCAAATTACTGTGATCAGGTAATTCAAACACTCCTGTCTTTGATATCAAAACAGCGCCCAATTACTTGATTTTTACTTAACATGGACTGGTATTGTTGTAGATGGGTAATAAGGGAGCCTTCATTCGTTTTGAAGCTCCTGATATGAAGCCAAACATTGTTACATTCTCAGCAGTGGTGAGTGTAGTATACCTCTTACATAGCATTGTTCTTAAGCATGTTTCACAGAAACTGGTTCACGGTTTGATTTAGACTCATTCGAAAACTCGTCTAATTTTCTGATATTGTTATTTTACAGCCTCATCCGGATGTGAAGCCAATGGCATATGCAAACAATTTTCTCAGGATGTTCAACTAACAAGCAAAAAGCTTCTTCTACTCAAATGCTATGCTAAAGACTCAAGACCAGAAGTGTTTCAGAAACATAATGATATAAGTTTTTTTTCCTTATCTTCTGCAGTTTTTCATGTTGTTCCAGAAAAGGGAGCCCATGATAATTGAAGGTACAGTATCCGGATTTGATCGGTTTTTTCTTCTTTCTTTTTGATAAAGATGGTTCCCTCTTCCTTTAAGCTTATCCAGCAACTTTTGTCCCTTTTGTCTTATGTTGTAAGAGGGGTAATGGATCATTCTTATATTAGGTGAAAATCTTGTGATTAGTCAACAAAAGAGTGACCAAATGACCCCCAAAACTCTGTACTTAGATGGTTTCTTGAATCACAAATCAAAAGGTGTTTCTTTAAAGCTTCTTGTCTGCTTCTTCGACCTTAGATTCTTTATGAAATGAAGTTTGATTCAAATATTCAAGCAAAGACAGGAAACAAAGACAGAGAGGTCAACAGTGTAGAGCTCTTGCAACAGTTATTCTCATGTAGATGTAGTTTTTAACCTTCTCTTAGTTTTTACAAATGGGTGGTGACCTGTTTAAATACAGAGTCTTAAAGAGAAAGTTAATAACACTATTGTTTTCCCCTCTCTCTCTTACATGAGCTGTTTCAGATCAAAATACCTGCAGATTCAAATAAGATTCCCCCATGAATTTTGCAGAGAATTTGACAAAATATGTGCTTTGTTTAACAATGACCAACCACTACTGAATCACAGAATCATAAACCTTGTTTTAGTACATGCATAGATAGATAGATACATGTACTAAAATGTGGAGAAAGCAAAAGGAGATGGAAATGCAAGTGGTGTCAAATCGTAAAGCACTGGTGAAAGGCCTGAGAGATCCAGAAAGCATTACTTGGAATAAATTAAACAATTACAAAAAAAAGATTTCTTTTTTTGGTTGGTGTTTAATAAATTTGTCAAGTTTTTAAGGGAAGTAGAAATTTAGATTTAATATGACGTTGGCCGGTTTAAAGTCGTGTAACCAATCCAGTGAGTTTTATGGTCGTTGGATTGATTTTGGTGTAGGGCATGTGATGTGGATCATGCTCGAGTTAGAGATCCGTACGGTAAATAGTAGGGTCTGAATTTACCTCTTCAGACTCACAGTACAGGCTTAAGATTAGATCCTTGACTACATATAATACACACCACACCACATACATCACAATACAATGTACATTTTCTTACAAAAACATCTTCTGAATTATTGCCAAGTGTAGTACAATTTCTTAACGTTTGAAAATTTTGGCCTTTATAAACCTTTTTTTTTACTTCTTACGAAGTTATGTTTTCTCTGTTTTAACCGTTAAAAGATGTGGTAAGAATAATTCGTAACATTCTACGGTACAACAAAAAAACAATCCTAGGACAGAAACAAGTCTCTTTGAGTTTTTTTTCAAAAGCCTATATGCGGTTGTCAAATGTATTTCAATTTTTTTGTATTAAGTTACAAATAACTATGATTTTGTCTGGATCAATTCAAACTATGAATAGTAAAACTTCAGAGAAATTTTGAAAAAAAAAAAGACATGAATAATTGAAGACAGTAAATAGAGAGACATACTATGCCCACCACTTTTCAAGAGCTTTTCCTTATTAGTAGTTTTTATTGATCACAAATATCTATAGAGGAAGATGATTTGAAATAATAGATAAAAAATTGAAACTATTTTGTGAACAGTGAAGAAACTATTTCGGGTGATTTTTGAAACAGTTTGTACCAACTATACATTGTGATTGTCATGTGGTGTGTTGCCTTTTGAACCAACCATCAAATGGTCATCTTACATCAAATCTTAACTACGAATTGGTTTTCTTAAACTAGTTTTCTTCAAAATTAATGTTTGCGGGATCGTTCGTTTTTCCGTACTGATCCGGTTAGTTGGATTGAACGAAAAAAGTTTCATTAAGTTTCATGAGTTTTCAATTCAAAACCAATTGCTAATGACTAACCATTCACCCCAACAAAAAACTCGTTCTAGGATCAATGTTGGATTGGATCAATCAGACCAATTTCTTATCGGTTTGAAGTAGTGTATATTCAGATTCAAAATTTAACACCAATTGATATATTGATCCATGTGTTTACTATTTATGATCGTTAGTCTCATCTTATTTCCTATATGTGAGGACCATCTTCATTTACAATAGACTAGGATCATACAAAATCACTTTCTTTATTGTACATTTTCATATAGACTATGCAAAAATATCACATGGTTAGAAACTAATACATATAGAGAGAGACAGAGAGACATAAAACAGGAAAGCCGCTCCACAGAACCTGAGAGATTCGAGGGGCTAACGTATTCACGAGACTACCTCCCAACAAAGACAAGTCCTTCAAAATTGTTTCGAACAAAAGTGTTTTGAATAAAGAAGAAACATGTGTGTATGGCCTTACAAAACCCATCAAGTACTCTTTTTAATTTGTGTCTTCCTCTTTCTCTTCCCAATTTCATGACTTGAGTCCCTACCTCTTTGTCTCTCACTACCCCACACGTGTCACTTTCAGTCACTTCCATTTATAATTGCATCTCTCTCTCTCTCTCTCTCACTCACACACTCAAAACCTATTCGTATTCTTTACTAGCTTTCTTCTAAGTCTTCACTCTTTTATCATACCTTGTTTAGATTCTGATTGTTCACGTGTCTCTGTCTTGTCTTGTCCCTAATCCTTAAACATTTCACTTAACCTCGTTGAAAGCTTAAACCTTTTCTTAAGTTTCTCTTTTAGTGGTTTTTGCTCATCGATGATGATCTAATGTCACTTTTATGCTCTTTCCTCTCAAAGATTCTAATTAACGTCACTTTTATGAATTCTCAGTATAATATCACCAAGAGACACACACACACTCTCTCTTTCCTCTCTCTTACACCAAAATCTATGACGATGAAGAGAGCTTTACCATCTCCTTCCTCACTGCTCTTCTTTCTCCTGATAACACCACTCTTTCTCTGTCAAGAAAACAGAGTCTCTGCCTCAATGCCTCCATCTGAGTCAGAAACTCTCTTCAAGATCATGGAGTCAATGTCTTCTGATCAACAATGGCGTCAATCCCACCCAAACCCTTGTGCACCTGGCTCATCTTGGCCAGGCATTGAGTGCAAAACCGGTCCAGACCACTTATCTCACGTCTCTCGGCTCGATTTTGGCTCTGCTCCAAACCCTTCTTGTAAATCCTCTGCTTCTTTCCCTTCTTCAATCTTCTCTCTGCCTTTTCTCCAATCAGTCTTCTTCTTCAACTGCTTCACTCACTTCCCAACCACAATCATCTTCCCCATTAAGCTCCTCCCAAACTCTTCTCTTCAACAACTTAGCCTCAGATCAAACCCTTCTCTCTCAGGTCAAATCCCTCGTCTCATTTCTTCTCTCAAATCTTTACAAATCCTCACTCTCTCACAAAACCGGTTAACCGGAGATATCCCTCCGGCGATTTTCTCACTGAAAAGCCTCGTACACCTCGATCTCAGCTACAACAAGCTCACAGGTAAAATCCCTCTGCAACTGGGGAATCTCAATAACCTCGTTGGCTTAGATTTAAGCTACAATTCTTTAACCGGTACAATCCCTCCAACGATCTCGCAACTGGGTATGCTTCAGAAACTCGACCTGAGCTCGAATTCTCTGATCGGAAGAATCCCAGAAGGTGTTGAAAAGCTTCGTTCTTTATCATTCATGGCGTTAAGCAACAACAAACTAAAAGGAGCTTTTCCAAAAGGAATCTCGAAACTTCAGAGTTTGCAGTACTTCATAATGGATAATAACCCAATGTTCGTTGCTCTCCCTGTTGAATTAGGGTTTCTACCTAAACTTCAAGAGCTTCAGCTCGAGAATTCAGGATATTCCGGCGTAATCCCGGAGAGTTACACCAAACTGATGAACCTTAGCTCGTTGTCTCTGGCTAACAACAGATTAACCGGCGAAATCCCATCTGGGTTTGAGTCACTGCCTCACGTTTTCCATCTGAATCTCAGCAGGAACTTACTGATCGGCGTTGTACCGTTCGATTCAAGTTTCTTAAGACGGTTGGGTAAAAACTTGGATTTAAGCGGGAACAGAGGATTGTGTTTGAATCCGGAGGATGAGTTCAGTGTCGTTAAGACCGGAGTTGATGTCTGCGGGAAGAATGTTACTGGTGGTGGAGTTTTACCGGTGCATTCACCGAAGAAGAAATCTCAAGCTGCTCCTTCTCGGTATTACAGATCTTGCTTCTTCTCCAATGCTCTGTTTCAGTTTGCTCTGTTTCTTAGTTTACATCAACGATTGGTTCTCTAAGAGGGAGGATAAAGACAAAAAAAACAGACAATTAAATATTTGATTAAATCCCTAAAAAAGAGAGAAGATTTGTGTTTGTTCCCAAAGTAGACCGATGATTTCAAGGGAAATAAATTAATAGTCGATTTTGATGTGTATTAGTTTCCTATTAAAGCAATGTACGTTAATGTTGTTTTTTTTTAGTTTTAATAATACTAGTAGTATTTTTCAGATTTTTATATGATTGTTAATAAAATTATTTCGAGTCATCATTATGGTTTTAGGTGTATATATGGGTCCTGAACAACTTCATAGCTGTGTGTATAAATATGTGTTTGTATACAAAAGGGAAAATAACAAATGAAATGAAACGACGTTTTTGTTTTCTATTGGGTAAGAATTAAATTTCCAGTAAATCTGTTATAAGATTTACATAAAATATAAGGGAGCAGTTTGGAGAAAGAGTGTGCAGTGATCTGCTAAAACGACACAACCTGATTCAAGTCTGACCATGCAACTAAATTGAAGACCTAGAAAAATTATAATCTTTTAAACTGGGTTTCAACTTTCAACCAAACATCTTAAATTTGTCTTAAGCTATAACTGAATTTATTTTTCTTGTTCAACTAACTTAATTTGTTTCTAAACTGCTATTGTTTAAAGTGATTATGTAGGACCCTAAATGATGCGTCAAAGGAGGTCGCAGCGTCATAGCACTTAAGACCATGTACATAGCTGATATAATGAGAGTATCAGGAGTATATTAATTATTTTTTAATAGATTAGAGTATCAAGTTGAGCCTGATCAGTATCACTGGAGTGATACTTCTGATACCCAGTATCAGGTGACGTGGCGGCAGCTGATTCGTCTGGGAAACGCGTTTTTCCTTGAAAGTAGAGAAAAAAAAATTCATATTTGACAAAAATGGGGTCAAGGTAATTGACTTCGAGCGACTAAATTATTTTTATCCTCATGTTTTTTTAAGTTTTTTTGAATTTTATGTTTTATTTTGCTTAAGTATATTCTACAGTTTTTTAAAAACTAACTAGATTTTAACCCGCTGTACACTGCGGGATGATTTATTTTTTAAAGTTAGTATATATAAATTTTTATAAATTGTATCTCCTTATAAAATATTTATGTATTATATGATGATTCAAAACAGTTAAAAACAAATCAAACAAAGATGATAGAAGAATCATAATTCTAAATCTTCTAAATATCTAAATTATTAAATATGGAATATCCGGTGTATGAGTTGGGTTAAATATAACCCGTGTTCAAAAAATCGCTAGGCGCTAGTCGGGCGGTGAGGGTGGGCCTAGCGCCTAACAAGAAAATCGGAGATTAAACGGGGATTAATCGGGGATTAGTTTTAGGGCTATTTAATGTTTTAAAAATATATTAATTCAGTATAATTAAGAAATTTAAATAATATTGTTTTTAAAATTGCATTAAACACATGAAAACAAGATTTTAACCTCAAATTTATGATTTTTATACAAATTACGAATATAAGTATGACGTTTTGATTTTTAGATTAAAAAAAAAAAAAAAAAAATTGGGCTAGGCGCCGTCTAGGCGGACAAAAACTCGGACGAACGATTTTTCTTGCCGATTTGGACAAACTCGCCGCGGTTCCCCTCCGATCAGCGCCTAGGCGGCCGCCTAGGCGGCCGATTTTTAGAACATGGAATATAACCCGACCCAAGAAATTTTTTATGACCAAAATTTGGAAACGGGTCGGGTATCCAAATAACCTGAAAGCATTTTTACCCACCCGTCACCAAAATGATTGCAAAAATACTAGTATAGATATTACCTTTTGTAATCTTATGTTTTTATATATTTATTTTTGATTTTGCAAATAATTTTTTTTTATGATACTTAAGCCGGTCTCACCAATGCAAACATATATAGTAGGAGTATCATAAAAAATCTCAAACAATAAATAAACATTATAAATAATACTAAAAAATTCCTAATGATACTATATGGGTATCACCCATATATATGCTCTAACGTTAGGACACCCTATGATCGTGTCTAATAATAAGCAAACAAATTTTGGTGTATAATCTTCTTTTTTATTATCGTACACATCTTTCGGATGTGATGTGACTAATGAAAGGTTTAAATATATTTAAACATATGATGAACACATAAACCACCATATATAGGAGAAACTAGAAAAATATATAATTTGTCAGTCATATGTCTAAATCCACAACTCCTTTTTTCTCATGCTTTTTTCTTACTGCAAATATTATTGCATTTCCTTTGCCTCTCTCACACATTTCGTCTGTCATTTTCTCATTTATTTATTTTTATTTCGGAATTCCATTACTGTGAAAAAGCTTTGTTTATATATTTTTTTAAGTGCTTTCTAGTTGTTTATTTATATCAATTACTATGCCTCTGCTTGAATAACTAAAAACACAAGTGATGTAAATTGTGTTATTGTAGATCCTATGTACAAATTTATTTTATAGACGTTTAGAAGTTATAAATGAAAGGTATCATTGAGTGATCACCGTTGCAGATAATGTTTAAAGACAAAAAAAAAAAGGAACAGTTCATTGTTCATGTGTTGAAAACGGAAGGAGGGAAAGAAAAATCCGTCACTCTCAGATTCAGAGCCTCACGTGTGGAAAACTTAGAATTCCATTTTTAGGTACGAATCAAAACTATACGACCCGTCGCTTTTACCATGTCATTTATTATACCTATAATAAGCACTCTCATTTTCTCCTACCATTTTTTTCTTAAAACGTAATTACACCTCCATATAAAATTAATAGCCTAGTACTCTAACATTAAAGAGTAAATTATGAAAACGTTGGTATTTTCCATCTCTTTGATTAACTATAATTTTTGTATTTTTTACTACAATTAGTTTATAAAGAACATCCATAAAATAATGAATTTTCTTTTGAACGAAATATCACAGTTGAGCATTTAGCTTTATATTATAATTTTAGTCATTTAATTGAGATTTCAGTCATAGTTGATCGTAATATTTAAAATTATTAACTGTTTATAAATTAATCATAATTCAAAAAACAAATGTTGGTTTGGTTCCAAGGCTGAAAGGCTGAAGCTAAGAAAATAAAAGCGAACCGTATCAACAAATAATGGGCCGAAAGAGAATTATATTCTGTTGGGTCGAAAAAGATGCATAACCAGAAGCCCACATTAAAAACGTCAGCCCATTCAGCATTGCACATTGATATTTAGCAAATCGAGGAAAGTTGACTAGATAATGCTGATAAGTGGGTCCCAGATAATTCTGACAGATTAGAGATGTAGTAGAAGATAATCCAAGTTTGGTCGCCTTTCCGCCGTTGGATATCAAGATATGCATTAGATCACGTACACGTGGACACTAGTCAATACTCCTGCCCGCAGGAGATAGGGACACGTGTTGTATTAACGAAGAGTACAATGGTGACTTGCAATATCTTCGCTCCCTTTCTTCTTCTTTCTCTCTTCTTTGAATTTTGATTATTTTTTGGTTTTTGGTTGAAAATGGAGATATCAGAGAGAGTGCGAGCTCGTTTAGCTGTTCTCTCAGCGCATTTGGCTGAAGGAAAACAGGATTCTCCAGCGATCGAGCGATGGTGCACGTCGGCGGATACAAGTGTCGCACCGCCTGGATCTTTGAAGGGAACACTGACGATCGTCGACGAACGTACCGGTAAAAAGTATAAAGTTCCGGTCTCAGATGATGGTACCGTTAAAGCCGTTGATTTCAAAAAGGTATAACCCTGATTCTAAAAACTTCTGGGTAAAGTAGATTTTTTTTGTTTTACTATCACTGTGGGATTCTGAGCTGAGGACTTTGGTCTGTTGCGTGGTGTTTGGCTTGCAGATAGCTACGGGGAAGGAAGACAAGGGCCTTAAATTATACGATCCAGGTTACTTGAACACGGCTCCTGTTCGATCTTCGATTTCCTACATCGATGGAGATGAGGGGATCCTCCGTTACCGTGGCTACCCAATTGAGGAAATGGCTGAGAACAGTACTTTCCTGGAGGTGGCTTATCTTCTCAGTAAGTGTATTGGATCATGTTTCAGTTTGTTACTCAATTTTTCAGTATGGATGCTTATTACCATTTAGAGCAAACTAAGTTTCTCATCATATTTGGCTACTATGTATAACCACAATTTCAAGTGTTATATGTATCAAATTGGACATTGATGAAATTTTTTCTCCTTGACTATCTTTTTTTGACAGTGTATGGGAACCTGCCCTCTGAAAGTCAGCTATCGGATTGGGAATTTGCAGTTTCTCAGCATTCAGCTGTGCCACAAGGAGTATTAGTGAGTTTGCCATTTCCTGCATTTTTCGATTTATAACATGTTTTAGGACTTTAGAGTTAGCTATTCTCTACTTGTTATTGTCATTGTCTGGTTAATCAATAATTCTCAAGACGTTTATATACATGTTGTTCTGAGGGTTGTGTGCTGTATTCAAAGCTATCGAGCAATATATTTCTCATATCTAACTCAATTTACTTGATAAATTTTGTGTAGGATATTATACAGGCTATGCCTCATGATGCACACCCAATGGGAGTTCTTGTGAGTGCAATGAGTGCGCTTTCCATCTTTCATCCTGATGCAAATCCTGCTCTTAGGGTAGGTTTAAGCTTACATTACTTCTCTAACAACATGTCAGGCCTTGTCACTCTCTAGTGTAAAGCTCTTTTGAAATTGTCCGTATAATCTTTATTGGGTGCAGGGCCAGGATATTTACGATTCTAAACAAGTTAGAGATAAACAAATTATTCGCATTATTGGAAAGGTATTTTTGTTATCAGTGGTTACCTTACTTCTTCCTATATTGTGTCACGCATAAACATATTTGGACTGTGAATTTCCTGGAGATCTGAAAGAAGAACTTACAATCTATGCAACTAAACGTGTTTACAATTTACAGGCACCTACAATTGCAGCAGCTGCTTATCTGAGGATGGCAGGGAGGCCTCCTGTTCTTCCCTCAGGAAACCTTCCTTATGCAGATAATTTCCTCTATATGCTGGATTCCCTGTATGTCTCTACTATATCTTTCTTCTTGAATTAGTTAGAACCTCAACTTTTAGATTCATTTTTGGATGATCGCTTGACGCTTCAGAGCACTGGAAGCTTAGTTGTTTTTTACTGTACATAACTTGTAGCGTGCCATTGACACACTTTTTTCTGTTTCTTACAGGGGAAATAGATCCTACAAACCTAATCCTCGGCTGGCTCGGGTTTTGGACATCCTCTTCATACTGCATGCAGAGCATGAAATGAACTGCTCCACCGCTGCTGCTCGGCATCTTGCCTCTAGGTACATATCTTTGGTTTGAATCTTAGTGAACTTGATAGGAGATATTGATTAGGAAATGTCTTCTTGTAGCGGTGTTGATGTGTACACTGCTGTTGCTGGAGCTGTGGGAGCGCTATATGGTCCACTTCATGGTGGTGCAAACGAGGTATGCTATTTATTCTCATGTCTTCATATGATACATCTTCTGATATGGTCTTTGAAGTTCATGTCTTTGGTTCCATTAGGCTGTGCTTAAGATGTTGTCAGAGATTGGGACTGTTGAAAATATTCCAGAGTTCATCGAGGGTGTGAAGAACAGGTAAATTCAATTCTTGAAACTATATGTTTCCGTTTTCTAGATTTTTGACAAGTCTTTTCATTAAAAGTCTCATCTCTTTGACATCTTAGGAAGAGGAAGATGTCTGGTTTTGGACACCGTGTGTACAAAAACTATGACCCTCGAGCTAAAGTCATCAAGAACCTGGCTGATGAAGTATTTTCTATTGTTGGAAAGGATCCTCTAATTGAGGTACGCTATGTCCAAAGAAGCTCAAGCTTATACTAAAACGTGATGCCCACCTTTTCGATTTAGTGTAATTTTTAATGTTTCCTTAAAGTGAATGTGTTTGATTCTGATGTCTGCAGGTTGCTGTTGCACTTGAGAAGGCAGCTCTCTCTGACGATTACTTTGTTAAGAGAAAGCTTTATCCGAATGTTGATTTCTACTCTGGATTGATATACAGGTAAAAGTTTGAATGCATGTGCAGTGTTCATCACTTCCTCTCAAATGCATCTAAATCTGCAAATTTGGACCATTAAAATAGGGCAATGGGATTTCCACCAGAGTTCTTCACGGTCTTATTCGCGATTCCTCGCATGGCTGGATACTTGTCGCATTGGAAAGAGTCGTTGGATGATCCTGACACCAAGATCATGAGACCACAACAGGTATAGTTGGTCTCTTTCCAAGAATAATAAGAGAAAGATCTTTGTTTGGATCAATTTGAAACTTGGATGGTTTCATTGGGATATTGAATGTTGCAGGTGTACACAGGCGTGTGGCTGAGGCATTACACGCCAGTGAGAGAGAGAATTGTGACGGATGACTCTAAAGAGTCAGACAAATTGGGTCAAGTCTCGACTTCAAATGCATCAAGAAGACGTTTGGCTGGATCTTCAGTTTAGGCGTAGGCCCTTTTAGGGTCCATACTATACATCAAATCACACCGCAAAGAATAAAAGAGATTGGTTTCTCTAGCCAAAAGCTAAGAGACTCTCGAGTCTGGATTTGATCATACTCTAAATTAAGATTTCTCATTTTGTAGGCACAATAAAACATATATATTTGCTTCAATCCATCTTCTAAGGGTGTTTGTTCGCACCTTGTTTGTATTGTTATCAGAATGTGTTTATCGTATAAAATGGTTTATGTTTACTCTAATTTCTATATCGAATGCCTCTACAGAGACTTTTGTTGTGAAATTTCTTGGCCAAAGCAACAAGCAGAAAACAAAAGCACTTTATTAAAATCATTGTAAAAACTTTTGAAAATTTATTGTTACAAAATAGGATATCATCAAGCTACAGAGTTTCAAAATTCGGAGTTCTTGAAACTTGAAGTAGCCATGTAAATGATACACTTGAAGAAAAAATGATCTGTAAAAAAGCTATGTAAGTTACATTACATGTTTTTGTCTGGTGGCTGCATTTTTTGAAGTTGAAGGAGCAGTCCCAGGAAGGCCGTTGATCCTCTTTGGAGGTGGCTTTTGTCCACCAGAAGGAATGCTTCTTGAAGTTGAAGTCGCATTCGCGGATAAGCCAGTCCTCTTTGGAGCAGAAATACTAGACAATGATCCGTCAAACCGATCAAGTTTGGGAAATAAAGAATGTGGATTGATATAGATATATACTGAGGACATGTTACCTGAAACTCTTCTGAATCGTGTTCCTTTTAGTTTCAGTAAGATTTCGTCCACCATAAGGAATGCTTCTTGAAGTTGAAGGCGCATTCGCAGATAAGCCAGTCCTCTTTGGAGTAGAAATACTAGACAAGACATGACCAATCAAACCGATCAGATTTGGGGGATAAAGAATGTGGATCGATATAGATAAATGAATAGATGCTGGGGAGATGATACCTGAAACTCTTCTGAATCGTGTTCCTTTTAATCGCAGTAAGATTTTTCACTTCTTGACTGTAATCAAAACCATTAGAAGATTTGAATTAAGAAATAGATTGTTGCTAGAAACCTTATAAGTAAGCCTTGTGATTGTGCATTTTTGAAATGTACCTCTTCAACAGATCTAGTTTTGCCTTCTTCATGATGTTGCTCTTCACATTCCCAAGATTGTAACCTGATGCACTATTACCTGCAACGAAATCGTCCGATATAACCATTAGAGTATAAAAGCCAGAGAGACAAAAGCAATATATTATATGCATGGAGCATTTGCATACTGTTTTTTGCAAGATCTGATCAGATACTGCAAAAAATCATTTAGATTAAAAAGTGTTACCCCAAAATGGTCTTTTGCTGGGAGGAGCTTTCGAGCAGACTTTAGTTTGTCGACTTTGTTTCCCTGGAAAAAGGTAATTGAAAACGATAACAAGGGAACGAAAGAAGAATAAATTTTGGTCTAAGAGCATGCTTCTCATCATTGAGCTAAAGGCCATAATAAAAAGAAAGATTCGTAAAAGTTATACTTTCATTTTCGTCCTTGTAGCGTTCTTTCAGTCGACCACCAAGTTCCTCCTCCTTTTCTTGCACAGCTATAACCTTCAACTGCACGAAACCATGAGCATATATCTTAAATATTTCAACAATTTTTTTTTTTTTTTGTCAAAAAATATTTCAACACTTAAATATGTATTTACATCAAGACTTGAAAAAAAAAACCAACCTCATATAAATTCCTCCATTTGTAACTCAATTTTTTCCACTCCAGGTCCTCTATAAGTTCATTCATGTCCTCTTCACCATAGTGCTTCTTATAGAATCCCTTCCAAAACTTATCGGTGACTGGACTAAGATCTGTGTCCTAGCAAAACAAAAACAACGAGAAAGCATAACTTAAGATTAAAAAGAAACCCATCAAAACATACAAAAGACTAATCGTGCCATATGGCGAGAAAAGCTTCTTACTTGAGTAGAATCCTCTATGTGCTTCAGCTGTTCTAGTGTACAGTGTTGCAGAATCTGCTCAAGGAGCTGAAAATCAACCCCACCAACATAGCCAATGTACTTTACATTATCAATAGCTTTCCTAACGCAAAGATCAATAAGCGAAGGTGGTTTCTTGGTAAGACACTCAAATAACATAGCAGCTTCCCGAAACCTACAACAAAAAACACACTTTCAATATGAATTCACAAGAAGACACACAAGTAGACTATATCACTAATGTACAAAGATAAAGAATTCATCAGCTTATGAGAAAATTCATATGAATAAGTTTGAATTTTGCCTCAAAATCTAACAAAACGTCAACTTTGACAATTCAAGTAAGTTCCTTTACACTAAAAAGCCATCCATCATAACTCATAAAGAACAATCATAGAGCTATCCAAATCTAAATTCAAAGGATTTGATTTATGAATTGAGATGATCCAATCAATCAAATACTCAATTGGAATTCACAATTGAACCAATCCATGACCAAATCGAAAGCAATAGATGCAGAGGATGAGTTTACCTATAGAATAAAAAGAGAGCTGAATCGAAGATTGACCCAGGAAGGAGACTGATCCAAAGAATCTCTTCGACGATCGAAGAAACCTTTTCCTCTTCCCGGAAGAATGATGATAGCGGTAATCAGACGCCGGAGTTTTTGAGATTGTTTAATCATATGTATACCCACCACAACGATGATTATGATGATGAAAACAATTGGCTAACGCAATTCTTGTAAAACGCGCGTTTCAACACCACGATTGTGGGTCGTAGTTATTAACCACGCGCCTGCGGCCTGTCTGATCGCGCCTTCACTGGTTTCACGTGACCACATCGTTTAATGTACAGTAAGTATAAAACGGAACCAAATCGAAATAAATTAACCGAATATGACAACAACTCAGTTCTTATACCGAATCATATGTAACCGAACAAAATAAATCGAAATTCAGTTAAATAAATATAGTGACATCAAAAGGATTATACTGATTAAAATTAAATTTTCATATACAATCAATTTTATTTCGGTTCGATTCCATTCAGTTTGATAAACATTTGGTTCGGTTCAGTTTTGGTTTGATTTTGACCTGTTTCCCAAAAATTGGAATCGAACCAAACCGGAAAAAACAAATGGACAGGACTCATTTGCGGTTTTAAAGATTTAGGCAAACTCTGTTTCGACGAAAAAAGGAAGCATTTTTAATGGACGCATTGGGTGGTTGCGGCGGCGCTGGTGGTTTCTGGGGATGGAATGGCTTCGAACAACGGAGAAAGAAGAAGTCTTCCGGCGATAGAGGTAAGAAAAGGAATTCTGGATCGTCGGATTCCGTCGATGTGAGCAGAGACGCCGGCGGTTATCGGTTTCCTTTGAAGCAAGCTGTGACAGCCGGCGCACTCACTTTCACCGGTGACACGATTGCTCAGCTATCTGGGAGGTGGAAAAAGAGAACCGCTCTTAAACAATCATCTTCTGAGCTTGACGAGGTTTGTCTCTGACCAAGTTTTGGTGATTTTCGAGTCATAGATTTGAATTTAGAGGTTTTAGTGAATGTTTTGATCATTTGAATATAACATGAATCGAGTTTCTACAATGGTTTAGTGATACTTTAAATGAAATTGGATCTTTGTATAACCAAAAATGTTGGTGAGTATGGTTGTTCAGTGAGTAGTGACAGTCTCTTATTAGGTTATGTTTGGTTTGAGTGCTTGTTGTTGGGGTAATTCATATTTACTCTCTTGGAAAATGTGTCTCGTACTTTGTTTGAACTTGGCTTGAGACTAAGGATTTATGATTGGATCCTTTTTACTTAGGGGGAATTGTGGAACATTTTCTCAGAACATGACTGGATTCGTGCGCTTCGGATGAGCTCTTACGGGTTTCTTTTGTATGGCCCTGGCTCTTATGCGTGGTACCAATTCCTTGATCATTCTTTGCCTAAACCAACCGCCACAAATCTAGTGCTTAAGGTACTATTACCTCTTAGACTTGTTTTGTTAATCATACTTAGAAGTTAGAACATGTTATGATAGAGTTTCTACTGCTTAAACCGATCCCTTTGTTAGGTTCTGCTTAACCAAGTGATCCTCGGTCCTTCTGTGATCGCTGTTATATTTGCTTGGAACAACTTATGGCTGGGAAAACTCTCTGAGCTCGGAAACAAGTATCAGAAAGATGCTCTTCCAACGCTTCTTTATGGTGAGATACCAATTACATAGAGTTAAACTTATACTGTTACATCGCATCGTTCATATATTTACTGTTCTTGGGATTACTGCAGGATTTCGCTTTTGGGTTCCCGTTAGCATCCTTAACTTTTGGTATGGCTTTCTTTCTCTATCATTATATCATTTGTATTTGGCGGTCGTTATATATGGTGTAGAGTCTGAATTAGCATTCTACATTGAGGTCTGATGAAAGGTGAAATTTACAGGGTAGTCCCGCTTCAAACGCGTGTAGCGTTCATGTCCATGGGTTCTGTGTTTTGGAACTTCTACTTATCTTCAACAATGAGCAAGTAGTTACATATATATTTGTATTCTTCAGCCTCACAGAGTGATAATATATCATTCTGAAAGTTTTCAATACAAAAGTAAGTCAATCTCGCTGCTCTTTCTCTACCGTTTCAACTTCGGTTCTAGTCGTCTTGATAGTAATCTGACTGCCTTCATATGATCTGTCGTGAACTTATGTAGCAGGGAGATGCGGAACTCATCAAGAAGCAGTTTAAAATCCCTGTCAAACTCTCTTAGGTTTCTATGGTTTTTAAGAGAAAGATAGGTTTCAGATTGTTAAATGTATCTCTGGTAAGAAAGTTTATTGTTGTTGACGATTAAGCAATTGTTATACCTCTCTCTCTTGCATCTTACAATGAAGATTTTAATGTTATAGTTTTACCAACACCTGCCATAAGTTAAAACCAAAAAAAAAAAAATTGGCATCGCATCTATATATATTTGATTTTTTATTTATTTTTATGAAAAGGTATATTCTTAAGTAAAATAAATAAGCAAAACCTACCAATGTCAATATCCATCTTTAATACTTTTTAATTGATTTTTATCAAAGGATATATCTTAAGTAAGGATATATCTTAAGTAAAATAGATAATCAAAACCTACCGATGTCAATATCCATCTTTAATACTTTTTAATTGATTTTTACCGATGTCAATATCCATCTTTAATACTTTGTAACTGCGTTAACTTAAGTTCTGCAATACTGTGTAAACGAAGAAAATAACAATGGCAAATATAGATAATGACCTAGAAGAGCGAAAGCCCCTGAAAAAACGACTTTCTCTTCGTTTCGAACAAGAAGGTCAATACGTCGTCAATGTGGAGCCACAACAGCAAGTAGAAGAGGAAGAGCTTGAAGCAAATAGAGAGCTGCCAGAGAAGTTAAAGAGCAAGATAATGGAGATGGGAGGCACAGAGGAGACATTAATAATGGAAAAACCATTGACTAAGACCGATGTGGATGGAGGTGAGTCGCGTTTGTCCATTCCCATGAGTAAGCTTTTGAACCACGATTTTCTAACTTCCGATGAAAAGATAAAGATCCACAAACGAATAAAAAGGGATAGAGAAGGAGGTTTAAGCGTGGAAGTGATCGATCCGAGGTTACACGTATGGAAGCTGAAGATAAGAGGATATGATGATGATATGGTGAAGAAAAAGAAGACGAGGAAGAGGAAGAGAAGGAAGACGAGTTCGATGTATCTGTTGGCATATAAATGGAACCATGTAGTTAAAGCTAATAGTCTTATAGAAGGTAATAACTTACAGCTTTGGTCCTTTAGGTCACAACAAAAGATATGTCTTGCTCTCGTCTTTCATTAATTTAGGGTTTTGAAACTTAGGATTTTCATTAAGCTATTTCTTTCATATATATATTTATTTATTTATAGTTTTTATTTCGAGAAAGTTTGTGTGTCAATTTGTTTTCTTCTTTTCCCAACAAAAAATAGCTCAATGTTGGACAAAGTAGTGACAAATTAATCACGAAAAATAAAAAATCAAGGTTGGATTGACTTTGGCCTTCAAACTGTTTGATTGCAAAAGATCAAACAAATTCTATAAAATGTTACCGTTTTAGGGAAAAAACACACTAACAACAAGTTTTACCGATTTACCAATAGACTTATAGACATTAAATGGAAGGCTCTTCTGATTCTCACTCCTTCAGTCTTTCCTTTCGTTGAGCATAGGCATATATAGCGCAACTAATGTGTTACTCTAATCAAACTCATGGAACAAAACTATCTGATCTCCTCTAAAAACTTAAGTGTTTTTCTTGAGTCAACTACTTGCGGGTGTTGTGGATATTAGTTCATGTACTGTATAATAACTTTAATTTTATCATTTAACTCTCAGTAACAAATTACTTAAAACTTTTGAATCTTATAACTTACAGTTTAATTTATATTCTCGTGATTGGCCAGTTTTTTTTCCACCATTTATGAATCAAATGCCTTTATTTACCATTTTCCGTATATATTTTAGATATTATTGTTTAATTCTAGACGTAATGATGTCTAAATTGTATCTCTTCCTGTACTGAGAAACAACTTGATTATGTTTTGAGATATATATATACGGGTACGGACAGAACTAATCTCTAGATATTATTTATAAAGAACCGAGTATTGTAGACGCCTTGATTGACTAAATATGTGTTTTACTATTACATGTAGATAGATTATACATATATAAACGAGAAGTAGAGAACGCATATGTACGTAAGACTAACCAACAACTCTTTATTTTGTAATTTGGTTTCGTGGTTGAGAGATATCAAATTAAGGTGCAGAGAGGTTGGTCACTTTTAGGTATAAGATGGAAATGTCTTACCACATGTTAAATATGAAAAGAATTGCTAAATAACTAACGAGTAGCTTATATACATTATTTGTTTATTAATGATGGCTCCACTCTTTTTCTTACGCTCCCTTTCGCGTCCACACGCATCTAGAGATATTCGAACTTTGGAAGAGCCAAAATGAAATAATATGTATTTTTATTTACGTTGTAATTTGTAAATATATAAATGAACAATAAGAATAAATTTTTGAATACATCATATACTTTACAGTGTACGCATCAAATGAAAATCCATTTATTTATGAACAATTTGAATTGTATAACGGAAAGAAGAATTGATTAATACACAAATATAATGGTGTATTATGACTTTATGAGGCTTGACCACATTTGAATTTGATTGCACTTTGTAAGTAGTGTGTTTAGTGTGTGGTGGAACAAACGGGTCCACACGTAATATACGAAAGCTAAGGGTATTAACGTAATTACATACATAGCTAATTACAAGGTTTAAATACCTAACCCCATTTCTTTGTTCACCATCTTCTACAAACACCAAAAAAGAAAGAAAACAAAAAGAATGACTGGAGAGGAGTTGTTGAAACTGTTCGAGCAAAACTGGTCGGAGAGATCAATCTTCAAGAAAGACAAAGAGAATCTGAATGGAAAAAGTCGAGAGAAGCGTGGAGAAACAGAGATTCTAGAGGACCAAGAAGAAGAAGAAGCAGTGAAGAATTTTCCGGTGAGCTTTCTTGTAGAAAGGGCTATGAGTGATGAGACGATGATGACGACGAGTTCCAAGACAAGTTTGTTTAGTTCTTCATCAGATGATTTGTTCTTGTCTCCTAGATCAGTCTTACCCGTTAAACCAACGCCGATGAAGCTTCAGACGATTCTCTCCGGAAAAGAAGTCAACGCGTTCACGATTGCGGAAAGAGAGAGAGTACTTTCAGAGAAGGAAGAGCAGAGGAAGAAGAAGAATAAGAGGAATGTGAGAACAAGAAAGGGAAAGAGTATGTCAGATTTGGAGTACGAGGAGCTCAAAGGGTTTATGGATCTAGGTTTTGTCTTTTCCGAGGAAGACCATAAAGACTCCGATCTGGTTTCGATTCTTCCTGGGTTACAGAGATTGGTGAAGAGAGATGATGGAGTAGTTCAAGTAGCAAAAGAAGGAGAAGAAGAAGACAAGAGCAGTGGAAACAGAGTAGCGAGACCGTATTTGTCTGAAGCGTGGGATCATTGTGGAGGAAGAAAAGGGAAGATCACGACAGAGATAAAGTGGAGAGTTCCGGCGCCGGCGGCTAACGAAGTTGACTTAAAAGATAATCTAAGGCATTGGGCTCATGCTGTGGCCTCGACTATTCGAAGATAACACTGCTTGGATTCTAAACATGCGAACTTTTTCTGTATCAATCAATAGGTTTTGATCATTTGGTTTCAAATTATGTGAATAAAGGAAAAGTCTGTTCACAAAAATTCGATTTTTGTTTGGTGAGAGAGATCTCGGATACGACCATTGACCAAGAACAACAGTGTCGAATCTATGATGAGGTTTTTGAGTGGTGGGCCAATCATATCCAATAATGCTCAACACTTGTCATATGGTTTATTGCCACGTCACTATCACATAATTCTCACACAATTGTTGTGCATAATCACGTTGATAACGACGTATTAGTGTATTAATATTCATCTCACATCTAGGAATTAGTGTATTACTATATTTTGTCTAGGCACTGGAAACTTATGTACAAGATATTTGATAAAATTTCATGATAATCGACTAAAATTTTGAACATAATTAACTGTTTTGCAAATGCTAGATAAGATGACCTGAATCCTAATCAAAATGTTGGTGGAATTTAGTTTTTTTACGCGATACGATCTTCACAATTAGAGCGTATTGAATCTTAATTATTTTTTCATTTCATAATCTAATAATGTTATAGTGCATATTCCCTTTAATATACACATACATGATAAAACCATAATTATATACACACAAAATGCACTTATAAAATAGTCTTAAAGTATACATACACATATGTAAACATTTTTAAGTTTATTTCAATATTTAGACTAAATCTACATATGCTTTGCTTTTTTCATAGGTGTAATTCATATTGCACTTGATCTAGTCGATGATTTTATATTAAACAAACCTAATTAATCGTGAAGAACTAGAATTTAATTGAATAAGTGTTCATAACTTAATTGAGCTGCTACTCATTCTGCTTCAGTTTCAAAATCTCTTCATTGAGATGATGCTCATTCTGCTTCAGTTTCAAAAGCTCTTCATCGAGCTGCTGCTCATTGTGCTTCAGTTTCAAAAGCTATTCATCGAACTGCTGTTCATTGTGCTTCAGTTTCAAAAGCTTTTCATCGAGCTGCTGCTCATTCAGCTTCAGGTCCATCAACTGTTTATGTATGTTCTCGTCTTTCGGGTGTACATACATCAGAGACCATGTTGTTGTTAGAAATCACATAAAAGCAGTAAACTTCCAAGCATAGACTACTCACTTGTTGTTATGCCAAAGCTATCGCCATTGCCCAGACGGTAAGCTATAGTTTTATCCAATTCCCTGTTACCAGGCAAGCAAATTAAATTTACCGCAACAGCACAAGATGAACATGCATTGAATATATAGATAATTACCTTGATTTTTTGTCCAACTTCTTAAGGGTTCTCATAAATTCAACTCTACATCGAAAAGAGAACACAAGCAATTATCAAAACTCAGCGTAATTAAGTAAGCTTTACTTATTCAGATAATATTGTTTGGTAAAGAAAAAGATGAAGCACCTGACTTATAGTTCCTCGTTCTTGGTAAAGCCAAACATCAAGCCATCCAAGAGAAAATCAGGATTTCAAAAGATTATCAGTCATAAGCACTACCAACCCTTAGCAGTAGTACAAGTTATAAAAACAGTATGCAAGCAAACCATTTCATTTCAGAGAAAGGGTTTAAGAATACCTTTAAAGAATCCTCTTCACAGTCTAAACTCGTAATTTCATCTAGAAGATGAGCAATCGTATTTTTTGTGTAAAGAGCCAACCATGCCTGCAAATAAGTAGAGTTTGTTCGTTTCCATGAAACAATTCGTCAAATTAAGCACACGCTACACCAAAAACTAAAAGAAACCAGTGGATTAAGAAGAAACAAACCTCGGGAAACATCATAGCAGCATCCTTCAATCCGGATTGATCAACTCTTTTGCAGCTGAAATCCTTATTCTCTGCAATTTCTTTGATACATTTGAGAGCTGTGTTCGCTCCTTCTAGTCCATATTTAAGACAAGTGATCCAATTCTCCAATCTAGCGATGTTTTGTACTTGATAAGAACATATAGATCACCCATATAATCAGAACACTATTTCTCTAACTACAGTGATCATGAAGATCAAATTTTGTAGGAAAACAATTTGTTATACAAAAACGTTTGTATTTTTTTGGTGGGCCAATCATTATTATGTATGTGTAAAATAAAACATTTATTTGATTTATTTTGTAACACTACTATCTCCAATTTATTTGGCGGGCAAACAATATAATATAGTAACATTTAGCATATGATGATTGTTGTTGGCCTTGGCCCACCACTTAAAAACCTCGCGGTAGATTCTCTTCCCCCCGATAAACGACGCTTTTTGTGTGTTTTGGTCATATAGTCCATGTTAGATTTCCTCTCAACTCAACAAAATTGGATTTTTTTTTTAAGTCATTGAAATTTCTAGACTTTTTTTTCTTTTCTTTCTTGAATCAAAAGTAATCAAACTCTCTGAACCTAAATTTTAGATCTCAACCACGAAACCAAACAATATAAAGAGTTGTTGGTTAGTCTTACGTACATATATGTTCTCTTGTATGTAATCTACATCAAGGCGTCCACAAAACTCGGTATCTTCATAAATTATATTTGGATATAAGTTTGGGTTTTGTTTTGTAATTCTAATGTGAAATAGTTTGTTTTAGTTAAACACGTTATCTGTAGAGCTCGTCAGTGTTTTTTTTAAGGACAAACAGTCAATCTAATGATGAAATAGTTTGTTTCAGGAAAAATACCATAAAAAGTTGTAACATTTTTCCAACTTTTCTAATTATGTTACAAGTGACTCCTTTGCTGGATACTCCATCATCGACGTTGATTAACTACTGTAATTGTTATTATGATCAAACCCTTTATATCGAGTATATATTCTTGATTCGATCAAATCAGATAAGCTTAACTATTAATTCCTTATAAATTGAAAACGTTAAATACACTTGTTTTTTTCTTCCTTGAATATCGACCGATGTGAGAACAAAGCTATACAAGTCTAGAAGGCGACATTACATTTTACACATATATATATAATCTAGTAAGAAACCTGCTTACCTATATAAACTATAAGTGATTTATGTCTATGGTTTCAGTTGTCTCCTCTGGAGGCGGAGTCTGGGAGTTTGAAGGTGGGGCGCTTATCCACGCCTCTTCGTGAGTATTCCCTCCATCTCCTGGCTGCTGCTGCTGCTCGCTGTGCTCGTTCTTGTACTTCTTCCTCTGTCACATCACATACATCGAAATGAGTAAATATGTATTTTATGATCATTAGCCAAAGAGGAAGAGAGTTTACAATCATCAGTCTTACCGCTTTTCTGGTAATCATTCTGTTTGCCCCAGAGGTTATCCCAATAGGAAGGTGTTTCATCTGTGTTTTTCCTCTTCATCATTCTACTTCTAGCTTGATTCTGAAACATAGGTAAGCAAGAGGTGATGTTATGTTCATCTAAAAGATTGCATATAGTTTTGCAAGGATTTCTACGGTGATGATAGTTCATACCAAAACTTTTGCTTGCCTCTTTTCCCATCGAGATCTCGCCTGAAACATGATTCAAAGATTGATCAGTCAGATGAAAAATAAAGAACAATAGGCTATCTTGTTTCACAAAGGAAGAACACATGGGCCAAATGGGAATAAAAAGACTAAGGAATAGAAGGAAAAAGACTAGGAATTGTTCAGCTCTTATCAGCTACCGAACCGAGCGGGTTTCTTTCGTTCTTACCATTCTGAAAACATCAACTGCTCCTGATCCCATTCCAGAAAGCATCAGAGCAACCTGATCAATCAATGACAATCCCAAGAGCTTAAATGCAGCATTTTAACAACAAATATTTAATCAAGAAACCTTAGCAATGTCTTGTGTTTCTTTTCAATGAACAATAATATAGCTACAAGAGAAATGCTCGTCTTACATTCACTCTTTCAACCCTTCGCATTTCATCTTCAAGCAATGACAACTGTGCAGCAGAAGTCTGATGGATACAATCAACAGGGCTGAAAACAAAACAAAAAGCCTCTCCTAATCAGTTCTCTGAAATTGCTCACCAGGATACTCCACTATCAGTTGCAGCATCTGCAGAATGTAAACCTACCATGTTTCAACTGCTTGCTGAACTAAATCTGGGTTGCCACGCTGATTACAGGCCCTTGCTCTTCCAAAGTCTTCCTCAATTTTAAATATATCTGGAGCCACATTGGCACAATTTTTGCAGCCTGTTAAACAGCAAACGCAGATGTAGTCACTTTCCAGATCATCAGAGCACTCAGCCTCAAATGAATTGCATTGAAGGAAATTGAAGAAAGAATACCTATACAAGCAAACTCATCAACAAAAACATGATCCCTTGGGGTGGAGTCATCAAGAAAAGGATTGATGGCAGTCACTGTATACCCATGGATTTCATCGTAAACCATACGCTGTACAGGGTCACTGAGAATCTGCAATGCAACGGTAAATCATTAAACGAAAAAGCACATAGACCTTAGTCCTTACCAACATTTACAAAATGTATATGGAAGTCAAGTAAAAACGCACCTCATAGATATCGTTAATGAACATGCAGAAATTTGTGGTTTCTGGGTCATTGCCACTCAAATCTGGATGGCAAGATTTCATACAGTTATAGTAAGCTTTCTTAATCTCCTCCTGTGTAGCATCTGGAAGCTATTGACATAGCAAAGGAGAGTGATTAAAGTCACAATCTTTGAATCTTAATGATTGAAACCAGTCTAAGGCTTCACAATTTCGAGAAAGATGAATCTAGCTACAACTATATATTATGCTGATGTACATCAAATTTGAAATGCAGAGTATTTTTGTATGATACACAAGAAATGAGGTATCATAAGCAAACCAAAAAAATCATAACTTTAAAATCCCTATATGGAATTATCAAATCGGATTGTAATTGATTTGGTTCTTACCAGTCCGAGAACGGCATAGTAATCATCGGCGACATCACCGGTGGAAAGAGAAGCAGCATCCTCAGTTGCAACTCTCAACCTTCCGATGGAACCACTTCGCCTCCTTCCGGCGTACCGAGGTAAGCCCCAAGATGAAGAAGCACCGCTTGTCTTCGCCGAGAACCGCGGCGACGCACCCGATCTGGAGCTAAGAACTGAATTCTGGAACTTCAAAAGATCGGTACAAACAGGAGAAAGTATCTGCGCCATTGAAGAACCTCACAAGACCGATCCGATCACTACGCCTAAAGAGAAAAATCTCGTTGAAGTAATTTCAATTTCATTTGTAGGAGACGATTTATTTGAATTAATATTTTATTATTTTTGTGAATAATTTAAGGCGTACAAGGGAGAAATGATGACGTGGCAAGATAAGAACCAGGGAAGCTTATTTGGAATCCGAGATGAATCTAGCGGCGATCGGTGATCGGCGAAAGCGTGCTTAGCCGTCTGTGGCACGTGTCAGCTAGTGGTTTTATGTGTCTCCTCACGCTTCAACTACCCGCCAAAATTTATATTTCTTTGCTTATCCTCACACGAAATTAGATACTTAAATAGCCAAAAATGCATGTACTACAAGGATTAAATTTCGATTTTTAGTTTCATTAACTGTAATTTTGTAGATAGGTAAATTTTAACACATAAGATTTAGAGGTAAACAAAACTGAGACAAGGGTTTTCTAAAATAGAAGAGTTTGGAGGACTATTTTAGCCAGTGATGTTCTGGGACTTGTTGAGAATGACTCCTTCGTATTTCACTTGGAACCATTTCATTGCATCGTCTTTAGTTACTCTGTGTTGGATACCAACACGAGCCTTGCATCTTCTGCGACGTGCCACACGGTAGCCAGGACGTTCTAGGACTACATAGAAGTCCATACCATAGATTCCAGTTGATGGATCGTACCTTTATAAGAATTGAAACAAAGATCAATGAGTTTCACCAAGAATGTGGCAAACCCAAGTGTTTTGACAGGATGATTAAGGGGATTGACTTACTTGATACCCAAATCAATGTGTTCTTGAATACCAAAACCGAAGCAACCAGTGTCACTGAAGTTTCTTCTGAGAAGTTCGTATTCCTTGACTTTCAATCCACTTTCAAGTAGCTGCATTGCCTTCTCACCTCTGACGGTTACATAGCATGCAATCTTCTCGTTACGTCTGATACCAAAAGAACGAACAGTGTATCTAGCTGCAAAAGCCACACAAACAACGATTCTTGAGAACTGCATTGGAAGAAGCTAATCCAAACTATGCCTCTCAGAGCAAACCAAAAGACAAACATAAAATGGTGATCACTAAAATTCCAATTAGATGAAGAGAGTGCACAATGCAACTATCTCAAAATCCAGGAGAGGGGAAACGAACAACTCAACTAAATTCATCCTAATTTGGATTGGTAGGCTTATCAAATTATCACAAACCACAAAATAAGGGACTGATCATATTCCAAAATCTCAAATTCATCATCAAAACATGCACCCATTCATTGTCTTAAAAACTTGCAAGACTGTTCTTTTTCCAGTAATGAACTATGTTTCCCAAATTCTTCTAGATTACTAGTATATCAAAGCAGAGTATATCTGAGACTAAGGCTTTTAACTAGGAGAAAAATCTTACCTTTGGAGAAAACAGGAGTCTGACCACTCAATTGTTCCAAAACCTGCAAAGTAAACACAAATCAAATGATTATATCGAAGCCACCACAAGGAGAAATTGAAAACCAGAAAAATAGGTAAATAACAGGAACCTTGGAAGCTCTGGTGAGACGATCTCCACTTTCACCAACGGAGATGTTGAGAACCAGCTTCTGCACTTTAATATCCCTCATTGGGTTCGATAGCTTCTTCTCCGACGCCTGAAATTTCAAAAGTAAGGAAACCGTCAAATCTCTATCTATCCACACACACATTACAAAATTATACAACGAAGAACTGAGACTTGCCATTTTGGATTTGGGTTGCGAAATTATCACCGGCCGACGGGAAAGGAGAGACGGAGGTGGAAACGAAGGATGAGTCGGGGATTAAGAATTAAAACCCTAATTCTAAGTCAAAAGGACAGCGACTAATTAAATGACAACTTTACCCTTAAATTTCGAACAAGCCCACGCTACTCTCACGTGACTTTCCCAAACAGACTACTTGAGTCCTTTTCTTCATCACTGTTTTTGCTTTACTCTTTCCTCAAGGAGAAATGGAGGAGATGGAGTCACTCCCTTGAATTGCTAAAATTTCTTCGTCTCTTGTCTCAAACTTCCAAAACCCTAGTATTCTATGTATCCACATTTTATCTCACGATTAAATTGGGATTGAAAACGGAGAACTTTCTTTGGATTTAACGACTCTGTAGCAACTAGCCACTTTAGCAAGGTATGTTTTTTTCCTCTGTTTCGTCTTTTTAATTTCTATGGGAATCAATGTGATTGAAGAGATACATGAACAGACCTTTGAACTTAATTAACCATGTCTAGTTACTGTTTCTGAGTCCAAATTGTTGAAATTTTCTACTTTCGATCACTCTGTGTTTTAAGGTTTTGGTATCAATGAATGCTAAAGATGTAATCAGCCGTCTACCAGATGAGGTTCTTGGGCGTATTCTGTCTTTTATCTCCACAAAAGAAGCTGTTTCAACGTCAGTACTCTCTAAGAGGTGGAAGAATGTCTTTGTTTTGGTTTCCAATCTTGTCATTGATGATCGTCAATCTGTGCCTAAGACTAAGCAAAACTGGACTGACATTCACAAAAATTTCATGGTTTTCGTCGACAAATTGCTAGATCCGCAACGCGGTTCTTCTATAAAGAAGCTCACTCTAAAGAGTCATGTCGGTGTTCGAGGTGGCACTGACTCATCTCGCATTCAAACTTGGATTTGCAACGTTCTTGACCATGGTGTTGTGGATCTTGATATGTTCATCACTTTAAAAGGAAAATCTCCACCAGTGCCTTCGTTGATCTTCAAGAGCAAGACATTGGTTAAGCTGAGACTAGGCCGTGGTTTTACAATCAAGCTTTCTCAGGATGTTTCTCTTCCTATGCTTAGGATTTTATGTCTTGACTCAGTTAATTTTGTTGGAGGTCATAACGTTGTTGGAACTCTTATATCTCGTTGTCCCGTTCTCGAAGAATTGGTTGTTGAGGAGCGGCGATGTGTAGATTGGACCTGTTCCGTGTCTTCTCCATCTCTAAAGAGACTACACATCCGATTTGATCGCAAGTTTACAAGTATTTCATTAGATGCTCCTAATCTTGTCTACTATAAACACTCTGGTTATGTTTTGGGTAAGTATCCAAATGTTAAGTTGGATTCACTCATCGAAGCTAGACTCAATCTTCGGATGGATGAAAGAAGAATGCAGGGAGTTAGAAATGGAGACGGTAGCATTCCCGCTGATATAAGAAATCTCATCAATGGAATTAGAAATGTTAGAATCCTTCACTTATCTAGCCACACTCTAGAGGTAAGCCTCCTCTATATATATTCTTCTTTTCATATAACATTCTTTTTTTGGCTCATGGAGAATGAGAATCACTTGTGGCTTTTGATGATTTATTTCAAATTTTGTGTTATTGAGTGACAACAGACTAACACATTTTGTTTTGTTGAAGCTGCTTTATTTTTCCTGTAAAGAAATGCCATTGTTCGACAGCCTTGTTAGTCTATCTATTGGGAATGACAAGGCAAGAGGATGGCAAATGCTGCCACTTCTGATCAAGAACTCTCCAAATCTAGAAACCCTCATCTTCATGGTATCTCATCATGACACACATACACAAACACATCCTAAACGACATAGATATCGGTATAGGTCTTTAACCTTTCTTTTTCTTTGTTATGCTTCAGGGTCTCGATCACTACATAACAAACAAATGCGGGGATGTATGTGTCTGCTATGACACCGAGGAGAGCATAACGTCTTGCCTATCATCATCTCAAGTGAAGGTGCTGGAGATATTGAGCTATCAAGGAACGACAAGAGAGCTGAATCAAATGAAGCATTTCTTGGAGAAGCTACCGTGTCTTGAGCTGGTGAAAATTTGCACGGTAAACAACAGTAATAACTTGCAAACCACTATGGAAATGAGGAATCTTATGATGCTTCCAAGAGCTTCATCAAAGTGCAAGATCGAAGTCATGGTTTTATCAAAAAATAAATGATCCAACAACAACTTCCAAGTGATGTGATGAGTAGCAAAACATTGTCATATACTCATATTATTATTATTATTATGTGTTTAAGTTTAACTCACCTGTAATATGTGTGATGAAATAAGTTTGAGTTCAATGAATCCAGAAAGATTTTCGTCATACATATTTGTTTTCTCATCTCCTCTCGTGAAACCTTTTCTTGTTCAAGATCTTTCAAACTCTCAGCCATATTCAGAAGCAGTAAATGTACTTGAAGCATCAAAGATCAGAAATTTTGTTATATATTGATATACTTATACACATTCAAACCCAAGTCTCGAACACATATAATTATAAATATACATTACAAAACCTAAACCTGACTTTCTTTTAATCTGTTTAACTAAACAGAATCTTTCGACGTACCACTCTGTTCTCTACCGGTGGCGTAAAGATACCGGCGCCAAAGATCTGAAAGAAGTTCTGCTTCAGATCGGATTTGGGGGTTTTTGTGATCTCGGAGAAAACGGATTCCGTTTCCAATGGAGTTTGTGTTGAGCACCACGTCAATAACAAGAGTCGCAGGAGCTTCTTTCAAACGCTTCATGAATTGGATACACCTTGAGACCTCCGGAGAATTTTCATCACTCGCATACTTAGCCGCTCGTTGTGCAGCCTTGAACAACTCCAAGAACTCCTGCTTCTGCATCACTCTTCCTTTCTTGATCTCTCGCTCTCTTTGAATTTAAGGTTTCGAAGCAAGAAAATGAGAGAAATTGATGTGTTTATATCCAAAAAGTCTGTACCGGCTTCTGATTTCTTGCCACGCAAGCTTGCCTATACTTTTTTCTTTTATCTTTCTTGCCTATAATTTTGCCTTTGCATAAATTTCTGTATTAATTTTACAAAAGTTAAAATTTTATCTTTCATGGAAATTTCGTTTATGCATTTATATATTTTAAGATTCGAATAAATTCTCAAACAATGAGAGTACAAAATTTATGAATAAATATTAGTTTCTAGGATGGATGAAAGATTATTTTAAGTTTCTAAATATAAAAAAAATGTTTATAACTCTTAATTCAGATTTTGAATTACTTCCTGGATTTAAAAAAAAAAAAATTACATGGCTTTATCAGTATCTTCTGAAGAAAAAGGAAAATATATTAACAAACAGAGTCGAAAAAAGGAAACTTGGGGCAGACTTATAACAAAACCTATCTGGTCTTGGATTTGAGTATAAACACACCAGAGAGGAACCATTCCAACAGTTTACCAATTTCTCTCCTCTTGCGTTGCTTTGAAACCCTAGTTAAGTCGAGAGAAAGAGAGAGTAAACACATACAAAAGACCGATAAAGAACAGAGAACGATGCAAAAACAAGAGTTCTTGGAGTTGTTCGATGCAGCACTTCGAGCGGCTAAGTCTGTGAAAGGTGTTAAGAATTCTCCAGAGGTATCGAGGTTTGTTGACGCCATGAATCGTTTGAAGGAAGCTCCTGAGTCACTTGCTTGTGACGTGGTCTGCACAACCTCCATGGGTAAGGGTTTGAGATTCTTCAAAGATCACAAAAACCCTCAAATTCGATCGGAAGGAAGGCTTCTTTGGGATCTTTGGACAAAGATTATTCACGCTTCAGGTAGAAAAAAGAGCCGTGATAGAGAAACTCCGGTCAAGATTCCGACGGATTCAACAATGAAGAAGACTGGAGATTCAAAACGAGACAAAGTGCGTGAGATTCTACAAACATCTTTGGCTAAAGTCGCTAATGAGGTTGTTGACACAGAGATGAAGACACGACTCACTGCTTGCGATCCTTTGGTTGTGGCTGTATCAGTGGAGTCTGCAATGTTTGAGAGGTTAGGTTGTTTCATGGGACCTCAAAAAGCAAAGTACCGGTCGATTCTGTTCAACATGGGAGATAGTAACAATCCAGATTTGAGGAGGAAAGTGTTGATTGGCGAGATCGATGGAGAAAGACTCGTGACAATGGAGAGACAAGAGATGGGGAGTGAGAAGATTCAGAAGGAAGTTCAAAGGATTAAAGAGAATGCAAGATTTAAGGAAGAGAGTCGAATGAAGATGCTTCAGTCAGCAGATATGATCATGACTTAGTTAGCAGAGATTTAGTCATGAGTTCCACTATTGTATATTATCAGTGTTCTTGTCATAACTCGAAATATTATTTGATTGTAATTTCAATACGATGATTGGTTCAAGTTCATGAATGTTGTTTCTAAATCTGCGTTTAAAAGACTCTCTTGGCTGAGAAGGTTTCCATAGAAGAATACTCGACAATGACAACGACACAGTGAAGGTTTTGTCATAAACCAAATACAAAGACTTCACAGTCAACAGTAATTCAAAAGGAATTAGCAAAACCATAAGTACTACTCAATAGTCTTTTGTTTTTTTCTTCAGTTAAAATATGGCTTGGATCTTGCAGTTTGAAGAAGCTCTTGGAAGCTTCAAAAGATACTGTACATCGATGGGCACTTGGATGTTGTTTGCAGCACGAATTTTCACCAGCTCAAGAAATGGTAACTTCATTAGGAAATGCCTCATTTGGTTCAGCTCTCTTGAAGTTCCTTGATAGAGAGATATCTCCAGCACCTTCACTCGAGATGATGACAGGCAAGACGGGCTCTTCTCCATATAGCCAGAGCAAACACATGCATCCCCACAGTTTGTAGTTACGTAGTGCTCTAGACCCTGAAGCATAAAGGAGACAAAGTTATAGACATATTGGTAGATATGACGTTTAGGATGGGTTTGTATATATGTCATGAGATACCTTGAACATGAGTGTTTCAAGATTTGGAGAGTTCTTGATCAGAAGTGGCAGAATTTGCCATCCTTGCTTCTTGTCACTCGCGATAGATAGATAAACAAGGTTGTCGAACATGGGTAAATCTTGACCAGAGAAGTAAAACAGCTGACAACAAAACCAAATCAGCTTAAGTAATACAATATTTGAATCAGAACCTCAATAAACGAATCTAATTTTGCCATCAGAATACTGTAACATAACAAAGATCTTAAGTGAAGTGAAGACTGACCTCAAGAGCATCACTAGTTAAGTGAAGGACCTTAACATTTTTGATACCAGTGATGAGATCCATCATGTCAGCAGGAACTAAATGAGCAGATCCATCTCTTAGTTTCTGTAATCGTTGTTCTTCCACCCAAAGATTGAGTCTAGCTTCAACGAGGGAATCCAAGTTAACATTTGCATACTTGCTCCCAAATATACACGAATGTTCCAAGTAGACGAGACTGGGAACATCAAGCGAAATGATGGGGATATTATAGAATCGGATGCGTAGTCTCTTGAGAGAAGGAGAAGAAACAGAACCACACCATTGTCTTTGTTCCCATCGCTGATCCTCAAGAACCAGTTCTTCAAGCAGAGGGCAACGAGGCAGAAGAGTTTCAAAGACATTATGATCTCCATCAAAATCAACAGTATCAAGACATAAAGTCTTAAGCATAGGAAGATAAACATTTTCATGAGAAAGCTTGATTGTGAACCCACGTCCTATACTCAACTTAACCAGTGTGTTGCTCTTGAAGATCAACAAAGGCACAAGTTGAAATTTTCCTCTGAAAGTGATGAAGAGATCAAGATCCGCAACACCACCACGCGCAAGCACATTGCGTATCCAGCTCTGAACACGAGTTTGGTTTAGTAAATATTGATCATCATTGAGATGAATCTTTAAAGCGAGCTTCTTTATAGGCGACTTGCCTTTCCGATTGAACAAACTCTCAACAAAAACAACGAATTCTCTCGGGGTGCCACGCCGGTCTTGTCTAGCATAATCAAGGTCAAGACTGGGAACAAAAACAAACACATCCCTCCACCTCTTAGAGAGTGATGAAGTTAAAGCAGCCTCTTTTGTGGAGAGAAATGATAAGATGTGTTCAATAACTTCATCTGGTAAAGAGCTGATTCTATCCATTATTACTCTAAAACCCCTAAACCACAGAATGAAAAAAACACGAAATTTTCGACAACTAGAATCAGAAAACAGAGTGGATAAGTTTCAAAGTTGCCTTCTTTTTGCTGTTCCATCCATTGCAGAGTATTATTGTCTGTTTTCGACCGAAAGAGAGATAGTGATCAAGCCATCGATGCCCAAAGAAAAGAGATACCTTGCTAATTGCAACAGCGGCGGCGGCTAAAATTCACGAAAGCTCTTCAAATTCAATCCCAATTAGGGTTTTGGCTATCCGATAGAAGAGACGTCGAAAATGTAAAATGATGCAGTGCAATTAATAAGTCTTTTGAGTATCAGAAAGACGCGCCGAGGCCGAGTCGTATGACTACTAAAACGACGCCGAATCGTCTGGCTACTGATACGTCGCCGATTAAAAATATAAAACACTCGGTAATACTTTGGGCTTCTTTACATTCATTATGATGAGGCTAGAAATCATAATTGTCACAACTTTGGTTACAGATTATTAAATTGATCAGTCTTATTTGATTCAATACCTACGAAATAATTTTTTTTATTAAGAGATTGCTATGAAGTTGTAATGGGAAAGAAACAAGGGGACAAAATTTATGATGTTCTTATTCAAGTGAAGGGCCTTTATGGGAAGCGGATGATATGCTCTCAAACAACAAAAACAAAGGAGAAAAAGACAGAAGCCAATTCGATCAATTGAGCAATAGACTACCTAAGAGACAACAAATCATAATGTTTCAAAGATTCAGTATTTGGAAAACAGTTTAATCAACCTTTCCGGGATAATTAAGATTTTTATCTTTTGGAGTCTACTAGCTCACTTGAGCTGTAATTTGGTATGGAGATCCGCTGCTCTAGATAACGACTGTATCGATACCGGATAACCCTTTCCCATCTGCAAAAAGCAAATCTTTTAGGCTTAATGGAATCCAAAAATGTTTCTACAAGGAGACGTTGGGTTTGATTTATAAGCTTACCGTACTGCATAAGTGGAATGCATTCACATAACCAGCATATTTTGAAGCTGCAGAAAAAAAGTAAAGAGAGTACTCTAATCAGCCAAACAATCATCTCTCGACAAAAGTTACAAGTTCCCAGTATGACTTACTCTTTTTCAATCCGGCTGGCTTTGCTAGCAAAAGAGCGTTCATAAACGCACCAACATTCTCTCGTAAAGCCTCTTCAGGAAAGCTCATCTGGTCGATGTTTTTAGGAAAGTGTTCTTTGTTAAGAATGAAGCTAATGAAATTCAGATAAACTTCAAGTCTTTGGGAAGAGATGTCACCTTTCCAAGTGGCACATGAAGAATAGACGTTTTATCCATTCTGAATTTGGTATGTCCAGCTTTTGCGTCTTTGACTGCTTTCGTAACATCCTTGGTCACACTACCTTGCTACAACAAATATAATATTCGTTCAAATTTATTTAAGGGCAAGAGGTAAGCATACTGACTGATACATTAGAGTAAGATGCTGAGTGAAAGAATCAAACTCACTTTCGGGTTTGGCATCAAACCGTGATTGTTAAGAATCCTTGATATCTGCAAAGAAGCACAAACCATATGTATGTTATAAGAGAAGATATCGCCTCCATTATGTTCCAAAGAATTTTGAATAAGTGCTCAAATCCAAGAACCTTGTAAACACGGGGCATCATTTTTGGAGTTGCAAGACATCTATCAAAGTCGATCTTGCCGCTTTCTGCAGATGGAGTTAAGTACAGATAAATAATCTAACATTGGACCAAAATTCGACAAACAAAAAGATTGCTCAAGAAATGAGATAAGTTATGGCAGAGCGAAATGCAAGCATGTTCAATTAGATGTCAGAAGTGAATTATCGAAGGAGGATGAAGTCATATGCATTGGTTCATTACTCAAGATTTCTTCAATAAGCTCAAGACCACCAACGACATCAGCTCCTGCAGCTTTTGCATCCTCTGCATCAGCTCCCTCAGCAAAGAAAGCCACTTTCACATCCTGGACAAGGAAGATCATTTATTGTGTTATATATTTATATTAGTGGCTGGTAAACAGAAATTCCCATAATGGATTAGAAAGACATTTCTTTTACCTTTTTAACAGAGTGGGGTAGAGCCAAAGTACCACGAACTATCTGCAATTTAAACAGTGATAGCAGTCAGTCTAGAGATAAAGCCAGGGAGACGATTGTTTTCAGAATAAATGATTAGGAATAAACAATCAAAATGCTAAGAATGTGATCTTTTATTAAGAATAGGATAGAGAAATTTATGTATTTCCAGAGAAAAGAAAGGCATCAAATACCAGTTCAGATCTGCCTTTTTCAATGCCCAACCTCACATGCGCCTCAAGAGTTTCATCAAATTTCGCCTTGGCATTGCCCTGAACCATTGATAAAAACAGCATCAGAATGAAAACCATACGAATAAAAGGGATGCACAAAATTGATGAGTCCATGTTTACGTTGAAGCACTCTATCCTCCCTCACTCTACTTGAAAATCAACACAGCAACATCTATTACCAATTTACAGAATCCACAACTCTCCAGTACCACCATTAAACAAAACTTGCATGATCTATTACTTATTTGAAGTAACCTACGTATAAAACAAGTGAGAGTTTAGCCCCATCTAAACTAATCCACAACGTCTAACATATCTTCCAAGACTCCTTATTTTCACATTATATAGTCAAATGATCCTAATCATCGTAGCTTCCTTTATAATACTCATTTGAAGTCTCCTAACTACCAAACAAGCAAAAAATTTTAATCCTTTTGACACTAAAATATTCATGGAACCCTAAATAGTGTAGCTTCCATTCTATTGCAATGGCAGCTCACAATGAGAATCCTAACCTTAATCTCTCTAATGGCCTCCATGAGATCGAAAATAGGTTTCTTTCCATGCTTCAGCTCTGGTTTAAGCAAAGTTGGCAAAGGAAGTGAAGAAGTATCTTCTTCAACAGCATTAGCTCTTAAGAACCTTCTTCTAGCTCGATTCTCTAATTCAATCCTCTTCCTTTCCCTCTCCATCTCCTCCGGAGTTCTTTCTCCTTCATTCTCACCGGCGACGCGATCCTCCGGAAGCGGAGCCACACGCTGAGCGTAAGAAACAGGATTGATCGAAGGAGAATCTTTCACATATCGGATTTCTTCACGAGTCCAGTTCGATGATTCCGGAGACTGAAGGTTCTCCGTCGATTCAACATTTGTGGGTTCAGATTTCGGATCCTTGGGTTTGGCGGCGTATGATACTGGCTCGATTGTAACAGGCTTTTTGAGAGATTCGTTTGAATCGGGAGAAGGATTCGAATCGGATGATGAAGAGGAAGAGAAGAGTCTAGGGATTTGTTGAAATGGAGATGAAAAGGGTTTGATTAGACCTTGGCGGCGAGCTTGAGAGAGTAGAAGCTTCATAGCTGCCATTGTTGTTCACTCACTCGAGGTTTTTCGTGTGTAATGTGATTTTGGGGGTTTAAGAGGATTTCAGATTTTTTTAACTTTAAAAGTTTTTTCTCTACATGTTATAAAACTTGAGGGACTAATGATATAAATAATTTGAGAACTAAAAGAAAAAAACTCTTATTCACAATTAATAACCAAATCTTTTGTTATCTCTCGAAAATGTAACTATAGTTTTGTATAACATTCGATCACTAGTCATGGGTTTTTTTTTCTTCTTCTAATATTATTACAAGCTAACAACAGAGATTATGAGAGTGAGGTCGTTTTGGAAGAGATCAAAAATGGCTGAACTGTCCCAACAATAACTCGAACATGTCGTCGGGAGTTAGAAGTGTCGTTCCTCCGATAACCAAGTTAATGTCCGGTCTTCCGCTCTCTGACACAGCCTCTTGAGCTTCCAAAACCTTAACCATGGAGGAAACATAGACAGTTATTGAAAATAGAGGCTTAAAACCGGTGAATGCTAGGTGAATTTTGTAGTGAAGAAACTCACCTCTCGGCCATTGATACCTCCAATGACAAAGACAAGAATGACACTCTGGTCTGCGAGGCTTGGTTTTGCCTGCAATCGTATTACCAAACATTAATGTCTATCTTGTGGAGGATGGGGTGAAAATGAAAGTAATGGGTAGAGAGAAAGGTCTAACTAACCTGACCAAGACCAAACCTTCCAAACCCGCTTTTAATAAACCTGCCGACAGTAGAAGAATGGTATTCTAAACCGGGTATCTCTTGTTTGCTCAACACTTTTGTTATAAGCCTGTTGAGTAGCCCTTTGTTTCCAGAAGGATCGCCGGGAAAGCTGCTCTCTGAAGCCAAAGATCCTTCTCTTAATGGTAGATTCCTTGTTCTTAGACTCGATAACTTGTGGAGAAACCTAAACAAGCTGTCTACTCTATCACGCAAATCCAGTTTCAGCTGCATATCGTCATAGGACTCGTCTGCTTTACCATTGTCAACTTCTTCTTCTTCCTCGTCACCCCATTTCCCCCATGGATCATCATCAAGAGCATCAATGTCTAATTGATCATCAGATGGAATTTCTTTGGTTTCCTCGGACTTGAGACGATTCAATCTGCCCTCAAGCTCTTCTGTCAACCCATTAAGAAACTTGAGATTTCCTACTGATGGATTCTCGAGAACAGCATCGACAATGGCTTCTTTTAGAAAATGCTCTTCTTGCCAAGAGAAAGGCCCACCTGAGCCAGATGTAGGGAAATTCTCGCCAGCAAGAATGTAACCAACAATTGTAAGGAGTAGGGCGTCACGGAAAGATAGCAGCCCTCGTGATGAGGAATCTGGTTTCTCATTCTTCTTCGCTTGAAGTTCTGCCAGAGCGCTTTTGTTGATGAGGTCACTAATTTGAGCAGCCAAACCCTGACTCGTATCACCAGCACTTACGTTTAACATCATCTCTGCACTGCTAAAAGTATCCCATTTGGCACTTTGAGATTCATCAAGAGCAGCGGCTGTAGCTGCCGCTAACTGAATAATCCCTTTGTTTTTCAACAAAGATGACTGGCTTTGGGACAATGCTCTTATCATGGCTTGGAGCTCCGGTTTTGTAGCATAACCAGGACGAGCTCTCACATTAACAGAGATATTTTCGCGACGCAGAGCCTCTTGAAGCCATTTCTTCACCAGTACACTTCCATCCTTTGTTTTCCTATCAATCATGGCCTCTAAGTAAGGTGTTCCTCTAAAACATTCAGTAGCGACAAGAGATCCATTTAGTAGTTCAGTCCAGTTGGTGGTAGATTTCTTGTCACATTCATTAAGCAAACTTCCATTTTTCGGATCAGAAGTGTATGAATCCCAGCCACGTAAAAAAGCTTCAATTCCTTCAGGAAGACCAGAATCCTGAATCTTGCTTGGTTCTTCATTAAGCAGTTCCCCAAGCGGCACTTGAACATCAAGAGAAGGACGATTGATGCTTGGGACCCCTTGTTTAAGCTGTGCTTGTGAAGAAAATCTTTCTGCCCTAGGCAAAGATGAAAAGATACGATCGAAAAGTGAATCCCCGTGACAGCAGGGAGTGATAAGATCAAGTGTGCGGTCAACAAGTAACAAGCCAGCAGATCGCTTACGACGCCCTACATCATAAACACTTGACATGTCTGTCAGAATCTTCCCAACATTCTTCGATAGGTCGCCAAGTGAAAAAATTTCCAACTTCAACTCCATCTACAATTTTTAAAAAGCAACGACATGGTCAGAAACTTAAGAAAAGGTACTAAAGAAATTAAATTATTGAAAAACAAGCGAAACAGATATCTTCTAGTGTTCTAGCTCACGTACTTCATGGACATCGTGAATAAGTTCAAAACGATTTCTGCATTGTTAATTTACCTTAAGGGCCAGCTGGTAAAGAAAATGTGCGGTAAGAGTTGCACCAGAAGGAACATCATCAGCATCAGACATAGATCCAGTACTTATGGGAGGCAAACCAAAACTAAGAGAATCCTCATGTTGACGGGACAAGGACGCTTCTGCGACTGATCCTTGGGAAGGTAAGACAAACGCTCGAGGAGTGAAAGGACAAATAATCAAGGGGAAGTGGTGCACCGAGACTACCAAACCTTCTGCACCACCTGATGAAATATCTACATTTTCGCTTGCAATAGGCTCCATAGTAAGGGATTCAAGTGCAGAAGAGAACTTAGAAACCCCTTTGTCTTTAGATATTTTGTCGCTTTTCTTAGTATGTTCATTGTAATCCTGAACAAGTAACGTTTCGTACTCTCTGTACGCGTCTGGACCTAGAGGTAAATCAGGGATGGCTGAGTGAGACCCCTGTACAACGTTCAAATAACTGAAGTATTAGATGAGAAATATTCAGTGATGCAAGAAAACAAACACCTATTTTGAAGAGTCTTATATATGGAAAATTATTTTGAAGAAAAAGCATAGAGAACCAGAACTGCTAAATCAAATTAAGCATACATTACTGTCACTTTGATATTTATTCTAGATCCGCCAATATAAATGTCCGGAAAAAAAGAAATAAAAGAATGAGACCAAGGATAGCATTTAAAAAGAGCACCTCAGAAATAGACGTGAATACGGTGCAGCGCTGAACACCTTCATGGGTGGTTAGACACCGTAGCATATATCGATGAGCATCATTGAGAAGCCGAGATGTCATAATCACAATTCTGTTCGCACAATCAGTCTTTGAATTCCAATCAGCCACCTATAGCGAAAAACAAGCATCAAAAGTCACATCATATACCAGAAGTCAGAAGATATCTCACTTTCTAGGTAAAAAGATTCCCTTTACACCAACAGTATGGAATCAAAGGAAATCAAAACAGAACCATTACAAGAAATAAACAAGGACTACTTCAGAAAGACAATCCAAGTACAGCCTAAAGCTATTCAAACTCGAATGCCAAGATCGCATACAATAGTATCAGTAAAATCAATGGAAATAGAATTCAGTCTTCCCATTGCAGCATAGATAACAATCTTCCCATTCTTTATCTAGATCCTCAATTACCAACACTAAACATAGATTGATCCCATCTTTCTAAACCAGCATTGTGAAGTACAAAATTTAAACCGTAACGAGCTTACCGCATCGAGGGAAGTCATGTTTTCAAGACTGCAGACTGCTCGAGCACCTAGTTCCAAGAACAAAGGGAAAGCTCCCACAAATTGAAAACTTTCTGTGCAGCCAGCATCGATATACACAATGGCATCTTTAACATCCTCTTCTATCTACAAAACAAACATTTCAAGATATTGATATAATCAATTACTAGTATTACGATAAGGTACTTTAACATTTCCCAAGAACACACAAAAAAAAGGAGCAAAATAAGATCATGGAGAAATCGTAATGATTAAGGTGACGCAGATCAAAACGGATAACAAGATGAGAAGAAAGCAAAAAAGGGTGAATTCCGATTTCTTACTTCGCGGATCGAATTTAGACAAGATATCGCGACATCGATCAGAGCCATTGCTCTCAGCTAGTACGAGAAATGGATACAATTGGTCGAAATAGACTGAAATCGCCAGCTAGAATCAAAATACTATGAGATGTGTTGTCTCAATCAGTCTAATGCCTGAACCACCGGAGAAACACTGATCTCGCTTCGCCGGGATATCTCACCGACGACGAGCATCGTCTTAGCTTGATATCGTTCGTATGATCGTTTCACTTTGTTGGGCCTTTTTGGGCTCTTAAGTAATCTCTGATTGAACATGGGCCATGGAATATTAGTTACCGGGTCAACACTAAAATACTAAAATTAAATAAGAAAATATAGCATATCGATGTCCTAATCACATTTCAAAATCAAAAGGTAAATATAAATCCTATATGTATTTATTTATATTTCCTTCCAAACTTGAATTATTCTCAACGGAAAAACATATAAACTTTGAATAGCAACTGGATTTAAATTTAATATTTGGATTTACTAGTGAACACTAGCATATTCTACGGCATATAAGATTAGTTCGTAATTTCATTATCCAAATAAATTTAAAAAGTGTCTCTCACGATTTATAAATAAGCAAATCTCAAATGCGTTAAGTTACACACACAACATTCACACAATCAAATCATTACCATCAATCATGGTCGAGCCAACATGGGAAGAGCTTCTCGGTCGAGACAATTGGCAAAACCTATTGGAACCACTTGACCACTCACTTCGCCAACTCATCCTTCGAACCGGCGACTTCTGTCAAGCCACTTACGACACTTTCATCAACGACCAAAACTCCATCTACTGTGGAGCCAGCCGTTACGGTAAACAATCGTTCTTCCACAAAGTCATGCTCGATGATGCTAGACACTACGAAGTCGTTTCGTTCCTTTACGCTACGGCTCGTGTCAGCGACCACGAAGCCTTCTTCCTCAGCTCCATGTCTCGTGAGTCTTGGGACCGTGAGACTAATTGGATTGGTTACATCGCGGTCACTTCTGATGAACGGACGGCTGAGATTGGGAGGAGAGAGATATATGTTGTGTTTCGTGGGACGACGAGGAATTACGAGTGGGTTAATGTGATGGGTGCGAAGTTGACTTCGGTTAAAGAACTGTTGATGGACGGTGGAGATGGTCCTGAGGTTATGCTTGGATGGTTCACTATTTATACGACGGCTAATCCAAACTCACCTTTCACCAAGATGAGTGCACGTTCGCAGCTTCTCACCAAGGTAGTGAAAATTTATAATTAAATTATATTGATCGTTAGAGATTTTCTAGTTAGTCATCATTTTTCAGATTTTTGTGATATGGCTCGAATCCAAATTAACGTTATCAAATATTTATTAGGAAATAATTTAGATTCGATTCAATTTGTTTGATTTGAGTAGATGCTATGATTAACTTGGTATGAATTAATAGATAAAAGAATTGCTAGAGATATACAAGGACGAGAACCCTAGCATAGTGTTTACTGGACACAGTCTAGGTGCAACAATCGCGACAGTCGCAGCATTTGATATTGGGGAAAACGTTACAAGCGGTTATGGCAACGTGCCGCCTGTGACGGCTATTGTTTTTGGTTCTCCGAGAGTTGGCAACAGAGAATTCTCGGACAGAATCAAGGGACATAACAATGTGAGGATATTGCACGTGAAAAATGAAATTGATCTCATCACTCGATATCCAGCTAAGATAATGGGGTACGTCAACATTGGGAACAAACTCAAAATCGATACGAGAGTTTCACCTTTTCTTAAGGAAACCCATCATCCCGGTGATTGGCATAATCTACAGGCGAGTCATTCTATTGTGCTTAAATTATGTCAATCTTAAACAAAATTCAAGCTAGTTCTAAATGTAATATAAACGAGTGAGAAACTTTTGTGTTCATTTACATTTTGCAACTCTAGTGATATAATTTAAGGTTTTTAGAAATCTGAAACTTTTCGTTGATTTGTTTAAATATGAAAAAAAAAAAAATCGTTTGAAACCACCAATGTAAGTAGAACCGAAATTGGTGTTAACGGTCATGGTTTGGGTGGATGCAGGCGATGTTACATGTAGTAGCCGGATGGAACGGGAAGAACGGCAAATTTGAGATGAAAGTGAACCGAAACATAGCATTGGTTAACAAATCATGTGCACTATTGAAAGAAGAATGTTTAGTTCCCGAATGTTGGTGGGTCGAGAAAAACAAAGGCATGCTCAAGACCGCGGATGGTGATTGGGTCATGGCCACTCCCGACGATGAAGACAAGCCCGTCGTCGAGTTTGATTAATAACAAACAATTTGTGTCTTTTCGTGTGTGTCTCTATTGATTTGGTTGAATTTTCTTTTCTCTATTTGATTAATTGGGTTGATTTTTACTCTCTTTGTGTATGGTTGAGAATGATGTGGAAGTTTGTGATATACTATATGCCAATAACAATCCCACACCATGGATAACCTTTTATCGCTATGGACATAAGTGGGTCAGCCCCCATCATCACCACAACCACTTGTATAAAGTAAAAGAACTTGACTAAAAAACAATTTTGTTATATACCCAAGACTCCAAGAGTCAAGAGTCTTTTATTATCTCCTTACACACACCATTACTCTCAAATGGCTACAACAACATCATGGGAAGAGCTCTTAGGCTCAAAGAATTGGGACACTCTCTTAGACCCACTAGACCAATCACTTCGCGAACTCATTCTCCGTTGTGGCGATTTTTGTCAAGCCACCTACGATGCCTTCGTCAACGACCAAAATTCCAAGTACTGTGGAGCCAGCCGCTACGGCAAATCTTCCTTCTTCGACAAGGTCATGCTCGATTCTGCTTCCGACTACGAGGTTGCAAACTTTCTCTACGCCACAGCTCGTGTCTCTCTGCCCGAAGGTTTGCTTCTCCAATCACAATCACGAGATTCTTGGGACCGTGAGTCTAATTGGTTTGGTTACATTGCTGTCACGTCTGATGAACGGACTAAGGCTTTAGGACGCCGTGAGATCTATATAGCCTTGAGAGGAACGAGCAGGAACTATGAGTGGGTCAATGTTTTGGGTGCTAGGCCCACTTCAGCTGACCCGTTGCTGCACGGACCAGAGCAGGATGGTTCTGCTGGTGTGGTTGAAGGTACGACTTTTGATAGTGACAGTGAAGATGAAGAAGGGTGTAAGGTGATGCTCGGTTGGCTCACTATCTATACATCTAATCACCCCCAATCGAAATTCACCAAGCTGAGTCTACGGTCACAGTTGTTAGCTAAGATTAAGGAGATTCTATTGAAGTATAAGGACGAGAAACCGAGCATTGTGTTGACTGGACACAGCCTGGGAGCTACAGAGGCTGTTCTCGCCGCCTATGATATAGCTGAGAACGGTTCCAGTGATGATGTTCCGGTCACTGCTATAGTCTTTGGTTGTCCACAGGTAGGAAACAAGGAGTTCAGAGACGAAGTAATGCGTCACAAGAACTTAAAGATCCTCCATGTAAGGAACACGATTGATCTCTTAACTCGATATCCAGGGGGACTTTTAGGGTATGTGGACATGGGAACCAACTTTGTTATCGATACAAAGAAGTCACCGTTCCTAAAAGAATCAAGGAATCCGGGGGATTGGCATAATCTTCAGGTGAAAATCTGTCAGGAAAATCTTTCAATTTTGACAATGATACAGAGTAGAAACTCATTTTTATGTATGTGCAGGCAATGCTCCATATTGTTGCGGGATGGAATGGGAAGAAGGGAGAGTTTAAACTGATGGTGAAGAGAAGTATTGCTTTAGTAAACAAGTCATGCGAGTTCTTGAAAGATGAGTGTTTGGTGCCAGGATCTTGGTGGGTAGAGAAGAACAAAGGACTGATCAAGAACGAAGATGGTGAATGGGTTCTTGCTCCAGTTGAAGAAGAACCTGTACCTGAATTCTAAACTGTATTTCTGTATTATTTGTTTTAAATTCATGTTAAATCAACAATAAGAAGTTCAACTGTGTGATGAAAAGACCCGAGTTATTTATATTGATATGAGTTTATGAGATGAGTGATTCCATCAACCGAACAAACATTCAAACGGTTTTGCTTTCTTACATCAGAAAAAGATTCTTCTTGGCAAAGTTACGGCATTAGATGAAAGCAGTGATTCTTGTTACGTATTACATCAGTAGAACTTGGCTCACTTCTTTCCACGAAGTTTAGCTCCAAGTGCTCTCTCCAGCTTAGAAAGGATTTGCTGGTTTGGGATTGCTTTGCCAGACTCATACTCTTGAATCACTTGTGGCTTCTCATTGATGATCTACACAAAAAGAAACAAACATATGTTTTTTTGTCAGTGTATCGAGTTACATACAAAGGGTAATAATAATAGGAGATATAGAGATAGCGGTTAAATACTTGAGCAAGCTGGGACTGGGTTAGCTTCTTGTCTGTTCGGGCTTGCATAATGGCTTTCTTTAGCTCAGTAGGCACACGTTCATCTAGATTCACAATTGCATAAATCAATACATGAAGCTTTAGCATCCAATACACATCAATCAATAATAAGTTCATCTCGCCAAAACCATCAAAGACTCAGGCAGAAAGATAGAAAAACTCTAATCATGTAAGAACAGTTTACCAATTTGTGGGACACTTTGATTCAAGAAATGAACACATTTACAGAGCCTGAAACTACCATATTCAAACCACTAGGGAAATCAATTCACCATTAGTAAAAGCAAATGATTAAAGAAAGATAAGACTTACGAGTAAGGTTCTCAGTGTCATCATCAAGCCTTTTGGTGTTCAAAGATGTGCCGCTTGATGCCGCCTTGTTGGTTCCAGCATTGACTAATCCCAACACACACAAAATCAATGTTAGATGGAAGCAATAACTAGAAATTGCACATAGACACAACAAGATTCAACAACCAAAATCAAACCAGTAGAAATTATCGACCTAACATGATCAACAACTAAATCAGCAATACATATACATCGGAAATTTCAATTGACAACGAATATCAACCCTAAATATATCCCTTATCAGAAATCACAATAACCCCAAAGGCATGAAGCTCAATCAAATCGCACCTCCAAGCTCCAATAGAAAAATCAAGGAAATATTATTCTAGAGAGCCCTAAATCAAACCAGATAACATCAACAGGAGCTAAGAAAGGTCTAGAAATTAGGGAAAACGAAGAGGAACGAACATTTTCTGACGGTCTCGATATCGGCGCCGGCTCGGCGAGCGGCGTTGACAGTTTTGTCGTCACGCTTGGCGGCGGCGTTAGGGGCTTTCTTACGGATCACCACCGGCTCCCAATCCTGAGTCATCGGTCCAACTCCAGCCATGGTTTCGTCTCAAAGTTTTTTTTGTTCTGCAACCGCCTTTTGACAAAATCTAGGGTTTCTTTCTCTGTAGGTGAACGAACAGACAAAAATGAAAATGAGAGAAAAAGTTGGAATAAATTAGATATAGAAAAGCCGTGCGTGAGCTTCACGCTACTTTGATTATTTTTTAAAAATTTCTTTATATTTGAAGATAATAATTGGTTTACCAAAATTACATAAACCTTTCCATGTAACTTTTTTATCTAAAGAATCTAGGAAAAAGCACTATCAAAATTTTTATTTCAATTTTTTATCACCACTGTAAAGTATATGTCATGTATTTGTATTTTCAAGTACACCTTCCAAGCTATTTACTAAAAGAGGTGCATAAGATAACTCATCATCTCTTATACTATATATATATTCTTAACCTGAATATAAAAATTTTAAATGGATGTTGAAGGTATCTCGGATCAGTCATTAGCGGATTATAGTATCTTATTTTTAGAGCAAATAACAATGTACCGTAACTAAATTTATAAAAATGATATATAATTGATTTACGGTATAAAAAAATTCACTTTTATTCATCCGTATTACTACAACAACTTATAAATAGTAAACAAAAAACGGTTTAATCCGAAAATAGTTTTGTTCATCGTATCTGCCGCAATCATTAATACTCAAATCTTTTTATATTGGAATTGATCAATAGAATGAAACTATTGATGAATACTAAAGCCATATCCACATGAATTGTGTGTTTGTATGTGTAATTATGAAAAAAAATTGACCAAGAAGTTTTTTGTTGGTATTAGAGTTGGTGTGGCGTTTATTTTGCTCTTTCGGTTTTCAAGGGGTGATTTAGTAAATGAGTAAATGGGTCCAAGTTGAGAAGAAATATCTCGTGGCGCATATGGCAACACAATTAAGAATATTGGATCCTCTTTTAATTTTTTTACTCTCTTTTACTTATTAAAAACAAAAAAATTACTTCTTCTTCTTCTTCTTCTTTCATCGTCTTCAACTTCTTCTACCGAGATTGATTCTATTTCTTCCGGATCTTACGCAACCACTCTCACCTCAAGGTTTCTTTCTCCTGTGTTCGGATTCAGTTTCGTTTGATTTTTTGCTCTGTGGCTTGCCGTTTTAACTCTCGACGCATTCGTTTTTTTTCTGGTTATTTTGAGATAATCGAATCTCCGATTTGAGCTCGAATTTTGTATTGAATTAGATTACATGTCCTTCATCTGTGAGATTCTTAAGCTCTTAGATGGTAAATTGCTGATTATATTGTTAAAATTCGATAATATCAAGTTTTAAAACCGAAATGGTGAACAATGAACATTTTGATGTTCTGAATTGTATATGTGCGATTAATTTCTCAAGTTCAACTACTAATGATGTTTTCGTGATTCAGTGATTATGTTTGGTTTTGAATCCCCTGTGCACGATGCTCATCTTAGTGCATTTGATTGAATATAATTCTCATATCAAGCTTGTGTTTTTTTTTTGTTTTTCTTTGACTTGTTTCAGGCAGAAATGTTTCTATGTTGTAGAAGAAGGAAATGGTTATAAGTTTTGAAGATTTAGTATCATCAGTTGTGTGTTAGAAAAACTTGGAACGGCTCGTTTCCTCTGTTATCTTTGACAGATTTGGAACTGGATTCAGATCATGCCTTACTTTGCTCAGAGGCTTTACAATACTTGCAAGGCGTCCTTCTCTTCAGACGCACCAATATCAGACGAGGCTCTCGAGAAGGTTCGCAATGTCTTGGGTATGATTACATGCACAAATTGTTCAATCTTTGTCCGGTTTTCAGTTTCTCGCATCTGTTATTTTGGCTAATGATTGTTATCTTTTTGAGTGCTTGTGACAATGACCTTTTTTATAAATTGTTTGGCCCACAACATGTGAATTAGTTTATCTGATCATTCTACAAATTACCTTATATGAGTGTATTAGTTAAGGGTGTTGGTGGCAGTAATCATAGATATATCACTTTATTCTTAAATGCAGTGGTCCCCTGTTGCACTTACAGCCTTATTTGTAATCTATGTTTCAGAGAAAATCAAGCCATCTGATGTTGGAATCGAGCAGGAAGCTCAATTGGCACGGACCAGGTCTGGTCCTCTCAATGAACGCAATGGAAGTCATCAGTCTCCCCCAGCAATAAAGTATCTTCATTTGCATGAGTGTGACAGTTTCTCTGTAAGCTTACTGATTTGAAAACTATGGCTGAATAGTCTTAAAAGTTAGTTATGATTACTGATAGCTACTACAAGAGAGTCAAATGTGGGTGGGGTTGAAATGGTGCATCTTATGTGATCTTGCTTAAGATGACTTAGATAGAACATAGCATAAGAGTCCCATTCTAATTTTGGTTTAAATAAGAGTGAACCTGCTTGGAATAATATGCAAAAGCCGAACTTTCAGTAGAGATAAAAGGTTCAATGCTCGATAGCCTGAGACGATTTAGTTGATATTTAATATTCTTTTTTTCCCGCATATTCGAAATTAGGGGAATAGGGGGGCATCCAAACATGGTCTTTGAGAGAATCTCAGGAACCCATCATTCAAGCCATGAGCCTGGAGTCTGCAAAAAGCCTATGACAAATGATCTAGAAAGTATGAGTAAACACAGTTCGAGTCAATTCTGAGTCTGTCTCTAGTTGGGTGTTTTATCTTCCTGATACTGCCACCAATGTTTATCTCTCACTTGGTTCATTTTGCCTCTGTTGTCAAAACAGATAGGAATTTTCTGTATGCCACCTTCCTCTATGATACCTCTTCATAACCATCCGGGCATGACCGTGCTAAGCAAGCTCGTTTATGGTTCAATGCACGTGAAGTCATATGATTGGCTAGAGCCTGAACTGACCGAACCAGATGATCCATCACAAGGTAACCATCGTCTTTCTCTTACTCTCTCAGTTTTTTAACTAATGATCACTCTTCTGTTCTAGTTGTGAACTCTTTGATTCATAAGCAGCAAGACCCGCTAAACTGGTGAAGGATACTGAGATGACGGCTCCAAGCCCAGCAACAACATTATATCCGAAAAGTGGTGGCAACATTCATTGTTTCAAAGCCATCACCCATTGTGCTATTCTTGACATCTTAGCTCCACCTTACTCTTCAGAGCATGATCGGCATTGCACTTACTTCCGGAAATCCAGAAGAGAAGACTTACCAGGTAATACAACTAAGCTCCCGAAACACACGATTCTCGGTTAGTATATGCTTATAACAAGGGGTGTTCAATCCAAATAAACTCCCGGAAACCCGATCCGAAACCTAGTTAGAATCTTTGATGAGTTTTAGTTGCATTGTGAATCAGGTGAAGTAGAAGTGAATGGGGAAGTGGTCACAGACGTGACTTGGCTTGAGGAATTTCAACCGCCTGATGACTTTGTGATACGACGAGTTCCGTACAGAGGTCCTGTTATTAGAACTTGATGATATCTATCTTTACTTGTCACATAATTTGGGCGGCTTCGGATTTTTATTTATTATTTATATTCCTTTCGGAAATAATTTGGGGATCTTTTATGTTGCAAACGGGATTGTACATACTAATTTGTGATACACCGTGTGTCTCCGTTTCATTATATCGCAAAAGATTTCTAATGTGGTTTTGTCTTCGGTCGGTACTAGACTTTTCTAATGGCATTTTTTATCTTTACAAAATCCTTCTGTTTCGTTTTGCATAGTTGTGTATGTTCCTTCAAATATGATAAAACCTTCCATAAAGGTCAAATTCTGCTTAAGACTAAAATATATCTCCCTCTACCATTTCAATAAAATTTAACTCCTCTCGTTATTTTTTTGTCGTTAGATATTTAGCTCTCCACTTTTTCCCATACGGTTCTCATGAAGAAATCAGAATTATCGATTATTTATGATGATGATGAGCATGATGTTGAACAACCAAACTAATTCAGTAATTCGTAGTAGTTAAGTAATTGAACTTGAAGCATGGGTTTAGGGACTAAGATCCAAAAATTTCCATTGCGATTTCAATACTATGGACGTTTAAATGGTACGAATATCCGAATTTTTACATGTCTTGAAAATAGTCTAGATTTCGGTCCAGATTCTTTGGTTATAAAAAACACAAATGTTTAACAACCAAACATGGATATGGTCCCTAAACTAGACCTAGACCCAAAGACCAAGATTATAATAGAATAAATAAAGCATTTCGGGGTAATCATGGTTGAAATGGACGAGTCTTTGAGACATAAATTGTGAATTGTTAACATGCTCATTGAGGTGTGGATACCCTTTGATCCCAACGACCCAACCACCTTTCTAGCTAGCCACAACAAAAGTAAGCATGGAACCAACTTAGAAGAGAAACCAATGTTACATTGTTAATTCGTTACTCTATATTAATGCATTTTAAATATTTCTTATGAGTGCTATACTGCTATCAATAAAACTCCATCTCCAAATTAATTTATAAATTTGAGAAAAGAAAATTGAAGCTAATATAATCATGGTCCTGGATAAAGATACGTAGGCATGTGATGAGGAAGAATTCGAAGACGGTGCCTTATTTTGCGGCGATTCTTTAGGGCAACATGCAGAATTTTTTTAGCTTCTTGCATGCATAATAAATAAATATATCAACTGGATCAACGTCCTTTTTTACATTTAAAAATGGTTTTGTACATATAAAACGTCCTCTAGGGAAACAGTTGTTATATTTTTTGTCAGGAAAAAAAAGGTTTGTACATATAAAACGTCATTGAATGCATGAAAAAAAAATCCTCTGAAATGGAAAAAAGGAATTTTCTTGGAAAGAAGTAGAAGAACTCGACAAAAGATTCTCTTAACCAAAGAAATTCATGTCGATTAAAGATAATCAAGAACTATTAAAACAATTTGAAATTATATATTCCATAAAAGAGAGCATGGGAAATGGAGGAATTGTGAATGAAGTGTCGGTACGTAAATAAGTTAGGACAAAACAAAGTTTCCTCATCTTTCTTAGTGCCCACATGAGTCTCTACGATTCCTTCTCTCCCATGAATGCTCGCTTCACTCTTAATTAATTACTTCGAATATTTGTCCTCTCTTCTCTCTCCTATCCCCTCCTCTCTTGCTTTCTCTCTCTCTCTGTCTATAGCCCTATATTTGAAGATCCATGTAAAAAGTCTTCATATAAATTCTATAAAATTCAAGTTGTGTGTGTATATATACATATGATATGACTACGATCGTTGAAATTTGATCCCATTGCGTTTTTCATATATGTTCCAAAATGCTTGTATAGATATGTGTGCATAGACATAGAGTGTCGGAAAATTGCATCGGGACGGTTTATAATTAATTTGGTGTAGGGTTTGAGGTCCTTATTAATTTCACATGAAACTTGGTTAAACTTTGTAAAAAGTGTTTGTACTTATTTATCTTGCTTTGAAATTTATTATTTATGATTAACGATAGCTTATTATGTCTACAAATTCTAATTCAATTCAAAAAATGACAATAAAGACATAGATTGCACTCTAGAAAGAATGTTACGTTGCTTTTGAATAATCAAAAAATGGCAATCGAAGACAATATATATACGCTTAACTATTAATTAGTTAACCTCTCTCGAATTATATACGGATTCTTTGGTAAGCCCTACAAAATCATATAGTTACCCAATTTCGAAGAGAAATGAAATAGTATAAGGAGGTGTGTTACCCAATGCCCATTGAAAAGGGTCACCAATAATAAAACCAAAAAGATAAAGACAACTTCTGTTTTTGTACATACGTGAACTCAAGAATCTTTGGGAATCACATCCTTAACCATTTGACAAAACTCCCTTCTCTCTTAAATTTACAATTAAGTTGTGTTTGCAAGCGTTGGGATTGAAGACCGTCATCTATTTAACCTAAGTATATGAGAAAAATGAATATAGATCAATAATAGTCACGATATGAAAATTGCGTATAAACGTTTCATTAATTCCTCCACATTGTAATCGATTGAGGTAGACAATAATTTGTCCTTCTTGTCTATCAGGGTTCGAATAATCAATCGGATTAGATCGATAGCTCTCATATTCTATTCGATAATGCTAATCTGATCTTTTATTTTAAGTTGTTTTGGAGAAACTAAAAAAGTGGTCTAATATGACAAAAGGGTATAGCGTAGTCTCCGGCAAAGGTCAACTTAATTGATAGTTAATTAAAGAAAAAATGTTACAGAAACAAGGGTGGTTTGGTCGGATTGAAATGTTTAATACATCATTCACAAAACTACAATTCTAATGACACAAAATATTCGACTGCCAATTGTATATACACATAGACAAACCAAGATTCGTAATATCAAATATGTGATTATTTAACCAATTTAAATAGCTTAGGCATTATCACATTATATATGAAAGGCATGTTAGGTAACAGCAGAGTTTTTTTTTTTTTTAATTAATGATATAGTTTTTGGAATCTGAATTCATATTTAACACTCACCATGTATTCAAATCTTGTTAAAATAGAGAAATTATTTTTAAGAAGTAAATGCGATAAGTTTATATGTCTTTGTCATTAAAAGAACAAACGGATATTTTTCTGGTATGTTAACAAAAATGAAGCAAAACCTAATAACTAATGTGATTTCACCAAACGGAAGATTCCAACACACTTTTCCATAAAAAACACATACACTTACACGTAAACATGCATGACATAGATAAGAATATATATGTCTACATATATTATAGTTTATGACAAATAAGAAGACTATACAATAATGCTTAAGTGTATGTTTATAAGATCATAGCTAGTATTATTGAACCCAACGCCGAAATTATCACAGAGATAGAGATGACTATACATATATAACTAGAGATTTAACCTTTTTTTGTTCGTTTGAGTAATTGATCTTGAGAGCTATCTAAAGGCACTCTCGCCGGAGAGACATGGCCGGGACATCTTCGCCGGGAAAATGCTCCACGTGGCTTGACCTGAACAGAGAAGAGACGGTGGAGAAGAACAATGAAGAAGAGTCATCAGTTGAAGACGAAGAGCAAGTCACGAGTAGTAACAACGTTAGACAGTATGTTCGGTCCAACATGCCTCGGCTTCGTTGGACGCCTGATCTTCATCTCTCCTTCGTTCGTGCTGTCCAACGACTAGGCGGTCCAGACAGTACGATTCTTTCTCTCTCTCCACCTCTCTTTTTTGCTCTTTCTCTCTCGGCTTTGTAATGTAATTGTTGTGTGATTTTAAAGGAGCGACGCCGAAATTGGTTCTTGAGATGATGAATCTGAAAGGATTGAGTATTGCACATGTCAAGAGTCATTTACAGGTTCACACCATAATCTCATCGTCTGTTTCTCTAAGATTATCTCAGTTTTGTTCTTCTTTTTCAATGTTTTCTTGTTTCTTATTTCAAGATGTATCGAAGTAAGAAGCTCGAGCCGTCATCTCGCCATGGTATGTTAAGTTTTGATCTGCAGACATTTATCATTCCTTCACTACGTTTGATTTCCATTGATGGAAATGACTTTTAAACAGGATTTGGAGCTTTCATGAGTGGACAAAGAAGCTATTTGATGGACATGATCGACTCTCGATGTATCCCTTACGGCGATTTAAGACATGCCTATAACTCTAACACCGTTCCTTCGAGGTCATTCATAGAGACAAGTTCCAGTAACTAAAATGTTTCAGATTTGTAGATCCGACCAAGGAAGTTAAAAATGCATTCTTTTCTGTAGGGTACTCAATCAAGACGCGGTCATTACAAATCTTGGAGGTAACTTTCTTATGCGACCTTCAAGCTGGTTTAGCGGGTTATGCAGAAATGATCGAGATAACACAGAGAACAAGACTCTGCCTCTGCTCGAGGTAACTTCTGCCTTCTTTTCGGTTTAAGAGTTATAGAGGAACAGTTTTGGTAAAAACAATGAAAGATATTGTAATCTTGATGAAATCTTATGCAGATTAGGAAGACGATCAATGAGAAAAGAGTCCGAGATGAAGAAGTATCATCAGTCAAACGATTGAAATCAATGTCCGGAGGTGGGATACAGTTACCTGAGTTTGGAAATTGCAGGCAAAAACCAACAGATGATATCAACACGATGCTCTCACTCTCTCTGTTCTCGACATCATCAGGAGACCATAACATAGCATCATCCGACATAGTAGAGAGATGAAGTTTAACTTTAAAGAGATTCAAGAGTAGAGACTTTTGTTTTCCTTGGCCGTTTCTTGGGATGAGTACTTAGCCAGGATCTGGGTCAGGCTTGAGTCAGATCCTGTAAGTACTTTTCTTCGAGGTTGTGTTCTAAGAAAAAAATCAGAATCATTCGATACAACACCAATTCTAGGATGCAACAAAACACATGTAATAAGATGTTTCCTCCTCAAACCCACCAAAACAATACATGGTAAGTAACTAGTTTGATGAAATAGTAAACGATAATAAAAGTCCTCAATGTATTAGTATAAGAATCATTATGATGAATTGATGATACCTTGATAAGACAAAGTCATAATCAGTATCCAAAAAATCACTCAACCAGAAAGAATAGAATACTTAGTTATACCGACATTAATCGAAAATCTTGTTTCCTAGGTTCACCTCCTCTTAGTCTTGGCTTTCAATCCACCACCAGACTCATTAATGTCATTCTTTAGCTTTTTCGACTTTAGCCCATTCTTACTCTTCGCTTTCTGCTTCACAATGTCTGGATTCTCACTCACTGCAGACTTACTACTACTCATCTTCTTCCTCTTCTTCTTATCCCCAGAACCATTGAGATCACCTGCAACCTCATCTTCTTCAACATTTTTTTCGATTTCATCGTCACCAAGAGTCTTAGATACATTACTATCCATATATCTAACCTCATGAATCCTTCCTTTCTTCTTCTTCGTCTTCACACTCTTACTACTATCATCAACATCATCACTTATAACTAATTCTTCACTATTCCTAACTTCTTCAACACCAGAAGGATCGATCTTGAGCTTCAAATAAGGCACTGACTGATATAGAGTCAAAGTTAAACTCTCAGATAACTTCAAATGCAAAGATCTTATGTATTTCCACTTACTAGGCAAAACATCAACAACTCCATTCAAAGTCGCCATCACATTCTCAGCGATTTCATCGCTTTCCATCGACAATTTCGCAACTTTGATCACACTACAAGTCCCAGTCCTCATGAAGAACATAGCAGCACCACAAGCTTTCTCAATCTGCTCTTTCCAATTCTTATGCTTCAAATCAATCGCCACAGGAATCTTCTTGCTAAGAAAAAACTTCTTCCCAATCAATCTCGGCAACAGAGGAATCACTCTCCGATCTGAGAAAAACATATCGTATGAATCACAAAGCTTCCGTTTCGATTCGAATGATCCATAATCCGATTTCAGCTCCGAAACCTTAAGAACTTTAGTGATTGGTATGTTCTCTGATTTGATCTTCTTCTTCGCATCTTCCTTGGTGAGACCACTTTCCGATCTGTCGTCGATGATGAGACAGAGCTCCGGCGAGTCTTCGGTAGTGTTAATAAGCGGATGCGGGAGAGGAATACGATAAGCGTTCGTAAAATTCCTTTGTGGAATCTTCTTTAGAGCTACGACTAGGTAAAAGAATTCATCTTCCTCTAGAAGCTGTGGCTTCTCCGTCTTTGATTTTTTGTTTCCCTCTTTGACCAGAGCCTTAACTGCATCGTCCACAGTCTTGGGACTTACTCTTGACATTAGTGACGGAGTAGCTAACTGCTCCGGTAGTTGTGGTGGCGGCTGCGGCTGAGCTGCGGTGGTCGGAGGAAACTAAAAGTTATTTAGGGTTCTGTGAAGATTCAGGGTTTTAGGGAGGACGAAGACTTTAAATCGAGTTTGTTTTGGGTTTCTAAAGGCCCATAATATTAGTTAATGGGCTTACTTATGTTGTTTTATAAATTGTCCACATATTTTGCATGGAAGATTTTCTGAAGATGATAAATTGATAAGATTTAAGATATTTAGGAAATTATGACAAAAGAGGGTAGTTTATCAATTCAAGAAATCTTTTCTATTTCATGTAAATGAAAATTTATTAAATATAAATTTAAAACATGAAATTAAATTATATAAAATATGAGTATGTGGTAATATTTGGCTGTCATTTATCATACTTGTCTAAAACCATAATCACCATACTTACCTAATAAATTTGATGCTAATTATTTACTATATGTAATTTTATATGCAAATTATTAAATATACACCTGGACAATATAAAATCACTAATAATTTTTTTTTCTTTATTTTCAACTTTTTATTCCTTTCGCAAAATGTTTTATTCCTCTTTTAGCTATTTAAACTATAAAAACCAATATTTATTTATTAAGAAATAATAATTACATTAATTGAAAATATAAATTTTTAGATAATAAAAGAAAAGTCTCATACGTTTCTTTTATGAAAAGTGCTATATAAATGAAGGGAATTTTTTTGATAATCCTGTGTGATATCTTATTGAGTTCACTGAGAGAGTATATGATAGAAATCTAAAATATAAGTGCAGTGTAAGGTTCTTGACAGACAAAGAAATAGCGGCGCTACCAAAACTATGATGATCTGTTGTTGTTGTTAACGTGTAAGTATCATAATCAACATCAATATTGAAGTAAGATGAATTCTCTCGAATCATTCTTATTGCAATCTTTTTCGAAGATTGAATTTCTATACAACATCCTCAGGCTTGAGTTTTCTTCTCAACTACTCTTTTCAAAAAAAAGTTCATCCTCATTTTTGTCAAACTCTTCTTAGATTCTTGTTCATTTACATCATCCTCTTTTTTAAAAAAAATCTATCTCATATATATGAACAATCTGATAATATATTGTCATTCATATCTATCTCAAAGATGTTAAGATGAAATGGATGACAAAAACAATCCATGTAGGTGTTTATGTAGCTGACAAAAGTGGTCTAATAAAAAAAACATCATGTGGATAAGTGCTTCTCGGCACGTGACTCATAATCTCGCACGTGACTTGCTTCTCCACTTCTCTTTGGCTTCACTTTCCGACTGTGATTTTGTTTCTTCCGCCATCAAAATCAAAACCTCCAAAAAAATCCAATTTTTTCTCATGAATCTCTGTTGCAAATCTCTATGCATATACGTACACATACTCTCTGTGTGTGTACGTATAGTTCTTTGTTGCTTGATCATGGTAATCTTCAATTCTCTCTTCTGTCTTTATCTTGTTTCGCAGTGCGATTCAAGCAGATTGATTGTTGGAATTTGGAATTGGGAGGTCGTTGAGCTGCTCTCGGTGAGATTTTTCATAAACCCTTATTCGTCTTTTGCTCTTTAGCCTTATCTTCTGGAATTTACTTTGAATCCATCTTTGTGGTCGAAGTTGGTGGGATTTTTCTTTGAAATGGATAGATTATGCAGGAATTTGGAATTTTGCCACCCAGGTCTTGGAAATGGGAGCTAACTGTTGCAAATGTTGCCAAGGATCAGTTGAATCGGTTCACAATTCCACCGCCTTGACGTAGGTTTTGATGCTGTATTATTAAAGCTCAACACTTTGAACAAGTTTTGTAGGCAGTCTTTGAGAATTACCTACTAATTAAAAGCTTTGATAAGGAATATATGGAATGCAACTTAGTATGTTACTGAAACATGCATTTTTTATGCAACAAGATATCAAAGAGGAAGTATTGACGTTTTTATTTACTTAACCATTCTGTTTTTGCCTATGCAGGTTAGCTGACCTAGAGGTCCAAGCTACTGCTGACCTAGAGGTCCAAGCTACTGGTAAGCGAAGTTTGATTCTAAATGTTCTGGTATCTATGTTTTTTGGTCTTTTCTTGAGTGAACCCTATGGGCTAAGGAGACGCTCATGTGATTTTAGACCTTAGGGAGGTGACTGTGGAAGAGACCGGAGATGATGCTGGACCATCAGAACCAAATCCACCAAGTCCTACCTCGAGGCCTTCACAAGTTGAGGAGATATCCAAGTCTGTTGTATGTGTGGGAGAAACCTCTAATACTAACGAATCACCCAAAAATCTTGTTCAAGATCGGCTGTCAAGTTATGAAGCATCGAATATTCTTTGGAGTACTGGGTTCTTTTCTGACCCAATCCCTAGTGGTTTTTACTCTGTGATCCCGGTAAGCTATCTTTAGGTTGATATTATCTTTGTCCAATAATACTTCAGTTAGCTTTATTAATACTTGGTTACGTGCTGCTGTTTGTCAACTATCATTTTCTTATCTTATTATGTTGTTGAGTTTTTCAACAGGTTGAGAGATTGCAGCTTTTTAAAAGCATTCCTACAATGGAAGTAATTAATGCGCTGGGGAAAGAACGTTTTAAGGCTGATGTAATTTGTGTAGATCTTAAGAACGATATACAGCTTGTTATGATAATGGAGTTTTTCATCAAATCTGTCAAAGGAAAGGACTCAAAGGAAGTTATCAAGAAAACTGCTGTAATGGTAAGAATGGGCTAGCAGTATCTATCATCTCTTTTGCTAGTGAACTAACTTTGGCTACAATGCATATCATTTTGTTACTTTTTCTTATCGCTGCATGCAATAAATATTTGGTTCTAAATAAGAAAACAAATAGCTTTAATCTCATTTAGTAGATTCTTTAAGGCACATCACATTATTTAATAAACCTCATTATACTCTTTCAGATATCGGGAAATCTTAATGGGAATTTTCCTTCTTATGGCAGGTGGCAGATGTATATAGAATAAAAACTCCTCTGCAGAGTCCGGCAAGAACAGTGCGATCATTTCAAATTCATGGATTTCCACTGCTAGGAAAAATCAAACATGGTTCTTGTCGTGTTAGAGCAATCCTCTTTAAAGTTCTAGCTGATGCTGTTGGTCTTGAAAGTAAGCTTGTAGTGGTATGTACTGTATAAAACTGTGATCAGTGGCTGTGTATAACTCCAATTTCCACATGTCATTGGTTGGTTCTGATAACATGGCATTTCGTTAAATTTCTTGATCAGGGTTTCCCTAGTGATCTGAGATCTTCTGCTAGTGTCGACTCATGTAATCATATGTCTGTTGTGGTTGAGCACAATAATGTGGATATGCTGGTCGACCTTAAGCGATGTCCTGGTCAGCTTACACCCTTCTCACCCAAGGCAGTTTATATGGCTCATATCTCAACGGCATGGCAGACTGATTTTGTAGACAATGACTCTTGTGTTTCACCATTGGAGCCAAACAGTCCCGTGGAACGGTCTTGTCCACCATCTGTATTACAATCCGGTTTAAGGTGATAAGCATACTTGTTTTGTTTTCTTGATTATGTTTGTATATTTGCTACCTCTGGTGTATTTATATATATATATAAATCTCATGTTCCTATATAGGCCAAGCAAAAGCGTTATGCACGTATGAAAGTAACTTTTGGTGTTTTTGTTGTTTTCTCAGTCGTTCACTAAGCGCGCCAAACATAGCTACTGAATTTTTTTGGAGAAAGGTCATCAAGGAACAGCCACCTGCTGATTTCAGGTTATACTGTTTGTCAATATATATTTCCTTTCAACAGTGGTGTGGTTTTGATAAACTTCTTCAATGCTAAGTGTTTGTATATAGATTCCATGCTACTTCTCTCTTAAAACTTTGTTATCATATGTTTTGCTTTAAGTGAACTTGACAATCTGTTTCAGGGCAGTAGAGTTAATGATGCAGAGAGACTTCTTGAAAGAGCGAGGTGATGATGATTCATCTCCTTGCTCTCCAGATGATGTATGTAACAGTTTTCCTGAATTCTGATATTGATATATAAACTTCTTGATATATGCGTCATTGAGATGACAGTTAATGATATTAGAAAGAGGAATAGGGAAAGTGCTGGTGTTGTGATTCTTCGTTTGAGAAAATTATGGGATATGGTTCTATGTTGTAAGAAGAAAATCTTTGTGAGAAGACTATGGAAATCTCAGAAACGTTTACTAAATTTCCTTATAAGGGCTTTTGTCTGCTTCTAGGTCTCTAGTTTCCAGCTTGATTCCCATGACCAAGTGTCTGGTGAAAGGTCAACACTAAATCGGCAGAAGGCAATATCATTTCCATCATCTCCCCGAAGCTATCAAATCCAATCATTTGAAAGGAGTGAACCTTCACGTAAAAAAATAAGCCAAATTTGGAACGAAGTGCTGGAATCTCCAATGTTCCAGAATAAGCCTTTGTTACCATATGAACAATGGAACATAAATTTCTCCGAGTTGACAGTTGGGGCTTTTGTTGGGAGTGGTAAGAATGGTTTTTGGAGTGTTTTTGAATTCCATCTATCTGTTGTATTAGCCATAGATCTTCAGCAACAAAACTTGGATATGGTCTGTGAGCATAAGTATACTTTTTTCTTTGAAACCCATTTAACTCTTTTTTGCTGTATATGTCATTCAGGATCTTCTGGAGTAGTATGTCGTGGCATCTGGAATAAAACAGAAGTTGCGATCAAGATGCTTTTTGGACAACAGCTTACAGCTGAGAACATGAAAGATTTCTGCAATGAGATATCTATTCTTAGGTATGTGTACTTTAATTTTTTCTGTGCCTCTTCAATTTATCTTCTCACCTTTCTTCCTGTCTTATCTTCGTGCAGCCGTCTTCGACATCCCAATGGTAAAATCATCTATTTCTTTTTTTTGCTTTGATTACTTGTCCAACAATCCTCAGGCGGTCAATTTGTAAGATTTTAATATCATTATTCGAGTAACGAGGAATCTCATGACATCTTGTAGTTATTCTGTTCCTTGGAGCATGCACAAAGCCTCCTCAGTTATCAATGATCACAGAGTATATGAATAGGGGGTCCTTGTATGATATCCTCCGTACCAGAAAAAAGGGGCTAAGCTGGCAAAGGAAACTAAAGATTCTGAGTGACATTTGCAGGTGTTTCATTTCTACACTTAATTCTTCCCGTTTAGATTTTCGCCATATTAGCCCCTTATAGTTATTATCAGAGCTCTCTAGAGACACTCCATAGATTTGATCACCAAGTTCTCATAGGGCTCAAGATTCACACGGTCTCTTTTTGACATAACAAAACGTAGAAACAGTGCTAGTTCTCATAATCTTTTGTATTTTTTTGTGTTTCAAAGAGGTTTGATGGGCATTCACCAGATGGGCATAGTTCACCGTGATCTAAAGAGTGCAAACTGCCTGTTAAACAAGGGGATAGTCAAGATCTGCGATTTTGGGCTCTCGAGAATGATGAATGGCACGACAGTGGAAGATACTGAAGCTGCAGGAACTCCCGAGTGGATGGCTCCTGAACTTATCCGCAATGAACCAGTCACAGAAAAATGTGACATCTTTAGCTTTGGTGTTATAATGTGGGAGCTTTGCACTCTATCCAAGCCCTGGAAAGGAGTCCCAAAAGAAAAAGTATGTTCGTTGAACAAGATCAACACTTGGTAACTAAACAAAAACATCGAATCTAAACCCGGTTCTTGCAATTTTTGCTTTCAGGTCATTCATATCGTTGCAAATGAAGGAGCCCGGCTCACATTACCTGAAGGACCACTACGCCAGCTTATTGCAGGTTTGTGACTCTTCAAAAACTCACTGTTGTTTCTCTTGGAACCCTTTTAAGTTTTTTAGTAAACAGATGCTTATGGAAAGTTTGTCTTGTTACAGATTGTTGGTTGGAACCAGAGCAAAGACCGAGCTGTAAAGAGATAATGCACCGTCTAAAGACCTGCAAGTTTCCGATTTGCTGATTCTGTGAGTTGTTTGTTCTTTCTGTGTGTAGAAAATGTTGAGGCATTAGTTGTTAGAAACTCATTGAGTTTGTTCTCCAGATCTCTCCAGCTTCTTCATTGAGTCTATCATTAATAACAATGGATTTTTGTTTTATGATATCATTAATCATTGCAAATTATAGTCTTTGCTCTTTCCTTTTACAAACATATATAACACTGTCTCTGACCATACAAATAAAATGGACCAGTTTCTGAAGTCAATACAAATATAATAGTGTAGGTAACTCACTCTTAAGTTTCAGTCAATGATGTTGCGGCTGTTCAATTGGTCCTCGAATCGGCTACAGGAACCAACTCTCATCTCTGTGCTCATATCGTTCTCCGGCGCCGGATAATAATCTGCTCTTAGTTGTACATCCCTTAAGTTGGGGATTCTCAACAAAAAGTTCATGAAATGCTCATGAGCTGTTCCATGGATGAAGAGCTTCCTCAGAGTCAGGCACTCTTGTAACAGACCTGCTCCAGGAAGCGAGAGACTCCTCTGGTTAACATCTCTATCCTGTGGTGGCCAATAATCAAGCTCACTCAAGCTCAAGCTTCCAATTCCGGTCAAGAAGAATCTTTCCCATAAACTCAAATCCATCTGCATTGGAGGTGCGGTCAGTGCGAAGCCGATTGTGTCCCCGCAATCTAACTGCATCTTTGAGAGCTTTGGGTAGAGAGCGAGACAGCTTAACCCGAACTCTGGCTCGGCTGGCCTGCGTTTACCTCTGCAATCTCCTTCTATCTTGATCCTAATCTCTTCCAAATTTGGACAGTCATCTAGTCCTGTCATAGGTAATGGCGTCAGAAATTCTCCAACACTGATCCATAAAGACAGATACTCCAGTTTCTCCCATACTCTGTCTTCAGAACAGAATCCATTCCCATCACTAGTTGAGCAGTGTTCTTCCTCCAATGAATACTTGCACCTCTTCTGGCTCCTCTCGTAATCATCATCATCATCCTCGTGGTTAGCCTCACTAGTTTCCACTCTTTCTTCTACCTCCTCCTCTGAACCAGACCACACACAGTCTATATGCAGTTTCTTGATCCGATCACAAATCGGCTCAACCGCCTTTAAAGAAGCAGTTGCATCAAGATTCTTGCAGCAAGAGATTCTCACATCAGTCAAAGTCTTTCTCCGAAGACTAACCATTGTTCTTAGTCCATCCACTGTTACATTCTCACACCCTTGAATTTCAAACTTAGTCAGCCTACAACATCCTCTCCCTATAGCCACCAAACCCATATCAGTCAAATCGCCAGAATTCTTAATCGACAACGACTGCAATCCTCCACACAAAGCCACGCCGTCGAACCTCCTCCATTCTGTAGCAGAGCAAACACCTTGGAACTGTCCTAGCTTCAATGCTCTTAGCTTCTTGCATTTAGAATTCAATGCCTCTAAAGCTACACCACTATGCTTCACATCCTTCCCTACGTCAAGAACCAGCTCCTCTAGATTCGGTAAACCTGAGAAAACCTCAATTAGCGTCCCCGCCGTGACAGCTGAATCTCCAGCTTCCGTACCTGGAATAGCTCTAGGATTCGCCAACGAAGCTGTGTCTACCATATGGAGAAGCGTTAACTTAGGGCAATTGGTAGCTACGGCGGAGAGAGTCTCATCTCCGACGAATTCGAAGTATCTCGGATCAAACGTACAAGCTACACGAAAATCCTTCAAATTAGGGCAAGATTTAGTGATACTGACGATTTCGCTTGATTTGTATCCCTCAGTGAACGACGCCGTCAAGAGATCCAACCGTGTAAGCCTCGCCGCCACGTCAGCATACCGGAGAAGAACCGGAGGTAAATCTTCAGTCCAGTGATAGAAGGCGGAGAGATCTAAAGACTCAAGGAAACCACCACAGTGTTCAAAAATAGGAACAAAATCGCCACCTATAGGGATCTGAGAAGCTCGTTGATGCCATCGGAGGAGCTTGATGTGACGAATTCTCGGCCATTGAGGAAGTAAAAGCTCGAGAGAGCTCGGAGATCGAGAGTAGACGTTGAGAGAGACGACGGAAGGGAAACAGATTTTGAGACGGAGAGCGAGAAGGTTCTGATGATCGATAGGGAGAGAAGCGAGAAGAGTGTGACCCCATGGAGAGAGGAAAGAGAGATCGAGATGTGAAATTGATCGGAAACAGCCGGGGACGAGAGAGAGATCACGAGCGTTGCCACGGAGAGTGAGATGAGAGCGAGTGGATCTTTCGAGAGCGAGGAATTTGTGGGAGACGAGGGAGAGAGAGTTGCGAGCTCGAGAATCGGAGACGAGTGAGAAAATGGTGGATAAGATGACGTCAGGGAGGTCGGAGAGAGTAGTGGTGGAAGCCATGGGAAGCGGCAAATCTACAAGAGAGAGAGAGAGAGAGAGAGGAGAAGAAAGAAGAATGAAGAAGAAGAGATTTGTGTTGGGCAGAGACACAGCCACGTGACACTGACATTCTTCTCTCTTCTTTTATTTTTGTTTCTTTTTTTTCTTTTTCTTTTTTTGGATAAATTATTTCTTTCTTTTTAGGTAATTTGATTGAAAATTCATGTGTATTTGAATCTAATTAAAATAAAACATTACTATTTTAAATATGTTGTTATTGGCGAAAAAATATATATATATATATATTGTTTTTTTTTTTTTTTTTTTTTTTTTTTTTTTTTTGGTAAAAATATATATATATATATTGTTATTTTCATGTATGGAATTAAGAACGTCCCTTAAACTATAGTAATAATTATACTTTTTTTTACAACGGCCTACTTTATCTTTACCAAAATACTCAACTCATAACCAATAGATAATGGATTGTGTTATGTTTGGCCAAAAGATTGCGAGTATTGTATTATGCGTACTTATCTGATGATGTACTATTTTGGAGAAACCAAAATATATCATAGTTGCATGACTATGTCATTTCGTTCGTGTGTTCTCATCATCATCTATATGTACTTCGGTATGATAGAGAGATACAGTTCATTATCCCACTCGAAAGATTTCGAAATCTTGATTTTCTGTGCATGCACTGTGTCAGAGTTACGTAATAAGCTCATTTGAAATGTTTTACAAGAACCATATCTTTAAAAAATTTGGGTGAAATTATAGATTTGAATCACTATTGTCCCAAGTTGACCAATACTAATGTTACTAGGTGTTATCGAGCTCATTTGCTATGCACAATAACTTTTGTTTGTGAAGATCATTCGTGTACTGTACTGTATTATGGAATTTGCGCCGTAACTTGACAATTGTTCTAAAGCATTGTGATATATATATAATCAAATTACAAGAGTCAAAATCAACCAATCTCTCTCTCTCCCCCCTTATTATGTTCCCACTTCCCACTTGAATTGCATATTTTTCCTGTAAAGAACAATCCACCTTTGTCCCGTGCATGCATCTGAACGTTTATTTATTTCCCTCAAGAATAATACCAACCTCCTTTGTCTCTACACCTCTTATTTTGTTTGCTGATAGACATGAGCTTTAAGAGGAAAAAGGATACCTAAAACTAAACACAATTATTTGAAAGATTTAGAATTTAATAACTTGAAAATGTCAAGAAAAGTCCCAATCTTAACCGCATGCATAGATATCTTTGAAAATATACATTATTTCACAAGGCTAGAGCCTAGAAGTACGTACAAGTAATAAGAGACTAATGTGGAATAAATCAGCAACGATAACAAGAAATATTAGTCAAACTATAATGTCATTACATGTAAAAAAAATCGGGTACATAATTGGAATCCGTAAGAATGCAACAACAAAAAAATAAGCTGAACTCATTTCCATTTTAAGAGAAATATAGATCCAAAACAGTGAATTGATCTTTAACAAAAACAAAAAAAAAAGAAACAGTGAATTGATTCAGTGAACAGACTTTTGTCTTTTAATTGGATACGATGATCCCGCTCAGTTCCAACTATTTTCTCAGTCCATGTTAACAAATAAAAACATAGATTTTGATTATTGCCAACGCAAATACACTTTATATTTAAAAATAGTGTTAGCTTTAAAAAGTTTAATGGATAACTCAATGAGCATAATCACAAAAGCAATAGGAAGTCGATTGCAAGTTTGCAACTAAATTTAAAATTTTCTTCTTTGTTTTTCCTTACAAAGTGAGAAATTTAAGATTTGTAGGGCACGCATTATCTCTTGCCTACTCATCTTGCCGGTCACAGAAACACATACACACATACATATACATGTGATTACACATGCGTCAACATATAAACGCGACTATGTATATTAAATATATACATATCCACTGACCTATTGTAGAGACCATGTTTTTGTGTCCATGCTTATAAATTGGCTAATTTGTGTATATATTTGGTTAATGTAATACAATTTTATCTTAAAAAAGTGAAAATTCAAACGATTTAGGGTCATCATGTTCAATTTTTAAAGAAACATTACACTTGATGACTTGGTGCATTAAAATATTTTCTGTTTACAGATTAATTCTAGTTTATAAAAATGTTAAAAAATATCTATAAAAAAAGAATTTAAATTATTATAAAAAGGAATAAATTGTACAATATGTACTTGCTAAAAGACGGGTCATGGTCCTGGATCAGAGGCAGTTGATGTGAGTAGGGTTTTGTGACGGAAGATGTCTTGAGTGACACTAGCTTTCACCATGCATGTAAGTCCGAGAAACCATAAACTATAAGCGCTTATAGATAAGTTAATTTTTTCTTGACACAAAAGGTAATTTACTTTATAAGAAATTTCATGCTTGGTTAAAGAAATCCGTAGGATTATCATTATAATAATTAGCAATTATTTTTATAGCATACTTAAATTACCTTTCAGTTAGCACGCATGAAATCATGAAGTGGAAAACGTGGAACAATGGATGGTAAAATAATCCATCAGACATTTGGACTTTTTAGACGAGCATAAAAACCACATACGAAGACACGGTCCCTTAAAAAATAGTCTGTGGAGAAAGAGATCACACGTTGAAGCATGATGAGGAGGTACTATTCCTATATCAATGTATGGATAAGTGATTACATAATATATATTATCAGTTTATAAAGTAAATGTCCTATTTTTTCTCACCTTTTCTTTTAGACTTTGGACATCAAACCCACTTCAAAGCTGGTAATACCCACATATCATATAGTTGACGGAAATTGAAAGCACCTAACCTAACGAATCAATATAGATCTCCAAAAAATGTTTTTTAGATAAAATATTTGTAAACTTATTATTGCGCCAATATTCTTTCGTCTCACGTGAAAAAAAGCTTTAGAATATTGAGTTCTTGATCGTTCTTGTTACTCAAGATATCATAATGTTATCTATTTCCTTCTTCTTTTTTCGTCTAGAATTTTCATCAAAACTTTGAAGGATACATAAATTTCATTAGAACTTCAATTTTTTGTATATGAAACTAAAATCTAATTCGATTCAATTAAGTCATACATGACATATAAGCGGAGAAGAGACTATCTATTTTGATCATTGCTCCAAGAAAACTATGAGCCGAAAAATTGGAACTCTTCTAAAGAAAGGAGAAAAGCTAATTCGATTGGGTGTAAGATCTTGAGAAGGTAGAATTTGAACAAGTGGGGTCCAAAAAGATTTCACTGAACTCTTAAATCTTACAAGTCATTCAAATTTTTCATATGTTATGGCCACTAACATTTCTTCAATATGATCTTCTCTTTTGTACAAATATTATATAACTTTTCTCAAACCGATATCTTATAAAAATCGTCCTAAAAGCTTAAACGCAAACGATAGAAAAAGGCAAAAATCGGATTTAATTAATTTATGTTGTGTCTGGGAAAATATAGAACAATTAGTGGAAGCTTTGGTGGGCCTGGGCCCGGGTTTTGAATTTAATGACCGAAAGAAATTAGTTAGATTAATGAAAAAAAAAAAAAAAGAAGTGGTGGGAAAAGAGAGTGACGTGGAAGTAGATAAGTGGTGACGCGAAGTAATGTTGTTTTGTGTTCCGTAACTTAAATTTCATCCTTCAAAGTACACCATGCTGTCTCACTCTCACGACGTTGCCTTGCTTGTCGTTTTTCTTTTTCTTTCAAATATTGATGACGTGGACGTGTAACAAAGCAGTTTCTAGAAATTCCACGTGTCACTTGTGGGTTCGACTAAATGCGACATCTCGGGTTTATCATTTAATGTCTCTGGTCCGGTCTCCACGTTCGTTCCAACGGTTTTGTGTAACGATGTTGTGGTTAAGAATATTCAATGTGTGTTTTATATTAATTTTAATAGGACATTGGTTAAGAATATTCAATGTCTTGTGTCATTATGTTTTTGAAATCGGTATCAGATTTAATTCTAGAGCTGATAAAATTTTAGTTTATAAGTTTGATATAAATTGTTTTACTATAAAGTTTGTTTAAATGAATATTTATAGATTTTTTCTGGAATACGGCAAACTGGTGTGTGGTTTGATTTGTTTTTATATCCAGTTGCCTTTGGTTAAAAGCAACATAAGACCATCTGCATTGGGGGATCACCCCCCTGATCTAAGCATTATTTAAATCCAAAAAAATGGGTTAATGGGCTTAAGATCAGGAACTGGGCTCTTGACCTGGATCTGTTCTTGTGGGTGTTGCGGGGTGACGTGGCATTTGGGCATTGGTTGGAATATTCAACATATTTGGAATAAATTTGGATAATAAACTATGTATTAATTAGATAAAATGTTTTTGTGCTTTTATTAAGTAATATGTTTGTTTGTTTATTGTTATTTATATTTTTAATGTTTTTTTCATAAATATTTAGTATTGTATTTTCACTTTTATTTTCAGTTTTTCATAAATTTGGCATTTGCAATTTATATGTTATTTTTAAATGTTTTAATAATTGTAAAATCTTAATTTAATTTAGATTATTATATTATTAAATCTTAAGATCTTACACATGTTCTTCCACTAATCAACTTCTAAACAAAAGATCTAAACACATGATCTTACATTATTTTAACATTATATTCTCTATAAAAACACCCTCACATGATCCCCCATTGATGATGCCCTAACATTTCAAGGAACAATTACTTTTTAAGAATTAGATATAATAAATCGTAGCTCACTAGGTTAGGTCATGACATGACTTGTGAGTTGCTGAGAACTGGAAAACAGTATGTATGTATAAATAAACTGATGGAGACAGGTTATGGGCCTATCATATTGGGTTATGTTACTAAAACAATTGGGCTTCTTTTAATTATCGTATAAGGCCCATTTATATTATGTGTCCACGTACAAAACGATGAATTGTTGGTGATGTACAGCAACATTTTTTTTTACTATACGTGCATTTCTTTGCTTACGTATGAAATAAAGTGAGGTTAATTTGTGCTAATTTTCGATGATAGCGGAGATAAAGACATGCCAAACTTCGGAGATGTACAAACAGTCAAAGAAGGTCTTGAAAATGTAAATGTAACACAAAGCTATAATCATTATAAATTGCCTCTTCACTATTGTTGAAACTCAAACTCGTGACTTTGATCCATAAAAAACATAAAATTTAATACACCACTAACTGAGCTATATCTCATCGCTGGATTTACACAGTATGCTTAACAATTAGGAAACGATAACATATTATTCTGATGACGACATATATGCAAATTGAATTGACCTTTTTTTCTTGTAAACTAGGAAGTTCCCTACCATATTATAACACCATGTTCATCTTTTTGGTGAAAATGAATAAAACTTAGTCTTTTTTAATCTAAACCAACTTGTTTTTGTCATTTTCATTTGGACTTACCAGTTATCAACATTGTTTTCTACAAGCTTAAATTTTAAGGTTTCCTCTTATTTAATTTGTTGGGAACATCAGTCAGGAAACTGGATTTTTTCACTATATTTTCAAACTGATAGTTTTGAAGCTAATCCATTAATTAATAAGTTTTAAATTTCTCTAAGTTAATACGTCAACCCATCAATTTTATAATATGCCAAAAACAAATTTAGTGGTCATCAGAAGTCCATTGTTTTCATTTAAATCCAATATGTTGAACTTATATAAGACATAGAAGTACGCTGATCGACATAAGAAGACATAGAAGTACAAAACACACCTGACTTCAATATATAAACTCTTTACACTTACTTATTCAAAAAAGTGCTTAATAAGAGAATAAAGATTAATAGAGCTTAATAAGAGAATTGAGATCAATATATTTATGACAGAGAGCTACGGAAATGAAGAGGAGGGGACGAAGAGCGGCAAAAATGGGCCGAAAAGATATGTTGAAGATACCATTTTACTCTGACTTCTTGATCATCAGTAGATAGATTTGAGGTCTCTTTTTACATTTGATCCCTCTTTGAGACTTACTGATCCTGCCAAGTTCTATTGTATCAAGATTAGTTCACTAATTCATTGCCAGAAGCACGTATAATATGCTAAGCTAGATTCATAGATGCAGATAGATTAACGTATATAAATCCAAGTTTAAGCCATAACTATGCGAGAGGCATGCATGCTTGTCCAAGAGACTTAATATTAACCCATACTTCAATGCCAATTCATCAAAGATATATTCTTAAATTATGTTTCTTGTGGCATATGTCACATTGTATAATCGAACAAAATCTACAAAGCTATGCGGGGGACAAAACAAACTTTCAAGCTTTTCCAAAGTTAGTGATGACAAAGATCCTAAAGGAGACGCATAAAGATGATTCGAGCAAATTATATATACTTTTATATTAACTTAAGATTGAAACTATAATATAATTGAGATCAAAGAAAATAAAAATGACTTAATTATATATGAATTCAAAGAGAGAAACTTACTTTCCACTAAATCTAATTGTATATAATCTCAGAAAATGCCAATGCTTAACTGTTCCCAATGTCCATGCAGTAAACAGCCTTTATAAAAGCTAAAATTACATGTCACATCCAAGCTCTAAAATCTAAGATCCTAATTAATATGATTGAAAATGATAAGGATTTGGTTGAATTGTTCATATTGAGATCATTCTCCTAAGACCCACATTGCAATAATTAAAAGTATGAATTAAAAACGTTAAAGTATTCTATGTGAGTTAATTTCTATTCTGAGATAACCTTATTTAGCCTTTGAGAACAATCATGGAATCTCAATATTTCTTTAGGTTATAAAAATGGGGGTAAAAGGTTCAATCAATTTCTCCCTTGATCATCAATGGGGAACAAAATCTACAAAAATCTTTAAAGAGAAGCATTCCAAGAGCCAATCATTACTTCCTTGAACCATTGTCTATATAAACAACAGTGGTAATATGTGTGTATGTATATACAGATCTCTCTCTATCTTTGTACACACACACAGGCCGATATATAGATACATGGTTGATGTCTTGGTGTAGAAATTAAGAATTCAACTTTTTGAGATTCAAATGTTTTCCAAATCTTGAATGAATTGTTCTCGAGGATATATATAACTTGAATAGTCTATAATTTCCACATACATAGATTAAAAAATGTGATAAATTTTCAAATTAAGGTTTTGAATGAATCTATTTTCAATTTACTTTTAATACAATCTATTTAATGAATCATCTATGTAAGAATTGATTTTTCTATTTTGATATGCTAGAAACTAAAAACCCTCTTTTTCTGTATACACCATTCCAAAACTAAAATTAAAAGAGCGAAAATGATTTAAAAGAAATCATCCCAAAAAACTTCTACTTCTATCCAAACCTAAGATCTAATCACAAACAAGTACCTTAATCCCAAAACCAACATCAATCAAAATATATACCTGATCATTCACAGAGATCAAAAGCCTAATTGTTTCTCTGGCCAATTAGGGTTTTGATACATAGATCATTATATATATATAATGGTATATATGCTTGTTTATATGTAAATGAATGCAATGGCACATATTCAATAAAATGTAAACACATAGTTAATGGAGAAATATATTACCACAAAGTCTTTCACGAAGATGGAGAATCTCTTAAGAGAAGCTGAAGGAAGAGGAGGAAGAAGAAGAGTCGTCTCTTCCACCAGCCATCTCCGTCGTTGGCTTCTTCTTCTTCTTCTTCTTGTAAGGAATCCCTCTAGCCTTAGCCTGACACTCCCTAACCTCCCTCAGATAAACCCTTATCGCTCCACTAGCGAAAGGATTCGTCTCCGGAGATCCACCGTTCTCCTCGTAAGCCGCTCTCAGCCGTCCGATCAAAGCGTCAAGACTTCCCCAAGCTTGTCTGAGAGGGCACGTGCAAGGAGCTGGTGGCTCAGGCTGGCCGTAGAACATACAACCAGGCACGTGCACCTTTGTCTTACCGAACTGGTCTAAGTACCTGAGGAAATCAAGCACGTGGTTGCAGCTGCAGTGAGACATGGGCACGGGCGGTCTCTGATTCCTCAAGTACTGTCCGAAAGTGTTCCAGTCGCGTCTCTTCTGCGACTCGTAACGGCTTGGTGTCACCGGTGGTTCTGATCCTGATGATTCCATCAAATTCTTTCCTCTTTCTCTTGGAGAGGACATGATATGATCTCTTGTTGAGTTTAGAGAGAGAGTGAGAGGTGTTGGTGAAGAAGGTTAAGGGATCAATTTGTTTTATGGATCTGATGAATTATGTAATAAGAAAGATGAAATGTTGAGTAAGTTTGATGAGAGGGTGAAAATAATAGTAGTAATGGAGGATGATGTTGACATTAGAGAGGACATGTTATGGGCCCTTTCAAATTTTTGTTTTCTTTCTTCCTCTCTCTCATTGTTGGATTATCTCCCATTTTGTTGTTCCTAATTTCCTTTGTAATAATTTACTTCCTCTGTTTCACAAAGACTGTCATTCTAGCATTTTTCACACAAATTAAGAAAAGTAAACAAATTTCATTTATACCCTTTATTAATACACTAAATATTACCCTCTCTCTAATTACTAAGCTGAAATAGTAGGGATAAAAAAGAGAATTAGTGTTTAAAACTGCATTGAAAACACAAAACGACACTCTTTGTGAAACAAGATTAAAACCTTAAAACGACACTCTTTGTGAAACGGAGGGAGTAATAACTAAGGGGTAAGTAACTACGTATTATTATTAATCAAATTTCATTGGCTAAAAGATTTACACAGTTTGTTTAAAGATTACAATTTGAGTTCTCCACCACGATTTCAATATTGGACACTGTAGATGTCTTTATAATGGTTAGAGAAGATTCAGTGCTTTCATCGATTTCAGAGACTATTTTGGACTTCGGCTCAAGGTCATCATGTAGTTTTCTGAAGAGGTTTTATACTTGGAAATGTGCTAGCTAGTTAGCTAATTGTGGGTTGTATGCTAACAATTTAATTTTATTGATTAAACTACAAACAATAATCTTCTTATTGGACAAAGATATGCACATATCATATATTTACATATATATATATATATATATATATATAAGGATGAGAAAAAACGTTCTTGATTTGTCTACGAAGGTTTAACACGCTGTAAAATGAAAAACGGTGAGGTTGAAAATATACGGATTGGTTTGTCAATGAATAAGATCACTTTTATCTAATATTTTTTATAGATATTAGAATCGTTGTCTATGTTAACACGCCTAGCTACTTACAGCTAGTTCATCAAATTTTCCAGACAGACGGATTATATTCGGCGGACGAATTATAACATTTTGATATATGATCTCGGTTTTATTTCTCGTTTTTTTCGATATCAACAAAAAGAAAAGAAAAATGATCGTTCTTTTCGGTATTGATGAGTTGTTGATATCATTGTTGTAGCAATTTGATAATTTTTTTCTGTAAACAGATTTACAGCTTTCTATCGATTTTTGTTGATAGAGAGAGTGATGCTGTTTATTTAAAATTCGTTGTAGGGTTCACTTCTTGTCCCCATTAGAAAGAATATTTCAAGTGTTTTTTTTTTTAACTCATAGATTTTGTTTAGTAATATGAATGCTTTGCATTTTTCATGTACTTGATATCTTCAAATACATTGGACAGTAGCTTTTCTTGTTGGTTTTGTCGTCCACAATTTATATCGCATACATACATTGTCCAAATTTAAATCAATTAATTATGATACGATGCAAACCACTATATTATAAGTCTCCGTCCATTATTATTGACTAATCATAAAATTTACTTTTTCGAAACGATAAATGAATTCCAAGTCAAGCTAAATCTCCAAATATATATTTGGTATTTTTTTTTATTAATGTATGATGTATCATTCATTGATCATAACAATTTTTTGCTACATTCTCTCAAACTCAAAGAAAATAAAGAAATGACGAGTTCTTGACCGTGATTATATTTGGTATTTCAAATAGTATAAGTGATGTTTTTACGAAACATTCATTTTATCAATTGGAAGGAGTTCAGCGACACTGAAATGGAAGGCGTTAAATACCGGTCAAAATCATTATAAAAGTTGTCATTAAATGCTTAAATAAATTATAAGTTTATAACTAGGGATCTTGTTTTTTCTCCAAAATACATTGCACATAATGTTTTTTTATAAAATCTAATTAAAGCCTAATTTAACGATAGATTTGGTCCTAATACCCTTTTTTCAATGATATGCAATATAATAATAATATAATAAAAATAATAAGGGATAATAATTGAGCGAGATGTAAAGTATCTATGTCCCTGATTGGTTCATGAAAACTAGGTAATAGGTTATGACTCACTAACCACTATATATCCTACCTATTTTAGACATATCTACGAGACTATGTTACATATGGTTTCTTTTATCATCTTCCATCAGAATTAATCGCTTATCTGTAATAGTATAATAGTATATATATACATATATATGTCGCTATACATATCAACATTCAGGAACAATTGAACTAGAATAAATCATACCATATTTTGATTTGGTTCCACCAGATTGAACCTCATTTCAAAATCGGAGTAAATTGGATCTTGAAAACTACAGCTTTTTTTCTGTAACTATTATTATTTTTTTAATTTATGGGAAGGACGATTTTGAAATTCCAAGTTGTAATGATTTGGAAGTAAGAAAACCTGAGTTTTACGTCATGTTGAGGAGAAGAAAGTATAACGCGTTCGGAAATTTCCAATTAACGCGCACCCACACTTTTTGTTAATTTATATTTAAAGTCATATTATTAATTTAATTAATATTATAAAGAACTCGTTTAAGAATTGAAATATATCATGTAATGAAGCATATAAAAGTAGAAGATAAGCTAAACACATGTTTTTTTGATAAAGGATTTATAAGCTAAGCTAAACATGCACTTTGAGTAAAACAAAGAAAAAAAAGCGTAAAAATAACAATAAATTTAACGGAAAAAATGTGTTACAGATTTTCGTTATCTTCTTTTCTCAGCAACGTGTTACAGATCGATTGTAGTTTATCACTGTATCGTAACATACTCATGACGACAAAATTGATATTTTGTAAATAGAAATAGATAATGATCGTCCTTTTATGGCCATTTTTAACCAAATTGCTTCGGCTAATCCATTTTAAGTAATGATAATTGCTTCCGTATATTCGATCCGTTGCACTTTAGGATGGATATTTGTCACCGTCATATCTATGAAAATCTTAGCACATGCATATTGAATATAATCTATAATTCTCATTGATTTGTTGATGACGTTTAGCGACAACGAAGTCATATTTTCTAAGGTATATATAGAGTATGTAGTCAGCTTGACCAAAATAAGAGAGTATGTAGTCAAAGCAATTTAAGATTTCATCAATAATATCTTTAATTCATGTATTGTTCTTTAACTTTAGGTAACTAAAGGAAACTAAAAATGGTTTAACTTCCATGTGATCTACTGAAGATGAAGAGAAACGAGAAAGGAACAAAAGAGAGGGCATGTGATGTGTTACGAGACTTGAGTAGGAATATTATTTTCCAACCTGTCAAATTTGACTGTTTAAGATATACTATATTTTAATATTGTTTTCCCTCTTGCCATTATTTTCTGTAACTTTTTAAATGTTTACGAAGTTGTCTCTATACTTAGGTTTTATTCGTTTGAATATGGGTGGCATTCTTAAAGTTTATGAGCCCACACGATTAATAATGCGTTGGTTTTATGACTATAATTATATCACAACGAATGCAATAAATTTTAGGAAATACATATTAGAATTAAAAAAAGAAAGAACTAAGTTCATTGTGATTATCATGATAATAACATCACAGAAAATATTTTTATTGTGATAAACTATTCTCTTTATATTTTTTTTCTTCAAATATTCTCATTACAATTTTGAGAATAATTTAAAATTAAACTATAATTTTTTAAATTTACAAGTATCATGAATGTTCAATTTTTTTTTTTTTTTGTGCAAAATGAATGTTCAATTCTTAATATTAATATTTTAATGTTCAATAGTTTTCGATTGTCGTGAAACGGTCTCGTCATGAATTATTGTGTGGAAGATTTAATTTGTTATCAAATCTCTTGTTTATGGAACATGTGTGTGTTTTAGATATGAGATTATAATGTATGATATGATTTGTCCAGTATTTAAAACAACGAAACGTGCAAAGTTATGTTTTAATTTGTTTAAGAATCACTAACATTGGAAAACTGGTTTGGTGATTTTTTTTACTTCTTAAAGAAAGAAGTACAAACTGATGTCGGTGTCTTTGTTTATAGAAAGAGACATAACAAATAATGTAAAAGTGTCCGGGACTAATTCCTCCCTCCTCCTCTTGTCTCCGGTCCAAAAAAATTACGTACGAATTTACACACAAATAAACATACAATTTTTGTTGTTTGTTAAAATCGTTTGTGCAGTTGTTGCATTGAGAGAAGTTTTTGTCCTAAGAAATTGTTGTGAGTGTAGGTGACATATATCTAAAGCTTCTCAAAAGGAGACTTAGAGACGAACGCCGTTCAGAGGATGTTCAACTTCGGCTTGTACTATAGGTTTTCAACTCTTCATCCTTTAGGGTTCACTTTGGATCACGAATACGAATCGACTATAAGTACCCAAAATCGCCTCAACTATCTCGTCACTATTGCAAGCGGAAGCGGTTGGTACAGCCTTCAATTCTCTTCTACCTGCTAAGTTCTCATGGTATAACACCTGTTTTAACTCTACTATTGTTGGGTTTTTATTTTGATAAAGCTCTACTATATTGTTGGTTCAATTCGGTTTCCAGCTTAATCTCCTCCAACGTTAGCATGTTATATAGTGTTTACCAAAGAAACAACAATAACTATTTAGTTTATATATACAAATAATTAACTGGGGAAATATATATATATATATGTATGTATATATTCAGGTGTAACATACTAGATATGGGTCAAAGAGGCAAGACCTGCCAGATTTTATGTTGTAGATCATGTAAAGGTATACTGTGCGTCTATAGTAGTTATACACATACATAGATTGGTTACTGTATAAAGATTCTATTACCTCTTTCAAAAAATCTCTTAGAAATTAAGTTGGCATCGACATTGTCTGACGTTATCTAGGGTTTTATCACTTTTAAATTAAAAATAAATTGGTTGTCATCAAGTGGCAGTGTACGGCTCTTTTAGAGGTTGCTTTAAACGTCTGGTTCGTCTTTTATCTTACACCTTGTTAGAATTAAGAATCTTTATACATGCATGGCCACTATTACCTTTTGCACGGTGTGTTTATCTTTGGACTATACTGATGAGAATGATGTTTCTTGTACACTCACATAAGGTTTTAGTCTCGTAAGAACTCATTAATTACCCCCAATTGCGTATTATTGATGGCGCATGAAGATTAAAATCTGAAAAGAACGAAATTCGTGTTACTTAATTGTTCTCTTAGTTTTCGAACTCATCTCTCATGTGGTGTGATGTATGATTGATACTTGATAGAGCGCCACTAAATTAATGTTGAACTAGGGTCTGTAATAGGTCTGGTTCTAATGTATCTGAAAAATCACATATAAAGTGATTAGCCATATGTTCTAGTCAGGACTGTCTCAAAATTTGTCTTCGATCAATAGGACAACCTATCTTACTATATGTGGAGCACCACTTGGTTGGAAAGTTACGTTGATACCCGCAAAAAAGGAAAAAGAAAAGAAAAGAACCCTAGAAATAGATGATACATAGTATATATCTAAATCATGTTTTAGTTTTTTTTTTTTTGAAAGAAGTCTAAAATCATGTTGAAAGAAGAAACAATGGGCAGGAAACATCTTCACGCATGAGTTGCCAAAAATGTCACAGTCTCAAAGGCACTCTTATGCATTAGTCTTTTGCCCCCACAAATCTTTTCTTTGCTTCTCTTTTTGTTGATAGTGATTCATCTGTCTTCCCACCCACCCTCATTTTTTTCATTATTGTTTCTTTCCCTTTTTGTCAATTCATCAGTTTAACCGGACTTAATCTAATTTGGTTTTTAGATTCGGTTATGAAGTCTTAAACCGGTTTTATGTACGAGTATCAGATGTTTTACTCATGCACCGATGACTGGAGTATTTGTTTAGAGATAGTGTATGGATGCGTGAGAAAGTTTATGAAAATAAGTGGAAAGACAATAATAATAAGTTTATTCGTTTTTTGCAATATAAATGTTGATTACATTTACACATGCATCAATTGACATCACAATAACAAATAATTGAATTTCAACCGATTATAAAGTATTGCATCGCTCAGTACGTATACAATTATAAGGAGGGATATTGCTAAGGTACGAAAATAGATGGTGACCTAAAACGCTCTTTATTCGAGTAGATTTATCGACAAGTCTGACAAAAATTAAAATACTAAAGATTTGGAAGAAGATTCGAAAAGTAAAAAGATATTCATGTATTTTTATTTTTTAATCGTTCCATTCACTAAATTACAATTTTCTTGCACCTTCTGAACAATCTATCTTTTTGACACATAACTATTCACAAGTGAATTCGTTTCCACTAATATCATTTAAAATGAGGTTTCAATTCAAAAATGTCGCTGGTTATGTATAAAGAAAAAACATTGACAGTTCAAAAAGTATGGTTAGGATCGGAATATGATAATTTAATGCGTATTTTGTTATTTGGGTAGTTTATTATCGTTTTTGAAAACTTGGCTGGACTTTTTCATCCCTATTGAGTTGAATTTTACCGGATAAACTGTCATGAATTTATATATATTCAAGATTTTATTTGGGAAGTTTCAAAAAATGATTATCGATGTATATATAGTGGATGGTGAAGTAAACGATTGTCGTTAACAATTTTTTGGGTATAGCCGTATAGGGTGTACAATACATACTGAAAGTGAAACTGATGGATTGTAACAAAACTAAAAAAAAAAAAAAAAAAAAACTGATGGCAATCTTATCTACCAATTTCAGACCCCCTAGTTACATGATGATCCAAATCGGCCTTATTCATTCATTCCGATCCCACCTGATCTACTAAACCCAAATCAGATTTTGATATTGGGCTGTGATTGGGGCGAATTTAGATGGGCTAATATGATATGAGCCCAGCTCTGTCTCGCTCAGGATTAATTGTGTTTGACTTTTCAAGTTCTCGTATTTGACCCCCAACCCCTCCGTTTCAATTTTATTCTTTAACGATAGGTTCCCATTTGTCATAAATTAACATAATCACAAACAGGATAGTTTTTGACTTTTTAAGTTAAAATCTCATAAAATCTAATATATGGTCTTCGACATTAGGTTTGTTTGTTGATCTAAGAAAAGTGGTTTAAGTAGAGTTATTATCGATTTTATAGAAATATTTAGTTTGAGATATACAGATAAGAGGCATATTAAAATTCTACTATGAAAGTTAAAATAACGTAAAATAAAAGACGTATGTGAATCAGTTATGATCAGTTATAAAGTTATAAGTTTGTTAAATTTTGCTATCATATTTTTGGTCGTTTTAAACTTTTAATCAAATATATATATTTGTCTTTTATTAAACAATCAAGTGATCAATAAAGTGTTGTAGTTGGTTTAGGTCCAAACTAGAGCGATTTTATAACAGACTGAAATAATATTATCGCTAAAAGAATCGATGACTAAATTTATTGAAATATATTATGATATCTGCTATTTAAAATCTTTAGGAAGCTTCCTGCGGCTATAGACCTCGACGTATCTCTCTCGCTAACTTGGACCACTCGAAATTGAGTTTTGACTTTTGAAGCACGGATAACGTTTGCTTTGACCTTTTGGGTTTGTCATAGGTCGTTTTATTTGGTCGGTACACTCCTAATCTCTCAAAAATATCACTTTAGTCACAACTTTTTTTTTTTTTGGTCATTGCGCATGTGTCTCATATGTGAATACTGAATGATCATCCTAGACATGACATATACAACTATATATTAGTTAACTAAATGCTAACTCGTGTGCGTAAATTACTGTATTACTATAGTGTTATGCATTTTTGTTTGAGCATATGTATATGTGTGTGTATATATTGAATGCAGTTTTTATCCTATATACAGGGTATTTTTAGTATGCACATAGGTTTATATAATTTGCATATAAATATCCGAAGAATATCCGTAGACCAGTTAGCATATATTCCCACTAGCCACCACTATCTCAAATTTCAATTTCAGACATAAAAATTTATGCTTCTATTGTTTTTTTTTTTTTAATATAAAACATCACCCGTCAAGTAAGTTACGACTGTCCATTCCACAACCGGACTTTAACTTGTTTGGGGAATAAGTATCAACATATCACAATAAACTGATGCACATTGATTGGCTTGTGTTTGAGTGTTTTCCCAATCGATGAGCTAAGATTTCTTCTTCGAGTGATCAAGCTCTTAATCTGCAGCCAAGCTTGTGGTTCATATAGAGCTCGGATTAGTTATGCTTTTATTCAAAGTAGAGAATCTCATATTGAAGCTATATATAGGAATTGTAATAATGGCTCTGATTAATAGTAGTAATATATACTGACGTTGAAATTGCAAAACATAAAACTTGTGTTTTGAGTTCATCTAGAAGATGTGAATTAATCATGCAAAACAATATATGTGTACGTACGAATCTCCTTTGCCATACGGATCGTCGTCAGATACTGCTTGTCTCTTTCTCCTAGTTTTAAAATATCACATATATATTCAATGTGAGAAAGTATGAGAAACAGGACAAAATATAGATATTGGTTGGTAAAGTTTTTAGTGGCTAGAGTTAAATAAGGAATTAAATGAGAGCAAAATTCTTTGATATACACCTCATATCAATGAAAATAAACTAAATATTGGTGTATTTGTTTCTTTCGTCCGACTCTTGAAGAAATTAAAAGGTTATATACAAATTTTGCATTGCCCTTTCACATTTTCTAAAGCTCATATCCTCTTTGATAGTATCGTTTGATGCATGTTTACTTATTCATAAAAATTCTCTAAAAATCTTCTATATTATTTTGATTTGAAATTTCTCACTCAAAACATAAAATTTCTAAGGATAACCAGTGAAATGACTAAAATGACACAAGATATATACGTTATCACCATAAATTACATAATCAGTATAGATAACAAAATGCTCTGAACACCCATTTTTTGGACTAAATAATTTGTCATAATATTGCTGAGTTCGATTTAATAATTTATATAACTCAAAATAGAATTATAATACCTTTTAGTAAATATAATTTAGTTTATAATTTTTTTAATTTCATTTATGATCTATCAATGGTTCAGTTGAGTGATTTTTTTAATGTTTTGTAATTAAAAATTTAATATTTTGTTCAACAAATTTAGAACGAAATGTATATTGGATAAGATAATTCTAATTTATATGATTCCATTTGTCCGGGATTTATAAATTGATACGATAAGGTCAGTGATAAAATAAATTGATACGATAAGGACTTTATATGATTCTATTTCCACCCGTCGGAATCTTTGGTTGGGTATTGTTCTTAGATTCGAGAATCAATTAAACAAAATAAATACTAGTTAAAAAAACTATATGATAAGACCGTAATAGACGTGGTACGTACGTTAAGGTCAAAAAGCCGAATTATATAATTCTGGCTCCTTCCACAACTTTTGGGGATTTACCTTCTTTTCACCCAAGTAGTTTTGTTTTTCTAAACCCTTTTGTATCTCGTTTTCTTAATTTTTACTTGAATCCATTTTTAACAAAAATTCTTCTAGTTGGATTGATAATTCAAAAGAAAACTATTTCTCCCATAGTTATACTGAATCAAAAAAAATTTCTTCTATGGAAGCAAATATATTACAAGTCAAACTAAAGGAGAACAGAAGCTATTGTTGATTTGCCACAGCATTTAGGAGATAATAAACTGTATGAAGCAAATAAGCATATCCTTTGGCATATTCCGTAATATATGGCCTCTAATTATCTCTATAAGCTTTCAAATTATTTTCTTAGATGCTTTTCGTACAAAAGCATTAAGATAAAAATAGACAAAAAAACAAGAGATGATATTCAGTTTCGTGAAATATTAAAAGAAGCCAAAAAAGGGGAAAAAGAATAGTCGGAATTGGTGGTGGACTCATTGGTCCACTTAAAAGTCATCAGAACCGTACACATGCAGCTTGGTCCCGTTCCTAATTTCGTATGACTACGTACAAGTTACAACATTCAAAACCTTCAATATTTACAATTTTTTGTTTTACGTTTATGGAAAAAATCTTCCCAAAATGTTACCACGAAAAATAAGTATGCGAAGTCTTCTTGTCCATTAGTAAATCTTTTTAGAGTGAAAATATGGATTTAAATAATTTTTAAAAAAACTGATTAAGGAGAAAGAAAAGAAGAAGAAGGATTTCGGCTATAAATAAGTTACACAACTACACACAACGAATGGACTAGAGTTTTCGCGTCTAAGATTTTTTTAAGAAAAACCAAAAGCCTTTTATCACCTGTCTCTTCTCTTTCCATTGTCTTCCTCGTGAACGAAACTTCTCGATCTTCTTTTTCTTTTTTCACCTGTTTTTCGGTATCACGAGATACTACACTTCCACTCTACTAATAAGCCACTCTTTTTTTTATCTTTTTAATTTCTGTAATCTCTATATATTTATGTAAAAGTGAATCTTTTTTGTTTTTTTGACGTTTGTTTAGTTTCCAGCTTTTTCGGATAAATTTCCTTGATTTTCTCCGATTGTGTCAATCTGGAAAAATTATTGAGAATCTCTTACTCTTAAAACCAAAAAGAGTTTTTTTTTTTATATATCAGAGGGAGAGAAGAAAAAGCATCAACCAACCATGGCTGCGAGAAATTTGGAGAAGATGGCTTCAATTGATGCTCAGCTCAGGCTTCTTGCTCCTGGCAAGGTTTCTGAAGACGACAAGCTTATCGAGTACGATGCTCTCTTGTTGGATCGATTCCTCGATATTCTTCAGGATTTGCATGGCGAGGATGTCAGAGAATTCGTATGTTCCTCTTTTTCTCACTCTTTCTTCTTTCTTAAAAACTGGGTTTCTGTTAAAAGTTTGAACTTTGAGTTACATTTAGTGAAATTGAGCAGATCATCATCATGTGGGTTTGTTGTTTCTGCTTAACTTATCCCTAAAGTTGAATCCTTTCTAGTGAAATTGATCAGATCAGAGCACACTGTGTTAAGATTTTTCAAAGTTTTTGGTTTTATGAGTTTTTAGTGATTGAACTTTCTCATTCCTTTTTGCTTCAGTGGCGTGTTTTCTGAATCAGATTATGTTTTTGTTTTGTTTAAAGGTTCAAGAGTGCTATGAGGTTGCGGCTGATTACGATGGAAACCGCAACACTGAGAAGCTAGAGGAGCTTGGAAATATGCTGACGAGTTTGGATCCAGGGGATTCAATTGTTGTCACAAAATCATTCTCCAACATGCTTAGCTTGGCTAATCTGGCTGAGGAAGTCCAGATTGCCTACCGGCGTAGGATTAAGAAACTTAAGAAAGGTGATTTCGCTGATGAGGCCTCTGCAACGACGGAATCTGACATTGAAGAGACTCTCAAGAGGCTTTTGCAGCTTAACAAGACTCCTGAAGAGGTCTTTGATGCTCTCAAGAATCAGACTGTTGACTTGGTTTTAACTGCTCATCCGACTCAATCTGTTCGGAGGTCTTTGCTCCAAAAGTTTGGAAGGTTTGTTTAACTTTCTTCGAGTTCTGACATTTTGGATTTGTTGTGTGTGACTTCACTGATGTGTTTTGTCTCGATGTTTTCAGGATTCGTGATTGTTTGACGCAGTTATATGCAAAGGACATTACTCCTGATGATAAACAAGAACTCGATGAAGCTCTGCAACGAGAGGTATACACATCTAAAGAATTTGATGAAGTTTATTTTGCATGAGGTGTACTAAAACTATGTTTTTGTTGCACCAGATTCAAGCTGCTTTTCGCACTGATGAAATCAGAAGAACTCCTCCAACACCGCAGGATGAAATGAGAGCAGGGATGAGCTACTTCCATGAGACAATCTGGAAAGGAGTTCCAAAGTTCTTGAGACGTGTTGACACGGCTTTAAAGAACATTGGAATCAATGAGCGTGTTCCTTACAATGCGCCTCTCATTCAGTTCTCTTCTTGGATGGGCGGAGACCGTGATGGTACAAAAACATGACTTAGTTTTGGATATGAATGTCTCTTATCAATAAGGTTCTTATTAATGGAAATTTCTGATTGCAGGAAACCCGCGAGTAACTCCTGAAGTTACAAGAGATGTATGCTTATTAGCTAGAATGATGGCTGCTAATCTCTACTTCTCCCAGATAGAAGATCTTATGTTTGAGGTAATGAAAAGTTAAATCACATCACAGCAATTTAGTTTCTTGGTTCACGTTAATGACAGAGATCTTACTTTTGGTTTTGTGTGTGTTTGTTTGCAGATGTCTATGTGGCGTTGCAATGAGGAACTTCGTGTCCGTGCAGAACGTCAACGGTGTGCGAAAAGGGATGCAAAACACTATATAGGTGTGTGTTGCATTCTCAACATTTTTATGTGTCCTAGATTTTAACAGTTTGTTATATACTCTGATGGATGTATGATCGTTTCTTGAATTAATGTAGAATTTTGGAAACAAATCCCTGAGAATGAGCCATACCGAGCTATTCTTGGAGATGTAAGGGACAAGCTGTACAACACACGTGAACGTGCACGTCAGTTATTGTCAAGCGGAGTTTCGGACGTTCCCGAAGACGCTGTTTTCACCAGTGTGGATCAGGTGTGTTTTCTTGCTGTTTGCAGATCAACTAGTGATGTTTAAGCCAGATAACTGAAACTTTAATTCCATTGGAAATTAGAGACATTTGATTAAAAATCGAAGCTATACCATACCGATGCATAGTTGCTTTGGGAACTATTTTTCTAAAACTGAAAAATCCCAAACCAAAACATGGATTGAACCAATCTAATCACAAAGTTGTTCCTTGTTTCTTGTTTGATTGATTTCTCTAATTTTCTAACCTTTGATTGTTTCTGTTTCTTTCCAAAGTTTTTGGAGCCACTTGAGCTTTGTTACCGGTCACTCTGTGATTGCGGTGACAGACCTATTGCTGATGGAAGCCTGCTCGATTTCTTACGCCAAGTGTCAACATTTGGGCTTGCGCTTGTGAAACTTGATATCCGTCAAGAATCTGACAGACACACCGATGTCTTGGATGCTATCACGACGCACTTAGGTATTGGTTCTTACAAAGAATGGTCGGAGGATAAAAGACAGGAATGGCTTTTATCTGAGCTAAGCGGGAAACGCCCTCTCTTTGGACCGGATCTTCCCAAAACTGAAGAGGTTGCAGATGTGTTGGACACTTTCAAAGTCATTTCTGAGCTTCCTTCGGATAGTTTTGGTGCTTATATAATCTCAATGGCCACTGCTCCATCAGATGTGCTCGCTGTTGAGCTCTTGCAACGCGAATGTGGGATCACTAATCCTCTGAGAGTTGTCCCGTTGTTCGAGAAGCTAGCGGATTTAGAATCTGCGCCTGCTTCAGTTGCCCGTCTCTTCTCCATAGAATGGTACAGAAACCGGATCAATGGAAAGCAAGAAGTCATGATCGGGTATTCAGACTCGGGCAAAGATGCTGGTCGTTTATCTGCGGCTTGGCAGCTTTACAAGACTCAGGAAGAGCTCGTGAAGGTGGCAAAAGAATACGGAGTTAAGCTCACTATGTTCCACGGAAGAGGTGGGACTGTAGGACGAGGAGGTGGACCCACCCATCTTGCTATTTTGTCTCAGCCTCCGGATACCATTCATGGGCAATTAAGGGTAACCGTTCAAGGTGAAGTTATTGAACAGTCTTTCGGAGAAGAGCACTTATGCTTTAGGACTCTTCAGCGTTTCACGGCTGCAACACTTGAGCATGGAATGCATCCACCGGTTTCCCCTAAGCCCGAGTGGCGAGTCCTCATGGATGAAATGGCTATAATTGCCACTGAAGAATACCGTTCTGTCGTCTTCAAGGAGCCCCGTTTTGTTGAGTACTTCCGTCTGGTAAGTTCATAACCAACTCAATTAATACTAGTCTACTACTATTAAACAAACAGTAGTTAAAAAAATGTCTAAATGCGAGTTTGGGTTTGTCTTATAGGCGACACCGGAGCTTGAGTATGGAAGGATGAACATAGGAAGCCGACCATCGAAACGTAAACCGAGCGGAGGAATCGAGTCGCTGCGTGCAATCCCGTGGATCTTTGCATGGACTCAGACGAGGTTTCACTTACCCGTGTGGCTAGGCTTTGGAGGGGCATTCAAACGCGTGATCCAGAAGGACAGTAAGAATCTCAACATGCTCAAAGAGATGTACAACCAGTGGCCTTTCTTCCGTGTCACAATTGATCTAGTCGAAATGGTTTTCGCCAAAGGAGATCCTGGAATCGCGGCTCTGTACGACCGCCTCCTCGTCTCTGAAGAACTTCAACCATTCGGTGAACAACTTCGAGTTAACTACCAAGAGACCAGACGCCTCCTCCTCCAGGTATAACTTACTTCCACTATAACCACATTATAGATGTCCAATCCGGTTTCCATGCGGCATCAAACAAAACCACGAACGGTGGGGACAAACTGGCCAAAATGCCAACTTAACCCGTGCGTTTCATACCTTTCCAGGTTGCAGGTCACAAAGACATTCTAGAAGGTGACCCTTACTTGAGGCAAAGGCTGCAGCTACGTGACCCATACATCACGACATTGAACGTGTGCCAAGCCTACACACTCAAGCAGATCCGTGACCCAAGCTTCCACGTCAAAGTCCGGCCACATCTATCTAAGGACTACATGGAGTCTAGTCCAGCAGCTGAGCTTGTAAAGCTCAACCCAAAGAGCGAATACGCACCGGGACTTGAAGATACCGTCATCCTCACTATGAAGGGTATTGCTGCCGGTATGCAAAACACCGGTTAAGCCAGTTTAAACCGTCTTTGTACCATTCCCTGATTCTATGCTATGTAATGTATTATGTCTATTCTATGATGTGATAATCTATCTTACTCTATTCCGTACGCTTTTTTAATGAGTATGATAATTTCTTGTGTTATTCTATTGTTGTTATGTTTACTAATCATATCTGTGAAATATATTTCTGAAGGGAAACAGGAAAAGTAATCTTTCTTTTTGCTCTAAGATGTTGAAATTACCAATATTAATGTATTACTCTTAGCAAGATGTTGAATTTTCTGTTTTTTTTTTCTTCTTTCTTATGGATTTTAACCTTTTTTTAAAAAAGAAACTTGAAAGCTCTACATAATCGTATGAAAAACAAGTTGAATATTTGGATTCTCAAACGATAAATGCGGAATCCAAAATCCGGTTAGTTTTCATACCATATTGAAAATTTATTATCCAGTTCTATAATTTTTTTACTTTAAATATTATTTTTGAAAACCGTTTAAAACATAACTAATTGTTAAATTTTCATTACGTGAAAACATGTTAAATTTATGACACATCAAAACTTACGGACGTAAAGGACGGGATGCTAAGTCGAACTTGTTTTCAACATTTTTAAATTTAACACTTAGTTTTGTTTTTAGTTATTAAGTTTTTAAATTTTTTTACTTCAAATATTATTTTTGAAAACCGTTCAAAACATAACTAAGTGTTAAATTTTTATTACGTGAAAACATGTTAAACTTATGACACCTCAAGACTTACGGACCAAAAGGACGGGATGCTAAGTCGAACTTGTTTTCAACGTCTTTCAATTTAACACTTAGTTTTGTCTTTTGTTATTAAGTTTATATTTAGTTATTAAATTTTTAAATTTTTTTACTTAAAATAATATTTTTGAAAACCGTTTAAAACATAATTAAGTGTTAAATTTTTCTTACGTCGAAACATGTTAAACTTATTACACCTCAAGACTTACGGACCAAAAGGACGGGATGCTAAGTCGAACTTGTTTTTAACGTTTTAAAATTTAACACTTAGTTTTTTTTTTGTTATTAAGTTTATATTTAGTTTTTAAGTTTTTAAAATTTAGTTTTAAATCAGAAAATCCAAAGTGAAAATCAAATTTTTATTTAAAAAAAAATGAAATTAAGAAAGAAATACCTGGTGTTGGGCCGTCACAGCGAAGCCCATTGCCCAAACTCTGATTTTCTATCTTCTTCATCCTCCCTCAGGCCTCAGCCCTCGCCGCGACTCCATCTATTTCTACTAAATCATCAGTCACTTTAACAAAAACTGCAGCATTCTCCATCTGCCACGTGTCATAAGTAGGGGTGTCAAAATGAGCTCGTAACTCATGAGCTGGCTCAGCTCAACTCAATTTTTCATGAGCACGAGCTCTGTTTTTTAGGCTCATTTAATAAATGAGTTATATGATCGAGCTTTTTTTAGATCGCGAGTTATATGAGCGAGCTTTAATGAACATGAGCTGGCTCATGAGCTCGGCTTTTTTTACAAATATATATATATATATATATATATATATATTGAAAATATATACAAAATGTCAACATAAGCATATATATCTTTTCCATTTAAATTAAACAAAAATAGAATTATTCTATTAGAAAATTTGTGTTTTGAGGTTATTTTTTTCTTGGATTTATTTCCATTATTTAACTTTATAATTAATTATGTTATTGGATTTATTTTATTTTTTAAAAAAAAATTTACATTATTTTTGTTGTTATATTTATTTGTTATGAGCTCGCGAGCTAGCTCATTTAACTCGCGACCAAGATGATCTGAGTCCGAGTTTATATATTGAAGCTCATCTAATAAATGAGCTGAGCTGAGCTAGCTCATGAAATGTCCGAGCTCATCATGAGTTGAGCCGAGTTGAGCGAGCTAGCTCATTTTGACACCCCTAGTCATAAGTCTTAAATTCTCTACTTTTACTTTTCTATTTTTTCTCTCGGTTCTTTTCTTCTTAATTAATTTTTTTATCAATTAAAACTTTTTTAAAAAAAATTGCTTAGAATCAGAAGGCAGTTTCCTTAATCCCTTATTCCACGATTTATGGGATTTGACAAAGAGTGACTTATAAAATTTTCACTTGATCACGGAAACTGCTTCAGGATATTTACTTCTTATTTTCAATATTATAAAACAATTATTAAAGCAAAAATCTTTCCCACGATCCTTTTCAATGCAACCGTTCCTCCATAAAAGTTCATGTAAATCCATATTGTCATCCAATGCGCCTTAACAGAAACAAGTTTTACTTTTGATTCACTGGTTGCAATTTCTCACGGTTTGATCTTTTATTTTTTTCTTGAATTCTGATTTTTACCAAGTTTTTTTTACTGTATCTTTTTTTTTTGTAGGTTCTACAAAACAGATTTATAACGAAATTAGTCAAGGATCACCATTAAAGGACTTTATCGAACACAAGAGTAACTGTCAGTCGTCTTTTCAAAATTCAATGGAGTTTGAACATCTGCGAATATACAATTTAGCTTATAATCATTTTATTGCTACCAATTCCAGGTTTCTTCCATCGTCTTCAAATCTTTGGATTTTCTTTTTTCAATGACTTGACTAACAGATTTTCCAATCTTTCTTTTTTCCTTTTTAATTTTCGTCCCCAACTACTTGCAATTGTAATTCCAATTCCTTATTATATTTTAATGTTGTCTTGTGTCAGGAACGAAGCTATGGCCAATCTGCTTAACTATGGCTAACTTAAACATCTTCATATCTATTGCATCAGTCTATTATCATGTGCAATGCATCGGGTCATGAAGAACCTGAGTTGGATTCTAGCTGAGGTTAGTTTCACTAATAAACACGAACTGTATAATTCTCCATATATCCTTAACATTTTTTCTTGATTTCATGTCCACTTTTATAATATGGAAACTATTTCTACTCAGGAGCTTTGCATGGTCAAGAACTAGATCATGGCCAATTCCATCTGATCATTGATCTTATGAGCATTTGATTGATCTCTCTATTAAATTTTCTTTTTATTTATACATAAATTATATTTATAATATCAACTAATTGCTAATTAACAAACAAAATAAATTAAGCCCGTGCAAGGCACGGGTCTTAACACTAGTTATTCTTCTAAAGCCATGGAAAGTCGAAACTACTAGCTTTTCATTGTCCCTTTCTTTGCTATCCTCTTCGTAATCTCCTTCGCCGCCGTCGACAGAACCCGCCGGTGATAGGGTTAAGATCCACGTATGATGAATCCATTGGTAACGAATTACCAAGAATGGTGAAATTAGTGGAGATCCGACATGAAATCGTTCTCAATTATTGACTGAAGATGTTGACACAACAAAGTATGGAGATCAATCACGAACTGCCGATTAATCTTACGGATTTGGTTATGAGATGAAGGATGAAGTTCTTGCATAGATCATCGGCTTCCTACAGTGTCGGAATTGATCATCTGCTTCACGGTCTCGATCCTCTATGCAAGACATTAGCAGAGCTTTGTTGCGGAAGAAACTACATGTATTAAAAAAGAGAAGATGAAAGATGCTTTTTTTTTTTCGTTTCGAAGAAGATGAATAGAGAATTATGATTTTTCTCAAGGAAGAAGATTTGAGTGAGTATTTATAAGCAACAAAGGTTCTTCAAAAAAAAAGGAAATTTTCGTTTGTTTCCTTTTTTAGTTTTTTCAACGAGTTTGATTATTTCCTTTTTTTTTGTTGCCAATATTTCCTTTTTTCTAAGAGTTTGGTTGTTTCCTTTTTTACATATTTGAACTTGTTTTGTCAAAGTTGTTTTAGAATATTCTCAGAGCTTTGTATTAAAAATTGTGTTGCAGGCAATGTTGGCTTCTCCAAAAGCATAACCAGTTTATGAAGCAAAAGCAGATTCTGAGAACTAGATTCATACAACAGACGTTGACATCAGGCTACCATTGCTAGTTCATGTTTCGAGAGAGAAGCGGCCTGGTTATGATTCAATACCCATCCATGGAGCTAATATAATACAGCTAAATTCGTAGCTTTATTACAGAATCATGAATTTGCTCTGTATGTGTTTGCTTGTGGCTCTCTTTGTGTTAAAGCGTGGGAATATAGCTTTACATCTATATAACAAACAAATGGAGGCAGAAGTGAAGTGTTTGTGAATTTGTTATAATGCAGGAGCGACTAGAGAAGAAGAAAGCAGAGTATATATGCAAAGAGGATGAAGAATAAGGTTGCAGCGATTCACAAGGAAGCAGAAGAGAGAAGAGCAATGATTGAAGCTAAGCGTTGAGAAGACATTCTTAAAGCAAGAAGAAACGCCTGCTAAATGCAGGGCCACTGGAACTGTTTTCAAATGCAACTTGTGGATGTTTCTAATCTTGAATTTGCAAATCAAATTGTCAAGATTTTGTAACTACTAAGTGTGAACGAATTTCTCTGTTCTCTTCAATGGCTTGTAATGTTGTTTGGATATTGATTTTGACTGTGAAAACATGAGACTGAAGAATTTGTTCATTGTTTTTGTTCTGTAATTTTTCTCAAACATGATCAAATCATAAAGAGAGGATTGATTAAGTTCTTCAACTAACTAATGCTGATTTACATAAATACTTACTATATCTCTACTTGTAATCACTAAAAACCAGAAGACAAAAAAAGAACCAAAGTTTGAATCTATTTCTTAGATAGGCTTTCATAAGATTAAAATTTAGAAACCATGGAAACAAGTAAACAACACCAACAGGAGAGTGTGAGTAGCTGTTAATGTTCTCTTCCGAGAAGCTCATATCTTCATCGCTTAGGAGAGAACTCATACATATTCCCTCTAACAAATACCTTGTGAACAATTGGTAAATTTGCATAAAACTCCATGACAACTTCAAGGTTATACGGTTCCACATAAGTCACAGTGCTCAAAAGTACTTTCACCAAACAATCAAAAACAATAGTCAAGATTTTGTTGAATTTCGTAAATAGTCCGAGACTAGTTGACCAAAAAAATCCTAAATTTCAAAGACTAAAATATAAACTTCAAATAATAAACTCAAAATTTTAAAGACAAAATAGGTATTTTCTTATTTTTATCAGATGCAATTTTTTTTTTTTGGAAAAAAACAGTTTCTTAATTATTCCTAATGACATTTGGGTTGGAAATAAAAGTTAATCCATTTTTGTAAATAATTCCATTATTTGATAAAAATATAAAAATATCATGGGAAGATAAAGTACTATTAAAATGAGTGGACTGGTGGATAGAGAGTGATGACATGTCATGATATGGTTGGAGGAGTGAAGAACCAATGGATCCCACGAGGAATAATATAATGAATAAAATCACTTACTGACACAGACCATTGAGTATTAATTACCCCGCTAAACCCGCGTTAATTACGCTTGTGTCCCTACGCGCGTCTCAAAGATCTCTCTCTGTGTTCTTTCTTTTGTCTGGAGAAAAAAAAAACAAAAGAAGAGCGTTCGTCGAGAGATATACGTACTCGGATCAGTCGTCAAAAGCTTTCGAATTTGATACTAATCTTGAAAAATCAGTCATGGGTTCTGGAAAAGAGCGTGACACTTTCGTCTACCTCGCTAAGCTCTCTGAGCAAGCTGAGCGCTATGAAGGTAAGGAATCTTCTTCTTCTTCTTCTTCTCTCGAATGGGTTCTCTGAATTTCTCACAATCAGGTCTTTTTTTGATAGCTTCTTTAGCTCGTTTCTCTGTTTATTTTTTCTGGATTTTGATTTCATCGAAGGGTTTGGTTTGATCTTTATAAGTCAATGATTTGATTGAGATTTTTTCGAATTGGGAACTTCTGAGGAACGAATTAGATTCAAGGGTCTCGATTTTTACAAAATGGGTATTGAAAATGTGATTTCTTTTTCACAGAAATGGTGGAGGCAATGAAAAACGTTGCGAAATTGAATGTTGATCTGACGGTGGAAGAGAGGAACTTGCTCTCTGTGGGATACAAGAACGTGATTGGATCAAGGAGAGCTTCATGGAGGATCTTCTCGTCGATTGAACAAAAGGAAGCAGTGAAAGGGAATGATGTTAATGTAAAGAGGATCAAAGGGTATATGGAGAAGGTTGAGTTAGAGCTTTCAAACATATGCATTGATATAATGTCTGTGTTAGATGAGCATCTGATTCCTTCGGCTTCTGAGGGTGAATCAACTGTCTTCTTCAACAAGATGTAAGCTTATATTGCTTCTTTACATGATGTTTTAACTTCAGGTTTTAAGTTTTGTGTCTGAAGATTTTGTTTTGGTTTTTTTTTTGCAGGAAAGGTGACTATTACCGCTATCTTGCGGAGTTCAAATCAGGGAATGAGAGGAAAGAGGCTGCTGATCAGTCTTTGAAAGCCTATGAGGTGTTCTACTAGTGATATATAGTGTTATTGATCAATGGATATTCTCGGTTTTTTCGTTGCTTTACTTTTGAGTTTTTTGTTTGTTTGTTTCCTTTACAGATTGCTACTACTGCTGCTGAGGCTAAACTCCCTCCTACACATCCTATCAGATTGGGTTTGGCTTTGAATTACTCTGTCTTCTACTATGAGATCATGAACGCACCTGAAAGGTTTAGAGATTGTTAATTATACTTAGAAAAGAAAAGATTCATTGTTTTGGAGATTTGAGATTTTTTCTTTCTTTCTTTTCTCTTCTCTTCAGGGCATGTCACCTTGCTAAGCAGGCGTTCGATGAAGCTATCTCAGAGCTGGACACTCTGAATGAGGAATCCTACAAAGATAGCACCTTAATCATGCAACTTCTTAGGGACAATCTGACCTTGTGGACTTCTGATATCCCAGAAGAAGGAGGTGATGATCACTCTGGACCTAAGCAAACTCTTAAACTATGATGATTGATGTCTTACAAAAGTCCTTTTTGGTGTTCATTATTACTTCGTTTGTGTTGTTTTGCTTGGAAACCATTGAATATATAAGACATTTTAAGCATATCCCTATCTCATAATGATTCATATTTTGCTGTGGATTTCAAATGTTTATTTTGCCTTTATATGCAGCAGACGATGCGCATAAGACGAATGGTTCTTCCAAAGCTGCTGCAGGTGGAGATGATGCTGAGGTAAAGTAGAACAAATTCCTTTCATAGAAGTGAATCGAATAAGTCAACTCCGATAACAAGATCTCTTTGCTCTTGGTGCAGTGATCTGATATGTGTGCACCCGCAGCAGCAGCACTGATCAATATGTTTCAAGAACAACTGAATGCGCGGTGAATAATAGCGAAACGTAGAGTTCCTCTGTCTCCTGTATCATTATTGTCTATGTTATTTGTACGCTGGTTTAGTCCCAATTCTCTCTGGTTTGAATGTATTGCATCATTTGATGCCTGTCTCAGGACACTGCCTTATTTGTAATCTATAATTCAGTACTGTCTTCTTACTATATGTCCTTATGGATCCAATTTTATATCCCTTCATTTCTAAGTTGCTGAGACAGGAGCTGTTTGGTTTTCCTATGCTCTGCCTCTTCCGATCTCTGATTCATGTTCAGTCGCTAATTGAATAAACCACACCAAGTGCAATAAACTCTGTTCAGTTTCTTTCACAGCTTGTTCGTCTGTGTTGGTGAATCATCTAAGCATACACAAGCCAAGCGTAAATAGATAATGAAGCTTGCATTTCTTGAATCCTTGCGAACATTTACTAATATGTAATATAGCCAAAGCAAGCAGTGTGAAACTTCAAAAAAAAAAGAATTAGAATCGAAAAAAAGAAAAAAGAATGAATAGTTTGTTGAATTTGACAGAATAGCTCTTTCCCATCTTTAACAAAGATTACTTTCTGAGTATTTGAATAGGCTCTTCCGATCGGATCATAGGGATGCAGAGAACGATGATAGGGCTTTTTCAGTTATAAGAGGAAATGCTTTATAGAGTCCTCTAGAAACTGATGGCTCGGACAAACCATCTCCTTCACTTTATCTCCATTCTTGTACATCTTAAATGTCGGAACTTTCCTGATACTCTCTGCTTTCGCCAATGCCATGCTCTCTTCCACATCCACCTGATAACATTTCATTTCCTCAGTTAGAACATTGAAAGACATAGGTTTGTTTATATATAGGGTTAGAAGAAAATGTGATCTAAAAAGCATATTTGTTTTTACCTTAAAGAAGTGTACTAATGGATACCGGAGACATAAAGTGTTGATGAAAGGAGAAATTTCTTCGCATTGCCGGTTTGATGATGATTTGAAATGAAATACAGTGACACCTGAAGAGAAATGTTTCCACTTGAGCAAGACACATAAAATCTCAACCTTTCAGATAAATTGAAGTTTCTATTTAAATTACCGGGAAGTGCTAGCGAGCTCTTGAACTTATCCAAAGTCGAAACCGCTTCAACTTCATTATTGAAACCTAGGCTTTTAGATTCTTGGCTTCTGTTCATTAGCACGGTTTTCGCTCTCTCTAGAGACTCTGCAACTTCGCTGTCTCCTGGAAGTTCCCTTCTCAAGAACTCATAATCTTTGACTGCATCCTCCCACCGACCAAGCTATGTAGTTCAACAAACATTGTCATTCAAATACACTACGAAATTCGGTCAATAATTGATTATACAGAGTTCTAAACTCACCTTTCCATATGAAGCAGCCCTTCGTAGAAGTGCCTTGATGTAACTAGGCTGGATTTTGAGCGCATGGTTACAATCTTCAACAGATTTCTCCCACAAACCGAGCTTATACCAACACGCTGCTCTGTTGCAGTACAAAACCGAATTGGATTCATCGTGCTTGAGACCGTCTCCATAAGCAACACTCGCTTCCAAGAATCTCCCCGAACTGAACAACTCATTACCACGAGTACGTGCCCGCACAACCATCTTCACATTGTTTAAAACTGATGCTACCTCAGGATTGGTCTGATCGAGCATCGCAGCTCTCTCTGCCTTTACAACCGCATTCTCAAATCTGCAACAAACCTATCATTTCTACTCACTCACCGGCCGAGAAAAAAAAATCCAAAGAATCACAACATTTCTGAGTTGCGAAAGCTCACCTTCCTAATGCCATATAAACTTGAGATTGGATACAGAGCACATAAGCTTCAACTACCATACCAAAGAGTTTCGCCTGCGGTTGAGAATGGTAATGATGATCCAATCTTGGAATGCAAGATAGACAAAAATCTGAATCCTCTATTTGGTTAAGACGCAAAAAGGCTTCTGCTTTACAAGCTACAAGCTGTAAAAACCAATCGAAAAAACCTCACTGTTAGTTAAAAATCTTTACAAGCAAATGCAACAAGCCGCCTATCTTACGGCAATGATCTGTAATCACCTGAGGAGCCGAATCGGCACCGTTTGCAATGGCTGCATCGGTTTCCTTAATCGCGGTTTTCCAATCTCCAATCTTTCGAGCCTCCCAGCATCGCCGGAGATGCTTCTCCAGTGTTTGCAGCCGTTGGAGATCAGCTTGATCCGGACATTGCCCGGAAAAACAAATATGACGTCTTGCATTCTCAGCTTCTCCCAATCTAAAGCAACAATTCAATCCACCATTTCAATTCTCAATCTTTAAACTAAATCACACAGCAAAAAAAACAACCCCTCAAGATTACCTGAGATAGAGAGAAGCAAGTCTTTGGTGAGCTCTGGAGTAAGAAGGATCAAGCCTAACAGCTTCAAGACATTCTTTAACGGCTTCTTTTAACCGTCTTAACGCCGTTAACGCTGCCGCACGGTTGCTTCTGTAAGCTGCATTTTCCGGTGAAATCGAAATTGCTCTGTCGTAAAGCGACAGAGCTTCAGAGAAATTCCCTCTCCTATACATATCATTCCCCATTCTCTTCAACTCCTCCGGATTTTCTCCGTTCTCCGCCGCTCTCACCGCCTTTCCGCTGCTTCCTCCTCCGCCACTTCGTACAACGTTTCCATGTCCGTAATTTCCAGTTCCTGTGCACAGAGTCTCAGTCCTACTTGAGGTCCGAGACGCCATTCCTGTTTTCAAGATCCGACCCGAGGGACAAATGTTTCCCGCCGGTAAAACGCCGGGATTCGGCGACACTGCCGACGTAGCACCGCTACCACCTCCTTGCGGCGAGCTGTGACTCGTTGCTGAGGTAAAGCTAGAGCCAGAGAAGATCAACGGCGTTCCAGTAGAGGAGGATCTTCTATGACCCGGTTTAAGATTCCGGGTCGTCGGCATTCCGGATCCGGGGCTAGAAAGCTCACCAGAGTGACTCCTGTAACCATTCTCTAACCGCTTACCCATCTGAGAACTCACCGACGGTTTACCAGAAGCAGAGCCTGAAGAACCAGAGCTGCTAGTAGGAGTCGCAGCGGCGGAAGAAGAAGCAGAGCCACGTGGCATTAAGGTAGAAACAGGAGAACCCAGATCGAGTTCTCGAAAATCAGGTTTGTTGACGTCATCGTTTCTCTGTAAATCACGAAATCGACCTGTGATTGAATCTATAGCAGGTTCCAACGAAAGTCTTCTAGAATGAGACATCACTTCCTCGTAAGCTGAATCTAACGTGACTCAGCTTCTTCTTCTTCGTCTTTCTTCTTCTCTCAGAAGTCAGACACCACCACCGAAGCTTTAACGCCGGACAGAACCAAGTACTGTCTCCAGAGAGAAGAGAGAGAAAGAAGAGAAAAAGAAAGACAGATCTCGTGATAAATAGAAAAGGAAGACGCAAAGAATGACGAGTGAAAAAAAAAGGTTTAAAAAAAAAAAAACTGGATTAACCTTGATTAATAAAGATTACAGATTTATTTCCCTGAGATTATGACATTGATCTTCTTCTTCTTCTGTTTATCTCACGAGTCTCTCTCTCTCTTTCTTCAGTCCCGTGTCTTCACGGCTACTTGTCGTTGAAGAAAATAATACGGTGATTTATCGAATTTAATTTTATAAATAAACTCTATAGTCTAAAATAGTTGACTTTTCATTTTGAGCACAGTATTCGAAAATAAAACTAATTAGACTTCTTCTTACATTATTGAATTTAATTTCTTTAAATTTTCTAAATAAATTAGAACATTTAACCCCTTACTAACTAACTACATCTACTTTCATATTATTGGGTCGTGTTACGAAAACGAATTACACATTTAATCTGTTAATTGTATGCGTAGTAAATAAACAACCTCTGCGATGTTAATTAGTATTTAAATCCTAGCTTCTGACGTGAAATTAGTATATGGTTTAGTTCTTTTTGCTTAAAATGTCAAGGGCACGAAGATTCAAGCACGTTCACTCATGTTCCCAAAATGTTACTCTATCGAAATTTAAATCTTTGTATAACATCATTTATGTATAACATCATTTATTGATTACAGACTATACAATAGCATAAGCAAGCTAAGCTATATACACTATCATATTAGGATTAAAAAAAAAACACTAAACCTTGGTAGGATATTCAATGCACCACGACATGTAACTATTTTATCATTATTACTAGTATTTTTTTGTTGCAATATTTTCATTTATCAAACCCACTTTTAGGGTCGTTGTACAGAAGTCTCGCATTAAATTGGCCGACTCAATTTTGATTATATTGAATAATTGTAAAATACCTCAATTTTGATTATATTGAATAATTGTAATGGTATTTCTTAGTAGACATTAACATTTTAACTAGTGTTTAGTTAGTTGTAGAAAAAAATCCCAACAAATACTAAGAAGTTACATTCTAGAAACTAGAAAGTAAATCTAATGATTATATCAACAAATAAAATAGAATTAAAAAGAATTTTATCAACTAGAAGTATGTCAACAAATCCCTGACTTTTGGAGTTTGGTTAAACTATTTGACCAAGAAAAATGTGAATTTTTTAAAAAATAATGAGAAAATGCCACGTAATGATTTCAACCCTCGTACTCCGAGACAGCAAGATCGAGGGTAAAATCGTCTATTTTATGTAGATGTATTTATCAGGCCAGCCAAACTTTTGTTTAAGCCACCATATTTATTGTACTATTATAAGCATATAAGAGCAACCTTAATGGTAGGCTCTTAATTTTGTCTCTTAACTATTATTATGAATTGTTTTATTGAAAAAAATTATAGCTAAAAGCTTTTGTAATGGTTTGAAGCTCTTAAACCTTCTTTTATCTCTTAGCTAAGGAACTCTTCTAAACTATTCACATATTATTTTGATTATATTATACCTAAGATTTATAGTAAGAGACTTGCAATAAGGATGGTCTAAAGTAATCTTTTATTGCAATAGCCAATTTAAATGTAAATAACAAATGTGTAGTGTAACCAAAATAAAGAAAATAACAAAATGAAAGTTCAATATCTAATGCAGAGCTGGCATTTTTTTTTCTTTTGGATTAATGGATGTCCCTTTGAAAAGGCTGTCATAGTTCTCTTTTCTTTTCTAGGGATTACTATTTAATTCCGTAGATTCATTATATAGTTAATTTGCTTAAACTCATAATTACTTTGTAGTAACTATATATTGTTTCTAGTAGACCATGGTCAGTCCGTACCGTTCAGACCTACGGAACCACTAATTACATTGAACCAAGCACCATGCATGCCTTCATTTTATTTTATTTTTCTCTAGCTAGGTCATGCCTCGCACCCTCAAATATTTTTCATATATATACTCAATTAATTTTCTCTTGACTATTTCTTAAACGAAAAATTCGCTATGTACATATTAAAAGCAATAATAACAATTAAAAAGGATAATTAAGAACATAACGATAGTAAATACTAAATACTAGTAATAAAAAAAGGTCATCAAAATAGAAGGGTAAAGTGGGGATAATGGCAAAACGGTGATCATGCCAGCTGGTTATTGACTTCTCTGCTGTGCCTGCCAGCTAAGCAAACAGTTTCCGTTAACGGCGTTTAATTTTCAAGAACGGATTGTTCTGTTAACACCGACGGATTATTCGAAAACTGACCTCGAGCCCGCCAAACTTGAGATGGGTGACGATAGTGACTCACCAAATCACAATATCTCCGGTTCAACAAAACCAGCTCTTATTTTCACTAAACCAGAAACAAGCATGCATAAATAAGTAGCGATAAAAAAAATTACATTAGTAAGATAGTTCAAATGACTATATGCGTTTATACTTTTTACTATAGAAATAATAAATTATGGATTTTTTGAAGGACAGAATACGTGCATTTGAAGATAAGATTGGCTTTCAGAATTATATTATGTGTCACATTTGTGGTATTGATACTTCTTTATTATCATAATTCATAAACGACATATGACATATATATCAAGAAAAAATTAGTCTAAAACGACACTTGCTTTAAAATGAAAGGAATATTATTTTTTTTCCCACAGATTTAATTCAATCTTTAATAATTTGGACACTATTTGCATTAATAGCAAAAGACCACACCAATTACACAATTAGTCAGTGTTATTCAACGCATGTCACATTGTTTGTTCCGCCGGAGACATACAAAACATAATACAATGCGCAGGCTGTAATGTTTGAGCATGAATAACCCCAATCAAAATAGACAAAAGAGGAAATGTGTGGAAATTATAAAAATAAGTGCAATTAGCTGCTAATGATGTTTTTTATATCTTTTTTGTTGACTCTTTTTAAATCACTGTCTGGCCATCTTAGCTTACTTGGTAATTATAATCACGAGATTCGGGTTTCATATAAAACAAAATAAAGTATCCTATATTTTTACTACAATTTTACCCGTCGGCAAACATACTTTATTAGTACTTATTTAATCCATTACAGTTATGGCTTTGAATTTGATTTACTGTTAGGGTGTGCCGAGACCGAGAGAAAAAAAAATTCTAAGTCGCCAAAAGAATTCCTTTTGTGTAAATAAAACCTTGTATGTGCTTATATGTTACATGAAAATTTTTAACAAAAAAAATTGATACATGAAAATTAAGACAATTCCCTAGTTTCTTGTAACTACACGAATTATTTATATATGTACTGTTTTTTTCTAATTAACAATTATTATTGCCTAATACATGGCATTGGTGTTCGTGGTATATATATTCTTATCTATCTGTATCTGTTACACCTTGATTCTTGATAATATATACAAAAAAACACGTATGAGAATTATCTGGTTTTCTTTATTATTCGATTAATCAGTTTACTAAAAGCTAATCCACGCTTTTCTAAGCTTAACCACTATAATTCTTAATTAAGGGTATCCTATGTTTCATCATATATTATTTTATTTTATTTACAAATTATTAAGATCATAATGTCAGTCCAACCAAAGAATATATGTAGATCGCATTACCGTCCAACTCGCATTTTTTTGTCAACCCGCATTTTTTAAAGTTACATTCGTTTACTCTAAATTTCTAAAGTAAACAAGTATTTTTTTTTTTTTTTTGGTATCAATAAAACAAGTAGTACTTTGCTTTAGACTGAGATAGTTAAACTAAATTCTGAAACTGGTACGTGAAAAAAATGTTGGTGGAAATACTTTTGGTCTAGTCTTTGGCCAGTGGATGGATAATGAGACTTTCAATTTCTATATAGAAGTCAAGTTATAAGAACTGCAGTTTTATATGTAGTTATAGAAAAGAATATCTTTTAAATTCCAAAACGGCTACATGTATGGATAATTGAACATATCCGTATGTATAAGTAAACTTAACAGATCAATTATATATATTGCCATGATGTTATTTGTTGCCACCTGAGGTTAGATACTCCAACATGTGAGCATATGCTGATATGATATGAATCTTCTTCACCTTCATCATCATCTCCATCAACAATTTAATTTAATTTAATTTTCATATTATCACTCTTTAATAAAGAATATCATGTTTAAAAATTAAAACAATGTACCTATAATTGATTAATGATAAATCCATAAGATTTTAACAAAAATGGCCAATCCACAAATGTCATTCAAAAAAATGGAAAACTTAATAACTGATTCAACTGCAATAGTATTTATAAAAATTTAATTTAAATATATTATTATAGTTATAAGATATTTTAAAATAAAATAGAAAATAATTGATGAACTTTTCGTTAATGAGGGAGTGTATGTGCTGTGCAAAACATTCCACATGCACCATGTCTCAAGTTTAGAAGGGTAAGGGTAAAACTATACACCATACCTTTTAATTTAATACGTCATATAAAGTTTGGTAAATGACGTTTTAAGAACTAGAAAATAACGTTTAAAACATTTTAACAAGAAAAAATTCAGCTAATTTTTTGTTGTTATGGGTTCACTGGTTTTTTTTCGTTATCTTATACTATATTTTATGACTAATTACCACGGCTAATGTTTTCAATATATGATTATATGAAGGACGACTTTTGTCGTTTCCAGTGCAGAAAATATATTATCAGAAAAAATCTATTCCTCATATGTTTCTGGTTTTGTTTCATCTAATAGAACTGAAGACTTAAACGACAAAAGATATGCCTGCAGAAACATACACATTTGACATTTCCATGTGTCCCTTTGAAGTCCGAAGATAAACATTTTGTTGATAATAATTTAGTTAAGATCTAGTCTACTTTATATCAAAGAAAAGTTCTAGTCTCTCAAGTCTCAAAGCTGCACACTCAACAAAAATAATGTATGTTTGAATGTACCAATAAAAATGGATAGTGACATCTTTATAAAATAAAATAAAAAAGAGGATAGTGACAATGTGACATGTATGAGAAAAGCAAAATATAGTGCAAATTACATATTCGTTAATGGAGTAATGTTCATTCTCTAGTCGTAAGCGAAATTATTAGTTTTTAATCCCAAATTAACAGTTTCTGTTATAGTTGAATAGAAACTGCCACTCCATTAACAAAGATGTAATTTACACTAGATTTAATTTACTATGTGCGACCATGCATGATGCATCTTTTTGACTGGTGCGATTGTTATAATTATAAAATAAGAATTAATTAAATTTTAAATTTATCAAAAGAAATTAATGGAAATATGTAAACGAAAGAGAAAAGAAACAGAAAACTGGATATAGATAGAAATGGCTGTTTTAGACTTTTAGGATAAACGAACATGAAATGTGGGGGAAAGAGTTAAACAACATGATTGGTGACACATGTTGGCCTTTGTCTTTCTCTATTACTTCAGTCACGCCATCATATCATTGAGGTCGAATTTCTCTAATCTTTTATTCTCTCTTTTTCTTAATTTTTTCCTTAACATCTACATTTTTCTATAATGATACATAAAACAAAAACATGTCTCCCTCTTGTTTTGGTTGGTTCATTTTATTTCGTATATATGTAAAGCCTAAGTTTTGCTTCAAAACAATGTATCCATTTAGTTTAGTTGATGAAAACTCGTGAACAAAAAGATAATAATAAGTAAGCGCAAACATTTTACTGAATGTATTATACTAGCTCGAATAACTGTGTTGTGTAATTCATGTATTTTTATAGAAGCTTAAGAAATGGTGTATATTTCTTAAATCATATTTAAAATTTTTGATGAAGTTTAATAGAGCTTGACTATTTAAGGAAACGAAATACAAGAAATAAAAAGGCGAAATCTTTAGCCAAAATAAAATAAAATTGGTGAAATGATATTTTCTATGAGCAAACCTTAACAAAAAGAACTAGGGGAGAATAAACACTTGAGAAATAATGAAAATGTGGGAAATTGGCACATGCCACTAATAACACTAACATGTGATTCAAATAATTTTGAGTCTACCTCATGGGAAAAAGAGAGAGAAAATAAGCATTATGCTCTGCATTTCTTCCTTTTTAAACTTGATCTAAACAAGAGATACCAAAAATGAATAATATGATTGGTTTATCCTCCAACACATCCATTTAGATTCGATTTAACTAAGACTATGACTAAAATAAAGACATTTCCATCATCCAATTAAAACACACACACGACAACTAGAGTTTATTCAATTCAAATAAGAAGGATTCTGATGAATCCACGTTTTCTCAGTTACTAAACTGACGCAACTCTAGTCAAACAAAGTCTGCAACTGCAGGCACATACTTTGATAGTGCCATATGGAGTATGGACTGAAACTGAATCAGAGAAGTTGCTACTGTGTTGACTCTTGATGGGAGCACCAGAGCTAATCAGGTCAAGACGAAAAACCATAAGGGCCCGTTTTCTTGACACGAGTCTCGCGGTTGTTCTCCATGAAAGAAACACTCTTCTCACGTGCATTAGCAAATGTATTGAGTTAACCAAACCGAAGCCATAGCAAAACATAAACGCAGAGTAATCAGTTTTTAAAACATCTGTGACATTGATGGATAAATGGGCTCAGTCCCATTTGTACAGGCCCATATAGAACCTTCTTTTGTTATTCCGTTGACAAAAATGGACCCATCTATTATACTATTTGCGATAGTACCAACAAAAAAAAAAAAAAACATTTTTCTCAATATTTAGGAAATTATTTAAGTTGAGAGTTGAATTGAATGATATGGCGGATGCTAGGTAGGGGCATAAAGTATGGTGATAGGGACAAACCAAATGTAGATATGCATATGAGCCTATGACGACATGAGTTTGCTCAATTCCACACTTTCTTGTCAAATCTGCCTTAAATCCATTATTCTCGGAAGTTCCGGTTTGTGTCACTTCACTAATGACCTTTGAATTCCCAAATCTATACTATTAGTGAGACTTTATAGCCCAAATTAACCTTTGGTCTTCTTAATTATGTGAATTTCACACTGTTCATGCCTAAACATTTTGACTCCCCAACTAAATGGTAGTGTCACTGCCAATGTGCCATGATAATCTGTTAAACATGACTTTTTATAGCATTTCGAAATTATAAGTAAATTCAGATCTACGATCGATTGGCACTTCCTGTATATAATTAATCATATCAAAACAAAAATGATGTCAAAATTAGTAAATATTACAAAAGATAAAACGTAATTGGCTTTATTTTAACACCTCATAGTACTCAGAAAATATTGATAAATCTGTGTGTAAAGAAACAAACGACTATCGCCAGTTGTGTGTTTCTGTCACTTATTTAGATTATCATGAGAGACTGAAAATGGCGAAACGTGGGTGGACCATTTTTCTTTCACCTCCTTCTCAATTATTGAACTCTTCAGTGTCCATCTGATTATTATTGATTGGTTCTATATATATATTGAGTTATTGACTAAATTAATCGCTTCGTGTTGTCTTCAAAATTTGGATCTTGATTACTAGCTGATATACTCATCCTACTTGTTTTCTTGTAATTTTTTTTATTCACAGTTGAGCCTTTCGACCATATTTGTGTGGTTCGTGATACTCAAAAGTTACATGTTATTGTATGAAAAAGAAGATGAAATACAATAGTGTTATTCTAGATGTAACATAATTAGCGGCCATAACATATACTTTAGTGATTCGTACAAGTCAATGCGTTATTATCCGGATTCAAACTCATATAAAATATATTTTTTGAAAAATAAATGTAAAACAACTGGCTAGATCTATAAGATCATGTACTAATGATATGTACTGTATTGTATTTGTATTTAGATTGAATTGACGAGGAGACATGATTGTGCTGGTTAGGTTGGAATATAAGTGATTTATTCATAACTTGAGGTGTTGATACAAGCTTCCAAATGTTTTATCTCTGTGTGGTATATATATATGCATTGTGAAAATCTCATGTTTTGTTTCCTTGTCAGTTCACGAGAGATCTAGTTAAACAAACAATTTATTGTATTAGTATGGATTATGGTATACATATACAGCTAGAAATTTTCTTAATTGTTAATACATGCATTATGGGGGAAATTTTTGCATGGCATTAAAAAATATCGAGTTCTCAACTGCTAGTGCAATTGTACTTTCATGAGTTCATCTGGCTATATGGACACATTTAAATAAATAATAGGGGTTTCTAAATAGTATCTCACATTTTCACTTTTTTTTTTTAATTTTCAACACGTCTCATAATTAATTTAATATAAATCCACCGATGTTCATTTCTTACATTTGCCGTAATCTAAAAAAAGAAGAAGAAATTCTCCATAATCACCGGCAAAAAGATAATGATGAGAATTTCTGTAGATATTTTTGGGTGTCTCCACATATTCACACTATTGCCTGAGTGCATCTGAGAGTTACAGATTATATCTACTAAAAATTCGATGAAAGAAGTATAACTTTTTTTTTATAAAGGAAATTAAAGAAGTATATTTTTTAATTAGACACGAAAGTTTAAACTTCCCTGTTCATTATTTTAGTGATAATAACAATAATTACTTATAATTATCGAAGGTTTGCAGATGATTGGACAATATATGGATGGCTCTTACTCTTGTACTATAGTCTATAGTCTATAGTCTATATTTGTGGGGCATTTGTATACTCATATCTACACGTACGTATAAATCAGTGAAAAAAATGCAGTAAAGTCAAAGTTGGACCCGCTTAAGGCTCTCTCCCAAACTAAATTTCATGAAATTGTATTTTCCTATTTTTTGCATCCTTTACCTACCAAGCCTACTTTTTTTTGAGTTTTTCTCATCCTTTTATTTCTCTCGTAATAATGGATCTGTATAGAAAAGTGTATTTGTTAGCTGCCAAGTGACACAAAATATTAACCCATAATTTACCAATAAATTACTTATGAACTTATTATACCAGCAAATCTTTTCAATATCTGTATTTTAAAAAGAGTGATAGTTTTTGGGTAAAGAAGATGATTTATTATTGATAACACAAAATTAACATTACGGTTTTCATTAGTAACATTGCATAATTGCATAATAACATAAGTTGCAGAATGAAAACTTGCAGAATAAAAAATTGTAGAATGAAATTACTTAAACAATATGTTGATTGGATACATTTTGCATAATGACAGTTATATTAATGTTGAAAAAAATTCTTGTTGAGTGACATTATATACAAAATTTCTCTACTAATTGAAAAAAACAGTTTTCTCAAACTTATGGCGAGTTTGTAGATTTATTTTCAACATCACATATATAATATTAAATGAAAATTCTCAATTATATTCTACTTAGCTACCGCCAAAGTTGGTTTTAACTTTGTTTTAACTTTTAAGTCTTGGTTTCAGCTTATATGAACCAAGTTAACTAAAAAAAATTGATGCAAATTTCAACATTTTCCTACTCTTTGAGATAATTTACAGAAGCAAAAAGATATTACTAATTTACTACTGTAAAAAAAAGTTATAAAAAATGAGAAATTATATTTTGGAACATACCTAGTACCAAATTAAAAAACACTAATATAAATCGAATAAAGACATATAAAGGATCTTGTTTCTTGTTTCCCCCTTCCCATGTGATGTGAACAATCTCACTCTCTTTCTCTATCTCTCTTTTGAGTTTCTTGGAGTATTATATAACAAATCAGTCCAAGACACCTCTTTTCTCACACCAATCTCGCTCTCACTAATAAAACAGAGAATCTCAATCTCAGATCGAAGAAACATAGTGAGAGAGAGAATGGGTTTCACTTCCCGAGGAAACCCTTCTTTTCTCTTCTTCTTCTTTTTTCTCTGTCTCTCCACAGTCTCTGCTTACATCAACAACACAAGCAGCAACAATGGAGAAGCAAGAAGAGAGCTAGCTTCTGGGAGATGTAATTGGTTTAGAGGGAATTGGGTTTATGATGCAAAGTACCCACTTTATGATCCTTATAAATGTCCATTCATAGATCCACAGTTTAACTGTAAGAAGTATGGTCGTCCTGACAATGCTTACCTTAAGTTTAGATGGCAACCATCTTCTTGCTCTCTCCCCAGGTTCTTACTCTCTCCTTATCTTTTTACTTTCTTTAATTCTGGTTTTTTTTTTTTTATTCAAGAACTAAGCTTTTCTTGTGTTTTCTTTCATATATTAGACAGAATAATAATTTGCACATGGTGAAAAAAATGAACTTTTTTCTTTCTTTGTTGCTCTGTTCTATTGAGTCAAAATCTGTTTTTTTTTTCTTCTTTTTTTTCATTAATAAATATATAAAGCTGGAAATTTGGAGAGTTCGGTTTGTTGTGTTTAATGCTATTTACAGAGATATTTAAGCATATTAGTAAGAAAGGTAACAATTGAATTTCAAAGTTAGATAATGTAGTGTACAGTATGTAAATAGTCTCTCTCCTCTTGACTCTTTCACTTTTTTTCTCTTTTTTTGCCTTTTTGGATTTCAAAATTTGAAACTTTTGTGAGTTGCTTTGGAGCAATAATGTATCGGAAATCCCATATATTCACTCTCCAAAAAGGTCTATAATCGAATCCGAAGCTCAAAACCAAAGTGCCAAAAAAAAAAAAAAACCAAAGTGCCTTGATTAAGTAAATATAGTACTACTAGATTATAGTTCAAATTGTAACTTTTTGAGATTAAAAATGTTTTTTTTTTTGTTTTTGGTTTCAGATTCAATGGGTTGTATTTCTTGAGGAGGATGAGAGGGAAGAAGATAATGTTCGTTGGAGATTCACTAAGCACTAACATGTGGCAATCTCTTGCTTGTCTAATTCACTCTTGGGTTCCTAACACTCGTTACACTCTTCTTCGCCAAAAGGGTCTCGCTTCACTTACCTTTGAGGTTTGTTCTTTCATTTTATCTTATTAATTTAAAACTAGCTAGTGACCTTTTCCCACTCAAATAAGTATAGATATTTATTGAGTTATGATTTTTCAATAGAAATTAAGTGTGTTTTTTTTTAGCTTTATAGTGTGGAAAGTGTGATAAAAGTCTTGATTTATTTTATTAACGCTTAGTGGTAATTAATAAGATAAAGTTAACTTAAGAAAAGGGATAAAGTGTTTTTTGGTTTGTCTCATTTGATTTGATGTAAAGATAATGCTTTGCGATATAAGTAATTTATTGCAAATGATGTTATAAAAATAGAATTATGACAAGAGAATGAGAGAGCATTTAAGAGATGAACGTGATTAGTGGCCTATTTCCCAAAAAAGAGAATCAACGGAATATCATGTCATGTTATAAACTTTATGATCATGAGCCACACAAAAAGAGATTCGTTTTTTCTTTTGTTTTCCCATATGATATATTTTGAGATAAAAAAGCACATGGCCAGTTAATATATACACATGTACATAAATTACGTACGTATTCCATTATCTAGTGAACTAAATTTGGGTTTTGTAATGGGTACGGACGCAGGAATACGGAGTGACGTTGTTGCTATACAGAACACAGTTCTTAGTAGATTTGAATGTGGAGAAAGTTGGGAGAGTTCTTAAGCTAGATTCCATTAAGCAAGGCAACATGTGGAGAGGCATGGACGTTTTGATTTTCAACTCGTGGCATTGGTGGACACACACCGAACACATTCAGCCGTACGTTGTCTTTCTTTCGTTGGTTCTGTTTTTTTTTTTTTTTTTAAATACTTTTGACTAATCTAGTGACGTGCGTTTGCAGGTGGGATTACATGGAAGATGGGAATAGATTGTACAAAGACATGAACCGGCTCGTTGCTTTCTATAAAGGAATGACCACTTGGGCTCGATGGGTTAATACTTACGTCGATCCTTCTAAGACTAAAGTCTTCTTCAACGGCGTGTCTCCTACTCATTACGAGTAAACATACTTCCTATAATCTAATCTTATTGTTCTCTATAAGTCGGTTTAGTTATGTCAACTTGAGCAAGGACTATGTTGTTATGTTAATCCTAAGGCATTATTACTTCACTTATATGTTAGTAAGGTTGGTTGGACATTGTTTTGCAGGGGAAAGGATTGGGGAGAGCCAATGAACTCATGTAGGAGTCAAACGCAGCCATTTTACGGGAGGAAGTATCCAGGAGGGACACCAATGGCTTGGGTAGTTCTAAACAAAGTGATGAGGAGATTGAAGAAACCGGTCCATTGGCTAGATATAACCGGTCTGTCTCAGCTTCGTAAAGATGGTCATCCTTCTGCTTTCAGTGGGAACCATCCTGGTAATGACTGTAGCCATTGGTGTCTTCCTGGTTTGCCTGATACTTGGAACTTGCTCTTTTACTCTACTCTTTTCTCTTAATAATTCTTGTTATCTTTCTCATCAATGTATAAGTTAACTTAAAGCAACAATCAATTATTTTTAGTTATCTTTTCACTGTGGTCGCTTGATTCTTGACTGAAATTACTCTTAAATAAGACCAACGCACTTGATTCTGTGAAAGGAGAAAACATGTCAAGAAAAGATTATACAACGGTGGACGAAGACGAAGTACTATGCTAATTAAAATTTCCATGTAATTAGCATAATGGGCTAGAGTAATTTAGATATATTGGGCCTAATAGAGATGAATGGGCGGGCCTGAAGAAGCCCAGATGTGATGAAGTGTTCGGCTGTTCGCAGTTGAGATAAAATCATCAGAGGCAAAAGTGCACCGGAAAGTCTCCACGTGTACATGTACGGAAAGATACGTGGAGGAAACAAAGATTATTGGCTCAATAAAATTGAAACTGATCTCTTCTCAGAAGCTGAGTCATCGTGCCTCTCCTACACGTTTCAATAGTAAACTCAACACGTCACACACCTTTCCTCAATCTTCATGACCGCCCAAATTTCTGTCTTTTCGGTTCTTTGATTATAAAGAGGAATTAAACAGGTCGATAAGAATCAACAGAGATAAAGAAAACAAAAAGAAAGAATTATCATCTTTAAAGTAAAACTGTTTCTTGGAAGTGATTGTTAGCATTAACAATGGCGTCGGAGCAAGCAAAGAGAGAGACCAAGGTGACGGAGAGAGAAGTTCAAGTGGAGAAAGACAGAGTCCCGAAGATGACGAGTCATTTCGAGTCCATGGCCGAAAAAGGCAGAGATTCCGACACACAGAGGCATCAAACAGAAGGTGGTGGGACACAGTTCGTGTCACTCTCAGACAAGGGGAGTAATATGCCTGTTTCTGATGAAGGAGAAGGGGAGACGAAGATGAAGAGGACTCAGATGCCTCACTCCGTTGGAAAATTCGTTACGAGCAGCGAATCAGGAACAGGGAAGAAGAAAGATGAGAAAGAAGAGCATGAGAAGGCGTCGCTAGAGGATATTCATGGGTATAGAGCCAATGCTCAGCAGAAGTCAATGGATACTATAAGAGCAGCAGAGGAAAGGTATAACAAGGCTAAGGAGAGTTTGAGCCATGGTGGACAAGAAGCTCGAGGGGGACAAATGGAGGGGAAAGGGCGAGAAAGTGGTGTCCGTGTTTCTCACGTTGGGGCTGTTGGTGGTGGCGGAGGAGGTGCTGCTGTCTTCGGACATGAATCTCGTGGCAAAGAAAGAGAAGAAAAAGAGAGTGGTGCTCATGGCTTTCATGGGGAGAAAGCACGACATGCTGAGTTTTTGGCTGCCGGAGGTGAGGAGATGAGAGAACGTGAAGGTAAAGAATCAGCCGGTGGTGTTGGTGGTCGGAGTGTAGCAGATAAGGCGGCTGAGAAAGGACGGCAAGCTAAGGAAAGTGTTGGACAAGGTGCTCAGAAAGCCGGAAGCGGTGCGAGTGAGAAAAGTCAGAGAGCTTCCGATTACGTGACAGAGAAGGGAAGGGAAACTGGAGACATGGCGGCTCAGAAAGGACAGGAGACAAAGGAACAGGCTGCGAGAGCTAAAGACTACACTGTTGAGAAAGCAGCTGAAGCTAAAGATACGGCGGCCGAGAAAGCTCGGAGAGCTTCTGAGTATGCAACAGAGAAAGGAAAAGAAGCTGGAAATGTGACAGCTGAACAGGCGGCGAGAGCAAAAGATTATGCTCTGCAGAAAGCTGTTGAAGCTAAAGAGAATGCGGCGGAGAAAGCTCAGAGAGCTTCCGAGTATATGAAGGAAACAGGAAGCACCGCGGCTGAACAGGCTGCGAGAGCAAAAGACTACACTCTGCAGAAAGCTGTGGAAGCTAAAGATGTTGCAGCTGAGAAAGCTCAGAGAGCTTCAGAGTATATGACAGAGACAGGAAAACAAGCCGGAAATGTTGCAGCTCAGAAAGGACAAGAGGCGGCTTCAATGACAGCAAAAGCTAAAGATTACACTGTTCAGAAAGCCGGTGAAGCAGCTGGGTATGTAAAAGAAGCTACTGTGGAAGGAGGAAAAGGAGCTGCACATTACGCGGGAGTGGCAGCTGAGAAAGCCGCTGCGGTTGGGTGGACAGCGGCACATTTCACCACGGAGAAAGTGGTGCAAGGGACAAAAGCGGTTGCCGGTACAGTGGAAGGTGCGGTGGGGTATGCAGGGCATAAGGCGGTGGAAGTAGGATCGAAGGCAGTAGATTTGACTAAGGAGAAAGCTGCAGTGGCTGCTGATACGGTGGTCGGGTATACGGCGAGGAAGAAAGAGGAAGCTCAACACAGAGACCAAGAGATGGATCAGGTATTGCACAACTTGTAGTAAAGTTAGATTTTTTTAGCTCATTTTAGTATGATGATGTTTCGTGTAGCTCAAGAAACTGTGTTTTGGATTTGTTTTGAGGGAGGTGAGGAAGAGAAGCGACCAGGGTTTGTTACAGAAGCAAAGAGAGGCTATGGAGAAGAGTACGGAGAAGAAAGAGGGAGTGAGAAAGATGTCTACGGCTATGGAGCAAAAGAAATGGCCGGAGAAGGGAGGAGAGATGTTGGGGAGGCAGAGTATGGAGGAGGAAGAGGGAGTGAGAAAGATGTCTTCGGATATGGACCAAAAGGCACGGTCGGAGAAGCGAGGAGAGACGTTGGAGAGGAATACGGAGGAGGAAGAGGCAGTGAGAGATATGTCGAAGAAGAAGGGGTTGGAGCGGGAGGGGTGCTTGGGGCAATCGGCGAGACTATAGCTGAGATTGCACAGACGACAAAGAACATAGTGATTGGTGATGATCCTGTGCGGACACATGAACATGGAACTACTGATCCTGACTATATGAGACATGAACAAGGACAACGTTGAAAAAATGTAATGGTGAAATGTTTTGTGGTTTTCTGCTTTTCTTAAAAAGGTCTTTTGTTTTTGTATGTAAATAACAAAGAAGCTCTGTTTCATAGTGTTCTGGTAAATAAAAAGCTCTGTTTCTCTTAAGAGGTTTGAAGAATATATGAGTGGTTTCCTTTGAAGTGAAACTGTACCAACTTTTATCTACTCTTGAAAACTAATTAGATTTAGATCTGTTTCCTTCATGAGCTTGTTTCTGACCGAAAGATCAATAGAAAAACGTAGTGATCCTTCATCTTGTAATATACGTGCGAGACTCATATTAGTATTAAAGGTCTCTCAGGCATTTTAACGAACAACTTGACTACTAGAAATAATTATCCCAATGTCCCAAATAGAGAGACCTAAACTTTGTTGCCAGACAAAGAAGAGTTGATGATAGGCAAAGCATAGAGAAGTGAGAATGGTTTTTGGTTTTAAAAAAGGAATGAGCCTCTCTGCATATATGAGTGTACGCAACGAAATTTTTCAAGCAAAACTGTATTTCATAGCTAATGGTGTAACACACATTGTGAATTGAGATCTACACTTTGGTATCAACATGTAACTTGATCTACAATTCTAAAACTAAGTAACAGAGATGAATTTTCAACACACTATTGAACAGAAACGAAACAAGAAGCTGGAGGCTTCAGAGGAATAATCTTCACTTTCAAGGGCTTGATCTCAACTTTCTTAAACTGTGGGGGCTTTGGTGGAATAATCTTTAACTTCAAGGGCTTCTTTGAAACATCCGTCGGTTTCTCCGGTGCTAGTTTAATCTTCAACTTCAACGGCGGCAGTGAGAAGCCGGTGATCACTTCACCACGCAAGAACCGATGAAACAACAAATCCGAAGCGCTTCCTCTCTCCTTAGGGTTCCTTGCAAAACACGTTTCTAGAAACTTCCTTGCATCACACGGTACACTCTCTGGAATCTCCGGCGCTTTACCTTTCAATAGAAAAGGCGCAAGATCCTCAAATTCTACCTCCGACCATGGACTCACACCGGTATACATCTCCAATACTATGCACCCTAACGACCACAAATCTAGGGCTTTCTCAGCCACACCGTTGTGGACTGATTCTGGCGACATGTAAATAGGCGTTCCCACAAATGGTAAATCAACTTCCCAGCAATCCGAATAGTCTCCTACTTTTCTCGAAGACCCGAAATCTGAAATCTTCAATTCGTAAGACTGTCTACACGGAAATACAAGTAGATTATCGGGTTTTAGATCGCAATGAACATAACCGAGGCTATGAACAGACACCAATCCTTGAAGAATCATACGAGTGAAGTCTTTGATCATCGTTTCCGGTAACTTTCTATCTTTGTAACTGTCCATGAAAGTGGTTAAATTCCCTGCAGCTGCGTACTCCATAACCATCTTGTAGACTCGGAATCCGCCAACATCGAAATCCTCTTCTAAAGTATAATTCCCATAGCATTGCACGATTCTTCGACATCCTTTGAGTTTGGATAGAATCTGAATTTCTCTTTGGAGAGAGTCGTAGTCTTCACATTCGGCGGTTTTCACGGCGGCGTAAAGCGGCAAAGAGCTGTCGTTGCGTTTGATGTACTTGACGAGATCGACTGATCCGTGTGAACCTTTTCCCAAGAACTTCACGAACTCTGTTTTTGGTTGCATCGTCGGAACAACAACAACAAGAGTTATGCTTCGAATCTCTTAGTATCTCTCAAGGTTTTAGGTAACTTTGAGGTGTAAATTTAAAACCCTAGAGAAAATCGAATCTCTTGAAAAATTGCAGCGAGAAATATATAGAGAGAGAGTTAAAAAGGAAACTATGTTAGCTTTAGGGTTCTTTCAAGTCTTGTGACTTATATCGATTAACGTCGAGAGAGTGTAAGCACGCACCACAATCTACCGTTGTTCACTAGTGATAATAGATCTTGTCCGTTGAATCTACTTTAGACTATATATTTTTTTTAATGGGCTTCAATTTAATTTTTACAATATTAAATTATTGCATTTTCGATTTCATATTGATTAGGAGATAATGTTACTGTCCGTCAGATTCTCGTCTTTTTTTTTTTCCTGATCTAGGATCAGAATTCCAATTTTTGTTAGTATAAGGAAATACATCAGAGAGCAAAGTATTACGATACGACGACGAATGACCTACAAATATCACTTTAAAAGTCTTTCCATTTTTTCCAAGCCTAGATCCATAATCGTTTTGGACTGTAGACTAAGGCTAGAGCAAGGGTTACGATTAAAGACCCAACTACATTTTTTTTTTCAAATACATTTTTTCAGATGAAGTGTTTTAAATACTGGCATTAATCCATATATTACAGCTAAAATTGTCAACATATATGTCAATACTGCAACAAATTTCTTCAAAGAAAGAATGTATAAATAGTTATATCCTGAGATCTACATTTTATTGCATCCACATGCATGTCACTTGATCTTTACTTAGTAACAGAGAAGAAATCAGCATACATGCTGAACAGAAACGAAATTGGAATCTGGAGGTCTCGTAACAAAAAAAATGATAACCTAGATGAAAGACAATAACTTTTGTGTCTCGACCACCAACTATTGTTGTTTCCTTTGTGTTAAAAAAATGGTTTGTGGTTTTAATTCGTTTGGGCTATTAGTTTTGCAACCACGTTGGTTCATTTCGTGTAGGCTTTTGGTAGATTTGGGCTTGCAAAACCCAAATTAACTTGTTGGCCGACATACATTTGTTTCTATTACAACAAACGTGAATACACGTGAAGAAAATGAGAACGACCCTTTTAAGTACTGAAAATTGAAAAAAAGAAATATAGAAATGCTAACATGTAAGTTTTTGTTACCCAAAATGCAATTTGTATGTAACCACAATTTCATGGCCGACCTGCTTTTTTTCTTTTCTTTCTGGAAACCGCAAATATGATTACACGTGGCTTGAAAAAAACGTACAGAAACTCGGTAATGTGCAAAAAATATCTTACTCTTAATACGTGTAATTTTGGATTCTAATTGGTCTAACGATCTATAAAACGATACTATCAGAGATTAGATTCTTCTCATCTCACTTTGTTCATCTAAAAACTCCTCCTTTCATTTCTTTAATTTTGCTCCCAACAAACATCTTAAAGATCTCTCTCATGGCGATGTCTTTCTCAGGAGCTGTTCTCAGTGGCATGGGTTCTTCTTTCCACAGCGGAGCCAAGCAGAGCGGCATTGGAGCTGTCAGAGTCGGCCAGAAAACTCAGTTCGTCGTCGTTTCTCAGCGCAAGAAGTCGTTGATCTACGCCGCTAAAAGTGACGGCAACATCCTCGATGACCTCAACCAGGCCACGTAAGTCTACATTCTTTCTTCTTTTTAGTATCTTGCCTCGTAAGTAATTAAGGATGTTAGTAATCAATGTTTATGGTATATTATATAGATTTTATTGGAAATATGTTTTTTTCGAGCTAATTTTATGATTATATTTGACTATCATTAAAGATGAAGATTCATATATACCATAAACATTATCCGATCCGTTTTATTTTTCTAGTTTACATGTATAGCCCTAAATACTAAATATACATTTTGTTACATCTTAATTTAAAAATTATACAGAAAGAAAGCTTCAGAATTCGTGACGGATAAAACAAAAGAAGCGTTGGCTGATGGCGAGAAAGCGAAGGACTACGTTGTTGAAAAAACCAGTGAAAACGCAGATACATTGGGTAAAGAATCTGAGAAAGCTTCGGAGTATGCGGAGGAGAAAGGAAAAGAAGCCGCAAACAAGGCGGCTGAGTTAGCAGAGGGTAAAGCAGGAGACGCTAAGGATGCCACAAAGTAGGGTCTTAATCAGTTAATTCAAGCACTTAAACTCGTAGATATATGGATCTATATCCTCTCTCTTCATGTTACAATAAGATCAGTCTGTTGTAATTTCTATTAATTCCACACCAACCAATGAAATAAGATATGGTACATTCAGAATAATGGTCCGGCACCAACAAAATTACAACCACATCTGCCGTCACACATGTCATCAAGAAGTCTTAATTACTCGCAATTAGATTGTCTTTGTCCGATACAATGACTCTCCCAAATGTTAGGGTTCTATTAGTAAGTGTGAACCTAAATCACAATGTTATTAAATACATATATATTGCTCAACAATGTTATTAAATATTGAAAAGACCGAATTAAATAGTGAGTAAGTAACATCGTTAATATATAGTCTTTCAGCGGCACAAGGGTGAGCCTGACCTTTATATGGTGGTATGCCACAACACTTATAAGGAGCACATTGCATTACTCAAATACCCAACTAATGTGGGACAAATCAAATAGGCTTTTTCGTCGCTGGTTTCAAGCAAGAGTAATCTTCAAGTAAGCCCTCTGTTTATAAATGCTCAATTTCATATTTCTCAAAATTTAATTTCCTTAAAACTTTTTTTTTTCTAATACTTTTATTCACCTTGCTGCTTTCTCCAAGGGACATCGTTTGAAAAATACAATTCAAAGCAAATACGTAGAGGGAAAAATTGAAAGAAGATAGCGTATTTGTAAAATTCAGTTAGTACTTAATTAAAAAATGTTAAAAGTTGTTTTAACCTAATTGCTAAAAATGGCTAAATAGGTACATACACAAACACTTGTACGTTTTCGGCTTAACGACTAACTAGATAATATCCCGCACTATGTGCGGGACAAAACGATTATTAAATATATTTTAATATATTGATAATATTGAAGGTGTTCGAATTTTATATTATTAGATAAACGGTAGTGTATTAATGATTATCAAGATTAATGAAAATTTTCATTTATGTTTATCATGATTTATAATATATATATATATATATATATTGTTATATTAATAGATACACAAAATATTAAGTACTCCATTTTGTATAGATTTGTATCTCTTAATTACATATTTTAAATTGTATTTTTGTTTTAATTGAGAAAAATAAAAAGCATAAATTAATTAGAAAAAATAAACATAAGTAAAACTAATGGCAAAATATGTAAATATCCTAATAAATGTTGGGTCTTTAACTAAATAGATTGAGAAGCTATGTGAGAACGACACGTCAGCATGACATTTTCGTTAATCACACATAAGTTTATGTGTAAGGTTATATTTTAAAGATGCTTCTCAATTAATATATAAGAGATACATTGTCCTTAACATATATCTCTATCGAGTCTACTTATTAATGTTATTGAAAGTTGCAATAAAACAGAAATGCTAACATGTAAATTTTGGTTGCCAAAAATGCTAACATGTATATAACGGTTATAACCACAAACTTGATGGCCGACCTCTTTTTTCTTTTGGTAACCATAGAAATTATTACACGTAGCTAAATAAATACGAACGAACATAAAAACTCTTCTTATTCCACAATAGTTAAAGATAATAGCAATGAGCAAAAATATCTTGCACTGACACGTGTAGTTTTGGATTCTCATTGGTCGAGAGATCTATAAAACGATACTATTGGAGATTATATGCTCCTCATCTCACTTTCTCCATCTAAAATCTCTTCCTTTTATTAAATTTTCTCCCAAAAAACATCTTACAGATCTCTCTCATGGCGATGTCTTTATCAGGAGCTGTTCTCTGTGGCATGGGTTCTTCTTTCCACAACGTAGGAGCCAAGCAGAGCAGCGTTGGTTTCGTCGGAGTTGGCCGGAAGAGTGAGTTCGTCGTCGTTGCTCAGCGCAAGAAGTCGTTGATATACGCCGTTAAAGGTGACGGCAACATCCTCGATGACCTCAACGAAAACACGTGAGTCTCTCTCTCTTTTCTTTTAACATGTTTACTCAAAAACTCTCATATAAATTACGTACTCGCCATGATAATTTTTTTTTATTTTTGGTTAATCCCATGATAATAGTTTTGATACATAATCAACTGTAATGGTCTTGTAGAGGATTGAGTTTTATCCACAATGAGCCACTGCTAATGGCTGCCATTTGAAACATACGATCTACTTTTATAAAAGAACTTTACTTTAATAACTATATGATAAAGATAAATATTTTTCTTCGAAAAGGTATTAGAGAGGAGTAGGTATTTTAAGTAGTTTTCTTTAAAATATATGGACAAATATATACATTCATGTTTTTTGTATTTTTTAAATTCGAAAATTGTGTTGTTGTAGATAGTTTAATGTTTTATAAGCTATTGTTTCATATACCATAAAAATGACCACTTATGTTTTTTTTTTTCGTTAGTTTTAAATCTAGGCTCTCCTCAAATATATGAGAACCCAACATGATGATTCCATATGTCCATGTCTTGATATATGTTTTAAAATTGCTGGTCAATAATGAATCTTAACATATATATATATATAGAAAGAAAGCTTCTGATTTCGTGACGGATAAGACAAAGGAGGCGTTGGCGGATGGTGAGAAAACAAAAGACTACATTGTTGAGAAAACCATTGAAGCCAATGAAACTGCGACTGAGGAAGCTAAGAAAGCTTTGGATTATGTGACGGAGAAAGGAAAAGATGCCGGAAACAAGGCGGCCGAGTTCGTAGAGGGTAAAGCAGGAGAGGCTAAGGATGCCACAAAGTAAAGCCCTGATTCAACCACTTCTTTTGATTCACTAGTTTAAAAAATAAGATCTGTTTGTTTTAATTTCCTTTTCACCATTTGAAATGAAGATCTGTTAATTACTACTCACTAGCACATTTATAATTCGTATCAAACGATTAAAAGAAACTATATATATAGTGACTACAAGTAACATAGTATTTCAAGTCCCTATAATCGATTTACCCTAATGCAGTGACGTTATTGAATTGGTTCTTAGAATAGTCGGACCCGTTTCAAAGTGTTAATTTAGTTTAGAAAAAAACATATTATCGATTTTACTCTCTTAAACTAATAATATTTGTATAACAAAATTAATAGTTCTAAACTATACAATCCCATGAGACCTAGTCTTAAATGACTAAAGTCACTCCGAAACTACAGCCTCATCAGGAATTTTTAAATTGAGACCACACAATTTTGTCCATGTTAACCCATTTCTCTCTCATTTTGATCCTCAATAGTGAAAAAAGAACAAAGGTTTAAGACTCATTTCTTTTGTCCCTAGTGAATATCTTGGAGACTAGTATTGGATAATCTCTGAGTTGGATTCGGAAAAAAATCTTCTCTCATTTTGATCATCAAGACTGTTGTATGAAAACGACACCTTAAAAGCATAACATCATGAGAATTTTTTTAGTCATTCAGAACTAACAAGTATAGTAGTTTATCAAAAAAAAAAAACTAACAAGTATAGTTGATAAGAAACCAACAACATGATAAAAATTTGGAAACACAAAAATTGTGAAACTGACGACTAACCCCTACTAATAGCCTAAAATGATCAAAACACCTAAAACATCAACAATTGTTATATATCCATCTCTTCACTGAAGAAATCTCATAGGTGTAAGGGGCAATACATACTCTCTCTTTGTGAATGTAGAAGAATTTTTTTTTTGTCAAAAGTTATAACCAAAACAAAAAAAAAACATTGGGAGCTTTAGTCCCAAGCACTTGGAGGTTCTCCGCCATATCCACCACTTGGAGCACCACTATATCCACCGCCATAGCTTCCTCCGCCACCATAGCCTCCTCCGCCACCATAGCCTCCTCCGCCACCATAGCCTCCTCCACCCCCATATCCTCCTCCTCCACCACCTCCTCTACCGAAAGACCCTTCCCTTCTAAAGTCACGGCCACCAAACCGACCACCAGACCGCCGGTTCTTACTACCACCAAAAGAAGACCGTGATGCATAACGTGTGAGCCACGCAGGGACTTCCTGGTTAGCTTCTTGCATCAGCTCAGCGAGCGGTCTGGCCAGTGAGGTGTTGCCATCGTTGAAGAAGGCAGTTGCTAGTCCTGATTTGCCAGCACGTCCTGTTCGTCCAATACGGTGGACATAGTCATCAATGTCATTTGGTAGATCGAAGTTGACCACATGAGCCACGTGGGGAATGTCAAGGCCACGTGCTGCTACATCTGTTGCAACCAAAATCGGTGTTCTCCCACTCTTGAAGGCTTTCAGTGCCACTTCTCTTTCCTTCAATGCATATATGACAACACAACAACTTAGTTCCTAACACTTAATGATAATGATGACCAAAGAGTGAATTTCAATAGTTTTTTCCTTCAGATTTTGACTCTAGTTTAAAGCTTTAGTTGCAATGAACTATATTCTAACATGAGATCTTCTCTTTGGTCTCAATATTGAATTTGTACGACTGGATTTTAATGTCCACATTAACATGCAACATTTTCAGCTTTAAATTGAATAACAAACCTGCTGTGTTCTGTCACCGTGAATGGAGGTTGCTGGAAACCCATTGATGCACAACCAATTTTCCAAAGAGTCAGCTCCCCTCTTTGTCTCCACAAAAACTAAGGTCAGGGCTTGCTGAAATTATGGAAAGAATACAATAATCAGAAAGTATCAAGGAGCATGTCGAAATATTGAGACAAGACCAGCTACTTTGGTATTAAATCATGAACTAAAAAACAGATGGTTCCTTAGAAACAAAAGAGGAGTATCGGTTTTACCTTGCCTTGGATGCCATTCTCTCTCTGAGCGTGAAGCAGGTCCATGAGATGACTTCTTTTGTCAGAGTCAAGGACAAATTCAACCCTTTGGACAATTAAATCGGTACTTGAACCCACTCTACCCACAGCCAAAAATATATAATTTGCTAGGAAGTCAGCTGCCAGTCTCTGCACAGGAAACAGGGATGATCTTTTAAAATTTGCAAATGATTATGCAAACGCAGAAACATTCTATATTATGCAGCTTAATCAGGAAACAAAAGAATGAAACTTAATCAATCTAAAGCTTGCCCTAAAAGGTTCACCATCATCCATTAATGAAGTGGCATATAATCCTCTGACACAGAACTATCAATACCATGTCAGTTAACTGGCATTCACCATCATTTCATAAAAAGGGATAAATTTTCCCATGAATAGGCTAGCTAGAATCATAGCAGGACTAAAAGTCATGTAATCAGCTTTACAAAAAGAAAACCTCTCTCAGAAAAGATATAATTTCTGCAGAAACCATGCATATAGCTTCGTATATACTATTTACATACACTTTCAGTTTTAAGCTGGACATTTTCTCTTTCCCCTTTTGTTTTCAGAGGACCAAATGGATTTAACTGGACACAGAAGGGTGTTACGACTGAAGCCCAACATAGAAAATGTTACAAGCAGATAATTTGCAAGGAAAAAGTATGGAACACAAGAATCAACACACATGGCAAAGAAACTAAAATAGAAAATTCGGAGCAAGTAAGGGATAGTAGTCAGAAAGCGAAAAAGTTCACTAAAAATGATATTTCAACCGACGAGAAGGTAAATAAAGAAAAAGTGATTTACAGACAAGTAAACCAACCTGAATTTCTCTTGGAAAAGTAGCACTAAACAACAGTGTCTGTCTAACTCCACGTGGAGGCATGTCCATTTGTTCGACAATCTTTCTAATTTGTGGTTCAAAACCCATGTCAAGCATTCTATCGGCCTCATCAAGAGCTAAAAATCTAATCATCTGCATAGAGACTCTAGCTCTCTCGAGCAAATCATTTAATCGACCAGGAGTTGCCACAAGAATATCGACTCCCCTCTCAAGTTCCCGGAGCTGCACAAACAATAAGACACAAGATCAACATGTTGAAGTTTGAAAACAGATTAGATAACACATAGATACAGGTAAGAAATATAGCAATGCTTCAGCATGTCATATATTGATAAATCCTTCTTAATAGAAAAATGCTGACTCCAAACCAAAACGTGCTTTTAACTAAGTTGAGTAGCCTTAGAAACGAACATGCTTAACCCAAAACAATCAGCCTAAGAGACAACACAGCAGTGACAGACACATGAAACAAAACTCAGAAGTTAAAAGCTGAAATAGAAAAGATAGAAAATAACAAAGTATTTGCCCATTACATACCTGCTGGTTAATAGGTGTTCCTCCATATGCAACAACCACCTTCACACCAGTTTGGTAGGAGAACTTTTTAGCCTCATCATGTATCTGCCAAAATCATAGAACAAGATATGAGAAACTAACTTCTACGAAAGCGAATAGAATCTTGACATCGGAAGAGAACCCCAACCTGACTTGCCAACTCTCTTGTTGGTGAGAGAATAACTGCAAGAGGGTAGACTGTGCGTGAACCACGGGGTCTCTGTACATGCTGATCTTTCATTATCCCACTAATAATTGGAAAGCAAAAAGCAGCTGTCTTCCCAGACCCTGTCTGAGCACAGGCCATCAAATCCCTCCCTTCAAGCAATATCGGGATCGCATGACGCTGTACAGGTGTTGGCTTAACATATTTGCATCTACGGATATTTAGATTCAAGGCCTCCCCGAGATCTATCTCTGCGAATGTGTTAACAGGAGGAGGCACATTATCCCCACTGGTCTCAATTGGAATATCTTCATAGGCGTCAAAATTAATGACGGTATTATCCTGCTCAGTAAAGGCTGGTTCTGGTTCGGAATCATCATTATCAAAGGGGTTTACTTCACGTTCCCTACGGTCCCAGCCTCCGCTTCTGTTGTTCCAACCACCACCTCCTCGTCCACCAGAGCCATAGCCAGAGCCAGGGCGACCTGCATCAGCCCTATAACCGCCACCACCAACACTACTACCACCAGGAGCCCATCGAGAGCCAGAAGGTGGACCACCAAAACCTACACGATCATTAGCTGGCAATGGAGCAACAGGCTCAGAAGTTGGTGGCCTGTTCCTTAGATGTGGAGGAACATAAGCAGGTCGTGAGGGATGAGAATTCTGATTAGAAGACCCAGAACCCGTGTTCTCTGAGTCAGCCACATCAGCCCATGATGCACTCATAATCGAAAAGTATAACGTCCTAAAACCAAAACTAGCTTCCAAATCCTTGGATATCAACAATCAAATGCTCAAAGCTGCTCTTTTTACTTTATAATCTTCAATAGAAAAGAAAATCCTGGAAAATTACAAGATGGGTTAAAGTTAGAACAATAGCAATCTACGAATATCAATAGCAAGCAGCTGGGAACAGCTTTAAATAACGAAGCACCACCAAAACCTCAAAAACATATTCATAATCGAATCCACCGAATAACAAAAGTCCAGTCTTCGGAGAAAAGCATATAATCAAACGAATATTATAGCAACACAAATGCCAATAGAATCACGCAAAGAGAAGAACAATGTTCACCTCAAAAGAGAATAAAAAAGGATCAAAATTTGCAAAAAAGAGTAGCAGATAACCCTAGTTACAGCTCGAATTCAATAAGCGAAAACCCAGAGATAGAAGAATCCTCAAAATACGTTCCAAAATCGAATCGAAGAAATCAACGGTAAACCCTAAAATTCCTTTGAATTACCTTTTGGTATCGTCGGACAGAGAAAGAGAGCGATAGAATCAATAGAGAGAAAGAGAGGTGTGGAGGAGAGATATTTTTGACTTTTGTTCTTCTTTCTTTCGTCCTCTTATCAAAACAGATTGCGTCCCGTTTTTATCAATCTTTCGTCTGATAGGATTATTCTCTGTTTTTAACTTGCGTGTCGGTTTGGTTTTATCGTTCTAGACTGTATGTCGGCGACTTATTTTAGACTCTCTTTTTATTTGTTTTTAATTTAATTTTAAAACTGTTTTACAACCTCACTTCTTCTCTCATTCCATTTGGCCAAAGTATCTGCCTGCGATGGTGATGAGCATATTAGCCATAATGATAACTTGTTCATCTTCAACCTCTAACGCACGAAGACTCGCACACTTTCTCAAAAGAGCTCTGAGACAAGCACTAGTATCAGCATCCAAAGGAGTGTCCACTGATGCACATAATGCTACTACCCATTTGCAGTCACTACTCTCTAAACCGCTCTTCTTCTCAACCAAACATATCCGCTTTCTCAGCTTTGACACCCGCGTCACTGAGTCCATTCCTTGTATCTCTGAAACCACCCCACAAAATGACTCATCACTGTCTGTGTGGAGACGCTTATTGAATATCTCCATGAGCACGTCTTCTAAAGACTCGCTGCCATTTTGTGATAAAGCCTGTGAAAACCCCATAAAAAAACTTCCATTCATTTCTTGTCCATTAAGAGAAACACTGGTAGTATGCAAGTTAGAAGAAAGGAATACCAGGCGAATGTGTGAGAAGTCGGAAAGCAACGACTCCTCCCATTCCTTCACCGGCAGCAGGTGCTCTGGGCATTTGGGGATTTCAGGAATTTGTGGCATGTAAACACTTTGCTCTTTCTCTTTGTACTTGCTTCCATTTACCTTGGCTACTTTTACATTTGGAATTCGCTTAGCCTCCCACCTAAATTGTGGAAACAACTTAACCATACATGCCAAAATGCAGATACACAGAAAGATTGAAACAGAGTGACAAATATACCTGACTCGTCTTAAATATTCAAGCCCATCTTCTGGTGGTCCAGAATCGAAATCAGGTTCTCCATCCACAGCAAACGCAGGCCTCAAAATGCTATTGTAATCGTCATTATCTTCAGTGTTCTCCTCTTTTACAACATAGTCTTCTTCATGAGTTAAGTCATCCATTCCTTCTTTGGTGCCTAAATGTTCTCATGAAGAAACAAAAAGTCACATTTTTGGAATCTCAGTGTTGATTTTATTGAAGAAACCAATAAAAACAACCTTGCTTCAAAACAGAAAAGAACAAAGGCCATCAAAAAGATTTAGCTTTCAAAGGTCTTGATTTTATTGAAGATGTATGAACATGTACAATTTTTTAGCCGAAAAAATCATGGCCATACACACTTTGAACCAAAGAACCTCTCTCTACCGCTTTTACAATCTGAACCAAAGAATCTTTATACAGAAAGAATGTATTGTTTCTTAGAAAAGGAAAAATTAGTGAACACAGGACTTTGACAGATTTATGAAACAAAGGCTTCGACAGATTTCTTCAGGTCAATGTACAAAGATACGGTTTCGCCTTGGTACAGCCGATATGGGACCTGTGGAAAAGATAACAAAAGGCCCCTATCAAAATGACATTTTACTGGAACGGAGGAGAGAATGAAGAACAGATCAGGAAACAAGATAAGAGCTCTCGATCAGAAATAACAGACACCAAAATCGTCACAAAGGCTAGAGAGGATTAAAAACATTGCAGTGGTTTAAATAAAGATACTTGGGAACAACCACTGCTGAAAGAGTATTCACAGACACTAAACCCGACTGGATTTGTCTTTGAGATGACCATTTAAGAAAGAAAACACCATAAAACCGTAGCAAAGAAAAAACCTGAGTATGGGCGGATAAAGAGACATACACAAAAAAAAATGCACTAGATATAGCTTAAGGTTATACATGAGCTAAGTAATCTAAACTTGGAGTGACAAATTTCTTTTAGACCAAAAGTTTTCCTCAACATGTTCAACTAACAACAGGCAACAACACAAAATGCAGCAGATAAGATAAAAGTAAAGTAAGTGGAGGGTTACCTAGGATACTGATGCCACTCTCCCTCTTGTGATTCTTCAAACCTTCGTACTCAGTCACAAGCTCAGGTAGGAGCTTAGCATACAAGTCACTCCACAGTTTCTTCTGATTCGCAATGTGGGCATACCTCATCGACTCCATTTGGTTCCTAGAATACATTATCCGCAACTGCTTCCCACTCATTTCTCCACGGTTACGAAAGTCAGAAACTTTAGTTGATGCATTCCTTTCAACAATGCTAGAAGCATTTCCCTTATCGATAGGTTTCTCTCCACCAACTTTCTTATGCTTTTTTGGTGCATCCTTATCAGTTCCTGGTCTCTTAGGATGATCTTTACCTTTCTTGTAGAAAGGAACAACATCAAACAACGCAGTATCATCAACCAAATCGATATTCACAGATCTTCCAACAAAAGCATTATCCTTAACTCTCACTCTTTCCACCTTCTCATGCTGATCTTTAAAGCCCTTTCCATTCTTTTCGATCTTATGGATATCAGAAGCCCTAGCGAGCGCGTCCACATCATCCTTCTTCTTGAAGATTGACCCATCTCCGATTTCAGCCAACAGTCTTTTCTTCTCAGCCTCCAAAAGTATCTGAACATCAGAATCTTGTCCCTTCTTCTGAGAGTTCAAACTTTCTTTCATATCAGAGATAGAGACGACGCACCCATCAGTCTTAACAACATCCTCTATCTTGTGCACATCATCTCTGAATTGATCGCCTTCTGTAGAAATCTCAGAGATTTCCTTAATCTGTTGCAGTTCCTTATTCTCTTCAAGAAACGTGGTACCATCTTCGATTTCAGTCAACAATATTCTCTTCTCAGCCTCCACAGTACTCTGAACATCAGAATCTTGTCCCTTCTTCTCCGAGTTCAAACTTTCTTTCATATCAGAGATAGAAACAACGCACCCATCAGTCACATCTTCTATCTTGAGCACATCATCTTCTGTCGAAATCTCAGATATTTCCTCACCAACCTTATTCTCTTCCAGAAACGTGGAACCAGTATCAGGTACAGAGACTAATTCTCCAGGACACTCCACATTCATCGCCTCGGTTTCTTCAAGACTCGTTTCGGAGAAAGAAACTTCAATAGAATCCGAATGGATGGTTTCTCCATCGTTCTCACAAACAGAAGTAAAAGGCGAAGACTTTACTTGCTTCTTTGGGCTTATCATCTCTTCAACAGAGTCGTCGTTCTCTACCGACGGCAAAGAAACGATCTTTAGCGAGTCTTCTGCAAATTCATCACGAGAAATCGAAGTTTTCTCCGACCCAAATCTCGTCGTCATCACGGAGAGCCAAAGAGAGATAAAAAAAAAGACTGCGAGAGACTAGAGAGAGAGCTTTAGGAAGAAGCGAAGGCAAAAAGAAAGAAAGGCTTTCTTCTCTCGAAACGATTAAATAAGCTGAAACCGGTTTAGTTAAACCGTAAAATTCAGCATTTAACCGGTGACGGTTATTACACCAATTAAATCAAAGGGGTATTATGGTAATATCAAGGAAAGAGCTCGAAAGCTATACACCACTCGCTTCTCTCCTCACGCGCCTTCTCAAAATTCGATCTTCTTTCACTGCACACAAAGCGAAGAGAGAGAGAGAGAGAGAGAGAAAAGCGAAGAATACGCAGATTCCATCCAATTTAGGGTTAGGGCTTCCCCTAATTTGGAAACCTAGTCCTGTTTCCTGATCTGTTTTCCGGATCGGACGAGAGGAGAGGAGAGACGAAGTAACGAAAATGGGCGCGAATTCTATTCCGACGGACGCAACCATTGATCTCGATGAGCAGATCTCGCAGCTTATGCAGTGCAAGCCCCTCTCGGAGCAACAGGTGCCTGCAACTTTCTCTTTAGACCTTAGCCTTTGACGTCTTCTCTACTTTGTTTTTATCGATGATTGGATCTGTTTTTTGTTTTTTTGAGTGGAATGGTATTTTTTTCTGTGTTTGAGGTTTCTTCGGGTACGAGATTATCAGATTTGATTTGAAAGTTTCGATTTTTTTTTTTTTTTGAAATGAACATCTTCAGGAAATGTTATTAGATCTTGGTATGTATGTTCTCACGGAAGTTCAATTTCACCGCAGTTTTATGGGTTGGAGAATTGGCTTTGCTTCTATGGTTTGCTGATGAATTTTGGCTGCATCGGATTCTTAGCATAGAGTGATTTTCACATCTAAGCTCGTGTTTTTATGTGCCTGGTAATGTCAACCGGGATTCTTGTGGACTGATTTTTTTCTATGAAGCTGGTGATTTGATGTCGACGATAAATAAATTTTTCATCTTTTCGCATCAGTAAGCTGCATAACTAGCTTTTCAATTAGTGGGAAAATAGCAGAAATGCTTAGGGAAAACAGTTCTTGCTGGTGTGAGAGATTAAAAAAAACTTCTGTAGCTTTTATCAGGCAATACCTGATCATTACTTGTAGTTTTTTTCTTTCTGTTTGTAATTGATTTTCCTGTTTGCTCCCTGTGTCAAGTTGATTATTATCTCTTGAGAGTGTTAAAGAGGTGAATATCATATGCAGCATTGTTTTATTTTCCTTAGGTTAGAGCGTTATGCGAGAAAGCCAAGGAGATCTTAATGGATGAAAGCAACGTTCAGGTTAGTTCTTGTTCTTGCATATCTTTGCTTGTGTAATTCTTTCACCACACTTGGCGATTATATTTTCAGTGTGGTAGATTGTGCTACTAGCCATGAATTTATTAACTCTTTCTATTTCCTGCATGCAGCCTGTGAAAAGCCCTGTGACAATCTGCGGTGATATTCATGGACAGTTCCATGATCTTGCGGAGCTTTTCCGTATAGGGGGAATGGTAACATCTATAAAATTTACTGAGAATCACAATAGACGCTAGTCTTATTTTTGTATATGAGTAGCTCTACAAATCTTACAAAGTATTAATTTTCTCCTTTTGCAGTGCCCTGATACCAATTATCTGTTTATGGGAGACTATGTGGACCGCGGTTATTATTCTGTTGAAACTGTTACGGTACGAGGATGAACTATTCAGTCTTCCTTTATTTTCATTTAAGAGTAGGCTGATTGGCAAGCCAGTCCTTGTCTTTTTATATTGGTAACAAGATACCATTTGCATGATGGATATTTTTTTCTTTACAATGTAAATATTTTGGGTCCGAATATGAAGTATGTTGATACTGTTTCTCTTTCTTATTCTCTTTTCAGCTGTTAGTCGCCTTAAAGATGCGATATCCTCAGCGAATCACTATTCTTAGAGGAAACCATGAAAGTCGTCAGGTAGACTAATGCTTTATGATTTCATTACTCTGTTTTCACTTGTAAATTCACCTTCTGATCTTAAATACTGTACTACATTGTGTTGTCTTTTCCATCGTTAAGATCTTGGTTGACACACAATTTTTTTTTTGTATAAGTCTCTGTTTTTGTCTACAAGATTCATTCTTTTGTTGGATAATACTTCTCTCATCCTACTTTTTTTATCTGACACAGGCTTTTCTTCTTTTGCTTCCATCTCGCAGATTACTCAGGTTTATGGATTTTATGATGAATGTCTGCGAAAGTGAGTCTCCTGGAAAAATCCTTGTTTTGTAGATGCTGCTAATTGCATGCAAGCGATTTTTTGAATTATTATTAGCATTACTATTGTCCTTATTTTTTTGCTGTTGCTATGTATGTGTGTATGGTAGTCTGTCAAAATTGTCTTTTCTTTCTTTAGTCCCTGTTTCTGTTAATCCTTCAGGCTTATGATTGCTTGCTTATAGTATTGCTCTATATTGTATTATCTTACACATCCTAGTTTGCAGCTTATTAGTCGCTATTACCAGCTTATTTGGGATATAGATTTTGCAATTTGTTCAACAAACCCTGTTTTCTTCTTTTTAGGTATGGCAACGCAAATGTTTGGAAAATCTTTACAGACCTCTTCGACTATTTTCCTCTGACAGCCTTGGTTAGTACCTATCATACATGTCTCACACTTTTCTTCCTTTTTTTTGTTTGTGGGGGTTCATATGAGTCTATCCTAGTCCGGTAGTCCATTATTATAGATGATCAGTTCTTTGTCGTGTGCTGGCAATATTATTTGGAACTAAAGTATTGCTTTTGTACTGTGCTGCCGTATTTCTTTTGCTAGTGTCACATCAATTGCAAGACGTTAGTATTCTGAAAAATGCAAAGAATGGAGATCTTTAATATATGGAAGATTACATGTATGCCTTATCTGACTAAATCGTTGGTGTTTTCTACACAAATTTTTGGGTATCATCAAATCTTTATGTTATTCCTTTGCAGGTTGAGTCAGAAATATTTTGCCTTCATGGTGGATTATCTCCATCTATCGAGACCCTTGACAACATAAGGAATTTTGATCGAGTTCAAGAAGTGCCTCATGAAGGGCCAATGTGTGACTTATTATGGTCTGATCCTGATGACCGATGTGGTTGGGGCATCTCTCCTCGAGGTGCCGGATATACGTTTGGTCAGGTAATTACAAGTCTTACGTCTCAGAAACAGTTCTGATTCGCTCTTTTTAGAGTAAGTGTCTAATTGACTTTTCTCTTTTTCATTTTGTTTCCTAGGATATATCCGAACAATTCAATCACACAAACAACTTAAAGCTGATCGCCCGAGCTCACCAGTTGGTTATGGATGGATACAACTGGGCTCACGTAATAATGCAACTATAAACCCTTCTTTGTATTGCTTTGCAAGGCTTAAGATTCTTAGCTCATTTTTTGTCTTCCCTATCAAACAGGAGCAAAAGGTGGTTACTATTTTCAGTGCACCAAACTATTGTTATCGTTGTGGGAACATGGCCTCGATTCTTGAGGTTGATGACTGCAGGAACCACACCTTCATTCAGGTCTTTCCTCAAATCCCACATGTCTTGTCGTGTCTGCAAATGAAAATAATGTAGAAGAATGACCAAAAGCTAACTTGAGTATATAAAAATGTGAGTGCAGTTTGAACCAGCACCGAGGAGAGGAGAACCAGATGTCACCCGAAGGACTCCAGACTATTTTCTGTGATCACTGGATACAGACTCATCTCAATCAGCAGCTGCAGGCACCCACAAGTGAAAAGTCACAGTTGGTAACTCGAGATTTCTGGTTTCTATGCATTGTGTTCAGGTTGCTCTGTTTAAAATTCAACTTAGTGCCACCACCGGAATATAGTTTGTATTATAGGCGAAGAAGGCTCTCTTATCTTCCTCTATAACCAAGAAAAGAAAAAAAGATACCTTTATGGACATTTATTTGTTGATGTTTAGCTTTTTCTTCTCTCTTCTGCATCAGAATGTGTTTTCATGTGAGAGATCTTCTAATTTTATTTCACGTAATTCGTTCTTGAACCTCTCTGATTTTTGAATGAAACCTTGAAATTGTTCTGTTTATTTGTTTTTGAAAGCTTGATATAATAACTATAGTCACTGAATGCATCAGATCAGCTTCTCAAAATGTTAACTACAAGTTAATGTAAGAGAATATTGAAGAACAAGTCTGACTATGCCTTTCTTGACTACTATTCCGATCATTCAAGGCTTTGTGGTACTCATGGCTATTGCATTGAGAATCAGATAAGCAAAGAGCAATATTGAGACTCAGTACAGTCCAGAATGAGCAAATTGATAGACCTCTAAATGAAGAATAAGCTGAGCTGGTCAATGAGAAAGCTCCTGAGTTGGTGGATTGGATAGAGAAGTGTTTTGAGTTGTATAACTTAATGTATGAAGTCGTAATCCAGTCTAAATACAAAGTTGCTACAAGAAGTAGAAGGTTAAATGTTATTTGTAAAGGGAACACAATCTACTATTGTATAACTTAATGTATAGAGTCGTAATCCAGTCTAAATACAAAGTTGCTATAGGAAGTAGAAGGTTTAAGGTTGTTTGTAAAGGGAACACAATCTATTGTCTCGGTACTCTTCTTGTAATTCTTCTTTGATCAATAAAGAATTGGTGTTTTGTTTCTTCTATCACATAACCTGCAGAGAGTATGAGTTTGATGATCTTACAAAAAGCATATGGGAGATACAAGGGCAAATCCACAGTAATCCAAAGAGGAATACACATAATGGCGAAATATATCTTCTTCTTTTTTTAGTATCAATGTTAAGTGACAAAATAAACAAGAATATAAGAAGTAATCCATTTGCTTAACCACAATGCGATAGACCAAAATGTATTAATTCATCAAAAGAGAAGAGTATTTTGTTGGAATTCTAAATGTTTTGCCGACCATTGAAGGTTTCAGAAGAAACAAAACAAACCAAAGACTAGAAAACAAGTTGAATTCAATAGTACGTTAACATGACGTGTATTCCCACCGAAGACAATAATATATAAACTGTGCAGACGTTAAAGTGTCGATGTAAGGCTAAGAAAGATTATGGAGTCATGGAAGAATTAAGAGTTTTTAATTTTTGTGAATTTCGTAAATAATGTGAGCCTCGTAATACCACTTAGTTGTAGACAGTGGTTCTTTGGTGGTCGATATTGCATGGTCCACTCCACGATCTATATGATATATTATTAATTATTGCAACTATATATATATATATATATAAATTTATGTAGTTTAAATTTATATATCATGCACTATATTTGTATTTTAAAAAATCTTGAAACCATAACAAATTTTTTTGTTTGAATGTAATATAAAAAGTCAAAACACTTTGATAAGGAGCTTCTGTAATGTTTAAAAGTTTCTTGTAATTTCTCTGTGATAAACGTAGATATTACAGAAATGCTCCAAAAATATCTATCATATTAATTGTCTTAGGGTTGTGGTGAGACACGTCAAACTCAAGTTCATAAGACTATTTTTGGTGGTATTCATTTTTTTGGCCATGTTTCCATTTTGCTTATTTCTTCAAATAATGTGTCCAACAACAGCATAATCTTATAAGAAAATAATACGTGTAGAATTTTGGTGAAACACGTGAAGCTTTATACAACAAAACATATATATTTCATATTTTTTGTTATTTTTTTCCCAATTTTCTGTTTTCAAAAAAAAAAAATCTGATAATGACATAAGTCACATAACCTTTTTTTTTTTTTTTTTTTTTTTTTTTTTTTAAGTCACATAACCTTATATAACCTTATATAGTCAATTAATATATTCTTCCATTTCCATCCTCAGCTCACATTTTTCTTGCTGATTTCTATATACTTTACCTTTTTAAGCTCCTTTACTTCCGATATTTACCTTACCCTTATTTTTATTTACAATTTTATCCATTTTTAGTGAAATAAACTTTAAATAGAAAATATGTTTGACTCAAATTAGACAAATATAATATATTACCAATTAGTAAATTACAAATTGAGAAACTCATGAACAATAGTGCATCCACGTCGTTATCCAAGTTGGATTTCTTTCTAAAACAAATAATTACACCTTTTATAAAATACGTACTTGTTAAAAAAGTAGAAGAGCCCAACTAATAGGCTTTGGCCGCTTCTGCTTTGGACTCATCAACCAAAAATCAAACTCTTCAAAAAAAAAAAACAAACAAATTGAATCAGCACTAGTATACGATCACAGAGAACTCAAGATCCGGTGACGAATCCAACTTCTTGTGACGGAGCTCAAGTCGAGAGACGACAGTAGTAGTAGTAGCTGTGGATTTTTGTGTCATCATCGGAGATCTTCTTCTTCTTCTTCTTCTTGGAGCTTCTAGAAGTGGAGAGAAGGGGGAAGATCAAGCGACGGATAGTGATAGGTTTTGCTGTATGTCAGTAGATTGTGTTGAAACTGATTTTGGTGGATTTGGAGAACTTGTGAACCCTATTCAATGGCCTCAGCTTCGAAAAAGACGACGGCATGTCCTCACCACGGTGGCTCTGTTTCGCCTCCGAAACTCGTCTCCGCTGCTCCCGATACGGTTGCTGTATGGTCCGACGGTGACGATCAGCGAGCCTCTAAAGTTGCTTTGGAATCCGTTATCCGCCCTGTCGATTCGCTTCCTGATACCGCCAAGAAACCTGCCAACAAAGGTAATCTAACGCTCTTCCTTTGGATTTGTGCTCCTGTGGTTGCTCGTCGATCTTAGCTCGCGATTTGTTTGAATTACTTGAGTTCTTGGTCACTGGAATTTGTTGATGATGATGGTTACTTTTTGTGAAATTGGTTGTTGTTGTCTGCTGCTACTAGTTCTTGATGGCTTCTTTGTTACACTTAGACATGTTTAAATTGAGATCTAATTGTGATCGTGGTTTCTTTGAAGTTGATTTCTATTTGTGATCACAATTTGTACCAATGCAGGGATTTCTGTGATGCCAAGGACTGAAACCAAGCATCCATTGGATCCTCTATCTGCTGCAGAAATATCAGTTGCCGTTTCAACTGTTCGCGCGGCTGGTGCCAACCCTGAGGTGCGGAAATGCTGATAACATTGTCATCACTTTGATCAACTATTTGGATTTCACTGAAAATGTTTGATATTTTCTTTGGCAGGTTAGGGATGGCATGCGTTTCATTGAGGTGGCATCAGTGGAACCAGATAAACAAGTTGTGGCGCTGGCTGATGCTTACTTTTTCCCACCGTTCCAGCCATCACTACTTCCAAGAACTAAATCTGGACCTGTGATTCCGATGAAGCTCCCTCCAAGGCGAGCAAGACTTGTTGTTTACAACCAAAAGTCCAATGAGACAAGTGTATGGATTGTAGAGTTATCTGAAGTTCATGCTGTCACTCGGGGTGGCCATCACAGGGGAAAAGTTGTTTCCTCACAAGTTATACCTGATGTTCAGCCACCCATGGTATGTTTTAAGGAATTGGATCTCTAAGTGACTTTTAGATGCTACCGTTGTTTGCCAGTCTCTCAGTTTAGATTCTTTTGATTTTAGGATGCGGCTGAATATGCTGAATGTGAAGCGATTGTCAAAGACTTCCCACCATTCATAGAGGCAATGAAGAGGAGAGGTATTGAAGACATGGATCTAGTGATGGTTGATCCCTGGTATGTTAACAACATCATGGTTTCTGCTGAAAGTTGACAATTAAGGTGTACTTTTTCACTGAGCCTATCTCTTAATGTATTGTGCAGGTGTGTGGGTTATCATAGTGAGGCTGACGCTCCTAGTCGTAGGCTTGCAAAGCCCCTTATATACTGTCGGACTGATAGTGATTCCCCTATGGAAAATGGCTATGCTCGTCCAGTTGAGGGAATTTATGTACTTGTAGACATGCAAAACATGGTGGTGATTGAGTTTGAAGACCGTAAGTTTGTGCCACTCCCCCCACCTGACCCATTGAGGAATTATACCCCAGGTGAAAGTAGAGGGGGTGTTGATAGAAGTGATGTTAAGCCTCTCCAGATTATTCAGCCTGAAGGTCCAAGTTTTCGTGTAAGGGGTTACTTTGTCGAGTGGCAGAAGGTAGATTTTCAGTAATAGCCTACTTAAAACCAAGTGATTATGCTTAAGCTTATTTCTAAATTGGCCCAACATTTTGTTCACAGTGGAACTTTCGTATTGGGTTCACTCCAAGAGAAGGTTTAGTCATACATTCGGTAGCATATGTTGATGGCAGTCGAGGTCGAAGGCCTGTTGCACACAGGCTAAGTTTTGTGGAGATGGTTGTGCCTTATGGCGATCCAAATGAGCCACATTACAGGAAAAATGCTTTTGATGCAGGGGAGGATGGTCTCGGGAAAAACGCACATTCGCTTAAGAAGGTTTGAAATCAGTTTTTTTTTGGTGTTCTCACCAATCAGATCTCAGTTTGTGTTTAACAATCAGTTTTTATAGGGGTGTGACTGTCTGGGATCTATCAAGTACTTCGATGCCCATTTCACAAATTTCACTGGAGGAGTTGAAACGATTGAGAACTGTGTTTGCTTGCATGAAGAAGATCATGGGATTTTGTGGAAACATCAGGACTGGAGAACAGGATTAGCCGAAGTGCGAAGATCTAGGAGGCTAACTGTCTCTTTTCTATGTACTGTTGCTAACTACGAGTATGGGTTTTACTGGCACTTCTACCAGGTAAGTGGAATACGTGATTATTCATTTCTAGAGTAAAGCAGAATTAGTCATATTTGCATCTAATTTCTATAGGGAAGACAAATGATATGTCTTTGCATGAGAATAAATCCCGAGTTTAGAACGGCAGCTCACTACTTTTTAAGCCTTGACACTTTGCTTGTGATTTTTCACTTGAGGACATTGATTTACAGTGCTGAATCCGAGTTTCATTTGTTTTTCTGATTTGTAGTTTCATCTTTCTAGATATTATCATTTGATGTCTTAAATGTCTTACTGTAGGATGGGAAAATCGAAGCTGAAGTAAAACTTACTGGTATCCTCAGTTTAGGAGCTCTGCAGCCAGGTGAAACTCGAAAGTATGGTACTACTATTGCTCCTGGGTTGTATGCACCAGTCCATCAACATTTCTTTATCGCTCGCATGGATATGTCTGTTGACTGTAAACCTGGTGAAGCTTTTAATCAGGTACCTTCTTTACCTTGCTGCTCTTCTTTTTGTTGTTTACATACATATGCGGATTATTTTCTCAGTTTTTAGGAATGACATTGGTAGCTCATGAATTTTAGAAGTCCCTATAGTTCTTAAAAAAAAATCTTAGATACATGTTGTCAGGTGGTTTTGCTCAATAGTCAGCTTAATCACTTTTATCTGTAGGTAGTTGAGGTAAATGTTAGAGTTGACGAGCCTGGTGAGAACAATGTCCACAACAATGCGTTTTATGCGGAAGAGAAGTTACTTAGATCTGAGGCAGAGGCGATGCGTGACTGTGACCCTCTTTCTGCTCGCCATTGGATTGTAAGCAATCCGTACCTTGCATGTTCTCGTCCATTTATTGCATGTTTAACTTTCACATTGTTCAAAGAAAAAAAAACTTTCACTTTGTCATATAGTCAATGATCGTTTCCGTCTTTGTACCTTTTTCTACTTCTCATCTAAAAGCATTAATTTATTGCATGTTTAACTTTCACATTGTCATATAGTCAATGATCGTTCCCGTCTTTGTACTATCCTTGTTTCTGGCACCACTTATAATTCTTTCATCCTTGACTATCTACTAGTCTCATCCTCGACTGAATTCGGGATAAGAGATCACCTGACCATCCCTAAGTTTCAGTCATGTCTTTATATAGTCTCATACTTGAGTTTCTTTACCAAAAACTCATCTCAGAGTTTCATTGAATATGATTTGTAGCTGAAGTATAGATGGTATACTTATGCAAGATGTATATTCAACACAAATCATTGTAATGTGTTATCAGGTAAGGAACACAAGGACTGTAAACAGGACGGGCCAATTAACGGGATACAAACTTGTTCCGGGTTCAAATTGTTTGCCATTAGCTCGACCAGAGGCTAAGTTTCTAAGAAGAGCCGCTTTCCTGAAGCATAATCTCTGGGTTACCCGTTACGCCCCAGACGAGAAGTTTCCTGGAGGAGAATTCCCAAACCAAAACCCACGTGCTGGTGAAGGTCTTGCCACATGGGTGAAACAGAAGCGCTCCTTGGAAGAATCTGACGTCGTTCTTTGGTCTGTATCCTTGTTTTACTTATCTGATTCAGTTAAAAACTACTAGTTACCAAATTTTGTGACTTCAATGTGGAATTTTCATTTGTCACCAGGTACGTGTTTGGGATCACACATGTTCCTAGACTTGAAGATTGGCCGGTTATGCCCGTCGAACATATTGGTTTCACACTAATGGTAAGTTTAAATCTTTGACTGTAACTTTCAACCTTACAAAAGAAGACAATATTGGTTAAAAATGTTTTGGGTTTTGGGTAAAAAACAGCCACATGGATTTTTCAACTGCTCACCGGCCGTAGATGTGCCACCGAATCCATGCGAATTGGAGACTAAGGACAGTGAAGTCAAGGAGGTTGTCGCACCAAAGCCTCTTCAGACTGGTTTACTTTCAAAGCTTTGAAGAATATCATCTGTTTTCTTCCTCTGATCTCTTAAGAAATTGGAGACATTTCTGTTGTTTCAGATTTAAATCTTTTAGTGTTCGGTGTGCGATTGCAAGACTAAAGACCTTTGTCATAGGAATATTTCTATTAACATTGTCGTTTGAAATTTAAAGGAAAAAAAAAAAGACTTGCCAATTGAAAATTTAGTTGATGAATGGTAAATCATTTTCGCCTTCACATTTTGGAATCACATTTTGTGATAATTATGTAAGATGGGAAAATCTTATTTTTCTTCTCAATCTTGACAAGAGATGATTGATATTAGTGAAGACTGAAGAGTGAGAAATATAAGAGTTTTAAGAACTTTCGATTGTCGTTCTCAAACTCACGTTATAGCCTTACCAAGGCGATGATCGGCCAATATTTTGGATGATTTCAAAATATTTTTTTGTACCTTTTAGCTTTTATTAATTAATTAATACTACTCTAAGATTTTATGGTTATTATATATCAAATTCAATTAAATATCTGCTCACCAAAAAAAAAAAAAAATTCAATTAAATATCTTAAATATGTTTTTGTATACAAAATTATATATAACATTTAAAAATACCTAAATTCGTCAAAAAAAGCTAAGATGTATAAACAGTGTTTTTTGTTAATTTATAATTTTTACATTTGTTAAAATATTTAAATTAATTAAAATAAAATTTTGTAATTATTACTCAAGATAAAGGTTAGGAACCATAATTATCAATTCGTTATAAGAATCTTTTTTTACTTTTATTTATTTTAAAATTGAGAAGTTTTTCCTTGTGCCTCTCTATAAATAGTTAAATACAGAGGGCTTTACCAGGGAAAGTAACAAACAAAGTTTTTGATAATTTCGTCTTTTGCTCTCAAAGTAACAAACCTAAGAAAGCTTTTGAATCAACTATGGGGCAGAAACAAGTGCAGAGGAATTCGAGTTTCAGGTTTCAGATAGATAACTTCTCGGAGAAGGAAGCTGCGATAAAGTCTCAGACATTCATGAGTCATGGATGCGAATGGTAAAACGAGAAGAATCATCAGATCTTTAACTAGTTTTTTTAATTTGATTTTCTCTATATTCAAGAATAACCTGTTATCAAAAATTGATGAATTCTTTGTTTACGTAGCACTAATCAAAAAGGATTTAATAAAAAGAGAACACCAAAAAAAGTTAAATCTTTGTTTTTATATTCTTTCAGGTTTCTCTACGTTTATCCAAAGGGAGATAGTCGTTCTAATGTTCACTTGCCTATGTACCTATACATTGAAAACCCTAAATCATTGGGAAGTGAATGGACTTATCAATTCGTTCTGTTGAATCAATCCAACAAAGAGCTCTACAGATCACCAAGTAATGTATCCTTATGTTTGAATCTTTTTTTTTTTAATTTCTTTTTCTTGTTGTTGAATTTCGTTCGCGTTTGGAATTTACAAAACCAAGAGTCTCTTGGATGGTATGAATTGAGGTATATTTCTACATATAGGCGGTGAACTAAGACAAATAGCTCACATTGAATCTAGCTTATAAGACCCCAAGCTAAGACACCAAACTTTTCATTTAGCTTTTGTGATGAGTTATAAACTTATAGTCAAGGGTTTTTATGGACTTGGTTTGCATCCAAATCTTGCCAATTATTCAGGCTGTTGTTGATAGGCCTAAACTCATGTTTGAATCTTGAAGAAAGTTAACTTTTTCTGTCTTTATTTTTTTTTGTCTATGTTTCACAGTTGGACGCAGTTTGTATTGTGCTAAGTCTACAGGATGGGGTTTTTCACAAACCTTTCCTCATAGAAATCTTCGGAAAAAAGGGTTTTTGGAGAAGGATAGACTTATCGTTGAAGTTTACATTAGTAGAGTTGAAGTTGTATCAGAGAAGAAAAAGACCGTGGATATCAACGGTTTTCAAGTTCTTGCTTCTCAGGTAAGTTTAAAAAGGATCTGTTTCTTCTTTTGGTTTTGTGCCTTTTGTGGTTGCTTATTCAGATTCCTTTCTGAGTAACATAAACATATTTTTCCTTGGCAGGTTACTTCAGCGAGAAAGATATTCACAGAGCACCCAGATATTGCAGAAGATTTCAAACCAAAGAACCAAGTGGTGAAGAAGGAATACATGAATGTCCTTCTCAACCTCGTTGAGACACTTAACAAGCCTTCACATAATCACTCAGAGACTGAGCTAAGCAATGCTGACAGCAATTTGAGTGAGCTGATGGAACAAGGCTTCAAGCTGGAATGGTTGAAATCAAAGCTTGATGAGGTTTCCTTGATGAGGAAGAAAGCAGATGCTGATGTCCTACAACTCGATGAACGTGTTAAAAATCTTGAGCTGATGAACTTGGATTTGAAAACAAAGCTTGAGGAGGTTTCCTTGGAGAGGAAGAAATCAGAGGATGCTGATAGGTCTAGGGTCCAACAACTCGAGGAATGCTTCAAGAACCTTGAGATGGTGGTGTTGGATCTGAAAGTTAAACTTGGCAAGGAGGAGGCCAAATCTTCTGCTGATGGTTTTTTGTTAGTCGACGAGGTTGATTGACGTAGAGATTCTAATAGTCTAGAGATTAGGCTTTATCGAAAGACCTGCTTATGTTAGATGGTTTTATGCTTTAATTTTCTCTGCGCCACTTTTGGATATTTTCGTTCAATTATATTTTGGGTTAATTTGCCACCCAAAATCAGTTCTCCTTCTCACCAAGTATTAGATACACAGTTGAAACAATTGAGAACTCTTGTGTGGAAACATCAAGAGTCAAGACCCATGGTCACCGTAATTATGTAAACCATGAAAGTATCATTCCCATATGACAGACATACTTAATTATGTTAAAAATATTAACACACATGACCGATATCATCTCTTAGCTGTTTATAACACTATTATTAAAATATTAACACATAACGAAATAGACGTAGAGTAGGGTTCTTTGGTTGCACGGACTAGTATATTCTTTTTATTAATGGGCCCAAAAGCCCATTAACAGATGTCCGATTAGCCGCACAGTTATATTATTATTAGAGGTTTTGGTAGTAATTGGTTTCTTCTCGAGTTAGGGTTTTGAGAAGGGGTTCTTTCTTTTCTTTTTATTAGGGGTTGGTTTGTTCCGGTTCAATAACTACGAATATACTCTAACAGATGCCGATGTGAATAACAAGAGATAGATAGAGATCTTCTTAACTAGATAGATTCTGCCTTAGTTTACGCTTCTGTTGTATAGCTTCTCTATTTATGATGTACGCAGCTCACATTTGATCAATAACACAAATCTCTTTGAAATCTGAAATCCTTTACTTTTTGCCTCTTCTATAAATAGAGAGGGTTTTTATCACACAAAACTTCGGAGGGTTTCGTCTTTTGTTCGAATTAACAAGATCAAAGGAAGCGTATAGGTCAAAGATGTGGAATTTGTGGAATCAAAAGCCGAGTTTCAGGTTTGAGATAGATAACTTCTCGGAGAAGGAAATTGCCATGGTGTCAAAGGTATTCGTGAGTGGCGGACACGAATGGTAAAACGACAAGACTCGGAACTTAATAACTGTTGCTATTAAATTCTCGAAAATTGGTGAATTTGATTGTACTTATAGCACTAATCAAAAAGGGTTTAATCTTTTGTTTTATATTCTTTCAGGTATCTAGGCGTATATCCGATGGACGAATATTATCTTTATGATAATTACTTGTCTGTGTACCTGCACGCTACAAATTCTAAACCATTGGGAAGTGGATGGCAAAGGACTGCTAATTTTTACTTCCTTCTTTTGAATCAATCCAACAATGTGCTCTACAGATCATATGGTAATTAACCTATATATATCGTTCGTTCAATGCGTAATCTTGTTTTTATTCTTTGTGTTGAATCTACATAAGAAGCTGACTTTCTTTAATTTTTTTGTTGCTTATGTTTCATAGTTCAAGAGCACGTAGATTTTCATGCAGAGTCCCTGACGTGGGGTATCCAACAGACCTTGCCTCTTAGCCTTTTTCAGGAAGAAGGATATCTGGAGAACGACAAACTCATTGTTGAAGTCTATATTCAAATTGTGGAATCTTTTGATGGAGAGAGAGAAGATGTATCAGAGAAGAAGGAGACTGTGGATATCAACGGTTTTCAAGTTCTTGCTTCTCAGGTAAAAATTAGAAGGATCTGTTTTTGAATAATTAATCACTTCCTTGATTTATAGGGTTTCTTTGTTCTTGGGGTATATATTCATATTACTTTATCTTGGTAGGTTACTCCCACAAGGAAGATATTTGCAGAGCACCCAGACCTAGCTGTTGATTTCAAATTAAAGAATCAAGTAGTGAGGACGGAATACATGAATGTCCTTCTTAACCTCATTGAGACACTTAACAAGCCTTCACAGGATCACTCAGAGACTGAGCTAAGCAATGCTCACAGCAAGTTGAGTGAGCTGACGGAAGCAGGTTTCAAGCTGGAATGGTTGAAGTCAAAGCTTGGTAAGGTTTCCTTGAAGAGGATGAAACCAGATGCTGATGTTCAACAACTTGATGAACGTGTTAATAATGAGATGATGAAATTGGACTTCAAGCTGGACTGCTTGAAGACAAAGATTGAGGAGGTTTCCTTGGAGAGGAAGAAATCAGATGATGCTGATGGTTCTCGAGTCAAAGAAATGGAGGGACGCATCAAGAATCTTGAGATGATGGTGTCCGATCTCAAAGCTAAACTGGGCAAAGAGAAGGCCATATCTTCTGATGATGGTTTTTTGTTGGTCAACTAGGTTGATTGATGTACGTAGAGATACTATTAGTCTAGAGATTAGGCTTTATTGAATGGCATGCTTATGTTGATGGTTTTATTCTTTGTTTTATCTGCCCGACTTTTGGATATTTTATTTCAATCATATTTTTCGTTATTGTGTTATGATCCAGTACCCCAAAATTAACGAGCAAATCAATTCTCCTTGAACTCACTAAGTTTTCATGTTTGATATCGATAACTTCTCAAAGATATATGGAAGCTCTACCGTTTCATAGATTTTCCTTAGCGGTCATCAAATGGCAAGAGGAGAAGGAGATGTTTGTCTTTTGTGATTCAACGCTCATATTAATTAACACCATCAACTTGGGACATTCCTCCTCTGTGTTTGGACCATTCGCTTAAGAAGGTTTGAAATTAGTTGATGTATTCTCATTCTCTAATCACTAATCAGATCTCGGTTTGCGTTTTAACAGTCATGTTGCACCGATTATTAACACAACGAAATAGACGTAGGGTAGTATAGGGTTCTTTGGTTGCACGGACTAGTATATTCTTTTTATTAATGGGCCATAAAAGCCCATCGACAGATGTCCGATTAGCCGCACAATACTGGTTTCTTTTGAGTTAGGGCTTTGAGAAGTGTTATTTATTTTATTTATTTAATTGTTTTCTTTAAGAAGTTATTATCTTCTTTTTGCCTCTATAAAAAGAGAGGGTTTTGCCAAACAAAGCTCCTGAGAGTTTGTAGTTTGCTCGAATAAACAAAATTAGGTCAAAGATGTGGAATCAAAAGCCGAGTTTCAGGTTTGAGATAGATAACTTCTCGAAGAAGGAAGTGTCCACGGTATCAAAGGTATTCGTGAGTGGCGGATACGAATGGTAAAACGATAAGACTCAGAACATTAATTAGTTTTGCTATTAAACGAGAAGATTCAAGAATTTTTGCTATTGATTAATTTGATTGTACGTAGCACTAATCAAAAAGGGTTTCATCTTTGTTTTATATTCTTTCAGGTATATCGACCTTTATCCGAAGGGAAATAGTCTTTGTCATGATCACTTGTCGTTGTACCTGTACGTTACAAATTCTAAACCATTTAGAAGTGGATGGAAACGAATTGCTAATTTTTACTTCGTTCTGTTGAATCAATCCGACAAAGTGCTCTACAGATCACCAAGTAATGAAGCTATATCCTTTCCATGCGTGAATCTTGTTTCTATTCTTTTTTTTTCTTAGTAATTGTGGTTAATCAATAAAAGATTTGAATCTACATAAGAAGCTAACTCTTTTTTTTTTTTTTGGTCTTTTTTGCTTATGTTTCATATAGTTGAACAGCACACATTTCAGACAAATTCCATGAGCTGGGGTTTTAGAAAGACCTTGCCTCGTAGCAAGTTTAAGAAAAAAAGGTTTTTGGAGAATGACAGACTCATCGTTGAAGTCTACATTCAAATTGTAGGAACTTTTGATGGAGAAAGAGGAGATGTATTAGAGAAGAAGGAAACTGTGGACATCAACGGTTTTCAAGTTCTTGCTTCTCAGGTAAATTAGAAGGATCTGTTTTTGAATAATTAATCACTTCCTTAATTTTTAGGGTTTCTTCTTGGCGTATATATTCATTTTCTTTTTCTGAGTCACGTAAACATGCATACTTTATTATTTTGGTAGGGTACTCCAGCAAGGAAGATATTCACGGAGCACCCAGACCTAGCTAATGATTTCAAATTAAAGAACCAAGTAGTGAAGACGGAATACATGAATGTCCTTCTCAACCTCATTGAGACACTTAACAAGCCTTCACAGGATCACTCAGAGACTGAGCTAAGCAACGCTCACAGCAAGTTGAGCGAGCTGACGGAAGCAGGCTTCAAGCTGGAATGGTTGAAGTCAAAGCTTGATGAGGTTTCCTTGAAGAGGAAGAAAGCAGATGCTGATGTCCAACAACTCGATGAACGTCTTAAGAATCTTGAGCAGATGAAATTGGACTTCAAGCTAGACTGTTTGAAGTCAAAGCTTGAGGAGGTTTCCTTGGAGAGGAAGAAAGCAGATGATGCTGATGGTTCTCGAGTCAGAGAAATGGAAGGACGCGTCAAGAATCTTGAGATGATGGTGTCAGATCTCAAAGTTAAACTGGACAAGGAGGAGGCCAAATCTTTTGCTGATGGTTTTTTGTTGATCGACGAGGTTGATTGACGTAGAGAGATCAAGTTAGATTTAGTCTATAGAGAAATTCTCTAGTAGACATTAATACCTTCAGTCTTCTTTGTTTTTGTTTTTATGTTACTTTATGATTCCTAATATCTCTACATTCTTTTTTTTTTTATCTGCGCCATTTATGTTGGGTTAATGCGTTCTGATCAAGTCCCAAATTAAGCAGCAAATAACTTCTCAAAGAAAGAAGAAGAGATATATACATTTTTAAAACTCATCCATCTAGATTCAACGCTCAGATTATACAACTAACACCAATAACTTTGAGACTTCCTCCTCTATTTTTGGCCACTTGTTAAGTGTTAACGATCTTTCTGATTTGATTTATCTATCTCAGTTGGAGAATCTCTTTTGAAACCAAGTTCCTTCTCTGTAACTCTTTTCTTTGGTAGTTTAACTATATATCTATAAGGTTTGGGAAGAGAGTAATCAACGTTTTCACGCTCAAACTACAAACACTGAAAATCCGAATAGTATAAAGACTTCAGGAACATGCAGTAGTTTCAGCGGACAAACTATCGATAAGTTAAAATGTAAAAATATATTATATAAATTTATGACATTCGTAGCTATACATTATAACTATAAAAATTACATAAAAAAATAAAGACGTAATTATCTTATGAAGATAGGATTGGCATTTTTGTCTAATATATCCATTGCTTTTAATAAATTATAAATTTAATTTTTATTTTCCCTTTGGAGCTAGGGTTTTATGAAAGTCTTTTATTTTTCGTTTTGCCGTATCTATAAATAGAGGACTTTTTCTGTGTGAAAATATCAAACAAACATTTCCTTTGCTCGAAGTAACAAAGTTTACGAAAGCGTTTTCATCAAATATGTGGAATCAAAAGCCGAGTTTCAGGTTTGAGATAGATAACTTCTCGGAGAAGAAAACTGTCATAACGTCTCAGGTGTTCGTGAGCGGCGGATGCGAATGGTAAATCGTGAAGAATCAGAACTTTAATTAGCTTCTTATTAAATTCTATCGCTCTCTCTGTATTCAAGAATAACGTGTTCTTCAGAATTTGATGAATTCGACTAATGAAACCTTTAAAAATGCTATAATCTTTGTTGTATATTCTTTCAGGTGTCTCAAACTTTATCCGAAGGGAGATGGAGTTGTTAAACTTGATGATCACTTGTCTTTGTACCTGAACGTTGCAAATCCTAAATCTTTGAGAAGTGGATGGAAAAGGATTGCTAACTTTTACTTCGTTCTGTTGAATAAATCCTACAAAGAGCTCTACAGATCACCAAGTAATGAATTTATGTTCTTCCATGTTTCATTTTTGTTTTGAAATTTTACAAACGTTTCATGCATGGTCTAGAGAGAACAAATAATGTTAAACAAGTGGAGTCATAGGGATCTTGAACCTGTGAATAACATCCAAACCAACCCTAAGATCACAGCTAGAAGTATCTAGCTTCATAGAGGAACGAGATATCCCCAATTTTTAATACATAAGTATGTGACTGATGAAGAAGTACTTATGTTCAATTTTCTAATTTCTATATATATATATATATATTTTCTTTTTCTTTGGTTAATGTTTGACAGTTGGAGGACAAGAAAGCACCCCGTTTTGCGCTGAGAGTCCATCGTGGGGTTGGCGATATTTCTTGTCTCTTAGCAAGTTTCAGAAAACAGGACTTTTGGAGGACGACAGACTCATCATTGAAGTCTACATTAATATTGTTGAAGCTTTTGATGGAGAAGAAGAAGATGTATCATCAGAGAAGGAGGAAACTGTGGATATCAATGGTTTTCACGTTGTTGCTACTCAGGTAAAGTCAAAAGGATATGTTTTTGAATAAATCACTTGGTTTATAAGGTCGCTTCTCGGCTTATAGATTCACATTCCTTTCTAGAGTAGCATAAACATACTTTTCCTTTGGTAGGTTACTCATGTGAAGAAGATATTCGCGGAGCACCCTGACCTAGCAGAAGATTTAAATGTGAAAAACCAAGTGGTGAAGACAGTATACATGAATGTCCTCCTCAACCTAATTGAGACACTTAACAAACTTTCACAGAATCACTCAGAGACTGAGCTAAGAAATGCTCACAGCGAGTTGAGTGAGCTGGTGGAAGTGGGTTTCAAGCTGGACTGGTTGAAATTAAAGCTTGATGAGGTTTCCTTGAAGAGGAAGAAAGCATATGTTGATGTCAAAAAACTTGAGCTGGTGGATTTGGACTTTAAGATGGACCCTTTGAAGACAAAGATAGAGGAGGTTCCCTTGGAGAGGAAGAAATCAGATGATGCTGATTGGTCTCGGATTCAACAACTAGAGGAACGCCTCAAGAATCTCGAGCTGATGGAATTCGACTTCAAGTTGGACTGTATGAAGTCAAAGCTTGAGGAAGTTTCCCTGGAGAAGAAGAAAGCAGATGCTGGGGTCCAACAACTAGAGGAAAGCGTCAAGAATCTTGTGATAATGGTGTCGGATCTCAAAGTTGAACTGGACAACGAGAAGGCCAAATCTTCTGCTGATGGATTTTTGTTGGTTGACTAGGTTTTGACGTAGAGATCAAGTTTTATAGAGAATTTCTCTAGTAGACAATACCCGCGTTTCCATAGTTTTGGTTTTATTGCTTTCTGAATCCTAATACTAGAGTTTTTGCTTAATTATATTGAAAGACATGGTTAAGGAGATGGTTTCATTTTTTCTGTTTTATCTTTGCCACTTTTGGGAATTTTCTTTTGATCATATTTTGGGTTAATTTGTTCTGATCCAATCCCAAAATTAACCAGCAAACCAAATTCTCATGTTACTTGTACTGCTCATCATATCCTCCACCTCAGGAGATTGGCTGGCGATTATTGTATGGCTTCACTTCCCACATAGTGCCACAACCAACAGACTTCTGAGAAGATTTACCTTTGTTTTGTGGCACTGGAAAGAGGGAGTAGAATATCATAGAAAAGGTAAAATTTATTAGATTAGCATCACAATTTTACATTAGTAGAAAAAGTAAATTTTATTTTACCAGAAAAAATAGAATATTATAGAAAAAGGAATTTTTACCTTAGTAGAAAAAGTAAAATTTATTTTAATAAAATCGTAAATAGAAAATATAGAAATTAGAAGTACTTGTATATTAATGAAGAGAGGAATGATTATTTTTAGTCTAGATAAGTATGGGTTTATTAATGATTTTATTTATTGAGTTATCTTTTTGAGCTAGGGTTTTGAGAAGATTTTTCTTTTTCTATATAAGGAGGACTTTTAGGCGTGAAAGTAACAAAGAAAGTTTCTGAGAAAATCGTCTTTGCTCAAAGTAACAAAAATCTACGAAAGCGTTTTTGGTCAGCTATGTGGAATCAAAAGCCGTGTTTTAGGTTTGAGATAGATAACTTCTCGGAGAAGAAAGATGTGATAGTGTCTCAGACATTCGTGAGTGGCGGATGCGAATGGTAAATCGAGAAGAATTGGATATTTTATTAGCTTTGTTATTCAATTCTCTATGTATATTCAAGAATAACGTTTTCTCGAAAAATTGATGAATTCGATTGTACGTAGTACTAGGTTTTAATTTTTTTTAAAAAAGGATTTAATCTTTGTTTTATATTCTTTCAGGTTCCTGTGCCTCTATCCGAAGGGAAATAGTCGTAGTGATGATCACATGTCCTTGTTCCTATACGTTGCAAATAGTAAATCGTTGGGAAGTGGATGGAAACGGAGTGCTAACTATTACTTCTCTGTGCTGAATCAATCTGAAAAAGAGCTCTACAGATCACCTGGTAATGAAGCTATATCCTTCCACGTTTATTGATTTCTGTAGATTGATGGTATACTATAATAAGAATATTTCACATCGTATTTAACTTATAAGTTATAAGACCCAAACTCTTCGTTTAGCTTTTGTGTTGAGTTATACTTGGTTTGAAGCCGACACTTTTCAACTTGTCTCAGGCATTCCTGAACTATATAGGATGTTGCCTAACAGGAAATAGGACTAAACTTACGATTTAATCTTGAAGAGGCGCAATTATACATGAGCATGTATTTTTTTGTCTTTTCTGTTTATGATTCGCAGTTGGACAAGAACCCCCTCTGTTTCGCGTTGAGGGTGAAGGCTGGGGTTTCCGAAAGATCTTGCCTCTTAGCAAGTTTGAGGAAAAAGGGTTTTTGGAGAAGGACAGACTCATCATTGAAGTCTACATCAAAGTTGTTGAAGCTGTGGACGGAGAAGGCGGAGGCGTATCAAAGAAGAAAGAGACTGTGGATATTATCGGTTCCGAGGATTATGCTTCTCAGGCAAGTTTAAAAGGATCCGTATCTTTTTCTGTTTTTGAATAGATGCTTTGCTTTCTAGGGTTGCGTCTTTGCGTATAGATTCAGATTCTTTTTCTGAGTAACAAAAACATGTTTTCCTTGGCAGGTTACTTTAGTGAGAAAGATATTCGCAGAGCACCCAGAAATTGCAGAAGAGTTCAAACCAAAAAACCAAGTGTTCAAGAAAGAATACATGAATATCCTAAGAAACGCTTACACCAAGGTTAGTGAGCTAGCGGAAGTAAAGATGGACTGGGTGAAGTCAAAGATTGGTGAAGTTTCCTTGGAGAGAAAGAAAGGATATCATGAGACTAGTGAAGTTCCCTTGGATAATAAGATAGCAGATGATGATGATGATGATGATGATGATGAATCTTGGGCCCAAGACCTCGAGGAACACCTCAAGAATCTCGAGGGGATGGAATTTGACTTCAAGATGGACTGTTTGAAGTCAAAGCTTGATGAAATTTCCTTAGAGAGGAAGATATCATATGATGCTGATCGGTCTCGGTTCCAGCAACTGGAGGAACGAGTCAAGGATCTTGAGCTGATGGAAAATGGCTTGAGGCTGGACAGTTTGAAGTCAAAGCTTGAGGAAGTTTCATTGGAGAAGAAGAACGCAGATGCTGATTGGTCTCGGGTCCAGCAACTCGAGGAACGTATCAAGAATCTTGAGCTGATGGAAAATGGCTTGAGGCTGGACAACTTGAAGTCAAAGCTTGAGGAAGTTTCTTTGGAGAAGAAGAAGAATGCAGAAGCTGATGGGTCTCAGGTCCAAGAACTAGAGGATAGAGTGAAGAATCTTGAGCTAATGGTGTCAGATCTCAAAGTTGAACTGGACAACGAGAAGGCCAAATCTTCTGCTGATGGATTTTTGTTTGTTGAGGAGGTTGCTTGATGGAGAGATCAAGTTTTATTAGTTCCTTTCCGTTTTAATTATTTTTTTGTTTTTATTTTGCTTTCTAATAGTAGAGATTCTGCTTAATGAAAAGACCTGGTTATGTTGATGGTTTTCATTCTCTGTTTTACATGCGTCCCTTTTAAACGTTTTTGTTCAAGGTTTGAGGATTTCTAAAGTTTATGTTGTTTTATCTCTACAAAACATCTGGTAAAGAATTTATCTTCCATGTTTTGATACTCCGAGAGGCAAAAAATATTCATACATATGTATCTAATTTGGCTAAAAAAGATGAATACTTTCCAATTGGATTACATGGAGAAGGCCCTCTCCTTTAGAGCAGCTACCAAAAGGACTATCTAAAAAAAAAAAAAAAAGGGACTATCTCTACCAAACTCTACATGCATGCAGAACCTTTTCCACTTCCACCATTTGTTATGCAACTAAGCAAGCGCCATCATGGATATAATCTCCTAGTCCTAATTACTGAGTCTCTTTGTTAGTGAGCTTAATTAAGCAATAGAATTCGTGTCGATCTCAAATCCACGAGACTCCGAGAAAACTTATGAAACAGTTGATTTTGATTTTATTTATTAAAAAAATAATTTTTAGCATTCCTTATTGCTTTTGAGATAGGGTTTTATAAAGTTTGTTTTATTTTTTCCTTTTATAATGGTCAAGATAAAGTTTGGTTATTGTTCCAATTATTCTCCTCTATATATATATTAGATAGATAGAGAAGGGTTTAGGTTTAAAGTAGGGTTCGCTTTAAAGTATCAAAAACAAGTTTTGTGAGGAAGTCTTTTTTGCTCCAAATAACAAAGCCTAAGAAAGCGTTTTAACGAGATATGGAGAATCATCAGAAGACGAGTTTCACCTTTGAGATAGATAACTTTTCAGAGAAGAAATATGTGATAGCGTCTCCTATATTCATAAGCAGCCAATGCCAATGGTAAACAATCAGATATTCAGATTTCTTAAATTCGTTCACTAGATTCAATAAAAAACAAACTTTATTAAGGTATCTAATTATTAGTTTGTATAAGAAAAAGGGATTTAATTAATCTTTGTATTTTTTTCTTTCTCAGGTTTGTTAAAGTTTATACGAATGGATACTTTAACAAAGATCACGTGTCTGTGTATCTTCACGTTGCAAATCCTCAATCATTACGACCTGGATGGAAAAGGAGAGTTGATTATTCATTCATTCTGTTTAATCAATCAGGCAAAGAGCTCAAAAGAACACCTGGTAATAAACTTACCTTAAACTTGTTTTGGAGAAAAATATAATTAGGTTGATATATCTGTTTGTTTATTAATGTTTTTTTAGAATCATGCGACCTGTTCTGCTCTGAGGTCTCAGCCTGGGGTTATCCCAAACTATTGCCTCTTAGCAAGCTTAAAGAAGAAGGGTTTTTAGAGAACGACAAACTGATCATTAAGGTGGAAGTAAAAGTAGTTGAAGTTGTTCATGTAGGAGAGGTAACTGGGAAGGAGATGGTAGATTTCAAGGGTTTCCAGGTTCTTTATACTCAGGTATGTTAAGGAGTTTCCGATCTTTTTTTCTGGTTAAGACGTTTCCAGTGGTCATGTATATATATACTATTTGGCTAACTTAATTACATCTTTCTCGTTGGCAGCTAAGCTCGGTGAGTTTGATTTTTGCGGAGCACCCAGACATTGCAGTAGATTTCAGACTAAAGAGCAAATTGGTGAAGACAGCATACATGAATGTCCTCCTCAGCCTCATTGAGACACTAAACAAGCCTCCACAGATTCTCTTGGATACTGAGCTAAGGGACGCTCACAGCAATTTGAGCGAGCTGACGGAAGCAGGATTCAAGCTGGGTTGGTTATGGAAAAAGCTTGATGAGGTTTCTATGAAGAGGAAGAAAGCAGATGCTGATTGGCCTAGGGTCCAACAAAGTAAGGAAGCTGTTAAGAATTTTGAGGTTTCCTTGAAGGGCAAGAAACGAGATGATGCTGATGGGTCTCGGCTCCAACAACTAGAGGAACGCCTCAATAATCTTGAGTTGATGGAGTTGGACTGTTTGAAATCAAAGCTTGAGGAAGTTTCGTTGGAGAAGAAGAAAGAAGATGCTGATTTGTCTCGGCTCCAACAACTCGAGGAACGCCTTAAGAATCTTGAGCTGATGGAGTTGGACTGTTTGAAATCAAAGCTTGAGGAAGTTTTATTGGAGAACAAGAAAGCAAATGCTGATTGGTCTCGGGTCCAACAACTCGAGGAACGTGTTAAGAATTTTGAGTTGATGGAATTGGACTTTAAGCTTGACAGTTTGAAGTCAAATCTTGAAGAGGTTTCTTTGGAGAGGAAGAAATCAGATGATGCTGATGGGTTTCGGGTCCAAAAAATCGAGGAACGTGTTAAGAATCTTGAGCTTATGGAATTGGACTTTAAACTTGACAGTTTGAAGTCAAATCTTGAGGAGGTTTCTTTGGAGAGGAAGAAATCAGATGAAGCTGATGGGTCTCGGGTCCGAAAAATCGAGGAACGTGTTAAGAATCTTGAGCTTATGGAATTGGACTGTTTGAAGTCCAAGCTTGAGGAGGTTTCCTTGGAGAGGAAGAAATCAGACGATGCTGATAGGTCTCGGGTCCAACAAATCGAGGAATGCTTCAAGAACCTTGAGCTGATGGTGTTGGACCTCAAAGTTGAACTGGACAAAAATAAGGACAAATCTTGTGATGATGGATTTTTGTTGGTCGACGAGTTTGCTTGATGTTGAGATCAAATGATTAGTTTTTATAGATTTTTCTTTAGTAGACACTATTATCGTTTAATTTATTTCGTTTTTATTTTGCTTTATGAATTCTAGTAGTCTAAAGACTTGCTTATTCAAAGACTAGTTGTTGTTGGTTTTCTTCTCTTTTTTTTTTTTTTTATCTGCGTCACTTCTGGATGTTTTTCGCTCGATCATGTTTTGGGTTAAAGTGTTCCAATCCGATTCCATATTTTCACGTTCGAGATGGATAATTTCTCAAAGAAGGAAGCAGCGATAACCAACTCATCCATTTAGATTTAACATATAACTTGTTCTTTATGCTTGTAACGTTCTGGTAAAGAATTTATTATCTTCCATGTTTTTGAATCTGCGAGAGGCATAATATATACATGAATATTTATCTAATTTGATGAAGAATAACTTTTAAATTCGTCTCTTGTTTCTGTATTACAGAAATTAATATATGTATCTAAATTGAAATACATATCTTCACTAAAATTATTAGTAGATGATGACAAATGAATTATTATCACAACTAACCTCATTTAGTTTATCTAAACAATAAAAATATTTGGAAATATCTCAAAGATCTTGCTACATACAGCTACCATTCCAAATAGGCGATAATCTCCTTTGCGCGTTTTGATTTGATAATAGAACTAAAAAAATCTCATTTTATCAAAAAAAAAAAAAATGTTCACAAGACTACAACGAGAAACTTATAGAACTGTTCTTACATTAGTAAAGAGAAATGTGATTAGATTTGGTTAATTATTTATTGCTTCTGATTTGTTTTAAAATTAATTTTCAGCTTTTCCTTATTTCTTTTGAGATAGGGTTTTATAAAGTTTGGTTTTGTTTTCAGTTTCCTCTATAAATATTAAACAGACCTGTGAGATTCTTCCAAGTAACATAAGCCTAAGAAAGCGTTTTGGAAGAGATATGGAGAATCATGAGCAGACGAGTTTCAGGTTTGAGATAGATAACTTCTCGGAGAAGAGAGATGTGATATCTCCTAATTTCATAAGCGGCGGATGCGAATGGTAAAACGAGAAAGAAAGCTTATCTTTGCTTTCTTAAATTCGTTCACTAGACTGAACAAAATCTTGTTCTCGAAGATCGATGTATCTTATTAGTTTGTGTTTTTGTTCTTTGTCAGGTTTGTTAGGGTTTGGCAAATTGAAGATCACTTGGCTGTTACTCTGAGCGTTCCGAATATTGAATCCTTACGACATGGATGGGAAAGGAGAGCTAAGTATTCATTCATTGTGTTGAATCAATCGGGCAAAGAGCTCGGAAGAACATTAGGTAATTAACTTAATTATCTTCTACTATATATATATATATATGTATCATTGTATCTTATTGCCGAAGAAGAAAGGTTGAGAAATCTTCTTGCTTTTTGTTTGCCTCACAGAAGCAGAAGGTCTCTTCTGTTTTGAGTTATTAGATTGGTGTCATCCCAAAGTAATGCCTATGACCAAGCTTCAAGAAGGTTGTTTAGAAAATAACAAACTTATCATTGAAGTCCAAGTAAAAGTAGTTGAAGTTGTTCATGAAGGAGGGGTAACAACTGAGAAGGAGATGTTCAATATTGAGGGTTTCGATGTACTCTATACTCAGGTATGTTAAGTATTATCCCCTAGTTTATTTTTTTTTAGTAGTTAGAGCTCATCATCCGCAACCCTTGTGGATTTGTTTTGGTTATTATGAAGACTTGTTTTGGATCATGTTAATATTGATTTTGCTTATATCCTTACTGTTGGCAGGTTTCTTGGGTCAGCTGGATTTTCGTGGATCATCCAGACATTGCAGTAGATGTCAGAATAAAGAACCAGTTGTTGAGGACATCATACATGAATGTTCTCCTCGGTCTTATCGAGACGCTAGATAGGCCTCCACGGAGTCTCTCAGAGACTGAGCTTAGAGATGCTCACATCGAGTTGAGCGAGCTAACAGAAGCAGGATTCAAGCTGGATTGGTTAAAGACAAAGCTTGAGGAGGTTTCCTTGGTGAGGAAGAATGAAATTTCTGATGGTTCTCAGGTCGAAGAACTCGAGGAACATGTCAAGAATCTCAAACTTGAACTGGACAATGAGAAGACCAAATCTTCTAATGCTTCTGATAGAGTTTTGTTGTTGGAGAAAGAGGTGTCAGATCTCAAAATTGAACTGGACAAGGAGAGATCAGCCAAATCTCCTATATCTAAAGTTGCGTTATTGAAGGATGCTGCGGATTCCTTTTGGAATACTACGAATCTAGGGATACGGCAGAGGAGAGCCGGTTACCAAAAAGTAGACTCAAAGAGATTTCTATCATGTCCAAGAACTGGTTGATTTTTATTATTTAAGTTTTTTCATATCTATTGTTAACATTATAAACTTCTCTGTTATTATACAATGAACCCTTTCACAAGACCAATGTTATATTATCCATTTTCTCGATTATTAGTATTTCACACAATCAGGGACAATCGTCTCCTAAGGTACCTTGCGTCACAAGTCATTTGATTGTAAAACGGAGACACAACACAAATGTGGGATTCCAAATATTCAAAGTCTTTGATTGTTTTGTCCTGTTCTGATTTACAGAGATTCTTTCTCTCTTGCTTCTCAATCTCAAAACACTTACTATGATTTATAGTTAGAGCTTGGTGAGTTTCAATTTAGAAAAACTCGGTTAATTTATTCTGATCCCAATATATTTCTAACATCCAATAGATGGGAACAATAATTCTCTGTTTCAGCTCTTATCACTTTTTTTTCAAGCAAGTTTGAATTCATAGTTTTATTTTATTTTATTCCCGGCCTTGTTTTTGTCATTTTTGGTTACATAATAGAAGTATATACGGAATCCCACTCTCTGTATTTGGTCACTACACTAGAAATCAATCTCATCTGCTTTTATGGCAAATTCTAATATTTTATTCCTTCTGATTTATTTCCACGACTTTCAAAACAGAGGCAATTCATTTGTGAACACAATTTTGTTGGTTAATAGATATGTTCCAAAATCTCTCCACCAGATTTTTTAAAAATATACATTATATTTGAAGATCTTAAAAGAGTAGAGAATCCATAGTTATTAATTTCAATTTTGTTTTCCATATTTTTTTAAACATAATTTGATTATTATTAAGATAAGAAATTTAATTAAAAATTAAACCTTTTTGAAAATATTATCTATAAAAAAAAAAAGCAAAAATGTTTGTATTCTAATAAAAAAGCATTCAACTTTGTAAGGTTTGGATTCTAAATAAGATATAAGTTACAGATCTAGTTTATATAATTATGACCTATTGTATTAACTTTATTTTAAGATTTTGGCCTAGTTATCTCGTTTGATTAATTATTACGGATTCGGTTTTCTTATATTAAGAGAGAAAGTTTAAGCAAACCATTTTCTTGAAATTGAGACAGAAGCATCTTTTAACAGATGGAGACGGAATTGAAGAAGGCTTTTACATGGGAGATTGATAACTTCTCCGAAAGAAACGATGAGATAAAGTCGGATCCCTTCTCAAGAAGCGGCTGCGAATGGTAAATCGAGAAGCATCAGATCTTTAAATTACTTATAATAACATGTTCTTAAAGATTGATGCATTCGATTTTAAGAAGTTAAAAGTGCTTAATCTCGTAGGTATCTTGGGGTTTATCCCAAGGGATATTGTTCTGATGACTTGTATGTGTACTTTGGTGTTTCGAATCCTGAATCATTGCAACCTGGATGGAAAATGAGAGCTAGTCATTTCTTCGTTTTGTTGAACTATAGAACATCTGGTAATGACCTTATAATCTCCCATTTTCTCAAAGAAAAAAAGTTGATTAAAATCTTTTTGTGATGTCTTTCTTATAGAAGCATGCAACTTGTTCTGCGCTGAGGTCTCAGACTCGCGTTTCTCTAAGACATTGCCTCTTAGCACGCTTGAAGAAGAAGGGTTTCTGGAGAACAACAAACTAACCATTGAAGTCTACATTAAAGTAGTTGAAGTTGTTCATGAAGAAAATCTTTACAGAGAAAGAGATGTTAGATTTAGTTAACATTATTACATCTTTTACTTGTGCATGCAGGTTAAATCAGTGAGTTGGATCTTCGTGAAACACCCAGACATTGCAGTAGGTTTCAGACCAAAGAACAAACTGGTGAAGAAAGCATACATGAAAATTCTCCTCGGCCTTATCGAGACACTCCGCAAGCCTCCTCTAAGCTTGTCTGAGACTGAGCTAAGCAATGCTCATAGCCAGTTGACTAAGTTGATGGAAGTGGGCTTCAAGCTAGACTGGTTAAAGTCAAAGCTTGAGGAGGTTTCCTTGGAGAGGAAGAAAGCAGTTTCTGATGGTTCTCAGGTCCAACAACTGAAGGAACGTGTCAAGAACCTGGAGCTTACTGTGTGGGATCTCAAAGTTGAACTAGAAAAGGAGAAGATCATTGCTGATAAAGTTTCTTCTTTTGATTTCATAGGTTTTTTCATAAAGAGATTCTTTCTCTCTTGTTTCTCAATCTCAAAACACTAATTAACTATGTTTTACAGTCAAAGCTTGAAGAGGTTTCATTCAAAGCGATTCTCTGTTTCAGTTCTTTATCATTTTTACTTCAAACAAGTTTAAATTCATAGTTGTCTTTCATTCTCTCCCTTGTTTTTATCTCTTTTGTTACTTCAAATAAACCAACGCATTATCTGTCTCATGAAGCTCATATTCTGTTTTTGTCTTTTCTTTCTATACCTTAAAAGTTAAAACCATGTGTAGGTGAATGTGTTACAGAAAAAAATCAGTTGGTTAGGTGACTTGCATCACAAGTGTTCAATTATATAAAATATCTACAAAAGTGGGGATCCAAATTTTGTTTAGATAGGTCAATCAGGATATTTTTAGATTAGTTTGTTGGATATCCTCCTCAATCAAAATTCACCAGCAAATTTCTGTTAAAGTGCTAAATTTTGTTGCAAAGTAAGTGATAGACTAAATAAATAAAAGGGATTATTCTCACTCTATAAACTGGATTTGATTTGGTGCTCAAAGTAGATTTGATGATCAGTATATTTACGAAAATACACAAAAGCCTAAATTTTATTTTGATTTAAACATATTAATGGCAATATGTACATCAAATCCTTTTATATCCAAGTACAAATGTCAAAATTAAAAATTTACCTCTCATCTAATTAAATAAAAGAATATGATCATTTTCAAAGATTTTGTAACGCATGGATTGTAAATATAATCAGATTAATACCTTTTTTCCCCCTTTTTCGTAGATAAGGATTATCTTTATTTTTAATTTTTGAGGTTTCCTTGTTACACTGATCAGATTTCGTTTGTGTCTAGATCTTCGCTTACGATTGAAGGATCAAACAAATCTCAAAGTACTGTATTTCCTCTGTTTCCTCCTCCCTCGAAGAAGTACCAAAACCCTAAAAAATAAACAGATGGGAACACAATTCCGCAAAGCTTTAACTTTGACGGTAACCAACTTCTCCCAAAAGAGTTCTCCAATTAACTCTCCTCCTTTCCCAAGTGGTGGCTGCGATTGGTAAGAGTCACTCTTTAGCTTTCTTAAGTCCATTCTCTGCATTCACCAATAATACATAATCTTATTGTTTTTTGGTCAGGTATATTAAAGTTTATCCCAAGGGCAGTGTTGATGATAATTACTTGTCTTTGTTCCTGTCCCCTGATGATCCTAAATCACTTGGAATTAATTGGAAAAGGAGAGCTAATTTTTACTTTGTTTTGCTGAATCAATCAGGCAAAGAACTTCATAGAACACCTGGTAAGTAGTTTAACTTAACTTCTCTCTGTGTCTGTAAGAGAACTACACAAATCTTATTTGATTGAAGATGAAGCAAACTTAAATTCACATTTTTGCTTTTGTCTTAACAGAAATAGGTGATCAATTGTTTTGTGATGACTCACTAAGCTGGGGTTTTCCACAGACACTGCCTCGAAAAAAGCTTCTAGACAAAATCTTTCTAGATAACGATAGATTCAACATTGAAATCTATATTAAAGTTATTGAAGTTGTTGAAGGATATCATATGTTTCCAGCTTCATTCACTAATAAGCTCTTAAGAAGTTGCTTAGAGTATCCAGATAAGTCTGAGAAGGAAACTGTGGATGTCAATGGTTTCCAGGTTCTTTCTTCTCAGGTAAGTTGAGATTTGTCTTCTTTTGGTCTTTCTTAGGTAAGTTAAAACCACACAAGATTCAAACTCAAAATTCGTTTTCTTTGGCAGGTTACTTCAGTGAAGCAGATTTTCGAGGAGCATCCAGATATTGCAGAAGATTTCAGATCAAAGAACCAAGTAGTGAAGACAGAATACATGAATGTCCTTCTTAGGGTCATCGAGACAATGGCTAAGCTGCCTCAGAGTATCTCAGAGACTGAGCTAAGAAACGTTCATAGCGAATTGACCGAGCTGACAGAAGTAGGTTTCAAGGTGGAGTGGTTGAAGACAAAACTTGAGGAAGTTTCCGTGGAGTGGAAGAAAGCAAATGCTGATGGGTGTCGGATTCAACAACTTGAGGAACACGTCAAGAATCTTGAGCTGACTGTGTCAGATCTCAAAGCTGAACTGGACAAGGAGAAGGCCAAATCTACTAGTGATGCTGCTAAATTTTTGTCGTTAGAGGATACATTGTCTGATCTCAAAACTGAACTGGCTAAGGAGAAGGCAAAAAATGCTAGTGCTACTGATAAATTTTTGTTGTTGAAGGAGGCTTATTGTGATCTCAAAGTTGAACTGGACAAAGAGAAAGCCAAATCTACTAGGGCTGCTGCTAAAGTTTTGTCATTGAAAGAGACTTTGGCTGATCTCAAACTTGAATTGGATCAGAAGATAGGAAATTCTGCAACTACTGCTAATGTTTTGTGGTGGGAAGATGATGATGATTTATTTTCACATACTAACTGTTTAGGAATTCAGCAGAAGACAAATGCTTACAAAAGAATAAACTGAAAGACATTGCCATGTTCATTGAAAGTTTCATTCTCTGTTTTGTTTTTCACAGAATATCTTTTTTTATTATATCAAACTTATAAACAGACAGATTACTATCAAGCATTTGGAGTGATTTGTATTAAATTAACAAATCATTTGTTATTAAAAAAAATCTTATAAAATCTAGTGTTGTTGAACTAGTGGTTTGGAAAAATATTTCAAAATCCAATGTTATTATTTCAACTATTGGATTTTTAAAGACTTTTAGGGATATGAAAGGATTTCTTAGTTAAAAATACAAAAAATAAATCTCATGGTTTAAAACTTTAAAATAGGATTTAGATATATTTTAAAATTATTCATAACAACTTCCTTAAATTCACTCAAAATTATCAAAATCATATAAAACTCATTAAAAATCAAATCATTTAAAATAAAGGTTGAATACACCCCCTAGATTTAGTTTATTTTTTAAATAGGAAATAGGAATTATTAAGTGTTTTTCTTTCGCTTCATATATAAAGAAAAACGTTGTTGACTTATGAATCAAACAAGTCTCTTGTCCCTCACTGGAAGAACCAAACCCTAAATTAAGAAAGCGTTTTTGAGATGATGGAGATTGATTTGCAGAGTAATTTTACCTGGAAGATAGAAAACTTCTCCGAGAGGAAATTTCCAATAACGTCTACTGTGTTCTCAAGCGGTGGCTGCGAATGGTAAAACCGAGAAGAACCGGATCATTAGCTTTTTTTCAACTCAATTGTCTAAATTCTACAAATAAACCTGTGCGTATCCCTAAATAGGGTTTTTTTTTTCTCTCAGGTATGTTCTAATTCATCCCAAAGGAGATGGCTTTGAGGATTACTTGTCTCTGTATCTATGCGTTGCGAACCCTAAATCACTGCAACCTGGATGGAAAAGGCGAGCCAGTTTGCAGTTCATTATATTGAATCAATCAGGCAAAGAGGTCCATAGAACATCTGGTAAAATAACTTATCTTCCACGTCTGAGTTTGTAAGACACAGAAACTATACAAATATCTCACTGATGAAAAGAAAAAAATATGAAAATTTTATCTTTTGGTTGTCTTGCAGAAAGATATGGCTGGTTTGGTGCTGAGATCCCTGGCTGGGGTTTTCGAACGGCGTTGCCTCTTACCAAGTTACAGGATAAAGAGTTGTTGGAGAACAACACTCTCATCATTGAAGTCTACATTAAAGTTACTGAAGTTGTTCATGAAGGAGATGAAACTAAGAAGGATATGTTAGATTTCAGAGGTTTTAATGTTCTTTCTTCTCAAGTTAAGAATCGCCGAGGTGTTTTAGTAGATGCAACCTGAGTTTGGATTTGGCTAACATGATTATATATTTCTTGTTGCTGGCAGATTACTTTAGTGAGCCAGATTTTCGCTAAGTATCCAAACTTTGCGGCAGATATCAAACCAAAAACCAAAGCGGTGAAGACAACATACCTGAAGATTCTCCTCGGCCTTATCAAGACAGCAAACAAGCCTCCAGAGAGCTTCTCAGAGACTGAGCTAATCAAGGCTTATAGCAGTTTAATTGATCTAATGGAAGTGGGCTTTAAGCTGGACTGGTTGAAGTCAAAGCTTGATGAGGTTTCCTTGGAGAGGAAGATAAAAGTTGATAGTGACGCGGCTCGGGTCCAAGAACTCGAGGAAAAGGTCAAGAATCTTGAGTTAATGTTGTCGGATCTTAAATTTGAGGAGAAAGCCAGGTCTCATATTGAACCAAAAATGTTCTCTTTAAAGGATTATGCTTCCTTAAGTACACCTATGAGTCCTTGGACTCGAAGGAGGAAATCCGATTAAGAGAAAAACAGACTGAAAGACAATCATATATGTTCATCATATCTTTCTTTGCATTCTCCTTTCAAGTTTTCCTTCAGAATACATTTGAGTTAATGTGTTAGAGAATATAAACTAGAGATAGATTCTTCATTAATTCCAAGTTTGAATCACATACTAGCTCCAAATACACACCCAAACCCATTGTGGTTTTCATACAATTAAGCTCACGGGGAACCCTCTATCTCCTGCATAAAGGGTATGCGAGTTCTGTTCTCAATCCAAATCCTACAAATGTGGTAACCATATATATTTTTCTTTCCAAAACCACAATGGGTATGCGAGTTCTGTTCTCAATCACAAACGAAGGAGCTCTAAGACCTCGGTCCAAGAAAAATATATATGGTTACGTCCCTCTCACTAAAAAGGGCTTGAGACAATGTGTGTGTGTATTTGAACTTGGCTTACGTATTACTATATTAGTATCTTTCTCCTAAGGTGCCTTGCGCACAAGTCCTTGATTTTCAACTAAGTTTGTTTTTTTTTCTTTCTAATTTCAATCTCAAGAATCCGAATAATAAAACTAAAACTTTCTTATGATGAAACAGATAACTACAGAATTTCTGTCGATTAAGATGAATGTAAAATACATGAGAACAAGATCTCGGCTCAACAGATATAACAAGAGGATTCTACAGAAACCACTTTAAAATGCTAATTTTGAAGCGCTTTCTTGCATAGTACTGCTGAAAAAGTGCTAAATTACTGATCACACTTATATGAAAACACATTACAAATTACTGATATAAACATTTTAATTATAACTATAGTAATCTTCCTTCTTTGGAATTTTTTTAGTTAACTTTTTCCTTTATTTCCAACGTCCTCATCAAGTATCATATCTCATGAATAAGTTAAACGTAAACAAATAAAAAAGTGTATGTATCATGTGTATGGAAATAAGTTAGGACTTTTCCATTTTTATTCCTTAATAAGGCTTTTTACTTCTTTCTTTTTTTTCCATTAATGTAAGCACTAAGCAGTATCAACACTACAGCTCAAAACAGTTTTTGATCTTTACCTCCGTACTGCTAATCCTCTGTTTTTGTCTTGACTTGCAAGGTGACCGTGTACGGAATTGGGCTCAGATGTTGGCTATGTTGAGTTGGGCTTTATTGTCTACAGGCCTTTTTGCGATTTGACGTTGTTTTGAGCTGTAGTGTTTATAAACAGAAAGTATCCCAACTTTATATATTAGGGTTTCAATTAGCACAAGAATTACAAATTTCTCTGCAAGAACTTTTGCTTTCGGTTGACGAAGCAAAGCCTAAGAAAGCGTTTTGATAAAGTTATGGGGAATCAGATGCAGAACAGTATCTCAGGTAAGTCGTTTTCTCCTGATGATTAAAGTTTTTTTTTTTGGTCAGAGAGTAGCAAAAACGTTTATGAGAAATTTGTTTGTCCCTCAAAGTGTAAGAAAAAGCTAAGAATGGGTTTTGAACAGCTAAAGGAAATCATGAGTTGCTAACGATTTTCACGTTTGAAATCAATAACTTCTCCGAGAAGAAAGCTTCGTTTATGTCTCCAACGTTCTTAGGTGGTGGATCTGAATGGTAAGCGAGTAGGATCAAAGTTTACATTCTAAGAAACTTTACTTAAGGTAAATCTATTGGACCGTTTAGCACTAAAAAGTGTCTCTAATCTTTTCTCAGGTATGTTCAAGTTCAACCCAATGAAAAAGATTTTGGTGGTTACTTGCGTCTGTACCTTTGCGTTCAGAATCCTAAATTGCTTCTAACTGGATGGAGAACGCGAGCTCGTTATCGCTTTGTTTTGTTGAATCAATCCGGAAAAGAGCTCTACAGAGCTGCTGGTAATGATATATGATCATATTTTTAAATCTTTATGAGCAGTAATTATACATATAAGAAGAAGGATATCGTTTTGATGAAGAAAATAATATACCTTTTGTTTGTCTTACAGAAACATCAAGCTTGTTCTGCGCTCAGTTCCGAATGTGGGGTGATAGGACTTTGCCTCTTAGCAAGCTGAAAGAGGAAGGAGTTTTGGAGAATAACAAACTGATCATTAGAGTCGAAGTTAAAGTAACTGAAGAAGGATATGTAACTGGGAAGGAGACCTTTGAAATCAAAGGTTTTGAGGTTCCTTCTACTCAGGTATGTTAAAGGAGCTTCCCTATTTCTGTTTCTTTCATTTTTTTCTTGATAACCAGATCTTGTTGTTGTTGGCAGGTTACTTCTGTGAGCCAGCTTTTCATGAAACATCCAGACCTTGCAACTGATTTCAAACTAAATGGGAAATGTCTAAAGACAGCATACATGAATCTTCTCCTCGGTCTAATCGAGACATTGCGAAGGCCTCCACTGAGCTTTTCTGATATCGAGTTAAGCAACGCTAACAGCGAGTTGAGCGAGCTGACGAAAGCGGGCTTTAAGCTGGATTGGTTAAAGGCAAAGCTTGAGGATATTTCCTTGAAGAGGAAGAATGCAATTGATGATGGTTCTCGTGTCAAAGAAGTGGAAAAACGCATCAATAATCTGAAGGTGACTTTGTCGAATCTCAAAGTTGAGTTGGAATTTGAGAAGGCTAGATCTGCTGCTGCTAATCAACCTTTGTCGTTTGATGACATTGTTTAACATCAAAATCAAGTTTGGTGTTTCATAAATATCTCTGGGATTTTGCATTACTATGTTGGTCGTTTCATCACTTTTCCTTAGTTCAAGTGTTTGATTGAAAGCAACGAAACCCAAACAAAGTTTACTTGCAACAAAAGCGTTTTATTTTATAAGCATGCACAATTTGATCAGTTATTTAAGTTTAAATTTTCGGGTCTCTTTGTTTCTCTTAACTTTGTGGATTTGTGTTTTATTCTCCTCTGTAGCAAAACAGAGAACTTCCTCTGTTCCTCAACCAAGTCCTAAATAGGGTTTTTTTACTTGTATAGGAAGATACCAATCTGGGAATTTTCAAAGGCCTTAGAATTGTAGTCTGGCATTAATAAATGCATTAGACCATATTTATCAATTTAAGACTCCTTCAACATAGAGCAACTTTGAAGATTGTTTTTTTTTCTTGGTTTAAAAAGTTTGTAGATTGTTATTAGTTATGATAGTACGTAAAGTATTGGAAATGGACTTGCCTTATTCACAAACGATCACAACGTACATTAAGGAGATTAACCTTACCCAACGTAATCGGATATTCTAGAGATCTAATGAATAATTATCCCAAGTAATACATGTAAATTATCCCTATATAAAAATTTAATGAATAATTACCCAAAAAAAAAATTTCTAATGAATGGCTTTAACAAAAAAAAGATCTAGCCAGTTACAAAAGTTTCCCTTGTCACTTTTTCATTCAACATTTATTATGTGATATTTTTACGTAGACCCATAAATACTCGGCAAATATAATTAAGGTTCAGAACTGTTGTTACATTAGATTTGGTCAATTAATCATTTGCTTTTAATGTAATTTTCAGGTTACGTTATTTCTTTTGAGATAGGGTTTCATAAAGTCTGGTTTTGTTCTCGAGTCCTCTATAAATAAAGAAGGGTTCATGTCACATGTGAAAGTATCAAAAAAAAGTTTGCGAGAAAGTCAGTCTTTTGCTTTAAGTAATAAACCTTTTGAAGGGATATGGAGAATCATCAGACGACGAGTTTCACGTTTGAGATAGATAACTTCTTGGAGAAGGAAGCTGCGATATCGTCTCCTATATTCATAAGCGGCGGATGCGAATGGTTAAACGAGAAGAATCCGTTCTTTTAGTACTTTTCTTCAACTCGTTTTACTAGATTCAACAATAACTTTGTATATTTATTTATCAGGTCGGTTACAGTTCACCCCAAGGGCCACCCAATTGAAGATTACCTATCTGTGTATCTGCACGTTGCGAATCCTGAATCATTACGAACTGGATGGAAAAGGAGAGCTAATTATTTATTCATTGTGTTGAATCAATGGGGCAAAGAGCTCACAAGAACATCTGGTAATTAACTTATCTTCAACTATATATTTCCGAAGAAGAAAGGTTGAGAAATCTATAATTGTTTTTGTCTTACAGAAGTATGCGACTTGTTCTGTGCTGTGGTCACAAGCTGGGGTTGTCCCAAAGTATTGCCTGTTACCAAGCTTCGAGAAGGGTTTTTTGAGAATAACAATCCAGTTAGCTTATACTTGAGTCAGTTCTTAGGCTGGGGCCAAAATACGTCGTTGCCTTTTGACAAACTTGAACAAGAAGGGCTTCTTGAGAAGAACAAACTGATCATTATAGTCGAAATAAAAGTAGTTGAAGTTGTTGATGAAGAAGAGTTAACTGGGAAGGAGATGTTAGATTTTAATGGTTTCCCGATTCTTTATACTCAGGTATGTTTATGAGATCCTTTCTATTGTTGTTAAATATTATTTGATCTATATATCACTTTTCTCATTGGCAGGTTGCTTCAGTGAACAAGATTTTCGTAAATCACATGGACATTGCAGATTATTTCAGACCAAAGGACAGAGGAGTGAAGACAGCGTACATGAATCTTCTTCTCAGCCTCATCGAGACACTGCGCAAGCCTCCACAGAGCTTCTCTGAGACAGAGCTAAGAAACGCTCGCTGCCAGTTGAGGGAGCTAACAGAAGCAGGTTTCAAGGTGGATTGGTTAGAGGCAAAGCTTGATGAGGTTTCCTTGGAGAGGAAGAAATCAGATGCTGATAGTTCTCGGGTGGAAGAATTGGAGGCACGCATCAAGAATCTGGAGCTGATTTTGTCGGATCTCAAAGTTGACCTGGACAACGAGAAGGCCAAATTTGCTACTATTTTGTCATTTGACGACATTGTTGGAAGTCATAATCAAGCTTGATTCATAAATATCTCTGGGATTTGGCGTTACTTTGTTCGTTGTTTCATCATTTGTTTAGTCCTCATCACTTTTCCTTGAGACATGTTTGAGTTTAAGTGTTTGATCGACTAACTAACTACTAAACCTAAACAAATTTTCCAAGCAACAAAGCGTCTTATTTTGAAAGCATCCATAAGTTAACTAATTATTTAAGTTTTATTTATTTTGTCTCCTAGTTTCACTAAAAAATTTCCTATATAAAACAGAGAACTTTCTCAGTGCCTCAACCAAGCCCTAAAAAGGAAATTTTTGACTTGTACAGGAAGATACCAATCTCGGGTTTTCCAAAGGCCTATATATATTTTATAACCAAGAGGTTTTGATACATATCTTTTATCTATTACCTTAGGTATTTTCTAACTTTGTAAGTTGGATTCTAACACGCTTGTTTTCCCAAGGAGATGGCTCTTATCGGTTCATTTGGAACTCAATCCCACTGTAAAATCAACAATAAATTTTACTTATAAGTTATAATTAGCCCAACAAATTATATTTTCACATCATTTCTAACCCAAAATCAATTGGTAAAAAATGTATTAACCGATACTTAGGCCAACAAATTATATTTTCACAACAAATTATAATTAGGCCAATAATACATGTAAACTAGACCTTATCATAAACGATATAAACTTATCCCAAGGAATACATGATATCAACGTTATACAAAAGAAACAAACAGGTATTCTAGACCTTATCATAAGCGATATAAACTTATCCCAAGTAATACATGTAATTATCCTAATATAAAAATATACTCAATTACAAAAGTTTGACTTATGATCACGTTTTTTTATCAAATATTTATTATGTAAAATTTTGTAGGTTTAGGCCCATAAAATCTCGGTGTTTATAAATAGGGTTTTCGCTTAGCACAGCTCTACAACATTCTTGTTACAAAATTTCATACAAGAATTTTGTCTTTCGCTTGACAAACAAAGCCTAAGAAAGCGTTTTCATAAGATATGGGGAATCACACGAGTGTCTCAGGTATGTCGTAGCTTCTCTTTACTTCTTTTGTTTGTTTTTTTATTCTCTGAGAGTACCAAATAAGTTTATGAGAATTATGTTTACCCCTCAAAGAAAACAAAGGGCTAAAGAAAACGTTTTGAACAGACAAACATGAACAGTTGGAAACAAGTTACACGTTTGAGATAGATAACATCTCCACTAAGAACGCTTCTCCGATTAAGTCTCCTACGTTCTTAGGCGGTGAATGTGAATGGTAAGCGAGTAGAATCAATGTTTAGGTTACATAATATTATCATCAGATCATTAAACACTAAAAAGGGTGTCCTAATCTTTTTTTCTTTTTTCTTATCTTCTCAGGTATATCGCGGTTTATCCCAAGAAAAACAAATTTGATAATAACTTGTGGCTGTACTTGGTCGTTGAGAATCCTTTTTCACTTGAAAGTATTGGATGGAAGACAGCTAATTTTCGCTTCTTTCTGTTAAATCAATTCGGAAAAGTTCTATACAGCACCATTGGTAATAATCATCATATCTTCCATAGTTTGAATAATCAATAAAATTAACATCATATCTCATTGATGAGAAGAAAAGTTAAACATATATATAAATATATATATATATATATATATTTCTTTTTGTCTTACAGAGAGATCAAGCTTTTTCTGCGCTCGCTGCCCAGCTCAGGGTGTTATGATGTTGCCTCTTAGCACGCTTAAACAAACTGGATTTGTGGAGAATGACAAACTAATCATTAAAGTCGTAGTAAAAGTAGTTAAATCAGGATATGTAACTGGGAGGGAGATGTGTGAAGTCGAAACGTTCCAGGTTCCATATTTTAAGGTATGTTAATTAAGGGAGCTTCAAGGTTTCTTGTTGTTTAAGTATTATATGATCTGCATACCTTTCTTGTTGGCAGGTTCGTTTAGTGCGTAAGATATTCGAGAAGCACCCGGACATTGCAGTAGATTTCAAACCAAAGAGCCAAGTAGTGAAGACAGCGTACATGAATGTCCTCGTTGGCCTCATCGAGAAACTGCGCAAGTCTCCACAGAGTCTTTCTAAGACTGAGCTAAAAAGCGCTTGCAGCGAGTTTAACGAGCTAACGGAAGCGGGCTTCAAGCTGGATTGGTTAAAGAAAAAGCTTGAGGAGGTTGCCTTGAAGAGGAAGAATGCATTTGCTGATGGTTCTCAGGTTGAAGAAGTGGAGGAACGCATCAAGAATCTGGAGCTGACTTTGTCGGATCTCAAAGTTGAACTGGAAAGTAAGAAGGCTAAATCTGCTGATACTGCTGCTAAACTTGTGTCCCTTGACGACATTCTTTGATGTCAAAACCAAGTTTTCTTGCAACAAAAGCGTTTTTTTTTCTATAGCAAACACCGATTAGTTAAATCAATTATTTTAGTTATATTTTTGGGCTCCTTGTTTTACTAGACTTTTTTCTGAGATTAAGTTTCGCTTTTTTTCTTTCTCCTCTATAAAAATCGGAGAATTTTCTTGTCTCACTAGGCTTTGCTTGAGATTATCTCTGGCTTTTTATAAAATTTTATAATAAAGAAAATTCATCATCTAGTTATTGACCGACTTCCAGGATAATCTTTAGAATAAATCTTTATGTTCATTGATACGTAGCTATAGCTTATAAGAGATGGCAAAAAATTAAGTAGCAAAGGAAAAAAATTAAAAAAATCATCTTAGTAATTTTGTAAAATCCAAGATTTAATGTAATAAATTTTTTTCTCTTCTATTTATTTCTTATACATCCATTTCCCTTTATTCAACTCATTCATTAAATGTAAATGTATTCTCCTTTATTTAACTCAAAATCTTATTATTAATGTATGTTACTTGTCACTTTTTATGAAGTGTACCCAACATATATCATAAATATGACGTTTTATAATTTTATTTAGGTCTA